CTAACCCTAACCCAACCCTAACCCTAACCCTAACCCTAACCCTAACCCTTAACCCTAACCCTAACCCTAACCCCCCCCTAACCCTTGGCCCCACATGGCCTTTGGCGGGGCGCATTTGGCCGCCGCCGCATCGCCGGCTACGGCTAGGATTGAGCGCAGCATAGGAGTCACTCTCTCCAATGGCAGCATTCTTCTTGGTCTCGACAGCAGAGTCGAAAACCACTCATGATGCAGGCGGCGAACACACGACGGCTACTCGGCTAGCAAAGATGTTTGACGTTGCCACAGAAAGACTCTGCGGCTATGATACAGAAAAGTACAGGGCAAACGTGGCCGATCACGAGTAAGCGCAGCTCGTCCATATCGTTGCGAAGCGCACACCGGATGAACCATTGCATCGGTTCAGCCGAAGGAAGCGCCGGGCATGGTAAAGTCGAGCTCTTCATTGAGGAACGACCTTGCCCAAGCAAAGAGTTCGGGATCGTTTGCGAGCGAGCTCCACTGCGTGTGACCAGCTTCGAAGCCTGGAGCCGTGGCAAATTGGAACTGATCAGGTCCGGCAGCGACAGGCATGGTGTCGGTCAATCCTGGTGCAAGCGAGAAATGCGATGAGGGAGTTGTGGGAAGATGCACAGGAGGTTGAGCCGGCCGAGGACTCGATGAGATACGCGGAAACAGACCAGTGTCGGAAGCGGGGGTCGCGCTGTAGATGGTACGCGGCGAGCTGAGCGGATGAGCCAAGTGATGAGACTGAGTCCGCTGAAGTGTCGATGGCTGGTTTCGGGTCGGATATCGATCTGACGGTGGAGGCAGGCTTGTGTCAGCTGCTGATAGAGAAGCACCGACGATGTTAGGTACGGACTTGCGCTGCGAGGGAACATTCACATCTCCATTGGCGTGGCTGTCTCCGGCCGATTCCATCACGGATGGGCCTCCACTGACTCTGCTGTGGCCCTGCGCCCCTGAGCTGCGATCGTTCGACTGCGCCGTGCCTTCCGTCTGGTCGCCCGGGGCTTTGCTCTCCATGTCGAGAAGTTGGTCAATGTACTTTGCGTACGATAAGCTGGAACCGTTCTGGTGCGGTGTCCAGTTACCAGCCTTGCGCAGATAGTCAGAGACGCGAGTCACAAGCTTGATGATCTTGGATGAGTGTATGAAAGAGTAGGCAGGTGCCAGCTTGGTGAGCTTGAGTGCAATGACGACAGCGTAGGTAGCGGTGACGCAGATCGAGTTGTAAGAGTGTGCAAGTCGTTGCGGCGAAGTGCGATCGAGAAAGTCCTCCAGGTATTTGATAGACACAGAGTGCAAGTCGGAAACGATGCGCGTTGCCATCGATGGTTGCAGAGTGGGCCATTGCAGAGGTAGCGACAGCAGCTGCATACGAGCGTAGCAGATGTAAAGCGATCCTAGCTCGAAGCGCAGAGGCCGAGGATGGCTTGAAGAGTGCGAAGGGTTGACGACCCATCTCTCTTCCCATGACGAAAGGTCCCGGTGACATCGATCTAGGTAGTGACGAATCCAGGAAGAATCGAGCTCTGCTGCCGCTGTCGAGGCCTGACTCGGCATTGAGGGTTGATTGTTGGAGATGGGCGCACAGCGGCCGCTGAGCAGACGGAAGAGCTCCTTGTTCTGTGAAAGCTGTGATCGTAACTCGATGAGGGCGACAAAGACAACGTCGGTGTGCAACGCCTCGGGATGCAGGTGCCAGCCGCGCGAAGACTCGACGATGGGGTCCTTGGAGAGAAGCGAGACGCGACCGGTGTACTGAGATGAGGAAGCTTCGTGAAGCCAGACATGCATCCATGCGCGCTCGCGATTGCGCTGATGCAGGACGTCATGCTGCTTCTGAGCATCTTTCTCACGAGCTGTTGCATGCTGCGTAGAGTGCTCGTCGAGAGAGCCGTCCTTGTGAGCCGAGCCAGATGAAGTCTGATTCTGCTGAGATGTGGACAGAACACGAGAATGCATGTCCAGATCGGTGGCTACACGAATTGCGTGGCCCAACAAGGTCCAGGATCGATCTTCGGAGGGGTTCCGAGTTGGGCTGATGTAAGCTGCAAGCATGAGGAAGCCCTGCACGATTTCGACGGAGCGCAGATTCTGGCAGTAGATGGCGGGAAGAAGGACGTTGTCGATGTGAGCTTTGAGCCCGTTCGATACGCGAAGCGCAGCTGGGAGTTCGGAGACAGTGGCAGCGAGCCAGCACATGGTGGTGAAGAGCAGACTCGAGTGCGTTCGGATGTACTGGTAGGTGTGGATGCGTGGATCAAAGAACGACAAGAGCGCCTCGAGCTTGAGCATGAAGGTGTCGAAGAGAATCTTGCTCGTTTCGAGGTCCATGATACCGGCAGAGACGGGGTCCCAGTCCTGACCGACATCAGCGCGAACACTGTGCAAGCTGTGCAAGAGCTGCGACGACTTTCCGTACGAGGCATTGCTGAAAAGGGTGGTGGTCGCCTCCTGCGGCAAGACGGGCTGTTCACCGAGCAGCTCGTCGGTCTCCTCTTGATGCTCGTCCAAGAAGGCAGCTTCGGCATCGTGCTTATCGTTGTTTGGCAGGCCCGTTTGCTCTTGAAAGCGTGCGAGCTTGGCCTTTGCCTTCTTGAGGCGTTGATACTCAGGGCGTATACACGTGAGCCCGTGCTCCAGACATCGTTTACAGTGCTCTGGACTGTCCGAGATGCACTTGACTTTACTATTCCGACATGCAACGCAGGCGAGGATCTTGGAGGGATACGGATGGCCGGCTTTGTTGGCGAAAGTGCTTGCTGTGGTTTGCGAACGGTCTGCACTGAAGCCGCTGTTGGATGAGGAGGGCGAGTGCTTGGCCTTGGGCACCTTCATGTCGGAAGGATACTGGGACGCCGGCAGTCATCGAATCAAAGGCCGACCAGACAGGATCCGTAGCAGGACGCGTTTGCTCGATTGCGACAGTCCAGGCTGTGCCCAACCAAGAGCAGCTTGTTCGAATCAGCCGGAGGCAAGCAAGCTGTTCGTGAGCAAGCTCGATCGAGGCACTCGACACTCGGTCTCGGATCAAGCGGCTGCTGCGCAGGTCAGCGTTCGAAAACGGCGGATCCGCACGAGCCGATCAGCCAACGTCGTTGAGACGCTGATCACCGAGCGCTTGCTGGATCCTAATTGAGCGGTATGGTTGGATGGGAAAGGCGGGTGAACCAGACGAGAGAAGAAATTGAGTCCATGCAAGCAAAGGAAGGCAAGACAAGTCGCACTCGGTAAAGTGCTGCCGGAACGACATCAAAAGCAAAAGTTTGTGCAGCTGTGGGGTAAAGGTAAAATAACTGGTACGAACTCAAAGCCCGCTGTCCCCGCTGCTCAACCTGCAGCTGCTCAAGCTTCCTCGAAATTTGAGAGTTTGGAAGGCAACCGCGTCTAGAGATGTATGAAGGCCTGGAAACCCCCCGCGTCGACCCACGCGGTTGTGCATCTTCGGTGGCTATTGACACGTTCATCACACGACTGTCTGTCATGCACACTCGTTTTTCCTCACAAGATGCAGGTTGTACAAACAGATGTTCCTCATTCGCTGCGACTCGGTTCGCCGGCTTCGAGCAAGCATGGATTGATGATCTATGATATTCGCAAGTCAGTTACAATTGCGATCTGGAAAGCCCCTCGACAACCGCCTGACAGCGTTGGCAGAGTCGGTCAGCCTCGACCTCTTTGCGAAGTGTTCGGCATCGCGGACATTTGTGGCGCGACGAGCGACGTACCCGCACGGTCACTTCGACTTCGCTCTTCCGCGTGATCAGAGTGTTTTCTTCTTCCTCTTGCTTTTGGTTTCGATCTTGTTCGATCACGTTGACCTTTGCGACGTTGAAGAGCTCTGTAAGCTCCGCACGGTATGTCGCCAGGAGTGTTGCCACTCGCGAGTGGCTGTGCTTGACGATGAGGTCAACATCTACTTCGAAGGAGGTCTTGACATGCGAGGATTGTCTTGCCTCCTCGATCATCACAAGCGCTGCATCGCGCAGCTTCAGAAGCTGCCTGCAGTCTGCCGCAGCGTGCTGGTCGTTCCAGCGTTCGTCGACTTGGGGCCAGCCAGCAGAAAAGACGGAAGGAGCCCCTTGCTCGTCTTCTGCCGGGTCGCGAGTGGCTCCGTTGCGGAAATGGAAGATCTCCTCGCTCAGCAACGGTGTGATGGGGGCCATGATTCCCGTCATGGTGCGTAGGATGTGTTCGATGACTGCTACCACGGTCTTGCGTCGTGAGCTGTCGAGGCCATCCAGATAGAGACTGTCCTTGCCGACGTCAAGGTACAGATTCGAGAGGGTAAGATTTGCAAACTCGGTCAATCGGCGAACCACTTGAGCAAAGTCGTATGTTTCGTAGGCGATAGCGCAGGTCCGCTCGAGCTGGTATAGTTCATGCAGCACAAAGCGATCGAGGAGCCTCATCTCTGAGCTATTCAAATCCATCACGTTGCCGTCAGCGGGGAGGTTGGCTAGCATGAAACGAGCCGTGTTGCGGAGCTTGCGCAAGGTCTCGGCAGTCTTGTGCATGATCTCGTTGCCGATGGGCGGGTCGGTGGTGTAGTCGCTTCTAGCGACCCACAGCCGCAAAACGTCAATGCCGTAAGCCGGCTCGTCTGATCCCTGTCCGCCTTGAATGATTCTCAGAGGCGAAATGACGTTGCCCAGACTCTTGCTCATCTTGCGACTCTCGGCATCGAGCACGTAGCCGTGCGTCACCACGGTCTTGTACGGGGCGATCGGTCTCTGACCCTCTGGCGTAGTAGCGACGGCTGTGATGAGCGAGGACTGAAACCAGCCGCGATGCTGGTCTGAGCCTTCCAGATAGACATCGGCAATAGAACTTGCGCTTGGACTTGCTGCTGCACGGGTGATGGGCTCGAGCGCGAGCTGATGTTTGAGCGTGGCCCACGATGTACCGCTGTCGAACCAGACGTCCACCGTATCTTGGCCCTTGCGCCATGTGCGACCCTCTTGACGGTACTGCGGTGCGACGAAGACGTCGGCGTCTGCCTCCCACCAATAGTCAGTACCTTGTATTTCCAACACGGATGCGATATGTTCAATGTTGGCTACCGTCATCAACGGCTCGTCTGTGACCGCGTCGTACAAGACCGGAATGGGCACGCCCCAAACGCGCTGTCGGGAGATGCACCATTCGGAGCGTCCCAAGATAAAAGACTCGAGACGTGCGCGCGAGTTGGGTGGCACAAAGGTGACATCGCCAAGAGCCTCGATTGCTTGCTGCTTGATGTCGTCCAAGTTGGCGAACCACTGTGCTGTTGCCCTGACGATGACGGGCTTCTTAGAACGCCAGTCGTAAGGGTACTTGTGTCGCAGTGTCTGCGCCGAGATCAATGCATCACGCTCCTTGAGGATGGTCAGTACCTCGTGGGCCCCGTCGCTGAGCACCTCCTTACCAAGCAGGCGCTGTCCGACGCTCTCCGCTTTGTCCAAATACACATCTGCAGAGAGGTCTTCGAGCCGCAGGATGTCTGAAGAGTACCGGCCTTCGTCGTCGATGGGAGAGAAGATGCCATGTTGGTCGATATGACCTTGCTGCTTCCATACTTGGTAGTCCTCGGCGCCGTGTGCGGGTGCCGAATGCACAAGTCCGGTACCGGAGAGCGCTGTTACGTACTCGGCCATCAGGATCGGTTTAAGCGCGCTGGCAGCGCGGTCGAGTGGCGACTGGTAAACCGAATCAGACAGGTCGGTACCCTTGATTCGAACGATCTCCTCGAACGGCCCGATTGACGGTGGATCACCATTCTGCGAGGATTGGACACTGGAAGGCAGCGACGCCAAAGCCTCAAGCCGGTCTGAGCCTACAACGTAGTAAGGCCCTTCAGAACCCGACGCTCGAACAACGCTATAATCGAGCATGGGGTTGACGTTGATGGCCATGTTGGATGGCAGCGACCACGGAGTCGTTGTCCAGATGACAGCGTGAAGATCTTGCGAGATGGCGGTCTGAGAACCTAGCTTTCGGAGCAGCTGGGGGCCAGCATTCATCTTGAACGCAACGTAGACAGCTTTGCTGAGATGGTCTTCGCGATATTCTAGTTCCGACTCAGCCAAGGCGGTGCGATTCGAGGGCGACCAGTAAACCGGCCGGTACTGACGGTAGATGAGCCCTTTGCGGACCATTTCGCCAAAGACGCGCACCTGACGAGCTTCGTAGCCGGGGTCGAGAGTACGATAGGTGGCCTCGTGGCTCCAGTCTGCCATGATCCCAAATTGACCAAACTCTTGCTTCTGAACTTCTATTGCCTTTACGGCTTCATCGTGCGCCCTTTGACGGATATCTCTGGGGGTGAGCGTGTGCCTCTGATCAGCGGAAACGCTCGCTAGCGCTTTGGCTTCGATAGGAAGGCCGTGGCAATCCCAGCCTGGCATGTAGTGAACGCGTTTGCCGCGAAGTACTTGAAAGCGGTTCGCAATATCTTTGAGGATCTTGTTGAGTGCGTGTCCGCAATGCAGGTGTCCATTGGCGTATGGCGGGCCATCGTGGAAAACAAAGTCGCCTGTCGAATTGGGCCTGGAGCGTTGCCAGTGATAGAGCTCCGTGCAAGTACGGTTGTGAAAGAGCTTATCTCGCTGAGCGGCGTTAGCACGGATCGCAAAAGGTGTGCTGGGAAGCTGCAGGGTGTGCGAAAATTCTTTCGAGCCTTTCTCATTGGAAGCGTTGCCTTTGCCACTCTGCTTCTTGTGGTTTTGGATGGAAGAATGGAAATCGCGAAACCCTGGCGGTGTATCGCGCGGCGTGGGAGGAGGTGATCGAAGCGCCGGTGCAGATGAGAGCCTCGATGGCCCGGACTGGTTATGGAACGAGCATGCAGTGCCAAGAGAAAGCAACCGTCGTCGGATGTGAATTTGGCTGCTATGGACCACAGCCAGTCGTAGAAACGACATCTTCAGGCCAGCCCTGCCAATGTGCGCCTCTGATCCAGAATACCGAGCCGACTACTCAAGGATGTAGTCCGCGAGCGCCCTCATTCCCGATTCGTGCTGCTCGCTTCCATGTTGCTACGTCGTTGTTGTGCTGTGAGCTAGTAGAAGCATGGATTGCCCGTCATCCTTGACAGGCTTCTTCCAGAGTCAAAAAAAGCCCAGCGCCGGGTTCCGAACTCCTCGCGAGTACAACCTTACATTTGCAGAGACGTGGAAAAATTGCAGAGAAGGGTTCAGTCAGCCTCGGCTCCGAACCGCGTGCAAAGAGAGTTGGGATTGCGCACCGTTTCCGAGAGGTGCATCTCTTCGACTTACCATCACCTTGTCATCCTCGCCGTCTCTCTCGGACCGTCATCGTCATTGTCCTCTCCTCGCCTACACAGGGCCTGATCGATACCATGCACATCGGCCGCGTGATTGCGTAGTGCAGCTCTTCGCCCAGCGATTCGCATTCTGGAGCCAGAGGTGGTCCACGTCAGTATGCAGTACCCCGCCATTTCTTCTTGATCCTCTCCAGACTTTCGTCGCCCGCCTCGAGCTCCGCATTCCTTTCAATCCATCGAAAGCGGATCTCAAAGCCGTCATCTTTGTCGGCGAGATGCCAGGCTACGACCCTGTCCGTGATGCCGGCGGTTCAGATCGGCCTTCACCGCCGCCAAATCATCAGCCCAGCTACCACCCTGGCCATGACTTTCGTCCGTCCCCGTCCGCGTCGTTGAATGCACATACAGCTTCAGCATACAACGAGAATCAGAACATTTCCAGACCTGGTCTCTCTGGAAACAGCCTTGACAAGTACGGCGACACCGGTTCCGGCCATGTTCGTCCGAGCGCACAAGAGGGCGTCCCTGGAACATCCTTCGTATCTCCCCGTTCATCCACGATAGCGCTTCCGCATCATCCACAAGACTATGCAAGCCACGGCGAAGACTCTCACACATCATCGTCTCGTCGCTATGAGCACAGCCCTCGAAACTCCCTCCACTCCGAAACACCGCTACGTTCCGCGCGACGGAGCGCATCGATCGCCGATCTCATTGCTGCGAGCGAACTATCAGAAGCGGATCATGAAAGGCATCGTCAGGAACATCGCGAATCTTTCCGCTACCAAGAAGACTCGACGGGAGACCGTAGCATGAGCAGATCTAGCAGCGCTTCTGGTGGATTTCCAGGCGCGCCGTCGTCGGCCCTCCCACATGGTGTCTCTCATCCGCGATTTTCGCATCCAGCACCACTTCAGTCAGCTCGATCCGAACGCAGCCCTAGTATGGCACATCTTCTGAACGATGGTACAGCGGGTGCCGTCGTAGAGAGACCAAGGTCAGGATCACATTCCTCCGTTTCTTCTCACGTTTCTCACCCGCAGCACCAGCATCATCCCAGCCAAGTTTCTCCTCTCGGCCCACCTTCCGGCTACGCGCCTCCAGGATCATCCTCGTATCCCCGTGATCGGCACTCGACCAGTCATCCTGTCGTCGGAGGTAGCCCTGGCCTCTACCGAGTGGGCTCGCCCAGCACCGCGTTTCCGTCCGGTGCGCATCCGCCAAGCATCTCGACACTGAACAGAGGTGGCTCCAGCCCCGGTTTCGCTCACACAAACTCGGTGCATCCCGCCGAAAGGGCTCGCTATGCTACACAACCCAGTCCAGCGGGTTACGCTCCTCCGTCTCGCTCTGCATCCTACGCGTACCCTAGCACCTCTTCGAGTCCAGCGTCGCACCCCCACGCGCATTTGCAGCCCTCGCCATCACATCGTTTCGCCGTGCCGGAGGTGCCATTTGTCCGCTCGCCCGAAAGCAGACGCGTCCCGCTGCCGCATTCTCCGAATTTGATGCCTCATGCACAACCGAGATCGTCTTCAACGCACGCTCCGACGTCATCCTGGTATGCAGATGAGCACGATGCACCCTCGACAGCAGGTATGCCACCGCCTCCGGTCCAGGCTTCTCCTCGCCGAGGCAGCCTCGCCAACTCAAGCTACCAGGGTCAATCCTACGCTCACGCTACACCTGGCCACAGCGTTCCGCCAAGTCCGGGAGGCTCGGCTCCTCACGGCGGCTACCCAGTCACGCCGGGCGCCCGATCGCTGCCGCCGCGGACGCCCACCTCTGGTTACGCTCGTATGGCTGGCGACGGGTACGACGAGAGCAACTACTTTCCTCGCATGGATGACCGTGCTCCAAGCGTCTACGACCCAACACGCGAAAGGTCGGGCAGCTTGACCAGCCCTTACCTGCAACGCGTCGAGCATGGCGGCCACAACAACCCAGACTTTGCACCGAGAGCGGATCACGAACGTGCTTACAGTACACATTCCATTCGCACGCCCGGCTCGGAGTTTCATGCGGACGATCTTCACCATGCAGGCACGCATGCGCCTCTGGCTCTGCCTCCTGTTGCGAAGTCCCCCTCCTTTGGACCGCAACGACGCCAGAAGCCGGACGACCACGCGGAACGAATGGCTGTGAACGGACGCCGAGACAGCGGCGAACATGCTCATGCGCATGCACCGCACTATTCGGAAGATCGACAGGCCGAGTCGAACGGTGCGAGGGCCCGGCTGTTGGAGGAGCAATATGGACTTGAAGGGTCCAAATCTCAAGATCGATCCAGGCGTGATTCTTTGGGACATGAACGACGCGATAGCAGTCCGGCGGCGTCAGCGTCTGCCGAGCCTGGTGACACGAGCACCGCTGTCGAATCAAGCAACGCGCTGACAGCGCAGCGGAATGACCGTAAGAGACCCCGCGACGCGTCCGTTGCCTCGAATGGATCGGCGCAAAGCACACTGGAGACGGACCATCCAGCGCCAGTCAAGGTCGAGTCGTCGGCAGAGTCAACCGACGTGCACAACCAAGACAACGTGGAGCCTGTCGACGTTATTGCTCCGCTTCCACGCTACGCGCCGACGCGTCGAGTGTCGCAACCTAGCCAAGTGATGCGTCCGATCGGTATCGAAGAGATCGATCGCAAACGTGCACGATGCCGCAACCCGCTGCGCCGCGAATGGGAGCAAGCGCACAAATGTGACAGCCGAGAAGCTCTCGACGAGATCCTGCGCGACTTCCACAGCAAGCTGGCTGCGCACAACGCGGCAAAGTCGGCATCGAACGGCAACGACACGAACTCAACGGATGCCAAGAAACGCGCCATCGGTGATACCTTGGAGGATGCCGAAGAGGTGGCAGATCACTACAACAAGCGTCGGGAGGTGGGCATCCACGGGCGCGAAGAGTCGCCCATCATCGCGCTGCGCAAGTTCAACAACTGGATCAAATCTGTGCTCATCGGCACTTTTGCGCGTGGTCGCGATCCGTCTTTGGACGGCCGAGCACGTGCGCGTGGCGGACGAATCCTGGAACTGGGTTGCGGCAAGGGCGGAGACCTGAAAAAGTGGGAGAAGGTGCGTCCGAGCGGGCTGGTTGGCGCCGATATCGCCGCAGTCTCGATCGAGCAGGCGATCGCACGTTATCGCGACAACAGGCACGGCTTCTCGGGCGACTTCTTCGCCTTCGACTGCTTCTCGATGGCCTTGACCGAAGTGATCCCCCGCGAGCTGCTGCAGCCCATGTTTGACAATGTGACGCTGCAGTTCTGCATGCACTACGCGTGGGAAAGCGTCGAAAAGGCAAGGATGATGTTGGACAACGTCGCACGCTACCTACGCAAGGGAGGCGTATTTGTCGGGACGATCCCAGACAGCCGCGAGCTTCGCGACAGGCTGGCAGCAAGCGCGCATCCCGGGGACCGCTCGTTTGGCAATCGATACTATAAGGTGGTGTTCGACCAGACAGAGAGGTGGCCTGCGTTCGGCAACCGGTACACATTCTTCCTCGAGGACGCGGTGGAGAACGTGCCCGAGTACGTGGTGGACTTTGAGGTGTTCGAGGATCTAGCACACGAGGTCGGACTGCGCTGTATCTATCGAAAGAACTTTGCAGAGATCTATGAAGAGGGGTCTCGACATCCGGAGCACGGTAAGCTGCTGGAGAAGATGAGGGTGGTGGATCGATACGGCTCGCTGAACCTGGACGAGGAAATGTGGCAGGCGGCCACACTCTATTTGGGATTCGCCTTTGAAAAGATGTGACGGCAGAAACGCCCACATACCAATGTATTCTCTCTGTACTCTAGCTATCCCATTTGGCAGCAAGTCTGCATGTCTGAGTGCTTGACGATGATTGAAAAGTTTCGTACGGAACGTAAGCGCGTCTCGAAGGATCGGATGTCGAACGACGGCATGAATTGAGGAACGGCTTGTACGCTGGTCTCACAGCGTACTCTGCAGCCGTCCGTGATCGAGTCTCGGGTCACAACCAAGACCGACTAGGAGTCATCTTATCACGGTACGTGCTCCACTCTAACATGAGTGGTTTCTCCGTCTAGCGTTGGCCCGGCGGCATGGCAAAATGACGTGGACAACAACAGCAAGCAGATCCAGTGTCCAGCAGCCATAGGCTACATCCCATGTGCCCGGCCCTAGTTCGGACTGGATGCGCCAAACGTCTGCTTGAGCGGTGATGCGATGCCTGCGCTAGATCTCCGCGGCGGCAGCTTCCGTAATTGCGTTTGCATTCTGCGGAGTGTATCGGAGAAGCCGCGTTTCTAGTCGCTGGTGACCAGCCTTGTGACCTGGTGTTCTGGACCTCGCGGAAGCGTACATGGAATCGCAATTTCCAGGCCTTTTTCACGTTTTGTTGCCGTGAGGCTATCACGCTTTCTGAGAAGATCGACTCCATCTCGACCTCCGGGATTAGGCCGAAAGATCAATCCTCGGGAGGAGGCAGGCACGCGAGCACACAGGAAATGCATCCTCATAGGTGAACTCGACTTCTATTTTTTTGGTATTTGCCGAGCTCAGATGCCCACAGCTCTGTAAAAGCCGACGACCGGGAAAGCACCGACAGGCGTGCTGTAGCTCAGTGAGGCATAATCCGTTCGTCGCCCTTTAGAAAGGTGCTGCTTGCTTCGTTCAAGCTGCAGCTTCGCATTGCCATCATCGACAAAAGAGTTCCGAGCCTGGACTGTGGGAACACCGACCATCGCATCCGTCACTTCGTCCCTCCCACCATCATCGCACCGTCCTCCCTCGACTGTTCACCCCCGCAGACTCAACACAGGCGAGGAACGTTGCAGATCCTCAACGGCGCCCTACACGCACGAACCTGCAATTCGGGAGCATCGCATCGCATCGCAGAGGGAAAACACACTTGGCTCTTCTGTTCACCTAAACATCCCGACATCCCCAGATTTTCAACAAGTATTTGGTCTGCCTCAACCGGATCGATCTTGTTTCCTCATTCCGTTTCTGTCGGTAAGAAACGCTGGCTTTCCGAACCATGTCCCGCCAAATGGTAAGTTACCGACCTCCAACCTTATCGCTGAAATCGCGATCTTTTCCTAAATTCTGGAAGGAAATCTAGGTCTGCCAAGATATGGCTTGGTTCCTCGCAGCCACGATGTGACGAGGGAAAGAACGCTGACCAATCCTGGCGAATCGCTTCCTTCGCGATCTCTCTTGTATTCTGGCGCTGCCCACTTGCACAGCCTAACGCACCGATGCCAAGAATGACGGACTCGCAGGCGGGTCCCGGCGGCCCTTCATCGCTCAAGTTTGCCGCTCTGTCCGTCCAGAGCTTTCACCTCGACAGTCCACCGTTCACTGGAACCGCCGTCGGAGGAGCCGGACCCCTCGATGAAGCGGGCCAACGCCTCTCGAGTCACGATTCGGATCCCTCCCACCATTCTGCGGACGGCGGCAGCTCGCACTATCAGTCGCAAAGCCCTTCTCGCAGCGTCCGACCGTCGAAAAGAGCAGGTGGCAGCAGTCCACTCTCCAAAGCTACCACGCTCCCATCATCGGGCGAAGACCACGACCCCTATACACGGTCCATGTCGCAGACTCGCTCGCCGCCTCTGCCACAGTTGTCATCTTCCCACGACCAGCAGCAAGATACAAGCGTGAAGACGCCAACCGCAGAAAAGCATTCGCTCCAACTCAACGGCATGACCAGCTCGGCAGAGGCATCTTTTACGTCAGATCACACGAGCCAATATTGTGGAGCAGACGGGGACGATGAGCCACGATCGCGATACGACCGCGACGTCCCGCAATGGGATCTGGATGGCAAGCTCTCTTCGCGCCAAGCCAGCTCTGCTAGCATTGCAACGCTTTCGCCCGACAAGCCTCTTGCAGGTCTTTCCGAATCGCAACCGCCCGCGTCTGGAGCTCGACCAGCAATGCAGCGCCTAGATCCTCCGGGGAACGGCACGCATCGTGAATCCTCACTTTCTCGAAGCCGTCTGAGCTACCGAAAGGGCAGCGGGTCTTCCAGCAACAGCCGGGCATCTCCTTATCCAAGCGTTCTCGACGATCGACCCGCCTATTCGCAGTTCTCCGAAGACCTTGATGCGCAGGAGGACGCTGGATCCTCTGCCGCCGACAGAGACGAAGAGGTCGATGGTCCGGAAGGTCTCTCCGCCGAATTCCGTCTTCGAGATCGCAGCGTTCCACAGCAAGGTCAGACAAAGGAAGAGTACTCGTTCCCAAGGCATCGTCTTCCCACCCGCATGCGCGACGAAACAAAGACGCCCCTCGTCGTGGTCGCTTGTGGAAGTTTCTCTCCGCCCACCTACCTCCACATGCGCATCTTTGAGATGGCCAAGGATCAGATCATCGAGTCTGGCAAGTACGAGCTGCTGGCAGGATACTACTCTCCCGTCTCGGACTACTACAAAAAGGAGGGTCTCGCCAAAGCAACGCATCGAGTCAGGATGTGCGAGTTGGCCGTCGAAAAGACCTCGACCTGGCTCATGGTGGATGCATGGGAATCGCTGCAGGACGAATATCAACGCACCGCTGTTGTGCTCGATCACTTCCACGAGGAGATCAACGGCTCGTCCAACGGCGGCGTCATGCTGAGCGATGGTACGCGCAAGAACGTCAAGATCATGCTTCTCGCCGGTGGAGATCTCATCCAAAGCATGGGCGAACCGGGTGTGTGGGCTACCGTCGATCTACACCACATCCTCGGCCAATACGGATGCCTCATCGTCGAAAGGACCGGCGCAGACGTCTGGTCGTTCTTGCTCTCCCACGACCTGCTCTGGAAGTATAGAAGAAACCTCAAGATCGTCAAGCAGACCATTTACAACGACATTTCTTCGTCCAAGATCCGTCTCTTCGTCAGACGTGGCCAGTCGATCAAGTACCTCTTGCCCAACAGCGTCATTCAGTACATCGAACAGGAGGGCCTGTATCGATTGCCGCCAGATGAGGATCTCAAGTCCGAACCGGAACATGCAAATTGGTAACACGTCCAAGGACGTCCGCATACCAGCGGAGCAAATCACACGCTTCAGATTTCTCAATGTCCGTAGTTCTCATCATCATATCACACACTTCATGTCCTGGCACGCGGAAACTTGCCTTCTGGGATGATTCATGCCCTGCATTTTGCTCATAACTAACTTAGTGACAGTCTGATATCCGGTATGAAGATGCGATGCGACAACGTGTACCCAAAACACTGGCGCTGGGGCTCATCGACGTCGCACAGGCGGAGGAGATCTGGAGTACGACGGAGATCGATCGCTGATGCGGCCTGACCGAGGCGGAGGAGAGCGCGACCTGGAGTCATCCGTTTCCGAGCCGGAATAGGCAGACCTGGACGGAGATCGGCGATGAGGGCGTCGCGATGCATCCTCAGATCGCGAACGAGGACGTGTGGCTCGCTCTCTGGGCGCGGGCGAGCGCGAGCGCGAATACGAACGTCTTGGAGTGGGCGAGCGGGAGTATGAACGTGCCCTGGACCTCGACCGAGACCTGGATGAATATGACGGATACGAGGCAGATCGCGTGCGGCTTCTGCCTCGGCCTCGATGGCGATACGAAGGAGGGCTCCGGCTCCGGCTCAGACTACGCCTGGGACTGCGACTTCGAGAGGAGTACGAACGGCTCGAGTAGGAGCGAGACCGAGATCGAGACCTCGACGGGGACCGAGAATCGTTTGAGCGCGATGAGTACGATCTGGAAGAGTAGGACCGGGACGAATAGGATCGAGATGAGCGCGAGTAGGATGAGTACGAGCTTCGACTGCGTGAGCCGGTGCTGCTGGATAACACGCTCGACGAGTCGGTGTCGCTGTCGTCCGAGCCTCGTGCGGCCAATGCGGCTTGTCGCTGCGCCAAGAGGATTTTGGGTGCATTCTTGAGATACTCCCGCATGTCCTCGGTCAAAACACCCAGACCAATCGATGTAAAGTAGTTGATGGAGAAGCGCGTACTTTTGGGATTGTCGGTCGGGAAGAGACCCTTCCAGTCCTCTTGAAGTGTCGGTTCCTTGAAGCGTTCGGCAAGCTCTTTGAGACCCAGTTGCTGCTGCATCTCTTGAAAGAGGATCTTGACAAAGATTCTCGAACTGCTGGTGGTGTCTTCTTCGTTCATGTGGATGACGGACAGAGACGCCCAGCTAATGCTGTCGGTGGAATAAAGATGACCAAAGAATCGTGCAATGTTTCGGAGGCGATTGGTCTCGTAGCGATGAATTGTGTCGTAGTAGTTGCTGAAGCTTTGCGCGAATGTGTCGGCCCATTTGCGGTGGAGCTTGCAGAAGCGCTCGCCCATGTTGCCGTAGAATTTGCTGTAGGTGCGCTCCTGCGAGCAACATTCGACAATCATGTTGCAAAGCTCAATGTCCTGACCTTCCGGTACTTCGAGTTTGAGAAGCTTGTGCACGCTCTCTTCAAAGTCGAGCGAGGACATGATGGTGAGGTAGATGGTGCGTCGGAGGTTGATGAGGTTTGTCTCGGTCCTGTCGTGGATTTCGAGTTGACGCTGAGCATCTTCCCGACCACCGGCCTCGTCTTCATCATCGCTTTCGTCGGAATCGGTGACGCTCTCGCTGTCGGCATCGGAGTCGCTGCCGTTGCTGTCCGAGTCCTCACCAAGGATCTCTGCCTTGATGGAGCGGTAGCGGTCCTCGTTCTCGATGAATTCGGGATCCTTCTTGAAAACGTTGAGACCCTCTTCAACGTTAAGCTGGTCGTCCAGACTGACACGATGGGTGATCTGATCCTCCTCTTCGACGAGGTCGAGCGCCTCGGGAACGCGGGGGTTGTCTTTGAATGCTTCGCGGCGTACTTGAGAAAGCACCTCGATCATGTACTGCACACGTTTGTTGATCTCCCCTTCATAAAGGACAGCTCGGAAGCGATCGAAGATGCTATTGTTCGCCTTCGGTGCTTCTTCGGCAAGGAAAGCGCCGACCTCGCGCATGAAGCCGACCGCGATCTCGACACTGTCATCGGTGGGCTTCTCAAGAAGCAGCACCAAAATCTCGAGGGCAAGAACCTCGTGGACGACCCTCTGATTGACAAGATGGGCGATGAACATGGCGGTCGAGTTGCAGACTGCCTTGTCGTTGCGCTTGAAGGAACGTCGGAACTGCGAGACTAGACGGACGACTAAAAGCTCGCCAACCATGGGAAGCTTCGTATTGACGATAGCTGTGAGCGCTGCGAATACTGGCGTGAAAGATAAGGACAGAGCCTGTGCACGCATGATGGAGCGACAGTAGAGACCTCGGCCGCGGATGAGGTTGGCGGCGCCGAATAGTTCGGGGACGATGCTCTTGATGTTTTCGACGGCTACCTTGTTGACGAGACCGGTGATGCTCTTCTTGAGGGCGTCCCAGCTCATGCGCTGATATTCTACGCTGCCTGGGTCGGCGGCGGCAGCTTCAGCCATGAGCGCCTTGAGTCGAGCTGGAGGTATATAAGCACCGCCTGCTTTGGTTGCAGACAGTTGCGCCAATGCCGACCGCAAAGCTTCGCCCTTTGCCGCGGTCTCCTTAGCCTTCGCCTCGTGTTCGAGGGCTGCGCGAGCGCGAGAGTCGCTCTTGCGCTCTGTTCTGCCTTCATCGCTGCTCACGGATGGCGAGCTATCTCTGCTGGACCTGCGTCTTCTTGACCTTGGAGGTGGCGATCTTGACCGTGATGGCGAGCGTGACGAAGTGATGGGTGCGGAGACAGAACGTGTTGGTGATCTTTTTCGCTTTAGAGCTGCAACACCAGGGTCGGGCGAAGGTGACCTCGATGAGAAGCTGCTTGCTTCCGAGGCGCTGCTAGATGAGCGGTCTCTTGAGGGCATGTTTCCTGCCCTTCTTCTGCAGTGAAGACGGCGTTAGGGCCTCTGTGGTGGTAGGTAGGCGTTGTGTGAGATCCGGCGTGGCTCATGCGCAGCCATAAACGGGAAGGCGAAGTCTGCGATGCGCCGCAGCTCTTCTGCTGGGCTGTGGGTCCAGAAGCCACGAGATAGTTGGAGGTTCGGAGCGTAAGAGGTGATGCAGATGATGCGGCGGAAAAATGGTGGGACGTCGTCGGAACGATACCGAAATGCTGAGTTTCGTTGAATGGCTCGCAAAAGTCAAATACAGGAGAGCGCGTTCGCAGCGCGACAGAGTCCTGGATGCACAAAGAGCTGTTGCTTGCATGTGCGAGAATGCGACTCTCAGCTAGCGAAATTCTTCTTCGGCTGCTGAATTGCGCCGTGTCCCGAGAAACTAGGCAACTCCACCTTTGCTCAGGATCAGCTTCGCTATTCCAAGGCATACTCGCTGCAAACTCGTCTTGGATCGCTTGCGAGGCTTGTGCTCAGTAAAGATTGGCATTCAGACCGAGCAGTACAAGCGTACGCCTAAGCCCTTGCGAAAATAAGATTGACTTGGCTACAGAGAGCTGTGCGAAGACGCATTTACCGTTACAGCTCGAGAGAAGCGTTCGGTTGCCGCTATAATCTAATGCAGGCTGATCATGGACGAGCCATCTTGGTCCGTATCCCTACTCTGTTGTGTACAGGACGAGCGACAGGGCATGTGAGAATAGGGAGGAGCACATACTACCAGCATTATACGCGTGACGCCTTCGGCGTCTGTCTCTCAAGCTCCTTCCTAAGAACACGGCGGTTGCGAGTCGGGCGAGTGGTTATGGCGAAAGATCGCAGGGTGTGCTCAAGCTTCGGAGAGACGGCAAAGAGGCGGTCCCCATTCAGGGCTTGGGCCCTTGCGATGCGGATTGCTCGTACATCATCCTCTGACGTTCCTCGAGCACTCTTCTCTTGTTGAAGTAGTCCACCTGTGTCGAACAGAGAAACAAAAGACAGAGCGAAAGTCAGTGACTGTCGGACCTTCCCGAAGCTCTCAGCCCATTCTTGGCAGCTGCCTGGCAGCACTCACCCAGCTTCGTGCGCAATTTGTTTCGTAACCTTGTCGTTCTGCGAGGCAAGGGTCTTGCTTCCGTGCTTCGTCGACACTTTGCTTCTTGTCCCTTTCTAGTCTCTCTTGTTCTGCTTTGGCGGCCTTTCCGATGGGCCCCCTTCCATCGCTCATGTCTGTTCCTGGTGGAATAGTGACGCCTTTCTGTGTCAAGCATGCAAAGTAGCTGTCGCGGTGTGACCAACATGCTTTGCGCTCGTTCCTCGTTGGCGCGGGCGCTGGTTCCGGTGTGGCCGACATCGTTTTGAGTCTTGTGTCGTTTGAGATTGTGCAGCTAGCGATTGCAGAACTCGACTCCGCCTTTGAACAGCTCGACGTAAGGTAGTCCGACGACGAGTGTGATGTTGCGAACAGGATCTTATGACGTGAGTGTGGATTGGGTCGGAAGAAGGAGACAAGGTTGTCACTCTTCTCGAAGCCGCTTGAGAATTGCGTGAATTCGTGAGCTTAAATTTGGCCACGATTTGAGCTCAGCTTGGATCAAGAAGCTTAGCCAAGACGCAGCGAGAAGAAGCGGAGCAGCAACAACCTTCTTCTCCCTCCTGACCGCCTTAACCTCACAAGTCACTTCACGCCGCATCTCCACCAAACCTTGAGCAAAGACGCATCACACTCTGGGAGCTCCTTCGCTTTGTGCATTTCAAGGCGGCTTCTCGCAACTGCCCACGAGCTCCTTGCTGTTCATGCGTACCCTAGTTGGCTCTGAAAACGTACGTTAAGGTGAAAAGTTGGAAAGATATGATTGGATCACAGTCACAAAGGGAGACTCAGCGACTCTTGCCGGACTTGCCTTGTCGCTGATACTCTGATGGTGTATATAGAGGCTCTCATTGGCAATGCAGTAACGTCTGAGTTCATTCAAGCATCGCGCTATCCTTCTGCCTATTCGAGCCGCACGCGAAGAATTTGATACGATGAAGAGCTTCAAAGCACTCCTTGGCTTCGACTGCCTCTTGCTACTTGCTTCTTGGGCAGCCTCGGCGAGCGCCGACGCCGACAACTCTACCGATGCCCTGATCACCTACGGCCAGTCAACCATGAACGACACGTCGCCGTATACCTACCACAATTCCATCTCTGCTTGGTACAACGACCTTCTGAAAGTGTCTCTGCAGCGAAAGGCTTGGCCGATCGACAGCTACGCCGACGGCGACGACTTCGCGCCCATCTTTGAGCTGCTCGAGGCCACCTACCCAAGCCAGACAGTCGCCGAGCTCGACGACGATCAATGGGCCGAGCCTTTCAACTTCAAAGGCAAAGAGTTGCTGCAGATCGCAGATGACCTCAATGAGAAGAAACAAACCCAGAACGCCACAAACTACTACATGTGAGCACTCGCACTGAGCAGAACGTACCTACTCAAAGCTCACTGCTGACCTTCGATATTCCCCAACCATACAGGAGGGCAGCTAATGTCTTCCGAGTCGCCTATTTCCCTTGGGTGCATGAGCAGACGAGCCAGTCGAAGGCCAAGTTGTACGCCTGGAAGATGGACAAGCGAGCCTTCAAACATGCTCTAAACTCGATGGACGCTTTTGACGTTTCGAAGTCCGGCGCATCTCTCGGCGGTGACGAGATCCTGGACATCCCTCTACGTGTCTTCAAAGCAAAGAATGCAGTCGGCACCCAGCCGGTCGTGGTGGTCATCACCGGCCTAGACCACTATCACACCTACATGCTACCGCAGATCACCGCCTTAACCTCATACAACTTCACCGTCGTCACCGTCGCTATGCCCGGAACCGCCGATTCGCCTATCACAGGCAAAGACTCCCTGGCTGAGGAAGAGTACTGGACGAGCATCGTCGACTGGCTCACAAACAATCCCGAGCTGTTCGACACCAGTTGCATCAGCTTCTGGGGCATCTCGATGGGCTCATACTGGGCAGTGCGCGTCTCCCGCGTTGAACGATATCGCGTCCGTAGGGTCGTCAGCCAGGGCACGGCGAGTCACTATGCGTTTACGAGAACCTGGCTCGAAGCGGCGGAGAGGCTTTCCTATCCAGCGAGCCTCCAACTGGCCTTGGCCCACGCCTTCGGGTACGTTGATGCAGAATCGTTCAAAGAGGACGTGGAGCAGTACTCGCTGCTGCAACAAGGCATTCTTGACCAAGATGCCACGACTCTGATCGCCGTCAACGGGGAGAAGGACACCACCTTCCCGATCGACGATCAGCGCATCCTAGCCGAACATGGTCCAGGAGCCTTGCTGCGATGGTTTCCCCACATGGGCCACAACGGCGAGCCGCTGAGCAGCCCTTGGCTACTGGATTTCTGGCAGCAGCGCAATGCCTGTTGACTCCCTCCTGCTGCCCTACTCAAATTCAAGAGAGTGTTCCGCTCGATAATATCTGCTCCGTCTTCGCAAATTTTGTCCAGCCAAATGAGGTGAAATGACACATCTTTCCGATTTCGTACAATTGAGCTGCGATGCCTATCCGAAGAAAGAGCCGGAGCCGCCAGGAGCGCCACCTTGAGCAGCTTGACCCATGGACTGCATGAGTTCGTTGACTTTCCCGTTTACCGCGAAGAATTTGCTCACGCATCTGTAAATATCAAGACGGTAGAAAGTTGGAATCCGTCAGTTCATGTCCAGACGGAGTCACCAGGGGTGTCTGGCGTAAAAGAGACTCACCGGTCGATGCAGATGCTTTCGCCCTTGTTCAGGTCGGGTTCAGCGTATCTTGTCGAGATGCATTTGGCGTGGCAAGAAGAGACCAGACGGTTGAAAACGTCGGTGACCATTTCCAACTCGGCGGTTGCTGCTTCGATCTGAGCAGAGCTTACGGCAGCATTACTAGCGCCTGCTGAGGAGCCTCCTCCAAGTCCGAAGAGTGACATGCTTGTGTGGTGGTTGAGTGATGATAGATGGAGGTGGGGATGGATATGAAGTCCAGGCTGATAGATTGAATTGACAGGTGCAGGCCTGCTTAGAAAAGACAAAAATGCGCAGGTCACACCCCGAGTTCCGAGCTTCCTCAGCTCCGACCATCAGCGCGTCCAAACCTGTCATCTCTTAGGCTCTTCACTCGTTCATCCCTCCTTCTTGACATAGACCACAGTGCGATCTCCTTCCCTCTGTAGGCGTTGAGCGTTCGGCTTTACGACCTGATCCGATTTGACCGGCGGGTGGACAGAAAAACAAACGCAGACAAAGCAATTAGGGTGTAGATTGATTATCACAACAGATTTGAAGATGGTGTGTAGAAACAGAGGATGAGAGCGTGCATCGTTGGGTGCATGATGGCACGTCAGATGCAACGTCATGAATTCTTCAGGAGGAAATGCGACTCCAGTGCAGTACGAAGATACAGGGCGCCATCCTGAAACAGTGCACGAGGCATATAGATGATGGGAAGTGTATGATGTATTTGGCGCGTCACCTCTTGACATCAAACGACAAGATCAGGCAACCTGGAGAGGGTTGGCCTTGTTCTTCTCCTGCTCGTCAGGAAGCGCCGAAGGCGAGTTGCTCCACTCGCCGACCTCGCTGGCCTGACCCGAGTCCTTCTCCTTGATCTGGTCTCGCGAAGTGTAACCAGCGGGTACCCACTTCGTCGAGTTCCAAGGCTTGCAGTTGGGGTCGTTGTACATGGCGTCCACATCCTCGAGCGTCAAGTCCGCCGACTCGTAGACGAAGAAGAAGGCGATCAAGCAGTTCGCCAAGTTGCAGCCGGCGAACACGAAGCCGTAGGCGAAGTGGATGTTGTTGGCGATCGGGGAACTGAAGTAGCTGATGAGGAAGTTGCTTACCCAATTAGCGAGGGTGGCCAAAGAAGCTTGTTTCGCCCTGGTCCTGTAGGAGAACGACTCGCCGATCCAGATCCAGATGCCGGGAGCCCAGGTGGAAGCGTAGCCCAAAATAAAGAAGCAAGCAGCGACGATGAGGAGCTTGCCGATGCCTGGAGAGATCTCTTCGGGAAGCGGGCCACCAACCACACCGGCAATGGCAAAGACGAAGAGCCAGAACGACTGCCAAGCGGCACCGTAGATGAGAGGCCACCTTCGACCGAAGCGCTCGAGGATGTAGAGGCCGAGGAAGGTGCAAACAAAGTTGACGGCACCGAGAATGATCTGGGTGATGAACGAGTCATTCAGGCCAGCACGCTGGAAGATGGCCGTTCCGAAGTAGAAAAAGTAGTTGGCACCGGTGAATTGCTGGCCCGCCTGAAGGGTCATTCCGAGCAGAGTTCGGTAGAGGGTCTTGTTGCGGGGCTTGAAGCAGTCTAACCAGCCAGCTTGCTTCATTTGCTCGTCAGCCTTGACGACGGCAATGATTTCGCGGTACTCCGCCTCGACCCAGGGGTTTCCGTCGCCGTACTTGGCACCGCGAACTGCCGCACACGACCTGTAAGCCTCTTCGTTGCGGCCTTGAGCTGCGAGCCATCGAGGCGATTCGGGGCAGAAGATGATACCGATGGCCAGGATCGAGGAGAAAAGAATGCCGAGGGCGACGGGAATTCGCCACTGAGCCGAGTTGTTGTAATCGCGCGTTCCAATGTTGATGCAGTACGCGAGCAAAATACCGAACGTAATGAAGAGCTGGTAGGTACCAACGAGAGCACCTCTTACCTGTCGCGGGACCGTCTCGGATTGATACAGGGGCACCGCCGCAGAAAGAGCACCCACTCCAAGCCCGGTGATCAGACGTCCAATGGCGAGTTGGTACCAAGCGTAGAAGGAAGTGACTTGAATGATGACGCCGATGTCAAAAACGATGCACTCGACGACCATGGCGTAACGACGGCCAAGTTTATCGGCGAGGGGAGCGCCAATCAGCACACCGATGGCCGTACCGACGCTGAGAAGCGAGACGACGACACCCTCGATCCACGGATTCCAATCCTTCCCACCGGCTGCGGTAGGATCGTCGACGGTAGCGAAGCGAGATTTGAAGTCGGACATCTCGAGCAGGCCACTGATCTGACCGGTGTCGTAACCGAAGAGGAAACCTCCCATCGAAGCCAGTGCAGCAATGACGATGGTGAGGGCGCCAATGGGCGTCCCTCTGACTTGGAAGACCATGATCGTTGCTGAGGTCGGGGTGCCCCGATGAACGAGAGGACGGTAATTAACGCGAAGGGCTTGACGTTCTAGAGTGAGCGGATGCGAGGTGCCAACGCTGGCTTGCGGATTCCTAAAGACAGGACGAGGAACGGGGAGCGGTGAGATGGTTACCTTCAGGGAGCGGGGGAAGATGTTGGAAGGGAGAGTGAGCGGGTTATATGGTCCCGGGCTAGCGTCATAGGCTCAAAGCCAAAGCCAAGACGAGATTTGGTTCATCTCGGGAGGAAGAAGGGGGCCACAGCCGCGGGGTCGTAACGACCCACTTTTTTTCTCCTCGCTCTTCTTCCGAACGAACGAACGACGACGGACCACACGGGTCCATGACCTCAGTCAGACCCGATTGGTCAAAGGTCGAGCGGCACCGAAAACCGGCATCTCGACGGTCAACCGGCGTGCAAGAGAGCGGCAAGTCCATTGCAGGACGTTGGGCAGCGAGTCCGAGACCCAAGCAATTGGCCAAGCGCACCTGACGGATCGGCCTCACTCCGAAGTCCCCAAATGCAGAGTTTTTTCTTTCTTGTTTTTTTTTGCCAAGCGTCAGCAGTGTTCGTCAAGTGGAGCGGAGCAAGCCACCGTCTCCCAAACACACATTTAGAGCGGGAAATGGAGCTTTGCACGGAGAATTCTTTTTCGTTCTCCGCTCTGCAGCCTGGCATGCGTAGCCCTGTCGGTACCATTGCTTTGATCTTGATCCTCGAATTGAGCGTCACACAGCCCGACCGGTCATTCTTGTGAAACTCGTGCTACAAGGATTACGCTGCAATGGTCTTGGCGACGGCATCTGCGTTTGCATCGCCATTGCCTCGGTGTTAACGTCGGCCCGTGCCAAGTAACCACCTGACCCTCAGTGCCGGCCCATCTGTACGCTGCTGCGAGGCCCCACTTGATTTGGCCATCTCGCTCGTTCATGCGGATACTTGGAGTGGGCGCGCAGCGCAGAGGTGTGCGTCGAAAAAGAAAATTGAGCCCCCACACACACTTTGCCTTAGCGTTGGTTGAATGTCGATCGTGCCTGAGATGCGCCACCTTCTCTTCGCCCCCCGATTGTATGGATGCTTCTGCTCTTGAGCTTGATCAAGACAATAAAGCAAGGGAAGGCGAGCGCAAAACAGACGCCTCGGACCTCTTGGCATGCGATCATCCGAGCCACCCCTCACCACATCGTTGCGAACGCCCGTATGCCTGAGCCGCAAACAGAAGACCGGACGTTTGCTCCCGGGGTGATGCAACTACCGATGAAGACCGAATTTCAAGCGAGTTTGGTCGGCCCTTGACGTCTCATGAAAATGTTCGTGTCAATCCGCCCATTTCATGCTGCGTCTCCATGGGGTTCTGCTCAACCCCACCGACTCGCCCCAGCGTGGGTTGGAGCCCCTTGTACGTGCAGCCACGTCCCACTCCTTCGACGAATCAGTATTGAGCAAAGGTGGCATGCAAATTTCGTGCTGCGCTTTCCATGCCGCAGCGACGTGGACAAACATCCTCATTGGTGCGGCGGGCGCGGAGAATTTCGAGCAGTGCGTTGTGCAGAACAGCTGCGACGGTCGTCATGTGGTTTGATTTTAATTTTGAATTTTTGATTTCCGCATCTCGCGATCAGCAGTGCTAACTGCCTCTCTTGCCGCTCCGATGAGAAATACGCGAGGAAGAAAAAATCAACAACAGCGAATTTGGGCGAGGTTCAATGATTGCATCATCGCACATGGTTGGTGTCAAATCCTTCCAGCGGCAGCGCGACCTCAAGGTCGACTCTCGGCAACTTGGTTCCGACGATCAATGTTCGGCCATCGCGGCAAAGCTCTCACTCAAAGAAATCAGGCACAGCATGGCCACGAGCATGTGGAGATGCTAGACAGAAGCGAGCTGGTGGGGAAGGTCCCCAAAAATCGACGTCCCTTCGATGTGCCTCGGAACCCGCGCGCGGCAGGCTTCGATTCGAGATGACATCTGTGCCTGAGATTCGGCCACAAGCCTGCGTGCGTGGAGCAGGGATCGACCATACAGTATACAGTGTATCTCGGACTTAATATTGTCTTCGCGGAAGCGTGTGTGACACAGCACGCACTTCGGGACGGGCTTGGGCACTCGATCGCCGCTGTCTCCGACTCCCTTCCTTCAGGCGCATCCTTTTTTCGGTCGCAAGCGGCACTCGGCCGTGTCTTCGAACTTGCATACGATGCTGCCGAACCTCGACCAATTGGAAGCATGCATCGCTTTGCAGTCTCTGCATGTGTGTGGCCTGTGACCTTCGTACGTGATATCGCCCACGATGAGTTGACGCACAGGATCGAGCACAAAGCTACACTTCGCTGGGTGGGAGAAGGGTGATCGGGCACTTGACCAAGTTGCAGCCGCCGAGCACAAAGCCGTAGGCGAACTTGATCTCGTTGGCAATGGGTGTACTAAAGTAGCTGATGAGGAAGTTGCTTACCCAATTAGCGAGGGTGGCCAGGGAAGCTTGTCTGGATGCTTGCGACCTTGGCCCAATAAACCAACAGCCCGTCATCGCTTCGCAATTTGTGATCGGTAATCGTGAGCAACCGAATGACCTGATCGTGCGCAAGCGTCAGATCCGCCAGGCCTGCGCATGATGAGAGTCAGATGCAAGAGAACCTGTCCGGTCCGGCGGTTCAGATTGTTCACATGAGGCATCGCATGAGGTTCCATGATCAAGCCGTCGATGAGATCTTAACATCTATTTTGTTTCGAGGTTCCAACAACGGCGCGAGGATGGAGAGAGCGAGGAATGCAGATTGCAGAAGGCGATTTAGCTGGCCTCGTGCGTCTAGTGCGGGGCACTTACAACTTGGCGCATTGCATATGCCTCACCCCTCTGCGCCTACCAGTGCAGAAACGAAGTTGGATGCTACGACGTCGGGATGGATACGAGTTGTGAGAGACAGCTCGACCGCAGCTCGACCAGATGCGGGCGTCAACCAGCTTCGTCTGTTGCTTAGGGGAAGCGCCATGTATTTCTGAGCCGTCCGAGTTTGTGGGATATCCTGATTCGGCTGGTATACAGACGAGATGGATCTCTCATGTCACACACGGAGGGGAAAAGACAGCGAGAGAGAGCATATGTTGCACCAGTCGTGAACGGACAATGTATTCTGGCAGATAGGCTCCTTTATGCATGCTCACGTGCAGATCGTCGTCCGCTCTGGAGACTTGGTATGTTGACGAATTCGAAAGACAGCCTGTGGCACGCCCCTTGACCTCCCCACGTTGCGGCCCTTGCTCTCATGGCAGGATCTCGCGCCAGCTGCACAGGTGGTCCCGCTCTTGCATTTCTCGCACCTTTGCACTCTGTTTCACTGTACAGTGCAAGGAGGCCGGGTTGAATTTCAAAATACAAAGTAGTCTTGTAAGAAGAGGAAATTGATTCACCAGCAGCAGTGCAAGACCGCTCCCGACCGGTGTGGTGGGCTGATTCTCTGCACTTCAGCCCCGCCTCTGTCGTGCATCTCGTGTCGCCGTACCCCCCTTACAGTGGCCGCGCTCTGTGTGTGTAAAGCTATCCGAAATTCTGAGCTTGGATTGCAGCCTGTGTCGTCGAGTTGGCGGATGGAACGGCGTGCTGTCCCGCGCTTGGAGACCCCCCCACCCCGGTCCTGGGTCCTTGCGACCTGAAAGAAAAAATGTGACTGTCTGCGTGGTTGCGTGCTACAGGTTGTGTAGTGACTTGGTCGGCCCTGGACGTGCCTGTGCCTGATTTGGTCTAATCTTCGCAATACAGTAGTCTGGTACACCATGATCACTCATTTGCACATACTCGTCTTCCTCCCCTTCTTCATGGGATCTACTGCGACGATTGCTCCACCGACCGACACAGCTAGTGAACCGGTGCACCGCTACCTGCGATGAACCTCAGAGTGTCGGTGAGGAAGCCATTAGGATGTGATTGCAACGGCTGTGACTGGGCAGTGCTGTACATTGTACCTGACAGGGCGCTAGCCTGCAGACTGAGTGAGTATATGGCATTCGGATCGCCCTCGAGAATACAGTTGTAATTGCAGACGAGCGCGTGAGTGTGGGACGGCTTTGCCTGCCTGAGTTGCAGCGACTTTGGAACATGCAGCGCTGCCACCTCGAGTTTTAGCGGAGACTTTTTAGCTTTTTCGGATCTAGCGTCTCATCACATTGAACGCATCCTGCCTTTCTCTCCTTCATCGCCCCTGTTCTTTTGCTTCTCCTTCACGCTCGCTTTGGCTTTCGCACGCGCACACCTTCATCCTTCTTTCACCGCCTTGCTGTGACGTTTTTTCTCCTGGCCTGTCGCAGCGACACCCAACTTTGGTGGTTGACTCGTCGCATCCGATGCGTCGATAGCGGCGATCACCAACGATTCCGGCCGACACCACCACCATCTCGTTCGTCACTTCTCGGATGCATCCGCTGTCGGCATTCGTCCTTTCACCGGTCTCCTGGTACCTCCTTTGACTGTCGTATAGTCCGGACGCAGGCCGTTTGGTTGGTTCGAATCGTACCGACTCGACTCGACCCGACGAGAGCGCCGCTTCTTTGATCTCATCCGACTCCGTTTCCACTCGGAGTGGCAAGCCCGGAATCTTGCTTAGCCTCAAGGTTTGCCTCGGCTCACCTGACGCCTCTTCCATCCATTCAGTCCAGCGCCACCAACACTGCTCGCTTGCTGCCATACGCCGGATCATCGGCTCACCCGACCGATCCATCCAACAGGGTGCGCACTTTGATCCTGTGCGACTCCCGCATCGAAACAGCTTTCGCACACCTAGAGCGCATCTGATCCTTTGTTTATCCTTCGGTGCTTTTGCATCTTCGCTTCTCTGCTGCAAATCGGCGAGAAACTACCGTGCGCGATCAAACGACGGCCTGCATCGCTTCCCGAAGTCTCTGCATTCTCTCGACACAAGTCGTCGTCTCTCCCGAACGATATTCGCTTGATCCCGAAATTCCCGTGCGCTGCGCAAACCTATGCACATCGATCAGCTTATCACCCGAAACGATTCGCGGGTCTCCCACTTCGCCGAGCTTCGAGCCGTACCACGCTTTGCTTGACCTGTGCGCCACGAGGCGAGCCCCTTGGTTTCCTCCAAATCCTACTCGTCGACGCCTCTCTGCATGACCAGCGCCTCGATTCATCCCACGCCCCCTCTGTGGACAGCAGACATAGCAGCAGCACACTCAGACTCGTTGCAGACCTGAAGGCGTTTGGCCACCTACCTTCGCTGAATGGAGCAGCACCGCGCCTTTCCCAACCATCACGCCGATCCACGTTTCCAAAAGGCCAGGCACGATCAGTACAATATGGAAACCGCCTCGGCCGCAACAAATCATGGCTTCTTCTATAATGATCCGCGTCAACCTCAACCTGCAACCGGCATCGTTGTGAACCCAGCCTATGCACCCGCCCGTCCAGAGCAACCTTACACCACCACTGCGGTCAAGCTTGAGCCCAACACACAAGCTGCTCCATCCGCATCGTTTCCTCCTCGCCTATCGCAGCAAGCAACAATGTCCTATCGTGAGCCCATCTACAGCGACAATCGGCCCTTTGCTTTTGCACCCAATTCGCAAGAACAAGCTCGCGCTCTCTACGCAGAGGCTTCAGCACCACCACAGCCGGCCTTCGCACCTGAGCCCAATTACGCGCCGTACCCATCGCAAGTCATGAACAGCGCAAGCAACGGCCATCCTGCGACCGAAGCGGCCTCCAGCATCGACCGCTTCGCACACTCTCCTGCTGACAACATGAATGGCGTTCAGCATCCGCCTCTTCGGACCAAGCGTGCCCGGGATGATTCCCCAGAGCACGACAGCAGAGCTCAAAGAACCTCCGTATCGCAGACCGACGGCTCGCTCGACGATGCCAACGGTCAAAAGACGGATGCGAGCGGCAACGTCACCATGTTTCAGTGCAGAGGCTTCGGCGACTGCCGCATGGTCTTTACGAGAAGCGAGCATCTCGCCCGTCACGTCCGTAAGCACACTGGAGAACGGCCATTCCGATGCCACTGCGGTAAGGCCTTCTCGCGTCTCGATAATCTCCGCCAGCACGCCCAGACGGTGCACGCCGACATGCCAGAGCGCAACGAGATCATGATGCAAGAGCTCTCGTCACTTCACGCCTCACTCGCCCAGTCCGCCGCCCAGGCTCAACATGCACATGCCCAAGTTCTCGGCAAGAGCAGCTCGCCAGGCGCTCTGATCGCCAGCCATAATCATACAGCGCGGAGGGGCAAGGGTAGCGGTAAGACGAGCGCAGCGACAAGAGCTGCGCGTGGTGCCGGCCATGAGCGATCTGGATCGCCCTCGTCGCCTCAAGAAACGCCGCAAAATCACTCGGAAGCCTCAAATCCCGGCATGTACGCACAGAACGTCGGCTACTCGGCTGCCTTTGATGGTCTCAATACAGCGCCGACCATCTCTGCACCAACGCATTTCGGAGCAAACACTCCCTCCATGGCGGTCTGGCCTGGTCAAGGCCACCAGTACGGCCATTCGGCCCCCGATCAATCACATCCTGCTCCTTCTGCTCCCTACGGCGCTCCCTCTCAGTCCTTCGACATTCCTCCACACGCTACGCCTCAAGAAGCGCAGTACTATGCAGGCGAAGCTGCCCCTGCACCAGAGTACGCGCCGCCGCAGCCACTCTATCACACCGATGCCTTGCCAGAAGGTCATGCGGATCGATACATGGCTTCTTTCGACCCCTACGGTCGGTCAACCGCCGTGCTTGCCGAAAGGCGCCTCTCGGGACAGCTTGCAACGGCTTCAGCACCAGTGCAAAGCTGGCGACCGACGGGCCCACCCCTCGAGACGGCTCTTGCCGGCAGCCATTACGCCGCCGCAGATGCTGCGAGCAGCGCCACTCATCCACCCGCCTTTGTCAATCCATTCTGGCGCAGCTCGAACGCCGAATATGTGCCGGCTGACGGAGAGGAGCTCGCGCCGCAGTACCACAGCGGCTTTTCCGATGGTGAGGCCGATCCGAGATCTCACTACGAATCTACGCTGTCCGCTCATCTGCACATGCGCACGCCGACATTGGCCAAACGTGCACGTGCCGACAGTCCACCTCCGTCACGCGGTAGCATTCGCGCATCGTTCGACGCAGGTTCGGCTCCTCTCCTGCCGCCTCCTGGCAGCGCACACGGACGCCCTCCCAGCAGCGCCCACGGCGGTCGACCTCTGACTTCGCACAATCGTCCCGTTCTACCACCGCTGTCGTCCATCACGCCTAGTGCCAGTCGACCAGGAACAGCTGCAGCGCTCAGCGCAAGTCGTCCCGGCTCCATGGCCACACAAAGACTTCCAAGCATCGACCAACAGCTGCTGGCAACGTCGGCAGAGCTCGACCGAGACGATGAGGCAAAGGGCGGCAGCTACCGACCTTACACCAGCCCAGCTGGCGCCAACAATCCAGATGGCGCTCAAGCGTCCAAACCGTTTCTGCCGCCTTCCTCGTTGCGATCCTCGCGTCCTTCGTTCAGCTCACGTGGCGAAGCGCGCTTGCCCACAGCTTCAGAGCTCACCGACCGTCCGATCACCTCATCGTCTCCATGGAACAGCGAGCGTCGCCCGTTAACTTCGGGATCATCCATGGCCGGCAAAACGCGCGGCTCGATCCAAGCCAATGGAGGTGACCTTCCGCCTCTGACATCCGGTTTGGCGCATCTGGACGATCGTCGAGATTCGCGCGCCTCGCGTCGAGGCTCAGCATACGAATTGACCGGACCGGTCATCGATCGTCCTCGGCTTGGTTCTTCTTACAACGCCCGAGAGACGGTTGCTCCGCCGAGACTGCAGACCGATAGCTCCGAGCTCCGAACCAGTCCGACCAACAACGCCTCGCCGTTCATGTTCCAGCCGCCGCCTCTGCCTCGCGAAAGCAGCTCAGCTTCGTTGCGACCGTCTGCCGACCGACATGCAAGTGCGTTTGGTACAGACTGGCGAAGGCCGAGCTCGAGCACGGCTCCGGACGCACACGTGATTTCACGCAGGCTTGGCTCGAGCAGCGGCTCGGCTCTTGGATTCGGCGGTCGTGAGGATGGCAGCGGCTCGAGACCCGGATCAAGCAGCGGTCTGCCTGCTGCTAGCCGCGAGCTGACGCTTCCTCCTCTCAAGTCCTCGCATGGTCCCAGTCGGCGCGGTTCGAGCTCGATCGCCGCACTGTTGCAAGGTGAAGGCGGGAGAGGAAGCGGTCTACGACCAAGCGCGTGGTCGCGTCCTCTGACATCAGGCGATGCTCCTGCCCCTAAATTTGGCGGCAACGGGTACAGCCGTGTATCGTCTTCGCGCGGAGGAGCATCCAGCGATGACGAAGGGGAGGCTTCCGACCGTCGCCGCTCGCTGGCGCATGACCAGCGCGGCTCGACAAGGGAGGGGCTCACCCGACGCCCATCGACATCGGCAGGTGCGGGATCGACTCGGTTTGCAGCAAGCTTCGACAATCGCAACGGCTCGGAAAGTCCCGGTCATTGAAGAAAGGGTTGACTCGTCGGCGTCGATCGCAAACCAGTTGAAGCTTGATCCTTCATTCACACTTTTCGATTCTATAATCAATACGAGAGCTTTGCTATGCTGCCGTGCGCCCGAGGAACATGCTATCTGTACGTTTGTGCAACATCGACCGCTCAACATCGCAATCCCGAAGAAACTTATCGAACACGGTTGATACGGACATGTGATTGTTGACTTAGTTGGAAGAAAGCCTGAGATTCTTGAAGTCCTTCATGCTTTCTTGCAGCGCGACTTCGACGGGGAGTCGCTCCATGCTCGATGCGCCGTAGAAGCCAGCGAGATCAGGTACTCGATCGAGGACATACTGTGCATCTGAAGCCGAAGCGACGGGACCGCCGTGTACGAGCACCAGTATGTCTGGCGAGATCGAGTGTACTTTGGCCGTGACTGTCGAAAAAGTCGAAGCACGAGAGTGTTGTTAGAGGGATAATCAGTATCAGCAGCGACAACGCCTGTATTGCTCTCACCCGGCCCGCTCTGATATCCACGTACTTTTTGAAGTGAGCTCGACTGCATCATCCAAACTCATTGCGGTCTGAGCACCGATACTGCCACTGGTCGTTAGACCCATATGCGCCACGATCACATCGACGCCGACGTTGGCCATCTTTTCGGCTTCCTCCGTGTTGAAGACGTACGGTGTGGTCAGGAGTCCGAGCTGCTTTGCCTGCTTCATGAGTTCTACTTCTTGATCGTACCCCATTCCAGTCTCTTCCAGGTTCTGTCGGAAGCTACCATCAATCAGGCCGACCGTGGGAAAGTTCTGCACGCCCACAAAGCCAATGTCTTTGAGTTGACGCAAGAATTTTGGGATCGATCGGAAGGGGTCCGAGGCGCAGACACCGGCAAGCACGGGTGTGTGATCGATGACGGGAAGCACCTCGGCTGCCATTTCCACAACGATGGCGTTCGCATCGCCATACGGCATGAGTCCTGCCAGTGAGCCCCGACCTGCCATACGATACCTGCCCGAGTTGTAGAGGATGATCAGATCCGCTCCGCCCTTTTCGACAAACTTGGCCGTCAAGCCGATACCGGCGCCGGACCCGATGATGGGTTTGCCGCTTTTGGCAGTGGCCCGAAGCCTTTCGACGGCTTCCCTGCGATCTTTCGGAGGACCGCTGTAGCTAGACATGATTCAGACCAGACCTGATGCATGCCAGTGAGCGAGCGAGCGAGAGGGAGGGAAGGTTGGTGATGAAAGTTTCTCGGCAACACTTGAGCCGCTCGTCGTGCCCCGTGCGCCCGTTCCTCCACATACCTTTTCCGGACCGAGGTGACGGCGTCTTTCAAGGGTCCAGCAGCTGCAGCTCGCCATGCAAGACACCATGTTCATCTACAAGTCATATCGCCGCATCGAAAGAAGCAACTGCGATTGTGTAGATACCGCAAATGTCTTCGAACGAAAGTGAACCTCTCGTGGCGCTGATAGGTACTCTGGACACGAAGAAAGAAGAATATCAATTTGCCACCACTTGGCTCGAAGCACATGGGTGCAAAGTCGTCGTCCTAGATGCCAGCACAAAATCACCTCTCGACAGTCCGTCATCGTTCAACCTCGGAGCACGATCCGGTCTGTATCGACCCAAGGAGCTGCTGAAGAGTCACTCTGACGAATCAGACACGGTTATCCCCACCGAGCGCTCGGCTCTGCGTGATGCTCTTCGAGAAGCATGTCTTGGCAAGCTTGCTCGACTTCATGCAGAAGGAGCGCTGGATGCCATCGCCTCCTTCGGTGGCAGCCAGAACACAGCATTTGCGACCTCGATCATGCGCGACGCTGCCTTCCCCATCGGATTGCCCAAATTCATGCTGACCACCATGGCAAGTGGCGATGTGAGCGAGTATCTCGGCGAGAGTGACATCTGCATCATGCCTTCAATCGGCGACATATCTGGATCACTGAACACTATTACCCTGACAACGCTCCAATCCGCTCTTGCTGCCATCTCTGGGATGGCGCATGCATGCCATGCGTCCAAAAAGCAACAGGAATCAGCGGTGTCATCGATCGACCAGCACAACAACAAGCCGATGATCGCAATCAGCATGTTTGGCGTCACCACCGAGGCCGTAAATCAGATCTCTGAGCTGCTCAAGCAGAGAGGATACGAGCCAGTCGCTTTCCATGCAACAGGCTCTGGAGGTCGCAGTATGGAACGTCTCATTCGGGAAAGTTACTTTGCCGCCGTCATCGACCTGACCACTACAGAGATCTGCGATCACCTTTACGGTGGCGTCCTGTCTGCTGGTCCAGATCGTCTTTCCGCAGCTACCGAGAAAGAAGTACCCCAGATCGTCTCAGTCGGTGCCCTGGATATGATCAATTTTGGTTCCTTGTCTTCATTGCCCGCCCGCTGCGAGCTTGAGGATGGTGAGGGCCCCTTGCATCACACTACAGATGGCACGCCGGTGTACGAGCACAACAGCCAGGTGACACTGGTTCGCACCTCGGTGGAGCAGAACAAGGAGCTTGGGCGATATCTCGTCGAGAAGATATCTCAGAACAAGAAAGGAGCGCTGGCACGAGTCCTCTTTCCCAGGACCGGTATTTCAGCTATGGACGGCAAAGATGGTGTTTGGGATGACCCGGAAGCGAGAAATGCGCTTCTGGACAGTATACAAGCAACGGTCAAGCAACGCAACGAGTCTCGAGAGGGCCAGTCTGGGATCAGTCTTGAGGTCATCGATCATCACATCAACAGCCGGGAGTTTGCTGAGATTGTTGCTACTCGAGCCATCGAGCTCATAGAGACAGCCGAGGATGCTCAACCATCGTGATCCAGTCAATGTAATCAATTGAATTTCGAGACCTCGATTTCTTCGCGCTTTTTCGGGTTTGCAAGGCATCGCGGCTTTTTTCCACAAGAAGCCCGGAATTCGGAGTATCAGTCAAGGCTGTCAGGTCAATGTGCTAGACTGCTTCTCGAGACACATCCTCCATCCCAAAGCATCCCTCCGGATCCTGTCAGGAGAGGCCGATCACCAGCACCATGCATCGAGCATAAGCTCACGACAGCCAGAGCGGTCCCGTATGAACCATGACGGCGTTGCGTCATCCGACGTCGCGTGTGGGCATCGCGGCGATCTCGCGTGGTGCGGCAAGAACGAGGACACAGCGACTCATACTCGACCGCGGGCATTTACATCATCGCTCCATCTCCGCTTCAGCAACGTCGAAAATCACAACACTCACGCATGCTGAAGTCACCCTAGCGGAAGGCTCGAAAAAGATCGGCCGCAATCCAACTTTGATTCCTCGTGATGGCCTCTCTCAACGACCAAAGCTCGCCGTCAGGCGGCAACTCCAGCCAAACACGCTCAAGGCCCTGCAAGGAGTTCCTTTCGACAGACTCATGCGACTGATAGCGCCGCAAAGTTCGAGCGAGATTCGTCACGAGGCAAGGAATCTAGAAGAGGTGCAATTCGAGACTTCCGCATGGTCAGCCGCTGTTTTGCCCAAGACTGAGTTCGCAGCCATACTCAAGCAGTATCTCGACATTCGAAATGTGGACGTTCAAACTTTCCTTTCCTACCGAAATGCGATGCTGGCGAAGAGCTGGCCTGACGCTCGCAGATACATGGTCAGCATCCCCGATCACACATGGCCTCCATTTGTGCTTCAGCGCACCATCAACACGGTTTCCACGCCTTCCGAGGTTTCGGACGCTCTTGCAATCCTCGATTCAAATGTCTTCCGTGCTCGTCACCTCGTCGAGGCTGGGGACACTTCCCTCTTCAAGGTGCTTCGGTCTGGCTTTGTTGTGCTGTCGCGACTCACAGTCAAGAAATCCGGGTCCACCTTGCACTTGATACCTCGCTTGACGGACCTGCTTCTGGCCCTCTTTGAAAAGTTTCCGGCGCAAATGGCATCGTCGCCAGAGCTCGTATACGACTTCACGCGGCGATGTACAGGCATTCCCGACCAAAGGTCACGTCAAGCCATCACAAGAGTCGTGGACTGGCTGGCACTTCGACAAGAGACAGACAAGTTCGACATCATTCGCGACAGAGTGGTGGAAGCATGCATTCGCAGCATCGAGCATTCGATGAGACTGTCGCCTGGTCAAACCTCCTCTTCGGCTCACTTTGCCCACGTCGAGCTGATGCAGCGCCTTCTGCGCCATCATCCTGCTAACAATGCAGAGCTCCGATCGCGTACGCTGCGATGCGCAATCTTTGCTGCAGGACTCGACGGCAACTACGCGCGCACGTGGGAATGGTTCGACGAATACGAGCATCTCAAACGGAGCAATGGGGCAGAGATGACGGGATCCGACTATCAGCTCCTCGCGAAAGCCTTGGTGCGTTCTAGGGAAGGTCGTCGGGATGCATGGAGAGTGTATCTGCAAGGCGAGCGGCTCTGGCGCACCCAACTGGTGGAGATGACACGAGATCGGTCTCAGAAGAGAACACGCACGCAAATCGACGAGGTGCTTGCCGGCAACTGCATCGACCTGCTTGAGGTGATGGCCAAGAGCGACGATGTTCCCGTCGGTGAAATTCTCTCCATGCTCGGCATCTTCCTTAAGGGCGGAGATGCTTTCACTAAAAGCAGATCGTTCGTCGAGGGCGACAGGTTGTCGCGTGCGATGCTGCAGCGCAGAGCAGATCCATACGCCTACTCAATAGTGATGCACGGCCTTCTCATCCGGGAACGATCCAAATGTGCACTGACGGTCTGGAACGCCATGTTGCAACGCGGCGTGATGCCAAATGCTGCGAACCTCTCGTTATTGCTGCAAAACCTATTCCATTTGAAGGATGTCAAGAAAGCGATGCAGCAGCTACACCTTTGGTGCGAACAGGGACTACCCACAACAGCGCACCAGTGCGACAAGCTGAAAGCTATCGAGGTGCCAAACTTCTCGACGACGGAGCTCGTAGATGTCGATATGCTCCTACCCGCCGGCACGCCGACCCCGACGGACCAGACAAGGCGATACCGCGTCGAACCCGATCCGATCCTCGCCACAGTGGTCTTCAGCGGACTGCACTCGTGTGGATCCCAAGGCATAGGATCGCTGTGGGAAGTCTATCAACAGACGATCAAACGCTTCCCGGACGCGCCCGTGCTTGCGATGCTGCTCAAAGCATCGTGTACAGACGAGGCCAGCTCGAACGTGGACGCACAGCGCGGCCGGCAGGTTTTCAGAGATATGCTGCACCGCAAACACCCCGAACTTGCCGAACACCGCAACACACTGCGTGAGGTGTTGGGAGCACAAGGTGCCACAGGGTGGATCTTTTCGAACGATTCGATGGGGGCCAGGATGGAGGGTTGGCTGACATCGGTCTTCCAATCACCCAATGCAGAGGCAGTCGACGAGTCGTCAGCCGCCGCAGAAGAGGCCAACTTGGACGCCCTGGTGTTCACGCCCGAACTGTTTGAGCACTATCTTCGACTGTTGCTCCACCTCGAGCATTCGTCTGACAGCGAAGCGAAAGCTAGGTCAATCCGACACGAGATCGTCGACACTCTCAGCTACATGCGATACTTGCACGTAACGCCGACACAGACGCACCTAGCACTGACGGTGCTCGACATTGAAGAGAATTTTCCGCCGGCTGTAGCGACACAGCAGATGGACGCGCTCGACGCATGGATTGTAGACTGGCTGGGCGAGCGAGGTATGCCAACGGAAGAGGTGATGCAGCGTCATTGGTCCTGGAAGACCCGACGAAACGGTCAACGAAAAGGGTGGTTCGAGCCGGTGCGAGCGTCGCAGTCTGCTTGGTCGGAACAGGGAGTCGCTGCGAAGCAGGAACCGCTTGGTGGCAATTCGACTTCAAGCTCGGAAGAAACCTGGATGTAAGCCTCTACGTTTTGAAATCATTGTCGTTGCACACCGAGCGTCAACATCGTCTTCGCGTGATGCTTACAAGCAAGGCCATGTTAGACCCTGCAGCCACCTTATGGCCCCGACTCAGCCCTGTCCTCACACTTGGATTCTAGACAGAGGAGCAAGGCGCTGTGAGCGTGGCGTGACATGTTTTCGGAAGTAGTGTGCATCCCCTTACAGTTCCCTCCTCCCTCAGCCTCGGCAACATCACCTGCCACCCTCGCCTTGGCAAAAGCTTGGCTGCCAAGAGAAAGTCGGAAGCAACGGCGAGAAGGTGATCTGCAGCGCTGTGCGAGATTCTTATGTTTGTAGTTGTTAGATCCGCTCTGAACGGGCCAACCTCTTTCTTCTGAGATGTGTCTTCGCCTCGAGTGCAGTGTGTTGTCCTCGGAAACTCATGCGCTGCTCGCTTAGGCGGAGTTGCCCCTGCAGTATTCTAAACGGTGACGACTTCGCAACGGTCATCGTTGCCGGTGTCCAAGCTGGACTTTTCAACGGCTCCATTTGAACAAGGTCGGAATGCGATGCCGGACGGAGGGATGCAAATGCGGCTGAATTCTCTTCGCTAATTCCAGTCGCTGATGGCTTCTCACTTGCTGAGCTCGAGGACGTGAATGCGGTCTCAACAGCGCGGTTGCAAGCAAGGTGAAGATCGTCAGTCAACGTGCCGAAAGGCGTCGCAGATCGAAAAAACAGAAATCCTCCACACCCCGAGCGTGCGTTTGTCTGCTTCTGCGCTGTGTCTCAGACCAAGCTCAGCTTCTGAAAATCGCAAGCGCCGGCATCCAACCGCACTGTGAGAAGGCACGACTTCCTTGCGGCTGCAGTGCATTGCATTGTGCTTGACGCACCGCTTTCTTCGGCTCAACCCCGAAAAGGAAGTCTCGACTTGTCGCCGAGGTTTAACGAGACGAGGCCATGCATGCAAGCCGCAGAAACCGACAGCTCACAGCGCAGCAACAGCGACCGACTTACCTCGCCTGCGTTCTGTCTGACCAATGCTTTCCGTCGGTTGCCGAGCTCTCGACCGTCTTTCAGCCTGCCTCGGCGTACACCTTGCAAATCTGCACGGGACGTATGCGCAACCTTCGCATCGATGAATCGAAAGTGACGTCGGTGACAGTCACAGAAGCAAGTGTCCAAACCCAAAGATCATGGACCCTAGCTTTTGGAGCGCCGGGAGACCCTTCCTTGTCCCTCTGCCACCAACATCGTCTGCATTCCCTCCAAGTGATTGCTGCTATCCATCCTTCACCCAGCAGCACCTCATCGCCTCGCGCTCCTGCCATCAGAAGACATTTTCGATACCTACAAGCTCAGCCGCATCACCTTCTCCCATCTCTTGCTGTCAAATCTCACAACAATGGCATTCCAGACGCTTCTTTCGGCCGTCACCGCTGCGTTGGTGTGCGCTTCGTCGATTCAGGCCTACGTCTTGCCATTCCAGGCCAACACTGAACAGTCTGTAGGGGACCTCGCCACTGCTCAGGCCTTTCGTCTGGCCGGTCGTTCGATCAACGACCTCTCGCAAGGCTCGGTCTCCGTCCCCGTCTACAAGAGGCATGGACTTCACCCGGACATCACCAAGCGCGATCCCGAGATCACCAAAAAATGGGCTCTGCGACAGGCCGAAGTCATGAAGAGCAAATACGGCGCCGCGAACTCAAATCAGAAGCGTCAGACCATCGGATTGACCGACGTGGGTCCCGACAGGTATGTAGAATGTTCGGAGCATCCGCCCACACAAATTCATGCGGCTTCATCCCGTCGATTCTGAGAAACGAGCTGACACCCACTTTCAATCAATCCAATATATCAATGTTGCAGTTACTATTTTGCCCAAGTGTCGGTCGGAACCCCGGCACAGAACTTCAACGTCGTCCTCGACACCGGCTCAGCCGACTTTTGGCTCGTCGACTCGGACTGCGGTACCGCCCAAAACTGCGACTCTGATCTGAACAAGTACAACACGCGCGCCTCCTCCACCAACATTGGCTCCTCCACCCCCTTCTCCATCACTTACGGAACCGGTGCTGTCCGAGGTGTCCTCGCTGCCGACAAAGTGTCGTTGGCCGGCTACACGGTCAACAACCTCACCTTTGCTGAGGCCAATGCCGTCGCTGCCAACACGGTCGAGTACCCCACCTCGGGCATCATGGGTATGGGCTTCCAGTCTCTCTCCACTAGCGGCGCGACTCCCTTCTGGCAAGTGCTCGGTAAGCAAGGCGTGCTCCAGACCAACGCCTTCACCTTCCAGCTCGCGCGGAACATCGACAACATCAACCCCAACGACCCCAACATCAACGACATCCAGAGCCCCGGAGGCGTCTTTACGCTCGGCAGGATCGACAGCAACCAGTACAACGGCGACATTACCTACACCAGCATCCCCAACAACCTGCAGAACCAGCAAGGTTTGGGTTACTGGACCATCCCTCTCGACGGCATCACCGTCAACGGTCAGTCCGCCAACATCGGCAACGGCCCTCTCGCCGCCATCGATACGGGCACCACGCTCATCGGCGGTCCGTCCGCCTCGATCCGCGCCTTCTACTCGCAGATCAGCGGCGCCCGTTCGGCCAGCAGCGCCGGCATGTCCGGCTACTACCTCTTCCCGTGCAGCACCAACCTCAACATCCAGATGACGTTCGGCGGCAAGAGCTGGTCAATGAATGCGCAGGACTTCAACCTGGGTCCCTACCCGTACACCAACTCGCAGACCTGCCTCGGTGCGCTGTTCGAGATCGATCTCGGCTCGAGCGCATACGGCGTTCCTCAGTGGATCGTCGGCGATTCGTTCCTTAAGAACGTCTTCTCGGTGTTTGACGGTACCGGAAGGGTTGGGTTTGCCAGCCTGAAGGGTAGCGAGGCGCAGATTGTCACGGTCACGTCGAACGCCGTTTCTTCGCAGACGCCGCAGTCGAGCTCGAGTGGCGCCAGCTCGATGGGTGGTGGAGCCGGAGGCGGTCTTCCTCTTCCTACCGGTAGTACCTCGTTCGCATCGCAGGCTACGGCGACGGGCGTGTTTGGCGGTGGAAGCTTGCCCGTCCCTTCGGCAAGTAGCGCCGTAGCTACATCGAACCCTTCGCTCACCGCTGGGTCCAGCAACAGCGGCAGCAGCAGCGGAAGCAGCGGCTCGAGCGGCTCTTCTTCCGGTGCCAGCTCTCTCAACACCATCGTCGGTCTTTGCACTGCTTCGGCTGCTGCATTCTTGGCCGGCGCTGTCCTCCTCGTGCTCTAATGGACTCTCTGTATCTGGACCTCCATGATCTTTGTACCACTGTCAGGAACTTCTGATCTTGCTCGAACGAGTCCAGCAATCTCACTCTTTCTTTGTACCTCAGCAAAAATACGTTTGACACAGACTGCGCGAAGAGATGAGCAGCTCCAGCGCACGCCCCACTTGTTTCTAGATTGAGTTGAGTCTCTGCTTGCAATGCGTCACGCCAGCTCGATCCTCGGAAACAGAGGTTGAGGCTTCCCCTCTCCCACCCCTCTCTGCAGGACGTGTGAAACGAGTCTGCCACTGTCATCCCGAACCAGCAGATCCTTGGGATGCTTTCTCTTCGCCTCTGGTATGCGTAGCGTATCGAGCAACGCGGCCATCTTGTCCGGCATGAACGGTGTCAACAGCAAGGCGGAGATTCGTAGACTTTCGGTGACCAGGATGATGGATTCGAGTACGACGACGGGGTGCGTTTGGGTGGACCAAGGTTGCAGGCGTTGGATGAGTTCGTTGGTGCTCGCGATGGTGTCTTCAAGGATGAGTTCGAGCACTTTCCCGACTTCGTACTCCTGCATGAGCGAGTCCACCCTGCTGGGTAGTTCGATGAGTGCTGATTCCAACGCACGGCACATTGACAGCGTTTCCTCGTCCAGGTGCGATTCCACTTGCTCCAACGAAGGTCGTGCGAGAACACCTGTGATCTCGTCTCGCGGGAAGTCGTCTAGCCTAGCGTGGATTTTGGGAGCACAGATCCTCGAGACCAAGTTGCCCAACTGTCCCTGCAGATACTTGCGATGATACTCCACCAACACCGCCGGGTTGTAGTCCGAATCCGAGCCGAAGTTCCCACCCACGCGCATGAGAAAGTACCTCAATGCATCCAGCCCAAACATCTCGATGGCGTCGAACGGGTTCGCCACATTTCCTCGGGACTTAGACATCTTGGCCTTTCCCATGGTCCAATGCGAATGCGCCAGGATGGTTTTGGGTGGTGGAAGACCGGCAGCGAGGAGCATGGCAGGCCAGTAGATGGCGTGGAAGCGAACAATGTCCTTTCCCACGACGTGTACGTCTGCTGGCCAAGCCAGGTTGCCTTCGTCTTGCGCTGAGGAAGAGGAGAATGGGTATCCGGCGACCGTGAGGTAGTTGGTCAGCGCATCGACCCAAACATAGATGCTATGCTCTTCGTCATCCGGCACCCTGATCCCCCAACTCAACCTGGAACTAGGTCGACTTATGCTCAGATCCATCAAGCCTCCTTCCACCTCTGCCACCACCTCCTCCCACTTCTGCCTAGGTTGGATCGACTTGGGATTCGCCCTCAACCAATCCAGCAGCGGTTGTTGAAACTCGGACAGTCGAAACTTGTAGTTCACCTCCTGACTCCACTCGACCTTTGCTCCCGTTTCGATACTCTGTCTGACCTCGTTTCCGTCCTTATCGACGACACTTTTGGTTTGCGATTCCGGGTAGAAGGCCTCGTCCGAGACGGCGTACCATCCTTCGTGACTTCCTTGGTAGATGTGACCACGATCGCGCAGGACACGCCAGAGATGCTCGACAGCCAACTTGTGGTCTGGGTCGGTAGTACGAATGAAGCGGGTGTAGTTGATGTTGGAGGCATCCGCGAGCTGTTTGAAGCGTTGACTGATACGATCGCAGAGGGAGCGCGGGTCTTCTCCAGCCGCTTCGGCTACTTTTTGCACTTTGAGTCCATGTTCGTCTGTGCCAGTGCTGAGGAGTGGTGTTATGATGATTGAAGGAGCGTCTGAATCAGGAACAAGTTCGCCTGAGCGATCATGTCGGGAGTGTCCGGATCGCATGTACCCGTGATATCGTGCAAGAACGTCGGCTATTACGTCGGAATAGAGATGCCCGATGTGGGGGTCTGCGTTGACGTAAAAGATGGGTGTGGTGACGAAGTAAGGTTTGGGCTCCGGTGCTGAGGATGATGAGGAGACATCAGCCTGTGATGTGATACTTCTGCTTGCGAGAGGCTGTCTGCGAGGGACGTAAGGCGATGGCAGAGGGCGTAGCTTCCGAGCGGTAGAGGACAGCCATGGTGATGGAGCTGAGGTGGAGCGGGCACATCTCGCAAACATGGCTGTTCGTATTGACGCCGACATGTTTGAGATCTATATTGCCGATTCGCACCCCTGAGCGTCGTTGCTGCGGGTCCAGCTCAGAGTCGCTCGATACCTCAGCGTCGAGTTGCTATGGGAATGTTGACTGGTGCGAAGAAGAGTATCTGAAGCATGCCAATTCAGGGTCTCGTTCTCGAAAAAAGTCGTCGGGAAGAACTCGGAATACGGATCTGGTTTTGGATCGAGGTGGAGGCTGAGCGAGCAACTTCTTCCTCCTCGTCCTACCTCTCTCTTGCCACCACATCCTCTTCCTTTCCTTTGGTCACCTTCCCTCGTGTTAATCGCCTTGACAACTAGCCATGCTGTCCCGCAATCTCATCACGCGCGCCGTTGCGCCCACGTCACGCATCTCCATCTCACGCACCGCCCTCGCCTCGACCCGACCATCCCTGCTCCGCACGTACGCCTCCTCTCCGACACCCAACTCCTTCCCCCAGCTTCCACCTGGATTCGAAAAGCTCGCACACTCTCCCTCTGCTCTCTCGGCCATCTCTAACTTGGTGGAAGTGATGAAGCAGAACGGTGTCGACCTGCACACGGGTGAGAAGCCGAGCATGTGGCAGATGGTCAAGCTCGCCAAGAACCAGGAAGTCAGAGATGCTACCACCAAAGGTGAGTTTCGATTGAGCTACTCTGAGTTCTGTCACTCTGAGCACAAAAACTGACCTTGGGGCTTCTTACTTGGCTGATCTCGTATGCAGTGATGGAAGAACTCAAGAACGCAGGTGTCGACGTTTCACCAGAACGCCTGCAGGCCATCATGAACAGTCAGAAGGATCTGTTTGGCGGTGACAAGGGCGACGGTGGAAAGAAGGAGTGAGCACGCTGTAGACAACATCAATTCTAACTCGCATCTTCCGAGACATCTTGACCTCTGAGTTCAACTGTCTGGCCCAAGCATTACTCGACCTGAGTCCCTTTTCAATGGCCAATTCCTCACCCTTTGAAGGCAGCACGCACCATTCATGATCGACTTGGTCGATGAAAAGTAAGAGATGCTAGTGGTACAAAAAAACAAGAAGAAACAAACGGTAGCGGCCTAGGACATGGCGCTGCTGATCTACGAATCGACCGACATGGCGGTCTCGCCGGTGGTCGATGTCTGTCCTGTCGCCGCTGCTGCTGCCGCCTCCTCCTCATCCTTTGGCTTGGCCAACCCGTGCTTCTGCAGCAACCTATCGATGTCGTTGGGCTTGAAGATGTTCGTCTGTGGCAATCCGCTCTTTGCATTCAACGTCAATGTCGCAAACTCCAGCTTCTCGCTATCCAACGAAGTGCTGTCCATGGTCTTGCTCAGGATCTTGACAGCCATAGCCATGGCGTCCTGGATGCTCAGATCGTCCTTGTAGTCCTGCTTCAGCAACGAGGTGGCTGTGCCGTTGTTGTTGCCGATGCACGTAGCCTTCCAGCCGCTGTAGTTTCCGGATGGATCCGAGTGGTACAGCTGAAAGTGGTGGTGATCGTCGTAGCCAGCATAGAGGATCGAGACGCCAAAGGGACGCAGACCACCGAACTGAGTGTATCCTTGCTTGTAGTCGCACAGTCGTTGCGCAAGCTGTTCCACGGGCATGTCGTCATCGTACGACGCAAGGTATTGCTGCGCTACATTGCGTGCATAGTTGACGAGCGAGTTGGCGTCGGCAGTGTATCCAGCTACACCCGCCATGACGTTGTCGGAGACCGCAAAGACCTTTTCCGAGGACTGGTCCTGTTCGAGCAGTTTGGACGTGACCTTCTTCTCGGCTGCTAGCACGATGCCGTCCTTTGCGAGAATGCCGATGACGGTACCAGCGTGCGAGATGGCTTCCATGGCATACTCGACCTGGTACAGTCGGCCTTCCGGAGAGAAGGTAGTGGTTCGCGAATCGTACCTTCGCGACATGGTGGATGTGTTCGGAGACGGATCGAAGTGAGAGTGGTGTGAATCGTGTTGGCGACCTGTTCGAGTGCAGTCGTGAGCAGACGAAGAGAAGAGGCAAGAAGATGGTGTGGTGGAGGCGCAATTGGGTGTTGGAAAGTGGTGCGTGTCAGGTTTGAGTTGGTTCGGCCTTGACCTGTGCATTTCTCGCCTTTGGGCTTCGTAGGCGCTCTGTGCGCCGATCACTTGACAAGACGCGTTCTGCTGCCCAATTTCTTGTTGATCTCAGCTTCGTCAACGTTTTGATTTGTTAGACCGCAATATAGAGCAAACATCGCTGAAAAAAGATTGCCGACACAGTGTGTGTGGAGGTTTGACACCTACCGAGCATAGCCGCTTCTTCTCAGCAAGCTCACACAGACAAAGTACAATAGTACGCACTGCTTCAACGTCGGTCTACAGGGCTTGCAACCACGCACCATGACCACGTCGATTGCTTTCCTGCGCGGGTGACTTGGAAGAGGTACTTCGGCAATGTGTGCAAGCGAGAGTCCAAGCAAGGAAGGGGTATCTAGAGGGTAACAAACAAAACTCTGTCTTGCACGCCGGCAAGCCAATCCATCGAGGTCCGGTCAGATCGTGAGCAGACGCGACATGAGGAGCACTGATGTGCGATCGTCTTCGTGACCTACGTTGCTGCACTACATGATGATGCATTTTTTCCGATCTCTCGGGCGCGAGCCACCAGCAAAAGCGCTTCCGTTGACCATCTTACTATCCTTGGAGCTGTTGGCGGATCCATTTGCCTTCAAGTTATGCCAGCTGCCGCTGCCACTATTCGGCTTGCCGTTGAGTGCATCGAAAGCCCGAATCTGTCGCACTGCATCCGCAAAGATCTCGTCGACGTTGATGCGCTTGCGTGCAGAGGCTTCGTAGTACGGAACGTTGCCCCACGCTTTTGACAGGCTGGTGCCTATCTCGCGTGGCACCTGTCGATCCGCTTTCAGATCCGCCTTGTTGCCTACCAGCACGATGGGGACGCCTGTGGTATCCTTGATGCGAACGATTGCCTCTCGTAACGGTCCTAGCTCGTTGACGCTGGCCAGGGATGTGAGTGAGAAAACGAGGATGAAGCCTTGGCCCGACTTGATGTAGAGCTCCTTGAGCGCGAGAAACTGTTCCGTGCCTGCCGTATCGAGGATCTCGACCATGCATTGTTGACCGTCTATCACGAGCAGCTTGCGATACGTATCCTCGATCGTCGGGTCGTATGTGCTCACAAACACGTTCCGCACGAACTGCACGGTCAATGCCGACTTGCCGACGCCTCCACCTGTTTCCAAATTTGTGAGCATGTAGGGTCAGCGATGGAGAGCTCATGCGCTTGGGACAAAAGGCTTACCGCTCGTTGCGGCGATGGCAGCTGCCCGTGCTAGGGGAACTCACCTCCCATGATTACGACGCGAGATTCCTTCATCTTTGCTTGAAGCGCCTACGGAAAGACTGTTGCGTGAGACTCGTCGATATTTGCCCAAAGCGCAGCGATGGCAGGTGGGGCGGCCGGGACGTTGAGGCCGGCGCTCGAGTCGAAGGAGAGGAAGCTTCTTCGCGGGCTTGCTTGTCGTAGAGCGCCTGGACGAAAGGAGGGATCAGCTCATCTCCGTTTCCAAGATCGGTCCAATGCCGTCCCAGTGATGACTGTGATGGACTGTTGCAGTTGCGTGGCCAGCCTCGATGACTCTTGATGGTAATTCGAGGGGACGACGAACATGTGCATGTTGAAAGGAGCAGCTCAATTTGTCGAAGCTCTGTCCCAGATTTTCCTTTTTTCCAGGAACGCAAAGGGCGCCATGCGAGCCGAGACAGCATGCACCACGGCGTGTGTTGCACGAGCCACGCAGCACGCTTCCGTCGCAACGGAACGGCAAACCAGCAGCGTTTTTCCATTTCAGCGCGGGCCTTGCCGAAGCACAAAGAAGACGCTTGGCTCTCACTCCTCTCCGTAAATGCGATTCTTGATGCACAACCGGCCTCTCATTCTCCTGACGGTGATTTAGCGGCGAACGAATCTTGTGCGTCGACGGCGATGTGTTTCGCTTTTCACCCGTCTTCACCTGCAGCTTGCGTTGTTGAGGAAGCCGCCTCCAAGCCCACAACGAGCGGCGCTTCGGTGCGACTGATTATGCACGTTCGGCTTTCAAAATTTGCCTTGTCGGCAACGCCACGTTTTCTGAAAGAGCGGATGCCGAGCTTGCCACTCTTCCGGTAACTCGGCGCCACCGCCAGACTTCATATCGGTGCGTGCACCCGTGACACCGACGCCTTCTAAACACGTCCGCCGCAACCACACGCAATCACACATTCTCAAACCATCAGCCGCTCATTTCACACACTTCGTAACGGTTGTCTGCTTTGTTTTGCCTTTGCTTTTGCATTATCCAGGTTCGCTTCGCTCTACCCTTCCTGAGGGTGGTCTGCGATCTGCTCTGCCAACTAGAGCGTAATCATCCTACAAGTGGTGACGTTTGGAGGGGGAAAGGTGGGATATGGGGAATGAGTCCTACACAGGACGTGGAGGTGAGGGGGCTGATCAGCGAGATCTCCAACTAAGCTTTGTGGAACATCTCCTTGATAGCGGTGACTGCAAAGTTGCTAGCAGCGTCCACGAATGGCTTGTAGTCGGTGGAGCGCTTGGCGTGGTGCGTGGTGAAAGACTTGAACACCTGCTTGCCGAACTTGACACCAGCCTTCATCAGAGGCTTGTAGTCGAGCTTCAGAGAGGCGGCGTCACGACGTTCGGCACCGGCAGTGTGGGCGGCGGCCTGTTCGTATCCGCTGTCGACGAGGTCGCGGAAGGCTTCCCAGACAGGGGTGAAGTTGGGTGCGTCGGTGTTGTCGGCAGCGCGCTTGGTGGCAGGTTCATCGGTGGAGACATCGCGAGCAGAGTGGAAGTGCTCGTTGCCGAGTGCCTTGATCTGCTTCCAAACAGGCGCAAAGTCGGCACGGGCTTCGAGGGGGGCGGCAGTCTCGGAACCAACATCTCGACGGGCCGCTCCGGAAAGCAGACCGTTCAGAAGGTTGTCGAGGAGGCTAATGTTGATGCCACCGTGGTTGTTGCTGGCGTTGTCGCCGTCACCAATGTCACGACGCTGGTGTCCGGAAAGAAGACCGTTCAAAAGGTTGTTGAGGAGGCTGATGTTGATGCCACCGTGGTTGTCGCTGGCATTGTCGCCGTCGCTGACATCTCGACGGCCAAATCCAGAAAGGAGACCGTTCAAGAGGTTGTCGAGGAGGCTGACGTTGATGCCACCGGAATTGTCGCTGGCACTGCAGTTACCACTGCCGATGGCGTTGCCATCGTCACCAGTAACACCCGTCGTCTGCCTCTTGAAGAACTCGACGGGAACGTACTCCTCGCTGCGTCGTCCGAAGCCGCTCAGCAGACCGTTGAGAAGGTTGTTGAGCAGGCTGACGTTGATACCGCCCGAGTTGCCACTGGCATCGCAGTTGTCGCTGCCGATGCTGCCGTCGTCGGTGGTGCCGGTAGGGTTGGCCGTCTGGCGCTTGCCGAGGTTCATGCCGTCGCCGTTGAGCAGATCGCGCGCAAAGTTCTGGCTGAGGTTGGCAGCACTTCGTGCAGCCGAACTGGCACCATCGGTCGACGAGATGCCAGTAGCCGAGGCTTTTTCTGCGGCGCTGCTGGTGGCGGAAGCCTTGCCGGCCGACGAAGAGCCCTGGCTCGGGCTGGGGCTGTCGGCGTAGCCGAGAGCAGACATGATCTGCGAAAAGGCGTTGTCGACCATATCGGTGGGCGAAGCGCCCTTGGCGCTGCCCGTTGCCGACGCGGCAGTGGCCGCAGAGTTGGCGGCGGACGAGGTGGGAGACGACGACATCGACTGGATGAGCTGAGGAAGCTGCTGAAGCAGCATCTCGATCATGGGCAGAACCGACTGGAGAATGTTGGCGTCGCGCTCACCGAGCGCGTCCATGCTCCTACGGACGGCGAGGTCACGGCGACCGTAACCTGGGCATCCGGGGCGGTACATGCCGTCGTTGGGCGTCGGAGGAGGGCAGTCCTGAGGAGGCCAACGAGCGGACGAGGTCGACGTGGTTGTGTCGTCGTTGCCACGCGACGCCATGGGCAGCAGCGTGTTGAGGATGGTGTCGACGACATCGCGAAGAGCGACGAGCAGACCCTCGACACCCGAGCTCTGACGCGCTTCGAGCGACTCGAACGAGCGCTTCTGGGCAGCAGCAGCGGTAGTGGTGGTGGAGCTTTGGGCGGCCTTCTTGTCGGCTTTCTTGTCGCCCTTCTGCTTGGGAACAGCAGTGACGTTGTGAGCCATAAGCCCGTCCACGGCCTGGGTGATGCTGGTAGCATTTCGAAGTTGAGCACCAAGTGCTGCGAGCTTCTTCTCGACGGGCGATTTGCCAGCAGCAGTGGCAGCGCCGGTGGCGTTGGTAGCATTCGTGGCTCCACCAAAGACGTCCGAGCAGGAGTTATCGGTGTTGCCAAAGAGAGCATCGAGGATGCAGGTGACTTGGTGGATGGCTTGCTCGAGCTGGTCGGTGCTAGCCTGTCGACGACTCATTCCACCACCCTTACCCAGAAGCGTGATGATGAGGTCGCGCAGAGCAGCAACCAGCTGGTCGAGGAGGCCTCGTCGGTGAAGCTCGGTGACCAAGGCAAGGTCGCGTGCCTGAGGGTCGAGGTGACCAAAGTGGACGTCGATGGCGCGACGAAGATGGGTGACAGAGTCAAGACCACGAGCCTGGATCGGCTGCGAGCTAAGAGCATTGTCGATGCCGCGTGCCGCGATCTGGCTCTCGTGCACAGAGCGGAGTGCAAGCTTGGAGGAGGTCTCCTGACCGGTTCGGAGAGGAGCAGCCTTAACGGCGGCGGCCGAAAGCGAAAGAGCTACGGTAAGAGCCTGGGTGAAGTGCATGTTTGCGAGTCTTTGTAGGAAGGAGGAAGAAGTCGCTCGTGTAGGAGGGGAGGTGAGAAATCGGCGATGAGATGGACGAAGTAAGACTCGAGCTGACTAGGCTAGCTAGGAAAGCAACGAGACTTGTGCTAGTTCGAAAAAGTGGAGTCTTCCCCAGGAAGGCCTCGAGCTTGATGAACGGTGGTGGACAGAGGTAGGAGGAGCCGAAAACGAAAGTGCGCAGAAAACCGGACAGATGTGGGGTGGATCGGTGAGGACCAAAGGAGCGTGTTTGACTGCGGGGGTGGGATAAAAGAGAGTGACCGCCAGGGTTCACAAGGAAAAGATGGTACGAAAGTTGGTCTGGAGAAGCGTGGAGAAAGAGGAGCTAGGAGAAGCGAACGCAAAAGCAAGGCAAGGCAAAGAGACAGATTGAGACGGGGCTGGGAAAAGAAGAGAAAGGAAGGAGGAAAAGCCGGAGGGTGTGCTCACCTTATGTATCGTTTCCAGAGACCGCAATGAGCAGATCTGTGCGCGAATCGACCTCAATGTAGACGTTCGACGGTTGAATTTGGTGACAAGTGGATACTGCAGCCGGATGTGGCTCCTGTTGGAGCCAGGACGGCAACAAGGCACAGGCCAGAGATACGGTACCGGAGTAGATGGATGGGTCAACGTTTCCATGAGCCACGAGAGCCCGGAAGAGTTGGAACGGATGTGGAAGGAGCCAAGGTAAGGGCATAAGCGAGGCGGTTGGAAGCGAGATCCGGTGAGAGAGACTAGTTCCAACGATAGTGTCGAAGTATTCTCCGGCCTCACATCACGCTCCACCGACACGTCCGGAGCTCTCTCATTTGCAGTGTCGTAGTCATCCGGCCTGCAGCTAGCATACGTCTTGCTTGATCGCCGCTCGCTTTTGCTGCATGCAGTGTGCCACAACCCGAGCAGACGTGAATGTTCAAACGACGTCGGGAGACCTGCGTTCATGAACCCGGTGATCTGATCTCGACAACGAATCGCTGGCATCCTTCTCAAATGGGGGCCTTGATGTCAACCGTAGGGCCAAGCAACTACATCCTCGAGCAAACATGACGGTCTCAGGCCACCTGCAAAGCGTCGGACAAGATGTGGATGTCGTTGGATGACCGAATAAGACGGCGGGTGCGATGTGCCAGAGTGAGTGAGTGAGTGAGTGAACGAGCGACTGTACGCATCGGCACAAGCATGATTCATGACGACCATGCTGTGTGGTGCCACATCGCACATTCAGAGACGAGATCCAACGGACAGGACGGTGGATCAGGTGCCAAGCGTTCGAGCAGCGGCGGCTTCTGCTGCAGGGTCAAGCCACGCTATTAGAGGTATCCTGCGATATTCGACAGATGGCAGCGCTATATCAGATTTCACTGTTTCGGACCGCGCCGAAGGTTTCTCGGCCAACTTGATCGGGTCGATCGACGAAGACACTCACGCCCGATTCAGATCTCAAAACGGCATTTTGCAGCCTGGATTTGTTCAACCTTTTTTCAGAAGAGGGTTCGACCCTGAAACGGCAAATCAAAGGGCGCCGTCGTGAAAGGTAACCTCAGAATTTTAGACTCGGAGTCGGACAGGAGAGCTCGGATGGTGGTGGCGTCTTTCTGGCGGGCTTCGATTTGGCTGCTGAAGCTCGGCGTGCACGTCCGGTTGGCCAAAAAAAGTTAGTGCATCGCGTCCGGGGGAAACCGCAGCAAGGCGTGGGCGGGCACATGCTTCCTTCCAGGCTTTGGATGGCACGGCTTCCACTCCTGTGTCATGTCTGCATCCACCGTACCCATCCGCCTCCTCAGCAGCACCAGCAACATCACCAGCACCACCATTGCCACCAGGTGACGCTCAGTTACTAGATCGGTCCGCATTGTACACGCTTGGATACTCGCTTCAAGACGTCAATACCGCCGCCATCGTCGATCATCTCGATCATCCATCCGCACGGCTCGACGACCATTCACCCCGTCCCTCTACCCGAATCACAGCATTGCTTCGTCACTTGCCTCCATGTCGTCTCGCTGCTCGACATAGATGAGCGTCCTTCCGCCTTTCTCACGCCCCTCGTAACACTCCACTCGCCGCCTAATTGAATCGATCGAGCCTTCTCCTTGTTCCTCGCCCACCATGATCAACCCGTTCAGAAAGCGCCAGCAGAAGAAGGCGGCAGCCTCTGCGCTAGCCTCGGCTCCCACATCGCCGCCGACAGACTATGCAAAGTTTCCAGCCGGTTCTGATCTACCTCCTCGTCCGGGCATCTTTATCGCCTCCATTCCTGGTCTGCCGCGTTCATCCAGCTTTTCTCGGCAAAAGCGACAATCAGCAGCTCAACCACAAGGTGCCATACCGGGGCCCTCTTCCCCGCAAGAGAAGAGCCTGGACCGCGTCCTGCCCCCTGCATCCGACTACCGTCAGTCCCTCATCATGCCTCACCTCACCCGTAGATTCACCCTCCTTCGCGCTCCGGACGGCTCGCTCGTCTCTCCAGAGGCTATGCGTGCTCATCTTCGCGCTCAACGCGCACGTGCAAGAGCTGCCAATCATGCTACTGGCTCTGCTGCAGCCAATCAAATCGACTTTCTCACCGAAGACGAGGAGAACGAGATCATCGAACAACTCAAGGCACAGGCACGCGCAGAGGGTCGTGATTTCGATCTAGAGCGCACCACCAATGCTGTCACCTCCGACTCTTGGCGCAACGGCTTCGCAGCCGGCACCGACGGCTTTGGCTCTTGGGGTCCCTCATCCACCCACGGCTCAAATAAACTCTCCACCCTCGCAGAATCCTTCGGCGACTTTTCTTCTTCCGCTCACGGCCATTCATCCACGCACGGCGATACTGCTTCGTCGGCATGGTCACCTACAAGGACCGCTGGCGGTAGCTCCTTCACTGGCAGGAGTACTGAGCGAGATCACGCCTACTTTCGCACTGTCGGAAAAGAGCGCGGCACTTCTAGGCCCGATGTTTCGCTGCCATCGCCTCTGAGGTCAGGTCCTGCTGCGACCTCGTCTCAAGATATTGTTCTCGCATCTTTGACTGCGCCATCAGGCTCGAGCGAGATGAAGGAAAGTCCCATGCCCGGAGCTTTTGCCGCGTCCGAAGACGGACACACGACTCAAGCAACCTCCTCAACCGAACAAGACCACCGACGTTCCGACGCCATGACATTTGCGGCTGGTGCTCCACCAACGCAAGATTCGAACCTGCTTACCACCCTGTCACCCGAATCGTTCAAGCGCGTGAGCACTGCGCTCGATGAGGTGTTCGGCCTCATAGCCTCTGAGCGCCGCCCTTCGCCTAGCGTGCCTTCAAAGTCGGCCGCTGAATCAAGCCAAAGACGTCAGAGATCGTCCTACGACAGCGACGCCAACTCCTTCACCTCTGCTGTGTCCAACGTGCGTGCCCTCGATACCGAGCACGCCAAAGCCAGAGTTGACGATGACGGCCATGACGCTGATCGCACCCTCACCGATACGTTGACGGGCTTGAACGTGCACGATCCCAAGGCGAATGACGCCGCCCTGGTCTCACCACTTCCTGGGCCCATTCCTGGCTCCCTTCCGAGCACTCGACAATCCGGCATGCCAGAGTTGCCACTCTTGGGACCAATCCCGTCGCTCGTGGCTTCGGACAGTTCGCAGACGATCAGGGACGTCGGCACAGACGCTGAAGCCAATTCAACAGGACTGGCACCTCTTTCCAACGCGGGGAATGCTCAGTATCTCTCTGCATCACCCCAATCGCATTCCGGTTCGAGCCTCGCACAACAATCGGAACGCAGCTCGGTCGCTACAGCCAGAGATGCGCAATCAGGCCCATCCCGGGTCGTATCCACCGCGTCCACCATCGGACCTTCCGGGGTCAATAGCAACGATACTTCGGCCGATAGGGACGTCAACCATCTATACCCTGTCGCAGAGCCTCCGTCAACGGATCGACACCCACGCGACGATGCCGGGTCACAGCTTGCTTCCACGAGCAGCTACCGCCAGCAAGACTTGCACGCAGATCGTACTCCAGAGATGAAGTTTGCTCCTTCCTTCGTCAGTCCCGCTCAATCGGCATTGTCACGAGGCGACTCCGTCGTCAGCAGCGGCTCTGTTCGCTCTAGTCTCACCGGACCATCTGCATCGCATACAGGAACACACAGTCGGAAATCTTCAGCCGACAAGCTAGCTCTAGCCAGGTCGATGGCGCCTCATCCGCACCTGCGAGAGCAGCCTTCACTGTCCAGCATCCGTCGAAATTTTCGTCAGCACAATCGATCCGCTACCGGCTCGTCAGAGGGCAGCCTTCTCGGCGGGCATGCTTCTCGCAGATCCTCTGGCGCCATGAGTCCCCCTCCGATTCTGAGCCGCAGCGCTCGTTCTCCCAACTATTTTCCGCCACCTACCTCAAGCGTCTCGATGCACGACTATGCATCTGGCTTCAAACCGCCTTCTGCCATTTCGCCTGCTGCCGCTGCCGCTTTGCAGTCCATGACGAGTCAGGTCAACACAGCTCCTCAACTCGCCCGAATTTCCGTCATGGAAGCTTCCAGCGCTCTGCATAGCGCCCAGAACACACGCAACTCGGCGTCAACTGGCCAAAGCGCAGCTTCGCCTCACGTACCGAGCCTTGCAGCTTTTGCGTCTGAAAGTGATCGTGCAGCCGCAACAAGTTCGCCGGAAACCGGAGCCACCAGCACCAGCCTTCATCAGCGCAATACTTCCCTGTCCAGCAACAAGCAGCCCCCATCCGCCGATGAGAGCTGGTCACCATCCACGTACGTTCCAAGGCCGGCGCCGCTGCCTGCGTCGCATTTCTCGCATGGTGGTGCCTCTCCGTATGAAGGCAACAGAAACGGGCTGATGCCCCAGCCTCCTTCGGACCCACAACAGGCTGACAGATGGCGCGCCGTTTACGGCAATAAAGCTGCTGACGCTGCCAGTCTCCTCACTTCTGCTGAGGACGTGTCCGCCGATCCAAACGAACACGAGGACCTGTGGGACAAGATGGCATCAGACTCAGCACCTCAAGCAGAGCGCCCTGTGTCCAACCTCCCATCCGGCCTCGCTGAGGATCGACTCGCAGAAACCGGCATCACCTTTGGTGAGATGGCAGCCTTTCAAGATCGTCTCATTCAAACCGCCAATGGTGCAGAGAGGGTTCCTTCTCTTCCCCGCTTCCCAGCCGACGCTCCTTCTCATGACCAGCTTCAGCAACAGAAATTCGCAAAGGCTAAGTCGCAGGGTCTTGCGTCGCCCAACATGGTCTTTGACGCCGGGTCCGGATGGTCAAAAGTAGGCGGAAACTCTGACAATGCGAGCGGTTCTGCTTTTGCCGGATCGAAGGCGGGAAACATAGAAACGAGTCGTGACGCGCCCGTGCGCAGCAGCCTGGCCAGCTCAGTTCTGCAGGATCCACCTGTATCGCCACGTGCCGTCATGTACGACGTCACTACGAGCCACCGTCCCACCTCACCTCCGTTGCACAGCCGCAACGGTTCACTCAATGGCCTGCCCAGTCTTTTGGAGCTTAACGCACCGTACGGACATCGGAACCGGGAGTCGATCTCCTTGTCGCAAGCCGTCGACCAGGCTTCCCGATTGCCCCGTCATCCGGCGTTCAATGCCGGTCTCATCGCCGAGGATGCCGAATCGAGCCAGGATCAGGATGCACAGCATGCTGTTGCTCCTAGTTCAGTACAGCAGCATCCTTTCAACGTGGGCTACACGAGTCCTCCACCCGTATCAGGCAGTCTACGCAGCGCCGATAGCTTCGCTTTCGCTCGAAAGCCCAGCTCGGCCGCCGTTGGCGATTCGCCTCGTCACCAAGCGCAGCCTTACCAACCCGAGGATGTGTGGGACAGATACGGTCCTCAGCAGGGTGAGGCGACGCCGGATCTCCACAAAACTAACATGAGTCCGGATTCCAGCTTTCAAGGGTTGGATCCATCGCGGCTGATGGATGACATTGCCGCACAGACGAGTGCTGCCACGCGAGCGCTCAAAGGAGTAGATGACGGCAGCGTTGCTACGCCGCCCTTCAGGACCAAGAGCATTTCGCGCAAGAAATCGTTCAAGAAGGTCACCAAGCACATCTCGTCACCGCAGCTCATTTCCACGACGCAGAAGCTGGACAACGCCACTCAAATTCCAGCACCGCTCGAGACGCCGAGCGCACCGAGCCGGAGTGCTAAATGGTCCAACAGGTCCCCAGGCTGGGGTAGCATCGGGCCTTCTGGTAGTGAAGTTGCCAAAAAGCACGCCAAAACAAGCCCGTCTGGTCCATCGCAGATGGGAAGCTTCGGCAAGAGCAGTCTGTACTTTCACCGTCGCAGGTCGAGTTCGTTTGGTCACGAGGCCAGTCCCAACCAGAGTTTCGGCACGCCCGAAGGCGAGATCGGCGCAACGGCTGCCGCCGCAGAGCCAAACAGCGCCAGCGACCGAGCTGCAGGAGTCCATCCGAACCATCCCTACATTAACGGTGGTGCCAATGGTGGCAGCTTGTCCCGTCTTCTCTCCAAGGTCAGGAGCCGTAAAACCGAGCAGTCTTTCGGAGGCGCAACCATCGAGCCGTTTCCGCCTGAGCTCAGTGCTGCTGCTCGCGCATCCGAGTCTTCCTCCACGGGACAGCAGCAGCCTCCCAAAACGCCAGAATTGCCGTCCTTACCGCCCGTGGAACGCTCGACGCCATGGACATTGCCTCGAATGCCACCTTCTCCATCATCAACAGACCGAGGAAGCAGTCTACGCTCGCCATCTTCGCAGTATCCGCTGATCGATTCGACGTCCTTGCCCCGGACTAGGACCAAGAAGCGGACGCCAATTGTGCTCAAACGCGAATCGGAAGTCATCCTGCCTGGAGATCCCGGCTATATCCCCACCGCCATTATCGGACGATCTCCCGAAGAACGCGCAAGGCAAATCGCAGAGCAACGTGCCCAGATCGATGCTCCCTTGACAGCTTCACAAGACTCGGCCATGACTACGATGACGAAGGCCGGTTTAACTGAGGATTCCGGACTGGGAAGGACGACGGACACGACGCTCGAGAGGCCAGGCGCGCACATGGACTACCTGCACGACGGCTCTTTGGGCGGTCTGGCTCCGCCGGCTGAAACAGCGTCTCAAGATGACGACGAAGCGGCTACGCCCAGACCAGCATCTCCCATGCATGCTGCCACTGCCGGAATTGCCGTTGGTGTTGTTGGCGCCAGTATTGCCGCCGTTGGCACGGCTGCTGTCGCGGACAAGGAGCCTGCTGACGGCGATCAAAGCATCGACGATGCTGCAGACACCACGCTGTCAGGCCCGAGCCAACCGCAGCCTCTCGCAGAACCCGCAATCGAGGGAACAGAAACGGCAGACGCACCATCGACTCGCTCCGTCGACGCCCGCAAATCGTTGCGTGACACCATCGTCCGTAGAACCATCATCATCCCCGCTGGACTCGACTTTGGCGATCAGCGACGCTCGCTCTTCGGCTCGAGTCGCAAATCGCGTCGCTTCGCCGGTGTCGGAGATGAACCCGTTCCCCACAGTGGTGATACCTCCAAGAGTTTTCAATCTGATTCACCCGCTGTGATTGACGATGCTGCGCTGCCAGCGCATCAGAAATACTCGAACGACGATGCCGAGCAGCGGCAGAAGGAAGAAGGCATACCGACGCTCAGCTCGAACTCGACGCTGCATCCAGACTTTGGCATCGATGGCAGTTCGCGTTCCAATCGAGCCAGTCGCGTCGAGAGCTCCTACGCCGGCAGTCTGTACGACATGTACATTGGCAGCGGAGCCAACGGCGAAGAAGTCGAATTCGGAAGCCCCGGATCTGACGTTGCAGAGTTGCCGTCAGCCGGTCGCCGATCCATGGCTACGCGCGCTTCGCGGATGCCCGAGACGCGACGTCATATCGAGGTGACCGAACGAGCCGACGGCAGTGTGGTTTGGCAAGTCATTGCAGGCTTGGCGGACAGGGGCAGTGTTTATTCGGATTTCGATCCGCGCTCGAGTCGTCATTTGAGCGATACGGCTGCTTCAGCCGTGGGCGGTGGGGGCGAGCATACGGTGGACGGAGAGTTGCTAAGCGGTCCACCGTTCCGCTCTCCGGCAGGGTTGACGGATGACGACTCGAGAAGCTTCTTCACCCGTCCTCGCGCAGCTGGGGGCAAAGCGACGCAGCAGCATCCATTGGCTTTCACATTGGATCCGAATGAGCCTCTGCCCAGTCTTCCCCACTCCGCCGGTCAAAGAGTCAGACAGGACGTATTCGAGATCGCCAATCCCGTCCGTCCGGAAGCAGCAAAACTCGACGCCGATCCCTCCTCCCCATCCTCCACGGAACCAAGCGCTGCCGCCTCACCCACCCGCATCGTCTACCACAACGACGCCCAACTAGCTTCGCTACTCGACGTCCTGGCAAAGGGGAAAGACTCGGCCAAATTCCAATTCCACATCGGTCCGCATCGCTCGTCCATGTTCAACGGCGGTCATCTCGGTGCAGAGCAGCAGGAGGATGGAGCGCAGGCTGACGAAGGTGAGACCTCAGCGGATCGGGGGTCGTCATCGTGGAGGGGACAGGAGGACGTGTTGGATGCAAACGATATAGAGTCCCATCGCAGTCGGGTGGAGGCCGAGATTTATACCTTGCTGAACAGACACGCTTTTGTAGCTAGCGAGTGAGCTTATCGAGGGGAAAGCTGGGGCTTGTTCGCCATGATATACTCTCTTTCCACCCAAGCATGCCGTTCTTCCTCTCTTGACGCTCTCAGGACCTCCTCGTTTTGTCCGAAAGGTCAATCCCCAACTCTCTTTTCATAGCGAAAGTGTGACTGTGTCAACATTCGTGGATGGTGTGGTTGAAGTTCTCCCCCTGTCACCTGGAATGCTGCGTGTGCGACGCAGTTTGACTCTCCTCGAAGAGTTGTTGCAATGAGTCTTTCACCTCATCGCATCAAAGGTGGCCCGCTCGACCGATGCAACATCTCTGATCCACTCCGTTCACGACACCACCAACCTCCAGATCGTCGTTTCTGACGTGTAAAAAATACATTGCATGTCTGCTGAACGTTCGCTTCCATATCGTAAGATCCGCGTCTTGGGTCATCAGCCGTGACTATTCGCACTGCCCTCAAAGGTCTCCGCCGACGCCGTGGAGTTCCTCCCAAACGACCTCCTAGCACCGCTCGATAGACGCCGCAGAGACCTCGCGGGTGAAAGAAGCATTCCTCCTCCTCCTTCACCATCATCAACCTGATCGCCGCCATCATCGTGCCACGGTCGACGATCGTGCAACGGGCTAGATGCCTGACGATGATCGCCGGTGCTGTGGCTGTTCCTGCGCCTCCCACCGGAAGCACCGGCAACTCCGCCGAGGGCACCGGAGCTGGCTCTTTGTCGGAACGATTTCGGTATCAGCCTGTTGAGCTTGAAGCTCGAAACAGATCTAGCGGGCGAGGAGTTGCTACCTCTTCTCGCCGGCAGATGTAGGAAAGGTGAGGATGAAGCCGAAGTGGTAGAATGTAGCGTCGTGGCATCGCCACGTTCGGTGGATGGCGATTCGTCGCTGTTTCGGGATCGTCCGAGTGTTGGGAAGCCACGAGCCAGGTCATGATCGGCGAACGCTTCGCGTTGGGGCGTACGCTGCGAGCTCAAGATATCTTCTACATCGCTCGTCGAGTTCCGCAAGGCGTCCGAACCGACGGAAGCATCCTCATCGTCGACGGTCGCATTGTCTCGTCCCCACGCGTCACGAATCTGACGCGCCAACGTCTGACCGGTACCGTTGCGGCTGCGACTGTGCCCTTGGTGCTGCTCCGCTTCGACTCTGCCATCTCCGTCCAGGTCGTGCGCACTCAAATCGCGGATCCGGTCATCGTCGTCATCGCTCTCCTCGTCACCATGATCGTCGTGATCCTGGTCATAGACGTCATCGGCGTCTTCATCGTTGTGCTGATCGCCGTATCTGTCATCACGGAAGCTGAATGTGTCAGTCGGCGATTCGACCAGATGACTGCTGCCATCGAACGAGGTCTTGCTCGTCGGGGTCGGCGGCTCGACGGAGATATCGAGTGGAGCGAGCGAATCCCTCGCGCGTGAAGCCTGGCGAATGGCCCGGATGCTCTCGATTGCATTGCGTTTGCGAGTGGGTCGATGCGTGATGATGTCTCGCAACAGCGACGATTTCTGATTCCACGCCGCCTTGAAAACATCCTTCTTGAAGTTGTCCGCCAGGTCGACGTACCCGAATGTGCTGTTGTGGTACTCGAAGTTGGGCGTGCGGAAGACGAGATCGTAGAGGTCGGTGATCGACTTTTGCTTCTCGCCCTTGTAAGACAGACAAAAGATGGTTTCCGAGATCTTGACGTAGACAAAGGTACGGTAGGCAGATGCCCGCGATCGCATCTCGGCAGCACTGCGTTGCGCGATGGCAAATTGGTCACCAGGGCGTGAATGATCGGAGCAGTCTTTGTCCTTGGCGCTGCTAGGCGTCCCGGGCCTTGTCTTTGCCGAATTCCTTGCACCCGAAGAGCTCCCTGTTTTGGTCTGCGCGCGGCCCGTGATGCTTTCGTTGTCGTCGTCTTTCGAGTCGTCAGACGACGGACGACCAGCGGACAGTAAATCACTAGCGGACTCGCTGCGCGAAGGCAACTCCGGATTGGACAGACTCTGAGTGCTCGCAACGGGGCTGGGCCTTCGCGAGGTGTCTGTCGAGTCGGTGTTTGGTGCAGCCGATTTGCGACCGCCCAGCAAACGAGCAAAGGCAGACTTCTTCTTCGCCTTGATGGTTCCCAGGGCATTGTCCTCCTGCTCGAGGCGCTTCTGCTCTTCTTCCTGTTTATCGCGCTGTCGTTTCGTGCCAAAGATGTAGTCCATGATTTTTCGACCCACAAGCAATTCTATCTGGATCTTGACGGGATGCAGATTGAACTCAAACATGTCGACGATCGAGATACCGCCGACAGGAGGCAAAACACTCCACATGGCGTCCAAGAAGCGACCCTCTTTTGCCATGGGGTGGTTCTGAGCCCGCGTATGCTTGGTGATGATCTCAGTGAAGAGCGCATTAGGATCGACATTGAGTGCCTGTAGATCCTGAACCGAGAGCGTGTTGGCCGCCGAATTGTCGGCCTTGTTCAGCCACGAGAAGCTGATGCCCCGCAGAGCCAGCTTGGCGACCAGCTGACCCGCCTCGTCGCCGAGCATGTTCCATGCAACCTCTTGAGCTTGCGTCATGAAGCGCAAAGCCGACTTCTTCTCTCGATCGGCACCTCCCTTGCTGTCCTGCGAAGTGGTGATGGCGTCCATGATCAGGTTGAGCTCTTCTACCAGGTCCACCATCTCGCCGAGCAAGGCGACAAAATCTGCCTTGCCTCGATCGTTGAGTCGATGGGACACCAACTGGTATTGCTCCACCAGTGACCTCGAGTCCCGGATCCGAAGTTGAAGGGCCGTGACAATGTCGGCCAGACCGGATACGTCGGTGAAGTCGTAGCTGAACATCATCTCTTCGAGCCTCTTAGCGTGGTCGCGGTGGGCTGGGTCTCGATACAGGATCAAGTCCGTCACCACGTTGTAAAAAGCAGCAAAGTGCTCACTGTTGGCTGAGACCGAAAAGCGTGGGCAGATGAGCAGAATCATGTCCATGTGATGGTGTAGATGGTCCTGCACCGGCTTGCCGTCTCTTCGGAACGTAGCGACGGATCGCGACGAGTCGGATAGACGCAGCTTGTTGAACTTGTCGTAGTAGAGCGTGGCGTTCGTGTGCGGAACGATCCGCTCAAAGTCGCATGCGTGACCGTGCACATCGACCAAAGCTTCGAGAGGAAGAGATACAAATCCGTGCTTTTTGACCCTGCTCTGAGCCCGAGAGCTGGGATGGTAGCACTGGAGGCTGTCGAGCACAAAGCAGTTGCGTCGCAGGACAATGGCGTTGACAGAGTCCTCTGCGCAGCTCTCGTCTTGAACCGTGTAGTTTTGCAGACGCGCGCGAAGAGCAGTCACAATCACAGTGGAGTTGTCGTCGATGTCGCTTCTCAACACCACTTGCGGCTTGAGCAGCAGACAGACGTTGCTCTTGGCTACGTTGAAATCGTCCGAGATGCCATCGGTTGGTCGGAACTCGCCATCATCGTTGCTGGTGCCTGTCTCATCAGGTCGACTGCCCATGCCAGTCTTGCTGTATCCATTCTTGCCCATCATATTGCTGATCGTGTCCTCGAGCATTTCGTGCAGTATGTCCAGGCCATCCCCCCCTTCTGCATTCGGAGTTTCAGACTGCGGGGTTCGATCGGCGTGGCTCGAATGCCGCTGTCGGAACTGTGTCGAGTTGCGATCTCCCTTGTCCTTCTTTTTGAGCAGATCTCGGATGTACCTAACGGCGGTCGCTGTCATGTGGTGTGCGTAGCCTCTACGCAGCCGCGAGCTGTAGTAGTACTTGAGTAAGAGCGTACGCGTTACGTTGCTGAAGAAAAGCGTTGGATTGTGGGCGACATAGCGATTGTCGAACGTGCCGAAGTCGTGGTACATAGACGCCAGGTCGGCGGCGTTGGCCGAAAAGTTGCGATCGATCGAGGTCGACCACTTGGGAGCAGGATGTCCATCTGCATGGGCGCGTTCGACGCGATCTTGACTTTCCTGCAGCCGGCCGAGGTGCGTAATGAAGCCGCTCAAGATCCGCTCGCGGCCGTGCAGATCGTTGAGTCGATCGTGATGGTCGTCAGAGCGCTCCGAAGTGGCCTCGGAAACGAAGCTCCCGTTGTCGCTCGAATTCAAAATGCGATCGATCTCACGGCGGATGGTGTGCAGCCTGTCCTGCGCGAGCTTCCGTTGGATGCTGTACGGCTTATCGTTTTGACCAACCATGCAGGTGTGGGTGACTTCGTTTCCAAACTTGCTGCGCTCCAACCTGCCAATGAGCTCCTCCATGTCGGTTCCAGAATGGGAGCGATCCTTGCCTCGAGCGGCGTCATCCTTCTCGTGCGCGCGGCGTTCCCGTTGGGAATCGACTTTGCGGTAGTAGTTGAACTGAGGGCACGCCAAGGCAGGGAACATGCGGACCTTGGGCGAAGGATCTCTGATCGTCTCGGAGTCAAGCTCGACAAAGTCGTTCATGTCAATCCAGACCAGCTCATCGTCCGAGATTCGGGCGTCTCCGGCAAACAGATCGTCAAACATGCTCTCGCCGATCTCAGGGTCCTCCACGGCTTCGGCCATACCGGCATCCTCGCGCATTCGGGCCGCCAACGTCTTGAGGTCGATCGCGTCGCACTTGACCTCGGCCTCATAGAAGGGCTTGTGGAAGATGACGCGAGGCGCACCGAGCTCCGGACGATCTTTGACCGTCTCCTGCTGGCGTTGGTGCATGTCGAGTGTAAACGAGTCGACGCGAGCCTTGACGCCGACGTGTGTGCGCAGACCCCTTGCCCAATCGTCCTTGTTGAATTGCCTGTACTGGTGGGCGATAAAGAGCGGCGCGAGATCGATCCTGTACTTGATCGTGCCCAGAAACCGGCCGAATTTGGGTGATGGAGGTGGGCTGTCCGGGAAAAGCTTGCCGACGCGAATAGGAAGGCTCATGGCGCTGCTGAATAGTCGCATCCAAGCCCAGAAATGCTGCCAGGCCAGCGGAGAAAAGTAAAAGTTGTTGAGCGCTTCGACTTTAGCTACGTCTTGACTGCAACCATAACCTGGGATGCCATTCTTTGGGGAAAAGACAGAGAGAGCGAAATGCAGATGGTGCGACCGCCATCCACGGAATGAATCCCGTCGCTCGCTCTCCGGAATGGACTCAAAGTGTTCGTGTGTCTTTGGAATCACGTTCCAATGGCTGATGCGGTCGAATTGGCGGCACTCGCGATAGAAGGCTTCGCCATGGCATTTTGGACTGCGAGGACATGTCTCATCGTCGCAAGTGCGTTCGCCATGCAGCCCTGCACCCCACCGAACGCCGTTGGTGAGCTTGATAACGATTTTGCGAAAGGTTGGGTCCCTCATGTATCGATACATGCTAGATGTGAAGGATGCATCCGTTGACTTGCGGTCGTATGAATCGTGGTAGCTCCCCTCGCCGTCGCCGTCGCGCGAACTTTGTGGTCGTTGTTGATCCCCTCCTCCAAGCACGCCGGTGGCTGCACGATCGACATAGTCGCACAGATCTGGCACGGCGAGTATGTACTCGTGACTGAGGATCTGGAAGAACTCCTTTTCGGGATTCTCGTAGCCTACGCGGATCTCGACTCCGCCCTTCCATGATTTGACCCAGCCCGCACCGAGTCCTTCGATGCTGTACGGATCGCGGCTGCCCTTCATATGTATGTTGAAGCCTCCCTCATCCTCGAACTTGAGGTTGATGTGTCCATGGAGGATAAGGGGCAGCTTGTCCCAGAAGCCGAGCTTGGGCGATGGGTCATGCGGAGGGGGGGTGATTCCATCTATGACGCGCATCACGTCTTGAATGGTCGGCTGAATCGACTGCCCCCACACCACTCGAGTGGGATACGGCGTCCGCAGCCTCACAGTGGGTGTGCCGTACACTTTGACCGACATCGCTACCTTCGGAACGATGATGCCGTATTCGACTGCTTCCGGTCTCCCTGTGGCAGCTGGCACGATGACTGCCGGTACGTGTCGGATCGACTCGGGGCCTCCCAGCGCTTCCGCAAGGACGAGATCGCCTTCGAAGGTCCACGCCTTTCGGGCATCATCCTCAGCACGATGGGTGGGAGGGATGTGTAAGAGCGGCATGGGATAGTCGCGTAGAGTGACTCGCCATTCCTCCATTTCCCACTTGATGTGGAGCGGAACGATGAGTGAGTATGGGATGTCCTTCGGCACCCCTGCGCCTTTCTCGTGGATGAAGTCGCGCAGCTCATCGACGGGCGTATGCGCTTGTCCGACCTGCAGCGAGACGCGGTACATTGTTGAACGAAAGAGAGGTGCCGCTCTGCCGATCGGCAGCACTTTGACCGGGAGGTCGTCCAGACTCCTAGACACAGGAAAACGACCGTAGATGTTCTTCAGCACTGCCTCTTGGCGTCGCGTTTGCTCGGACTGAGCGTTGGTGTAGCGTCGGACCCAGCTGGACGAGTTGAAAGCATCCAGTGCGATCTTGGCTTGGTCATAGCTGACATGCTCCTCCGGCGATCTGGTGGAGCGATCGTCGTGAGAGGCAGTGGCGGAGTCGCTGTCGTCCTCGAAATCGCTCAGAATGGAGGAGCTGGAGGACCTTATGCTACCATCATCAGGTCCGAAGCGGAAGGAAGTCGAGCTGTTTGCCCCCTTCGACGCTGCGATGGCCTCAGCTTTAGCAGCGAAAGCTGCGTCCCTCTCTTCCCTCGCAAAATTTTCTGCGAGACCCGCGCGCCAGACAAGGTTGAGCTTCGTTTCAAACGGATCGTCCTCTGCCTCTAAAGTCAGCACGCGCAACTTGAGGTTGATGTCAGGGAGCAGCTTCGGATCTTCGGCCTCGGGCGTGATGACGGAATCATCTTTATCATTGAGGAATTGGTAGATCAGCTGCTTGGTTGCCTTGATTGCTACCGAAGTGTTGTCGATGATCGGAAAGACGAGATATCCGTATGGAATACGTATGAGGGCCGCGTCGCCGCTGACGCTGATTTCACGCTTCTCATCAGGCAGCTTCGGAGGTAAAAGGAATCGCCAGTCGCGCAGACGTACCGCTTCTTCCCAGATGTTGCCCTTGGTGTGCTTCGGAGACTCCACTGCTCCCAAGACTGTCTCGGTGGAGATCGATAGTCCGTTACGAGGGTCTTGACGTACTTCGAGCCGACGTATTCGCATGAATATACGGGTCGATCTGGGTAGCGTGACAAACGTGTGCACCTCCTTGACATCGAATCGACACGAGATGCTTGGCTTGAGATGCTTACGCTTCGTTTGTGGCGGCTTGTGCGGCGACATCGCCTTGGTCGCTTCGTCCCTGGCGCCTTGTGATTCTTCAGCTTTGGCTCGAGCGGCAAGATGTTTGAAGGTGGCAAACGCCAGGAGGAAGCAATACGTGTGGAGGATGTCGATGTTGAAAGAGACGAGGTTGGTGTCCTCGGCTGTGATGAAGACCTCATCTTCGCTTGTGCCCGCAAGGCCGACTTTGTTCTTAGCCTGTGGAGGCCTCACCACCGCTTTGAAGGCTGCGTACGGCATGAAACACACAAAATTGCTGCGATCCTGCTGCTGCAATCTAGCACGATGCTGTCGGCTCTTGTGCAGACGGCCACCATCCTTTTCAAAGGACCAGACGCTGTCGGCGAGCAAGGAGGTAGCTGGACGTTCCGACGTCTCCTTCTCGTTGACTTCTTCTTTCGGCCACGCTTCTCCCTGGGGTGCTTTTGCCTGCGCGAAGCTCTCGGGAGCGGTACCTTGGGTGTGTTGTTGGGTGGCGAGTTCGGCGTCGAGGATCGGGAAGATGCCCGCCTGATGCAAGACGACGCGCGTCAAGCAGACACGCCCGTGCCGCGTGGCAAGTGACAGAGCTTGCAATTGAAGATCCTCGGAGAGCTCCAGAGCGGTGCGAGAACCCCAATTGACCATTTGAGGCGCGGCATTCGTCTTTGTTTCGGTGACGCCTGCGTACTCTACGACGATGCGATCAGCCTCAAACCCGACTCCGCGAGCCACTCGGTCCTTGAGTCGGCGATCTGGACCGCCGAGGTGAGCTATCGTACGACCGATGGACATGTAGAGAGCTAGACCTCCGGGCAGACGCTCCACGAGCGATTTTGCGGTTTGCTCTGGACTGGCTTGTGCGCTCGCGGCCTGGCCGTTCTCCGTCGGCGGATCCGTCGGCTCGTTCTGTGCAGGGTGTTCCGCCGGTGGTTCGCCTCGGCTTTTCTTTACTTCAAGGATGGAGGCAGCGATATCGGCGTAAGTATCGAGCGCCGTCAGTTGCCACGCTTCGATGTCGACATCCTCGATGTTAGCTCTGAACTCAGCCACGGTATCTGGCGCAGAAAGTTTCGGAATATCGTTGCAGAGTGACGAGCCGCGAGGTTCAACGTTGCCTGGAATCCGACCCGAGCCGAGGACCTCGAAGCTATGCAAAGCAAGGAGATGATGCTGCGAACATTCAGCTGTCGGAGTGCCCTGGGACATCTGTGGTCGATGGAACGACCTCGACGCATCTTCAGAGCCAGCGCCCAAGGTAAGGAAGGACTCGATGGCGTCGATGCGAACAGATGTCTCGAATTGGTATCGAAGACTGAACCGAGTTTCAGCTGCTAACGAGGATCGTTGACTATAGCCGGGAATCCGTACCTTGCCAGTCTTTGCCATAGTGTCGCGGATCGAAGGTCGGCGTTCTGTTGCCGATGGCCGTCCACCGCCTACTTGAGGGTGTCGCTGCATTTCCTGCATGCGCTGCAATGCTTCCTGCATCGGGAGGCCGGTCTCAGCGTAGCGTTCGGCTGGATTGGCGGATGTAGTTGATGCTGATCCATTAAACAAGACGTTGCTTGTCCCTGGCGAAGGGTCACCCGAATTCCTGCTGGTATCGCTCTCGCGGGCTCCGAACGTTTGGCTGGCCTTCGCGTCTTTCAGACCGCTGATCGGCCATTCCAGATCATCACGTCTGAGCGCTTTATAGGCGGCTCGCTTCTCGGCCGCTGGTCGCTTGACGTATTCGTCTCTGTACTCGCCAAAGAAGACAAAGTCGACGTTAGGGACGGTCAAGGTTAACTTTCTCGAGCACGACTCTTGCGCTCGGGCCTCGGCCAGCTTCCGGCTTGCATCGAGCAAGAGCGAAATGCGCGAAAGATGAACACCAGCAGCAATCCTAGGGACGCGGCGGAGGCGTTCGAGATCTGTTCTTGGGCGCGCTGGCTCCTCGATACCAATCTGGATACGTCTGAGTCGCCTTCTCCGGCTGAATTCGTCTGCGATCGGGATGATAGCAGTGACGTCCTCCACAGAAACGTCTGTTTCAACGCCGCCAACGGCAGCCTCAATCGCTATCGCGTGCTCGTTTGGATCGCCCTCGAGAAGTAGACGAGAGACTTCGGGAGAAGCAGCGAATAGACCAAACGGTGTCCACGAAGATCTCGCTACAATTGAGATATCGCCGACAGAAAGCAAGCGAGAGCCGCGACCGTGTCCACGTGAAACGCAACGTATGTCGATGCTGGCCAAATTCAATTCTGTCAAGAAGGTCCGTCGGTGCTCGATACTTTTGGCTCCGTGTGGTAGATCCTTGCGATGCTTTCGAAGTGGCGAGGAAGTTGCGTCGCTCTTCGCCTTGTGCCTCGCCCCCTTGCCTGTGGACGATTTGGTAGGCAGGCCGCAAGTACCCAGCCAGCGACGATGGAGGGCATCTCTCGGATCGCTCTCTGTGAGCTCGAGATTGAAGCCGGCGATGGACACGCCGAGCTCCCTTGAGGGTGGCGGTGCAACGCCCGTTCCATCTTTGCAGTCGGAAAGCGAGGCTAAAAGGGCGTCTGAAGATGCCGTGACACGAAGGGAGGGTAGTGAAAGCGCCAGCGACGAAACCATGCGCAACGCGTTAGAAGCAACAGAGGGTCGCTGCTGCACGAGGTGCTTGGACAGGACTGACCGTTGATCGTTGCTGAGACCGCTTCGAGTCGGCGCCAAACCAGATCTGCGCGCCTTGCGCTCCTCGATGACTTGCATAACTCGATGGGCTGCATCCAGGCCAAGGGCGATGTTGCCGAGCACGAACCTGGCAGCCAAGGTGCGTTCGCCTCCCAACGCCAAGCTTGAGCCGACGAGCAAGCTGGCGGTGAGTTCGGTAAGACCAGAGACTGACGCAATCCTGGCTGCGGCTGGGATGGTCTGAAGCTGCTGTGGAGAGAAGCCCTGGTCGATATGCTGTCGGATCCAACCGGAATCGGCGTGAAAGTCGGACTCGACCAGAGGCTCCAGCGCCCAGTCAGCCCAACGATCGGCAAGGCCGCGCAAGGACCTGGAAGGCACCCTGGACAGACGAGATGCGCTGCTGCTACGCGCTCGTCTTGGCTGCGTGGGACGGGTAGACCAGTCGAGGCTGTCGTCGTTTGATGTCGCCAGCGCATCAAGTTCGGCATCGGACTGGCTTGGCGACATGAGACTGGAGTCTGCGCGTTCTTGAGGAGGCGAGAAAGCCTCCGCTTTTTCAGGGCAGTCTTGCGGGCGTGAAGGGTGAGCAGGCTTCTCCTGAGGCATGAAGTTCGCTTCAAAGAAGTCAACACTCTCGATGCGCAAATGGGCTGCCACGGTGCTGGGAGACATCCCCGCCACGAGGTAGGTGGCGACATCCCTTGCTCCAGAGCCTACTCTGGTGGGCATCATACGCATAGTTCGGAAGAAGCTGCTCCAGTTGAGTGTTCGGAAGTACGAGGACGCCTGCTGCACATGGTCGACATCGTGATGTGTGCTCGAGGTTGTCGCGTGAGACGGAAGGAAGTCCGGTGACATGGAAAAGGTAAGCCCGGCGCGACCGATGCGAGCTACGGCTTCTGCTTCCTGAACGTAGATTTCGATGCAATCCATTTCGATGGAAATGAGCGAGGTGAGAACAGGGAGGCTCGAAGTCAGTATGAAGAGTGCAGCTCGGAAGGCACGAAGAACGACGCCCTGGAGGGTGGGCACGACAGCACAGCGAAACCAGTTGGCCAGTCCCAGACATGAGTGGATCGACATGAGACCAGCCCGGTGGCAAGTGAGATAGAAAGAGGCTGAGTCGTGCGCATGGATCGACGTGGGCGGGGCAACGGCAGATTCTTGTTTCGAGGAGCGGTCGTTGACGGATTGGAACGAGCTTGAGAATGTGCGTTCGCCGCCCAGTGAGGGTGACATGGGGGGACTACTCATGAGTTGTTGCAGCCTGAGTTCTTCGAGCTGTTCCAGTGTCAAGGGCTCGCTCGATCGTTGCTCCCGGTCGGCACCTTTCGCCTCGGAAGAAGCATTTGCGTCGCTGGATTGCTGTGGGCTAGAGCGAGGGACTCGCACACCAACGCCTTGCACGTGCACTGTGACGATGGCGCCACTTTTTGATGGCACGACGCTGGGATTGTCGTGCGTCTTGCGTAGAAAGTAGGGGAGATGAAAGGAGGCGTAGACTCTTTGCACCTTGATCTCGAGCTGATTCTCACGCCTTGAGAAGGCGGCGGAATCATTGTGAAAGCCTTTGGAGCGATACTCGATGCCGCGGATGCCACGAATGCCAGCTCTTTTGATACGCAACTTGCCTCGAAACAGGATGCGGGGTAGACGAGGCAGTATTGAACGAAAGAAAAGGACGGTGAAGAGGAGACCGAAGAGGAAGGCGCCCAAGATCCTCCATACCGTGTACGAAACGTCTGTTGGGGGAGCAGAGGCGCCCGAAGCCTGTGATATGGACGACATTGTCGTGGCCTCTGTGAGATGTGCTGATGGCTCAACGGCAAGACGGGCGATACGAGGCTTCCTATCCGTGGATCATGATGGCGTTGCTGTTGCTGTTGCTGGTGCTCCTGCGACTCGGAGAAAGGTGCTCGATGCTGGAAAGTTCGGCGCAGTCACAGTGGGTCGACAAGACACCAACAACGATGAAGGTGCTGCGTGCCGTCACAGATTCGAGGTCGGCAGAGCTTGATGGCGAATAGTTGGTTATGGATGATGATAGGAAGGACGAGGATGAGAAGTAAGCGCAACAAGGAGGACGTGCGCACGGCGACCAAATTCCTGACAAGCATTACTGCCAAAAATGCGAGACCAATATCATTCTCCGTTGCTCTGGTCCCGCCCACACGGCTAAGTTTCCTTGTGCACTGCTTGCTCAAGATCGTGGCTTTCACAAAGATCCGGACTCCACTACTGCCCAGCTTCAGCCATCGCAACATTCGGGTGCAGTGCGAAGCAATCAACGATAAAGAAGAATGACGGGCCGCAGTCTAGCAACACGGTACACCTGCAATTGGAAAATTCAATGGTCGCCATGGCTTGATGTTAGCCTGCAAAGTCGGAATTGCCGTCCCGCAGCGATGCAGCAGCTCATACGCTCATGCGCGTCGGTGGAGGCGGGCCATGCTTATGCTCCACATTTTGGCCGCTGCATGTATGCTGATTGGAATAGCACCAGAGCCCAGCCACCTCTGCTGCGACGCCTCCATCGTCCGTCATTCAGAGCCTGGCTGATTCATCGGCTGACTCGAACGGCTATCTACTGGCTCCGAGAGTGCTCAGCTGGCTAGACACAGAGAGGTGGCAAGTCTCGAGAGAGAGAGCAGTGCGCAGCAAAACCTGACCTATATAAACCTATCCCCCCTTGCCGGAAGGGTTCTTTTTCCCCCCTCCTCTTCTTTCTTTAGGGTCCGATGTGCCGGGCGAGGAGGGTCAAATTCCCTCGAAAAGGTGAATCCCATTCTTGGCGTTCGCCAAAGCACAGACAAAGCATCGCGGGACGACACGAGGAATTTCGACGTCCTCTGCTTCTTCTTCGCGACGCAAGCTTCGGCTTGGCCACGACCCTCCACGGTATGGCATGATGATTGCCACAACAGCAGATGGACGCAAAGAGGAGCTGCAACGTCAGCTCCAAACGCTTCAGGTTTTAGAGTCGGAGCTCGGGTCGTTGAAAGCAGATGCGGTGAGTGCGATTCCACGTCCTGCGTGAGATGCGGAAGCAGTGCAGATGACTGACTTGTGGCCAATCCTCTCGAATGCTTTCTGTCTATGCTGCCGAACGAGCAGAAAGTGTACAATGCCATCCCGACCCCACTCGAGGCCCCTGTGATCCCGCACGCGCACTCTCAAATGGCCCTCTTTCCGAATCTCGATGCCAAAACAGCGCTCGAGGATGTACAGCGTAAGTGGAGACATCGCACGTCTGTTCAGCATCGAGGCAGCATAGATACTGACACGCAAGAAGCTCTCTCTTCGTGAATGCTGACCCGTCGTCCGGTCTCCTACGTTATTTTATGTGCATCTCATGTCGTATGCAGGACAAAGAAAGGTGTTGCTGGCCAACCTGTCCCAACTCGAGCAATGAATGACGCCGATGTTCGAATACGAAGATACCTGTGATCATGCTGCGATGTAAGGCATAAAGAGAGAAGTGTGATCCGGCCTTCTGTCTCGACAGCAGAACGGTCGATTTGTGAGAAGACGAGCAAAGGATGCCTGTCGTCCAAACCATGGACATCACAATTTCGGTCTCCGCGGCGAGGTGGAGCTGCTGCCCCGCGTTCAGCGTCAGTGCGTTGCTTCGCGAAATTGTGTCCACAGCGGGACACCCGACACAGCCCGGCAGCACCTTTCGTTTCAACCATCACGGACTCAACATCGGAGCAATCACCGCTAAAAGCATGTATCGGCAACTACCCGGTCCGAGCCTGCGCTCTTGTACGGCTCGTCCGATACGACTCGGATCGTCGCGCGCTATCGGCACTGCCGTCACACCCCGCCGTGCGACCAGAACCGGCACCTCCGACGTCGCTCGCTTCGCCTCACGAGCCTTCTCGACACATTCACGACTCAGCCTCGCGTCGTCCTCTTTGATCAAGGCAGAAGCAGCTGCACGACCCTCGCAGGCATCGTCATCCTCTGCTTCGTCCTCAATCGCCGCCAACGCATCTAGCAGCTATTCCGATGGCGGACCTGCCACGCCGGGTGTCACTTCGGATGCCGAGTCCCGCGCAGTCTACATCACCTGGGCCAGCGGAATCACCAGCAAGTTCCACAACATCTGGCTTCGAGACCATTGTCGATGTACGCAATGCTACCACTCCACAACCAAGCAGCGCTTGCTCAACACTTTCGAAATCGCACCCGATGCCAAACCCATCTCCGCTGAGGCCACCACAGAGGGTCTGGTGATCCAGTGGCCACTACTACCTTCCGAGCGCGCTGCGAGCACCTCTTCGCCTCCCGCATCTGCAGCCGACGCTTCGTCAGCAGATCCATCAAATCCAAACGCTGCTGGCGCTGGCACGGAAGCTCAGCACACCTCACTCTACCCATGGCGCTGGTTGATGCGCAACTCGTACTCTGCCCTACTATCCGATCCCATCACAGCCTCGAGCGACGAGTCAGGACTCAAAGGTATCGAGAAGGTTCTCTGGGGCAAAGGCATCGGTTCCGCACCGCCTACAGTCAAGTTCGACGAAGTCATGCAGAGTGAGCAAGGAGTTCTGAAGTGGGTCACAAAGATCGCGCAGTACGGGTTCGCATTCGTCACCGGTGTGCCACCAACACCGACTGATACAGAGGCGCTCATTCGTCGAATCGCCTTCATTCGCGAGACGCATTACGGCGGCTTTTGGGATTTCACTTCGGACCTGGCACATGGCGATACGGCCTACACGGATCTCGCACTGCAGGCGCACACGGATACGACCTACTTCAGCGACCCAGCCGGGTTGCAGATGTTCCACCTACTCAGTCACACTGCGAGCAAGTCCGGAAGTCCTTCTTCGAGCGGCGGAAGCTCCTCGGGCTCTGCATCTGGCTCTGGCTCTGGCTCTTCGTCGTCGCGTGGTCCAAGCGGCGGTGAATCGCTCCTCGTAGACGGGTTCCTGGCAGCAGCGGTGCTCAAGGACGTCCACCCGGACGCTTACGAAACGCTCTCCCGCGTCCGCATCCGCACCCACTCTGCGGGAGACGAAAACACCATGATTCGTCCGCTCCTCGACGGCGGCTACCCCATCCTCCAACACGACGAAGCCACCGGCGAACTCGTCCTGGTGCGCTACAACAACGACGACCGCTCCGTGCTTCGCGTAGACGCCGAAGACGTCGAGCCCTTCTACGACGCGCTGCGCAAGTGGCACGAGATCCTCACCAACCCCGAAGGCGAGTACTGGGTCCAGCTCAAACCCGGCACCGCCATGATCTTCGATAACCATCGCGTGCTGCACGGTCGTTCGGCTTTCGTGGGCAACCGAAGGCTCTGCGGCGCCTACGTGAACCACGACGATTACAGGAGCAGATTGGCCGTCCTCCGGGCTCAGTTCGCAGAGAATCGATCGGCAAGAGGCGTTTGGGATGACGGATTGTAGTGTACCGAGCTCATCTTGACCTCAACGAAATTCACACGCGCACACGCCCAGTATATCGATGAAGCAATGACGAGAAGAAAAGCTGTCTTGTTCCCCCCGTGTGATGGACGAAGGAAGTTCATAAAAAAACAAAAGAGCAACGAAACTTCAAGGCGAGTTCCCCAACGGAAAAGTCTGCGTGACGAGAAAGCTATTATACACTCTAAAAAGCCCAAAGAGGTGACGATGACGAAACGACAGTGCAAGAGAAAGGCGAGAGAAACAAAACGAGTAATAAAACGACTGAGAGTTCATATAGGATGATGATGCGACCTAGGGGCAAGCCGAGACCTTGGGAGTGGCTTCAGCCGAGACGGTCTGCGGGGATCGTCTTGTCAAAGCCGAGAGCTCGTGACGCAACTTACGGTTAGCGTGATGGAGCCTCTGCATCTCGATGAGCCATGATCCGCTGTGGAACCCAGTGAGCTCGGCAAACACGGTGTTGGCAGCATCGTTGGCCGACATGATGGGGACAGAGGCACCGTTGGACTGGAAGGAAGCACCAGTTAGAGAGCCGCTGCCTGTCGATTGCTGCTGCTGCTGCTGCTGCTGTACAGGCTTGGATGCGTCTAGCTCGTAGTCGGATGCTTTGCGCTTGCGTGACGGTGATGCCGGGCTCTGTTGTGCCGACAAAGCTTCCATGGCAGATGCCGGTTGCTGCTGAACATGCACGAACGACACCGAGTTGGATCGACCATTGGACGTCCACGGGTATACTGTGAGCTTGACGGGAGCCTTCTGACCCGAAGTGGCGCTCTCGTAGTGATCTTGCACCGAAATGCATCGACCGCTGCGCAAAGCATCGAGGAGATCAGACGAGCTGGTGACCATGGGCAAGTCACGAACGTGACGACCAAGCAGGTTCACATCCTCAATACCCAGAATCTGCTGGATTGGACCGGTGCCGCCGAGGAAGATGCCGTTGTGCGAGATCTTGAGCCAGGCGGACAACTCGGTGGTCAATAGGTCCTGACGTACGTCGTTCCAGGGCAACATCGGAACGGGGTGGGGACGACCAGAGCAGACGACGACCTTGCGGTGCTTGGGAGGATCGACCGAGACTCGACCCGTGGTCTCGATGAGGCTAAATGTGCCGTCCTTGCGGGCCATGCGCATGATGAGGTCAACGCGACGGTTTGCCTTGACCGAAGTGGTGTTGTGCGCGTCCGGATCCTGTTCGTCGCCCGAGGGCAGCGTGATGGCTTCCTTGAGCTCGCGTGAGAAGGGACCAATGTCGGCAGGGTGGCTGAAGTCAACAAGTGGACGACCGATGATCTCTTCTGGGTGGAAACCCAGAATGCGCTGGACCGAGGGCGACATGTAGAGTACGGTGCCTTTGAGCGAGAGGACAAAGACGAGATCGTGAGAGTGAGCTACGACAGTGTCCATCCAAGAGTCGACGTCGTCGATCGAGGCGGGCAAGCTGGGCTGCTGAGAGTCCGAGGCGTCGGCAGTGCTCATCGGGGCGCGGTTGGATCGACGACGGTTGGGCGTGAGCGGCGTGCTGGGCATCTCGGGAGAAAAGCCAAACGAAGGCAATGCTGGATCGGGCGCCGAGTTCTGACGTCGACGTGTCTTTACGGGAGAGCGGGGCGCATCGTATGCAATAGAAGATGCGACGTTGGGTGGAGGGGTCGTTGCCATGTGGCTGAGTCGACGACGTTGCTGAATGGTGAGGCCCTTTTGTTGCGGACGGCCTGCTTCGAAGGAGGAAGCGTCGGGGCGACCTATGGCGTCGGCGTTCAAAACGGAGCGGCTGAGGCTGGAGGCAAGCGAGCGAGGGCCTGGGTGGCCAGCGCTGATTATGTTGCTCGCCTTGACGAGATCGGCAAGATGAGCAGCGTGGTCGGTAGCGATGTTGGTATGGTATCCGGTAAGGGTGGTGTTGGTCACCAAAGGCGATGGCCGTAGATCAAGGCCACCCGAGCTGAGATGCGGCGTGGAGGCCAAATCCTTGGTAGCAGTAAGGGTGTGGTCGGCCATGTCGTCGACGGGCATGCTTGTGGTCAAGTGGGAGCCGAGAGGTCGACCCGCATCGGTTCGCACCTCCTGAGAAGTGCCTGTTAAAGTTGTGCTGCTCGACAGGCTCGGAAGCATGCCATCGCTGAGCGTGCGGTACATGTTGTCGAGGTTAGAGCCAGCGGACGGGAGCGTGGTAGAAAAGTCAGACGGTAGCGCCCAAGCGTGGCTGGACTTTGACGGGAAATAAGCCTGGTACTGGCTGGCGATGCTGGGCGAGACGCCAAGAGGGTGCGAAGGCGAGTGGCCGAAGTGAGAGGCGTTGGCGCCGAGGAGGTCCGAGACGGAGGAGCCGGGCCAAGCCGAAGCAAAGGAGTCGTTGTCGTCACGATCGCGGTTCGTGTTGGCGGAAACGTCGACGGCATCCGTGAGAAGAGTGTTGATCATCTGTTCGGTGTCAGCGTCTGAGATGTTGACGTCGGACCAGGCGGACTGACTAGCAAAGTCGGGCGACATGATCGTAGAACGAATGGACCAAGATCGAATCTAGACGGGAGGAAGTCGTATGAAAGCAGAGATAGCTGCGCTGGTCGGATGCAGAATGGTGCAAAGTGCGACGCAAGCAGAAGGCGAGAGCAGCCAAGAGTGAAGTAGGACACGGGCCTGAATGGAGGCAGCAGATCCAAACACGAGGGTCGTTATACCAACAGTGCGACGAAGAGGATAACAATTGAAGATCGAGGATGGAGTAATCGAGGTTGGTCGACGCTATCGCAAGAGATGGGAGGGGTCGATCTGAATGGAGACCTTGAACAGCGGAAAATGAAGGATGGTGTTGGTGGTGGGAAAGCGAGGAAGAGCAATTCGAGTCGCGCGTTGATATTATTTGCTACAAGAATTCGGACCGGAGGCAGCTTAACGCAGACGGCAGGCAGCCATGGCTCAACGACGGCGCATGAGGACCCAGTGCCCAAGTGCAATGAAAGTTGACAGAGGAACAGCCTCTGTGGGAAATGCACGAGCGTGCACGAGCATGTTTCATAGTGGACGAGTGCTGCGGTGGCGTCGAGTCTCTTGGGTCCTGAATGTGGGCGAAGGACGGCAGGGTGGCAAAAGTGGCGTGCAAGGCACCTGGTCTGTCTCTTGCTGGTGGTCCTGCGACAGGCGCGATAAAGCCGCGAAGCACAATTATGTGGCACAGGGTGCAGTCAGGGTCTGAGGGTCCGATGGATTTCCGAAATGTCACGGGCGGAAACAGGGACCAGGTGCCGTTCGGAAGCGCTCTGTCAGTGTCCTTGCGCCTTTCCCTGCCCCGTCTTGGGCGTGTGGAACGTTCCGTGGACAGTAGTCCCACCGTGTCACCGGAGCCAGTTTGCGGGCTCAAATTGAAAACTAATTTCGACTGCACGGGAGAAGCGGAGGGTCGACGGTCAAGCTCGCGCGCTTGTCTTCCAACTCCCCGAAAAGCACACGGTCTCAAGCAAGAAAAGGCGGAATGTCGGTTCGACGGCGAACAACCCGCGAGCCGAAAAGTTCGCCTCTGGGACGTGCGCGCCAACTGTGTGCCATCTGATAGTTACCGGGGCGGCGAGCACAAAGAGCCGCAGCAAGGCTTTCGTTCTTCGGAAGCTCGCTTCCTTGGCGAGACGAACTTTACCGTGACAATGGAAAGAGCTGCCGTAGCTTTTGAAATGTTGGTGCGAGCAGGGTTGACTACCGACACACATTTTCAAAAAAACTAGCGTGCGCGCGCCTGCCTAGGCAGCTGCCGCAGCGCTTTGTGCGCAATTACGCTGCGCTCGTGCGAGTGTCAACCCCTCACGCTGTATGACGTCGTGCCAGCTCTGCCAGGCTGCAATCATTTCAAATTGAGCTCGCCCTCGTGCTCACTTCGCCGATTGTTTCCATTTTGGTACCTGCACAGAGCACCGTGATGTTTCATATCATTCTTCTGTTTCCGCCATGCCATTGACCTGTCCAATCATCGTGACCGCCCGCAAGGGACAAGCTCGGCGCCGCTGCAAGCTTGCTTCATTTCCCGCAGACCGGCAAATGAAACACGTTCTGTACGTTTGGTGCCATGCTATTGCTCTGCTACTGTTCCAAGCCAACTCGGACCCGGCCATTCGGTCAGATTGTCGCACCCAAGTCGAGCTTCTTCTTCCTTTCGGTGCTGCCTTCTATCTTCTGCCTTCGGTGTTTCAAGTGAACATTTGGTGCTTTTCTCCGCACCGAAAAGCCGCTTTTTCGGAATGCGTGAGGTCGCCATACGTAACCTTGCTCATCTTCGTCCGTCGGCTCTGACCCTGTTCTGACTGGCTGGGCCCTTGCTGGGTATCATTCGCCGAGGTGCGAGTGCCCGGTGAAAGCCATCAAGTCTTCCGATCGAAACCGTAGATCATCCGGCGTTTCGGGTCGCACTTTGCAGAAACGCTTTCGAGATTTCCCACCCGATAAGGACCGACAGTGGCAAAAACACAAGAAATTCCACCTCTCCGTCCTCATGCCAAGCCATGTCTCCAAGCCTCTACCTCCTCATTGTGTCCGCACTTTTCACCCCCCTCCCCACCTGATAGCGTCCGAGACCGTTGCAGAATCATGACTTCCAAACTCTCTCTCTTCTCGCATCTGTCACGCACCTCCCTTCGCCGCCATCTGACGGCATAACTCACTCCCGAACCCTACCTTTCCTTCGTTCAACCCGATCCGTCCAGATCGTCCATGTTCTTTTCATCTCGCCTATGTCCCACATTCTGTCTGGCCAGTCCAATCACAAATCCTCTTCCTTTCCCCCCCCCACACCGAACTCATTAAAGCTTACTCTTCGCTCCCACGCGTCATCCCTGCATTCTCGCTACACAAAACCCACCCCCATTCTTCTACCGATAGAGTCTTTCCTTCCCGTCGGAACGCACTCCCCTGCATCCCATTTCGTTCGCTTCCCCTTCCCCGTCTCAAGTCACTAATCTCTGAGTGCACACTCTCATGCACTAGTCTCTGAGTTTTATTTCGGACGTCAGATTCCGATGCATAGAATACAATACAAACACTTGGGTCGAAGAAGTTCATCCACCAAACCGAGCCTGACTCATACTTTCCTGCGCTTAGCCACGCTAGCAATCTCCTCCTCCTCCTCCAGCTGCAATGAGTCCGCATCAGAAGCCGCCATTTCCACGTCGAGCTCCAACCCTGCATCGCTCGCAGGGGCCATGATGCTCACATCTTCCTCCTCCTCCTCTTCTCCTGCTGCTGCTTCGGCGCGATCACGCTTCTGCCCAGCACGCACAGGCGTCGGCAAGATCCGCTCTCCACGAGCGGGCAATCCATCGTCATCTTCCGACAACTCGCCGCCGCTGTCCGATAACGCACCTGCTGTGCGACCCGGTGTGGCTTTGGCGGGAGCAAACAGCGTGCTCTTGGCAGCAATCTTGAGCAACCTCTTCTCGTACGAGCGATGAGCATCCCACGCCTTGGACGTCGGAGGGATCTGCACATTGGCAGCACGGTACGCTCGGTCCATGGCACTCTTGATTTTGACCGCATCCGTAGGACTCGCCGTGAGCAGCAGGTTGGCCATACCCTTGTACAGCGCCGGCATCCGTTGGCGATCCTTCTTGTTGCCGTTGCGTTCGGCCGCTGCTACCTTTTGCGCAATGTGCTCGCTCGCACGGCTGTGCAGCGAAATCAGACAGCGTGCATCGATCTTGCGCAGAGCGGTGAAACCTGCGCCGCGCACCACCAGCGCGTTGGCAAGCTGTCTCGAGAGAGAGATGAAGCGACCTTCACTGGCAGAGTCGCCCGAGTCGAGGTACAGCTCGAACGCCTCGCGCAAAGCGTCCCAGATGCAGCTCTCTACGATTACGGCTCGATTGTAGCCGCCAAAGATGGCCTCCTCCTTCAGCACCTCGACCAATGCCTTGCAGCACGAATCGTAGATGGCACCGAGACGTCCAAAGTGAATCAGCACCACTGTCGAGTACTTTGCGTCGATGACACCGACGCGGATGGCAGAGGCAAAGGCGCTGATGACGGAGCAGAACGTGTGCTCTGCTTCGAGTTGAGCTTGATTGGGGCGCTCCAGACCCGCAGCAGCAGCAGCTCCGTTCTGCCCTGCTGCTTTGCTCGTTGACTTCTTGGACTTTTTGCTCTTGCTGCCGCCGCGGACACGCGAGGCTTTGGGTGTAGCCTCGGCGTCATCTTCGTCGTCTTCCTCATTGTCCTCTTCGTCCTCGCCATCGTCGGCATCATCACTGCCTTCCTCGTCCGACTCGACGCGGGATGCGCCGTTGAGCAGGCCAGACTTTTCTTCGTAGCGCTCGATCTCGGATTGGACAAAGTGGGAACAATTCTGCTGAACGTCGGTGTTGCAGGTGAGAGCCAACAGAGCTGGAGGTTGAGGGCCCGAACGCTGCTGCGAGACGTCCTCTTCAGCAGCTGCCGCGGACGAGCCGTCGCCTGTGGCCGCAGCGGTCGCCGCCACAGGTGCCTGCTGTGGAATCGCAGCGTAGAGCATGTGGATGGTCGCCAGCTTTTCAAAAGCAACGCGCTGGACGCCGACGCACGCTTGCGACTGCGTGCTGGCCACAAACTCCTCGAGCAGGCTGAGCAACGTGGTGCGTTTCTCGAGCAAAGACTCTGCCACGCCGGTGTGCGACCCGGCGTCGGGCATGATGACCTGTCGCGTCTTCCACATGACGTGGAGTGTCAGCACCGCGATGGCGTCACGCACCAACGCCTCCTCCTCGTTGTAAGCCAGACGACCACGTCCCGCAATGCCGAGCACGATCTCCCAGCCGCTCGTGGCCTGTCCATTCTCGTCATCCTCGAGTGCATCGCTGGTGTTGGCTACTTGACTCACGAGGTGGAGACGCAGCATATTGGCGGCGAGCTGGTGCACCTCATCTTCGCTGAATCCAGCCGATTCGACGTCTCGGTCGCTGACAGTCTCGCGAAGTGAAGACACAAGGCCGTCCTCAAGTGCCGACAGCTTGGTGTTGTTGATGGCGGACTGAGACGTTGTGGCGACCATCTTCTGCAGGGTCTGGACTCCGTGCTTGAGTACGAGCGGCTCGACGTGGCGCTGGATCTGCGTCGAGACATCGTCCCAGAGCGCCTCGAAAGCGGCAGTCTCCTGCAGCTCGGTGTACAATTCGAGATCCATGACTTGCGGCAAGAGCAAGAGGTCGGCGATGCGCGGCGCATCGGTGCGGTACTTGGCGAGTAGCTTTGGCAGCGCCGCCACCATGGCGCGCGTGACGTCCTCCTTGGTATTGTCCTCGGCATCGTCTATAAGCTCGGCACCGGCGTACGTCTTTCGCAGGATGGCCACCAGCGCTTCGACCAAGATGGCCTCCTCTTCCGTCTCTAGACGATAGGCGGCGGGAGCCGCATTATCAGCAGCGACACTGCCCTTGCTGCGGCCCGCAGTGGTCTTGGCGGAGTGATCCAGCAGCAGCAAATCGATGAGCGGCTGCCAGCGCTGCAAGTCATCGACCGCATCCCACAGAGCTTCGACTGCCAGGCCGACGCGGCCCTCTTTTGCTCCGTCGATGACGACTGTGAGCTCGTCGGCCCCTTTGCGCTGTGCGGAGCTGGTAGATGCAGCGGCCTCTTGATCATCGAGACGCTGGCCGTACTTGACGAGGAGCTCGGCAAGGTACTTGAAGCGAAGCTTAGCCTGTTCCTGCTGTTGCTCCTCAGCCTGCTTGCCTTTCTTCTTGGATGCGGCTGAAAGCGAGCCGAGCTCGCTGGCGCCCTCGCTGACCATCTCGTCGAGGATGTTGGCGAGGAAACTGGCAACGGCGTTGCGGATGCGAGGTTCGACGTCGAAAATGTGCGTGGCCAGCAGGTCGCGCTGTTCGTCCTCCAGAAGGTCGTGTTTGTCGATCATGACCAGTACATTGATGGTAGCGATGCGAACGCCAAGCTCAACATCGCTGGTGGCCATCTGCACCAGGCGACCCTTGAACATCTCGGTGAAGGTGCGGATGGAGCTGACAAAGTTATCGCGGGTATAAAGGCCGGTCATTGCCTGCACAGCAGCCATGCGGACGTTGGCGTCCACATCGGACAGCACCCATCCTATGTAGCGGAAGTATGAGCTCTGCAAGTATTGAGTTGGATACTTCTTCATCCATGATCCGAGCGCCTCGACGCACTCGGAGCGGATTCCCGCATCGAAGTCGCGGAAACGGTGGACGAAGACCGAGTTGATGAATTCGTTGATGTAACCCTCGAGGCGCGCCTTGAGCTTCCGCGATTGGAGCACATTCGTTTCGAGATCCTTTAGTCGACTCTTGTCGGCACGCGCCTTTTTCTTTTCAGCGTCGCGCTGCTTGGTGGCGGTGGAGAGGTCTTTGGTGGCCTGTGCAGTGACTTCGTTGAGTGCCGAGATGGTCCAGAGAGCGACGACGGTGGCAGTGTGACGGAAGGAACGAAGCGAGGAGGAAGACATGGCAGACACCCAGGCTTGGTAAGGCTCCATGAAGTCGTCCGAAGTCAGGACCTCGGCATCGTATGCGCTCATGACCAATCGGTGCAGGAACTCGTTGAGCGATTTGCGGAACGACTTGAAGGTCTTGCTCCTTGATACGATGGGATACGAAGGGATGGGCTGCTTCTTGAACGCTTCTTGAAGCTCCTCGAGGTTGTCGACAACGTTGTCAATGTCGACGACCTGGTTCTCATCCACGCTGCCGTTGCAGCCGCATGTGCGAATGACAAAGTTGACGAGCTGGGCAAGTGCGCGGCCCTCATTGTCTGAAAACGAGACGACCCAGTCCTCTGCAGTAGATTGCAACGCCGAATTGGCATCTTTGACAGCATTGAAGATGTCGTTATCGTCATTGATGGGAAGCTCGTCTCTGCTAGCAGCCGCGCGGGACTTGGCAGCAGAGGGCGTGGTCGCCGTTGTGCCAGCCCTCGGTCGTGAAGGGCCGGAGCGCTTTGCCGTCGAGCGCGGCGTCTTGGCAGCACCAGTCCTGGCTGCGCCCGCTGACTTTTTGGCGCGTGGTGTGGTAGTTGTCTTTTTGGCTGCTGAAGCACGGGGCGCCTTTTTCTTGCGACTGAGGCCAAAGTCGCCATCATTCTCGTCGTCGTCGTCGGGCAATTCGGCGTCGGATTCGGACTCATCCTGGCTGGGGTCACCCTCCTCGCCCTCAGAAGAAAGCTCGGTCAGGGATCCGTCCGAGTCGTCCATGTGGTTGCTTGTGTCCCCGGAAAGAGCCGACCGAACTGCGCGGCTGCCATTGGACGAAGTGCCGTTTCGTGATGTTGTACGCGCCATGATGCCAGATGACTCGGGGGAAACCCAGAGATAATACACGGGACGAAGCAGCAAGACAGCCGAGTCGAAGGGAGTTGAGGTGGTAGCGCCCGGGAGACGTCGCGAGCTCTTTCAGTGGAAGGCGTGAATTCCTGCGCGTCGAGGGGAGGGAAGGATGTTCTGCGGCGTGTCTTTTCCGATGCGATTGTCGGATCAAGACGAGGGGCAGAAGGGGTTGAGAAGATGATGATGGGATGATCAGACCGTTGACACTGGACGGTCGTCGAGACTGAGCTGCAATTCGCGGTTCAGAGTCTTCTGCGAAATGCGCGTGAGCTGCGCCGACTCTTTGGGCAAGCCGAAGCTCTAAAACTGCAGGCCGCCAGTGTGTTTCTCCAAAAGTCGAGGCCGCTGATGCACCTTGCGACACAAAAAGTGCGCTTCTGCACTTTGGCCACTTTTCGCGTCGCGCTCGCGTCTCTGACCAACACTCGGCTCGAGAAGTTTACATCGGGCAATCTGGCTCTACCTCGGATCGGCTCCACTTTTAATTGTAGCCTGCCGCGATGCACACGTCCACCTCTGGACCCTGACCCTGCTATTGTACCTCGAGAGCTGTGTGGTGGTGGTGATCAGCTCCATGCTTTCGACCATTGGCGAATCTGGAGATACACAGTGTGGATTGAGGGAACACATGTCTCTGCGCCAGCGACCAGTTGGTGTAATCGGCTCGCGGAACATGGCCGATCAGGCGGCGTCCTCTCCGTCGGACCACCCGATACCAGCGCATGATGGCACTCCTCCCCGTCCCTCACCTCGGAAACGCATCCGACTCAACCGCGTGCTCGGCCGCATCGTTCCCCTCATTCTTCTCATCTACACCGCTTTCACTTACGATCTCGTAATTCATCGGTACGCATTCCGATACCTCTTCCTGCAACAGAACCGCATCCTGCTGCCGGTCGTCTGGCTTCTTCCCACGCACGGACTCTTGCTGCTGGCGCTACGCTCCTATCTCTATGTCTTTTTCGCACACGATGCCGAGGTTCATGGTCAGAAGATCTCTTGGCTACGTCGTCGCTTGGGAGCAGTGTTCCCGTCGCCCTCTCTTGCGCGACATCAATCGAGTACCTCTCTCGGAGCAAGCCTTTCCACGCTTCTATCGCACTCATCCGACCTCGATGTCCATATCTCACTATGTCAACCCAACGGTCAACCGATCCTCTGCAATCGGGATGCCTGCCGCGATCGACCCAAATCTTTGCGCACACGTCACTGCGGAGACTGCGGAATCTGTCGTCTCGGATTCGACCACCACTGCGCATGGTTCGATAACGACGTGACCTCCCCCGCAACCCTGCGACACTTTATCGGCTTCTTGCTCTCCATTCCACCGCTATATCTTCTCGGCTTGGCACCGCTCTTTACCACAGCTTGGCGAGTTGTCCGCTCAATTCATGCGCTCTCTTCAACGAACGTCGAGTTGAGGGAACGGTGGTGGAGAAGATGGTATAGCTGGATCGGTGGACCTGCATATCGCTACTTGGTGGGGTGGGGGTGGGCTGCTTCGAAGTGGGCGAAGATGAAAGAAGCGAGGTTGCCACACGAAACTGTTAGGGCTCCCGTGCTGGTCGCTCTGGGTGCAGCCTTTGCGTTGATCGCCGTGGCGCTTGCCGCCAATTCGATTGGCAATTTGTGTCAGGGAAAATTAACGATCGACGTGGAGAGGCACAAAGCGTTCCACAAGCTTCAACAACGCTTGCAAAAGCTGCAGGCTGCAGGGAAGGATGGCCATGAGGCAAAGATGGTCTTGATCAGGCAAAAGATGGACTCGTTGGCTCCAGTACAGTTTTTCAAAGTGTCTTGGAAGGAGCAGGGAAAGACAGAGAGACGGGAGGAAATCGTGCGACTGTCAGTAGATCAAGGTTTGCTGTTCCAAGGATCGACTTGGGACAACTTGCGGTACTTTCTCTGGAGCAACTCTGAAACAAACCACGCTTGGTCGCTGTCAGATTCAGCGTTGCGGAGCGTGCTTGAAGAGACTTCCCTTGCTTTCTGACGCTCAATGATATAGACATTTACACGGACTATGACATGCATCAACACAAATTTGAGAAACGGCCGTCAAACAACTGGCCTTGTTGACATGACTACGATGGATGTTTGCATACATGTCTCGGAGGTTTTTTCAACGGAACCTGCCCCTCATACCGCCTCCCCTACCGCCACCTCCAACAGGCACATTGGCACTGGCAATGCATTCCAAGATATCGTCCGCCTTGAACACAGGTCCATCGAACAACCGAGCGCCTGGCAACATGTCCATGAACACCAACACCGCTTCCGGGAATTCGTTCCATGCATCTCTCGATCCAGCCGCTTGCTGTGCGGCGGCAGCGTTGAATGCGGGGGGAGCAGGAGAAGCCGAGTCCCGTTTGAACTTCTTTACCGGCGGTCCACCTGCGGTTGCTGCTGCACCGGGTCGTGCCCAGTTGCCCGTGGTGTCGTCTTGAAGGCTTTCGGCTGCAAGACGCTTCATCTCTTGCATGGTTTTGCGCCTGGGTCCCTCGTCAGCAATGCCTTCTTTGGCAGCTTCGACCGCGCGGTCTGCTGCGCTGGCTCCGGCTACCGCTGGTAGAAGACCCAGATCGCGAGGTCCGACAAGGTCGAGGTCCATGTACGAATTGCGCGCCACGAGACGCTTCGTCGACGGCTCGTCCGGATAGGTCTCTGCCAATCGAACTTCAAGCTTTTGAATGGCAACACTGTCGCCAAAATTGTATTCGTATTTTGCCCATCGATCCCATATTGGGCGAGCGCGTTCGGGTGAAAAGGCGCCGATGACCCGCTCGAATAGCGCTCGTGCGTTGCTGTCGTCGTTCATGGCAATGAGGAAGTCGAGATAGCGAACGACAAATGCTTCGTCAGAACCAAACGTCTTGAGTGCAAGTTCGAAGACTTTGGTAGCGACGACGGCATCCTTCGAGCAGTGATACTCCATGAGGGCGCTCGCTTCAAAGATCTGCCAGGTGGTATGTGGGCTCTTTCTCGCTCGGCTAAAAACGCTTCGAGCAGGTCGTATTCCCTCGGTGCGTCGCAGGAAGTGCATGTACTTGATCCATACCAATGCGCTCGCCTCCTTGAGACCTTCGACCTCTGGTTTGGCGACGGCTTGCAATTCGCGTTTTCGCACTTGAAGCTGCTCGACGGCTCTGCGATCTCGTTCGCGCTCCTCGCCGTCGATGTCCACGTCACCATCGCCGTCATTGGCGCGGCGAGTAGCGGCTTGCGCTTTAGCCATCTCTGCCTCGGTGTCGACATTCTTGAGGTCTTGCTGCAGCTTTGCTTGGCGCGCATCGATCTGTGAGTGAATGTGATTGATGAGCTCGTCAAAGACAGCAGCACAGTCGTCGGTGGTCTTTCTCGCTTCGCCCAGCTCGACGTAGGCAAAGTGAAGGAGGAAACTGGCGGTGCAAGCCTCCATACCGTTCTTGAGCCACGTAGCAGCCTCATCGGCTCGCGCACTGGAGAGAAGGTATCTCGAGGCAAGGTACCACACCTCGGGATAGAAGCGCAAGAACATGGTTGCCCGGCGGTAGGCGTTAGTGACTCGAGCCTGCAGGGCAGCAGGATCCTCGAGCAGCAAAGGATTGGACTCTTCCCACTTGAGGTACTCTGTCCATGCTTCCACCTGCTGACGCTCGCGCTGCCACTGCGCGGGATCCTGGGCCGCATCACCTGCAAGTGCCGAGGTGGTCCAGACGGGCACACGTGGCAGAAGAGGCTTTACGAGAGGGTCGGTGTAGGCTTTGAGGTCTCTGAGAACGCGACGTGCGGTCATATAGGCAGGCGAGCGCTCAGCGAGGAACTTTTTGGCGGTGAGCTTGTTGAGGCCGTTCTCAAAGGCATCATAGTCCTTCCAGATGGCCTCGATGTTGGTGAGGGGCACGCTGACAGCTCGCTGGTAGACGCGACGCAGGTCATCCATCTTTTGACCCTCCTTCCAGCCACCTCGTGCTTCTCGCTCCTTGATGAGCGAGATGTAGTCGGTCCAAATGGAGCCGCTGTCCTTATCCATACCGATGAATCGAAGCGCAAACTCGTACGCGCCCTCGAGGGTGCGTCTGGCCTGCTCTCGTGCAGGGTCCTCGTCTGCCCCCGTGGACGGCGGGAGCGGGTTTACGCGGCGGGTGTAGGAGAGGTAGAACTTCCAAAGATCGACCGAGGGAGTGGTGCGCAGGCATCTATTGAAAATAGCCTCAACTTGGGCGAAGTTGCTGTGAGCCAGCTCGAGATCGAGGAAGGCTAGCCACTGGCGTGCTTGGTTAGGGAATACCTTGAAGAAGCGGTCGTAGAGCGTTCTGGTTGCTTCCATATCCTCCCGGGATTGAGCCTCTTCGATGAGATTGAGCCAAGCTTCGCCATCGCGAGGATCGATTCGGACGCGTTCCTCGAAGAGCTGCTTCCTCTGCTCTACAGTCATGTACTTGTGGGGCTGCAGTGGTTGATTTGAGGAGCCCGCTTGTTGGTGCTGAGGTTCCGACTCTGGTTGTTGTGGTTCTTGAGGTGGGGTTACCGCCGCAGGCTGTGGTGTGCCCTGCTGCTCGACTTTGATGTTTGTGGTCGCATTTTGCTCCTCCGACTCGACCTCGACTTTGACAGCAGGCTCGTCTACCTCTGCCTCAGCATCGGCATCACCATCAGCGTCGGCGTCGGCATCAGCATCAGCGTCAGCGTCAACATCTGCATCTACGTTGACATCAGCAGATTGCTCCTTTGCAGACGCTTCAGCTTGTTGATTGGCATCGGTTTCGGGCTTGATTTGCGCGAGTTGCGCATCGATTGGTTCTGCCGACATGATCAAGCCTCACTTCGAATCGATACTCTATATCTGGCTTCTCTGGTATGGCACTCGAAACAAGCGTCAGAAGACCGAGCGTCAATGATGGCTTTCAGTCGACGATCGATGTGTGTTCAGCCTGTTTGCGTGATGGTGGTGTAGGAAGTAGAAATGGTGACTAACAGTCAACGTGGACGAAGGAATCGATTTGGCTGCATTTGCCTTTCTTCGCGTTGGCGGTTTGACCAGTCCGATCGGTTCAGTGGATCGGGTGTAGATCGCTCCGATTTGGTTTTGGGATTTGTTGGTATGGTTGTTAGGGTCCAGTTTCGACCAAAAGCTCCCTACCAGTGGACACATCAACCTTGTCCTCGACCACCGTTTCCTCCTCCTGGTTAGCGGAGCGGACAGCAAACATGGCAGGCGACGCGAGACTGCTGCTTCGAACCGCAGCCAACGAGCGCGTCAGAGCGGCTGCATCAGGCATCTCGGACCCATTTGCCTCGTACTCATCAAGCGGAAACCTACGATGCTCGGCATGCGACTACCTCACCATCAAGCCCGAGAGTCTATGGGGAGCCCATGTGCTTAGCAAAAGCCATCGCGCCAACGCTGCCAGAATCAAGCAAGAAGACCAGCTGCGTCAAGCAGAGCAGCAACGCACCAAGGATGGCAAACGCAAGGCAGAGGATGCAGATGGAGATGCACAAGCCGATTCGCTTGCCACGAGCACAGATGCAGATCTCGACCAGCAACACTCGGCACTGGCAAGTAAGAAAGCGCGGACAGACGTAAGCGATGCAGCGCCAGCAGTTGACGCTGAGTGGGAGCTCTTCAAGTCGCAAATGGAGTCAACAGAAATTGAGCCAGATCCGTCCACGATACCCTCATCTGCGGGCGCTGCATTGGAAGCGGAAGCGCAGCTCATAACGAACGACAACGCAAAGGACGGGTCGGACGGGATTGAAGACAAGAGCCCAGAAGAGCTGGCAGCGGAAGAGAGAGCACGCAAAGAACAAGAAGAGCGGGAAGAGATCTTCTCGCGCGTGGAGGAAGAGCAGCGCCTACAAGATGAGGCCGACCAGCGTGTCACAGCTCTCAAGGAGCGTTTGCAGCGCATCAAACAGGTTCGTTTAGATCGTCAAAAGGCCAACAAGAAGGCGTAGATGCAGGATCATTGAGCAAGCTGGACGACCTATCTGTTCACAACCCAATCCATACCCAAGACGCCCTTGCAAACAACCTGCATGAGCTTCAAACCCGACACTAGCTTCTCAGTCTTGTCTGTGTTGCTGTTTCGAAGCGTGTGAAGGGTGAGGGCAACCCGAAAAAATGCCCTACAATGTTAGACCTAGCCAATTTGATCCGCCTGCTTGAATTCAAGGCTCGCGTCGCTGTGTGGAGGCGAAAGTGGCAGAAACGGCAGAAGCGGCAAAATGGCCGACGAAAGCGCGAGAATTTCGTGGAAGCTCAGCGCACAACACTCGGACTGAGCTTTGCGGGCGCAGCGAGCAGAAACAGACGAGAAGAACGCCAAAGCCATAGCCAAAGAAAGCACAGACGCATTCTCATCAACGTCTCCGCTCCTTCCCACCCGCCATCATCGTATCAGCTTCCCATCCACCGTAGCTGTTACCATACCTCACCATGTCGGTCGCCGAACTCAAAGCCAAGGGCAACGCTGCCTTTGCCGCCAAGGACTACCAAGGTGCCATCCAGAACTACAACGACGCCATCGCTGCAGCAACTTCGCCCGAAGACAACGTTCACGTTCTCTACTCGAACCGCTCCGCATGCTACGCCGGTCTCCGCGACTGGGACAGTGCGCTCAACGATGCAGACGCTTGCATCAAGGCGAACCCTTCCTTCGCCAAAGGCTACGGCCGTAAAGGCGCTGCCCTTCACGGTGCAAGAAGGCTCGAGGAGGCCGTCGATGCCTACGATGCCGGGCTCAAGATTGCTCCCGAGGATGCTGGTCTCAACAAGGGTCTCGCCGATGTGAAGCGCGCAGTCGAGAACGAAGCCGCCAACGGTCCTGGTCCCGAAGCTTCCCTCGGCCAGATGTTCAACGATCCCCAGCTGTTCGCAAAGCTGAGCGCCAACCCAAAGACCGCTAAGTTGCTCTCGGACCCCGCCTTTATGGCCAAGCTCAAATCCATCCAGGCCAACCCCAAGGAGGCCAGCATGGCTTTCCAGGACCCACGCATGATCCAAGTCATGGGTGTGCTCATGGGCATCGACCTCCAGGCTTTCGAACGTCCCGAAGGCTCCGACGAGCTCCCCGCCGACCTCGAGAACCGTCGCGAAGACATCCAGAGCCAGACCGGCGCATCTTCCTCCTCCGCCGAGCCACAGCCTTCCGCCGCCGCCGCCGCCGCTGCCCCTGAAGTCGAGATGAAGGACGCCCAGCCCTCTTCCTCGTCTGCGCCTGTCGAGGAAGAAGAGGATGAAGACAAGAAAGCCAAAGCAGCAGCCGACGCCGAAAAGAAGCTCGGCAACGAACGCTACATGAAGCGCGACTTTGACGCTGCCATCCCACACTACCAAAAAGCGTGGGATCTCCACAAAGACATCACCTACCTCAACAATCTCGGCGCGTGCTACTTCGAACAGGGCAAGTACGACGAGTGCATCAAGGCGTGCGAACAGGCCATCGAAGAGGGCCGTTCCATGCGAGCCGACTTCAAACTGGTCGCCAAAGCCTACGGACGCATCGGTTCCGCCTACTCCAAGCAGGACAAGCTGGACCTCGCCATCAACAACTTTGAGAAGTCGCTTACCGAACACCGTACGCCTGATATCCTCGCCAAGCTCCGCGACACGGAAAAGCTGCAAAAGGAACGCACTCGACAGGCCTACATCGACCCGGCCAAGGCCGAGTCGGAGCGAACGCGTGGCAACGAGCTGTACAAGAACGGCGATTTCCCCGGTGCGGTGGCTGCTTTCACCGAAGCCATCAAACGCGATCCTAGCGATCCAAGGGGTTACAGCAACCGTGCTTCCGCCTACACCAAGCTCGCCGCTCTGCCAGAAGCACTCAAGGACAGCGAAGAAGCCATCAAGGTCGATCCCAAATTCGTCAAGGGTTACGTGAGGAAGGCTAACGTGCTGTACAGTATGAAGGAGTTCACAAAGGCTATGGAGGCGTGTCAGAAGGCCGAGACGGTGGATGCGGCGCAGGAGGGAGGTGCGAAGAACGCGAGGGAGATCCAGGCGTTGATGAGCAAGTGCATGAACGAGCTGTACTCGCAGAGGAGCGGAGAGAGCGAGGAGGAGACACTGCAGAGGGCGATGCGCGATCCAGAGGTTGCGCAGATCATGCAGGATCCCGTCATGCAGAGCATCTTGCAGCAGGCGCAGGGAAACCCCGCTGCGCTGCAGGAGCATATGAAGAGCCCGATCATCAGAGAGAAGGTTCAGAAGCTCATTGCTGCAGGTATCATTCGTACCCGTTAAGACGATGTACATTCGAGAAAATGTCATGTTTCACAGTGCCCGCGCTTGCACCGTATGAGGTTTGTGTGAAAGATGGTGAGGAAGGGAGGAGAGATTGACGGTTGTACAATGGAGGATGAACGTGATGCTCGCTTTGAGGGTGTGGACTGAATGTCGGTCGCTGCGTTGTTCATCCAAGGATGAGACTCGAGCTCGGGCCCTCGCTTCCACGCGGACTGAATTCTCCCCCGCCGATGTCAGACCACTCGTCCGAGGTGTGTCCCTCATCCTCCTCCTGCGTTTTTTCCACTTCCAGGCCACCGTCCTTGCCGCTCTCTGCAACGTTCCGACCCTTCGCAGACCCCTCGATCCGGGTATCTTTCTTCACCAGCCCGCGCGCATACTCCAGATCCCTGTAGATCACCTTGACCGCGGTGCCTACGCCGTCCTCGCCGCGGATCTGTTCGCCCAGTCTCCTCGCCCTTTCGATCTGCTTCTTGTCGCTCGTCGCCTTGATCAAGGCCTGCGCCAGCGTATCGACCGTAAGGTGCCTGACGCAACTTCCGACTCCCAGGCTTTCGATCTGCTGACCCCAAAAGAATTGATCTCCAAAGTACGGCTTCACTACCGTCGGCAAGCCCGCTCTCAGACTGGCGCCCAGTGTTCCCGCACCGCCGTGATGACACGCCGCGTCAATTTGCGGGAACAGCCAGTCGTGTGGAACCGATGTCACCTGGTAGACATCTTCCCCGACGCCGAGATCAGTTGCGGCGGATCTGTCAGAGGAAAGCCTGTCCGACCAACCTTTCGACAGGATCGCACAGACACCGCTCTTTTCCACCGCCTGCAAAACACACTTAGTCATAGCCACCGCGTCGGGCACCACAATCGACCCCCACCCTATGTAGACCACCTTCCTCCGCCTATCCCTGGCCCTTTTGATGAACGCAACCAGATCCCCAGGTGGCTCCCACTTCTTACTCTCCGAGTTGTCCGGGTTGTCCAAGAACCAAAATCCGGTAACATGGATCCACTCGAACCAATCCAGTGGACGCGGTACCAGGCTCGGTGAGAAGTTGTAGATGAAGGGGACCTTGTGCTGTTCCAGTTTGTCAAAGTTCGTCGGCTGGAGGCCGAGCTGCTTCTTTCGCCATCGGTTGATCTGGAAGGCAGAAGCACGCCAGAACATCTGATCAAAAATGACGTACGACATGTAGTTGTAGTTGCCGCCTGCCTTCTTGTTGGGTACAGCAAACGCGTGTGGGTAAGCGCGGGTCCGTGTCCATGGCATGGTGAACGCTCGAAAGTAGGGGACTTGAAGTGCCTCGGCTACGTGAATGCCAGCGATGGCGCTCGGACATTCGATAATGACGTCGGAACCTTGACAAGCGCGCCAGGCCGATGCTAGGAGGTCGTCGAGCCAGTCGCGGAATCTGGTCACGCCCTCGCGAAGGAAGGATACGGTGAAAGTGCCATTCTCGACACAGATCCGCATGAGTTCGGCGGGATCGCCGCCAATCTCGCTGAACTCGATGCCGTGTCCCAGGATCCAGTCTCCGAACTCGGCGTGAGTTGCGATCCTGACTCGATGTCCGTCGGCAAGGAGACCTTTGGCGAGTGCAATGTACGGCTGGACGTCGCCTCTCGACCCAATCGTCAGCATCGTGAATGTGAGCGGGGCGGTTGGGGCGAAGGAGAGGACGCTTGAACCCTCTCCCAGCTGTGAGAGATTGCTTGATTTGCCGCCGAGGGCAGACCCGGTTGGTGAGAGCATGGACGAATCCGCCGACGAGGCCAGAGATGTTGCTGCAGCACCGTCATGGATCCGTTCGCTCAAGTCTCGAAGCACGAGCGCGTGAGATCGTTCGCGAGTGGCTGACTCACGCGACGCTCGACTGCCTCGTCCGCCTCTGAGGAGCTCGAGCTGATACTCGATCAGAGACAACAGCTCGTCTCGTCGGTGAGCCGACGCGATCTCGATGAACAGCTCTTCGTGCCCGCTAATATTGATCACCATCCCGTGGTGGCCCGGGCGGAAGGCGACATGCTTGGCAGCCGAGATGACTTCTTGCAGAGGAACAAGCATGAGCGTCCGGCCTACCGTCTTTGCCGCGATGCCAGACGAGCGGAAGGCGAGGTGATGCTCGCCAACAAAGAACCTTCCAGCAATGGGCAGGACTCGATATAGATAGGCATGAGTATGACCGATCAGACCTTCATTGTCTCCGACGCCGAAAGTGTCACGGAACTCAGCGGCGACGCTCGTGTGGTCAGGTGCTGCGGCTGCTCCATCGTCTGCGTCGAGTATCGAGTAACTGGACTGGGTTGAGTGCATCGAGTGCGACAGGGTATCATCGTCGTTGTCGGTATTGCTCGACTCACCTCTGCTGACGTCGTCGCCTTTCTCGTCAGACCACTTCTCGAGTACTCTGCGGCGCCGTCGAGTGCCTGGATCTTTCCACGGCGTCTTCGCCGGAGATGCTGCCGAAGTGCTGTCTGTCACACGCCCCAAGACCCTAGCGGGAGCAGCCTTGAGCCAATCTGGGATCGCCCATCCTCTTTCCGCTTCCTTCTGAACGTCGTCGAAGGATGATGGCGGATCTGAAGCGGACGGCGATGGCGGATAGGTGTGCGAAGACTCGGTAGAAAGACGCTTGAGAGCAGCGGCGCGTGGTGTGGTCGACAGAACAGCGTCTGTCGAGCCCTCTTGCGACGTTCCTCGTACACTCACTGGTATGGCGACCGCAGCTGCGGCTGTCGAAGCGGACCCTGTCGACTCGTCCCCTTGATCGGCTGATTGACGCCATATGAGTCCTGCAGCGGCTCTGGCGGCTGGCTCGGTTTGCGAGATCTTTGTACCCTCTGCCTCTCCTCTGCGCGCGTCTTGGTCGCCCGGTTGAGAAGGTACGAGCACCTTGGCGAGCACTGGCACCTCCTCTAGCGACTTGCGCGAGATTGAAGTCGCATGCGTAGCGCCCGTCGAGTCGCGAATGCTCAACCTAGAAAGGTTGAGGGCCTGGTCGCCGCCCTGCAGCGACGCAACAGAAGCTCTCCCCATCTGATCAAGAAGCGCAGTGAGACCAGAGATGAAGGCACTGGGTTTGGTGAGGTGCAAGAAGTAGTACTCGTCGACCGAAAAGTCGCCAGCCTCGTCGACAACAGTGATGCATACCATCTCGGTGCCCTCGACGGAGAGCGTTGTCTCGACGTTCATGACCGTTTCGAGCGGGATGCTGATGCGGACGCTGTCGCCCTGATTTTGAGCGCGGAACGTCTCTTTCTGCAGAGCTGTCACCCAGGCATCCCTGCTGTGCTCATCCTCTGCAAGGAAGGTGAATCTGCGTGCTGGTGTGGTCACCTTGAAACGATCCTTGTGGGACGTGGAAGGCTCCACGGCTGACACTTTGCGGAGGTCAATGTGACCCTGGGGAAAGTACGGATCTCGGTCGCTGTCGTGCCAGCTGAGCTTGCCGCCTTTGAGCGACGCCCAGTGCTTGCTGAAACGATGGGTCCTGCGCGTGCGCTTGCCGAGCAAGCCGGTCTTGACCGTCTTCTCGTCGCGCGAGGGCAGGTAAGCGTAGAAGCAGACATGGCTGCTGGTGAGGTAGAGATGTCCTTGCAGAAGCAGCGATCGAAACAGCCAACACGGCTGCGCTAGCAGCAGCGTCTCTGCAGTGTCGAGCTGGAAAATTTCCTTGAGCTGGTGAAGCAGTCGGATGCGAGCCGAATCCGACACATCCACTGTAGCTAGCCTTGAAGGCGATGCCGTTTGATAAGGGCGTATTAGCAGCGGATCCGAGTCGCGATCGATAGGCTGACCAGCATCGGACGGCAAGCGCACTACGCTTGGCTGCTGTGAGAGCCGTGCCTGTTGCGTGTCCGTCGACCCTTGGTCGGGTGGGCTGCTGCCATATATTGACCGAGACCCGTGCTGGTCATCGTCTGCATCTCCTGCCAGCTTGGAGGTGGATCCAAACATCGATGCTGATGCGACATTGTGAAGGTGCGATCGAGGGTTGCCCGGCCTCCTCGTTGTCCTTGTCGCTGTCGAGTCTCTCGACGACGAGATGATCTCGCTGTGTGTGAGGGATGTACGCTTGGAACGTTTAGGCCCAATTGTGGCGACCGAAGCATCTAGCGGTGATCTGCTACCTTGTGGGGTCGAGCCATCGTCGGAAACATCGTCTCGTGCCAGAGCCTGCAAACGGCCCTTGGCTGTGCGATCCAAGATCAGCTTGGTGTGATCGGATACGTGCGGCTGCGATTCGTCGGTTGGAGAATCTCCGATGGCGTCGTCTAGTATCGTCTGCCGATAGAGGTTGGTCGAAGCCGTGGCTGGCTGATAGCTGGGTTGTTCCGACTCTTCCTCATCGTCTTCTCTGTAGCCCTCTCCATCAGCGTCGAAGAACGTGCTTCCGACGAGACTGAGCATCTGCATCAGCCCTTGCGGTTCGGCATGGAAAGCGACATCAGCGACGCCATGCTGGTCCACGTCCACCGCTGGCTCGTTCACGGTCGATGCAGACTGCCTAGCACTCTGTGATGAGGCCGAATTGGGCGCAAAGATTCTGGTTATTGGTTCCAGCGCCGGTCTCCCGAGCTCTCGCGAGCCAGCTAATGAAGAGATGGTCGAGATATCACGAGGCGTCCAAGGGTCCAGTCGGGGAGATGTGGGAAGAGGTGGCGTGTCAAGATCCACCGGGACCTGTACAGGGGGTGGTACTTGTGGCCGTTCGCCATCTTCATCTTCGACTGTGAATGGATCCAGATCGGCTTCATTCGGCTGCGTTGCTTGTGATGTGCTGGTCGAGGCCTCATTCTCTGATATTCGGGGAGAGCCGGCCCGTGAGCTTGATGCTATTGTCGCCAATGTGCGAGGATGCATATTGGCGCTGGTATCGGCAGTCGAGTGACGTCGATCGGGACGACTCGGCGGGAGTCCTTATGACGAGGCGCAAAGGAGCGGTGTTCCCATGTCGATATGTGATTATGTTGTGTCAACGGCGTAGACGACGTGGTGACTGGAGGTGATGTGATCAGAAGGGGCCGATTGTGTGCGATGAGAGTGATTGGGGAAAGGCGAGATCAGGATGCGCCGTTGTATGCGCGGCACCAGGCACGGCTTGCTTGTGGCGACTTGAAATTTCGAGCCAGGAAAGGATAACTTGGAGATGCTGTGGATATTGGGATTGGTGATGCGAGAGAGGGGTTGGTGCGGGTCGCCAACGTCGGAGAGATGCTGCAGGGTCCTTTCTCCTTAAAGTTAATGTTGCCTAAGTTGCAGCACAGATCGCGTCTCGCTTTCGCCCCTGGCTGCTGCGAACGAGACACCTCACTTGGGCCCCTTGACGGCCGAGCCGCTGTGGGAACGGCAAAAGGAAGCCGCACGCGTTGTGCGGATCGAATCGCTGATCCAGCTTCATTAACAGCCCGATGGATTTTTCGCCCGAATTCCACTTTTCTTTCTCGCAGGGCCGGTCCATCTTGCTTTGCTTGTGTTACTGCCTCGCTCTTCACCATCTCCGTTTTGTACGATCTTCGTCAGATGGACATTCTTGCTGCGACAAGTTACAACAGCACGCCAAAAGCTCCCATGAGCATCTGAGGTCTCAGACAACGACCAGCTCCGTGTTCCGTCGCGGCATCCCGCCGCAAAGCACCAGCACTTGCCGGAGAGGCAAGGCTCGACGCTCAGCATGTCGCGAGGCGGTCGGGGCGGTTTTGGCCGCGGCGGCGGCAGGGCTGGCGGCGCTGCCAACAATATGCCCCCCATGGGCCTTAGCTTCCAAGAACTCGGCAGCCTCGACAAGACACCCTCCAAGCTATACCCGGAACCACCCACGGTGCCACGCATGGAAAGGCCCGACGACAAGGAGGTCCGCTACGCCACGTACCAGCTCATGTACCTGCAAGAACAAAAGACGTCCGCATATTGGCCCACTTTGGAAGAGCGGAAGCAAGCCGACCTTCCTCGCTTCTCCGATCGCTATCGTCCCGAGGCGCAGGATCTTCCTTCGCTCCAGTCGATCAACCTGCAGAAAGAGGTCTTTCCAAAGGGTCTCTGGGATGCATTCATGCAAGGCGAAGCAAAACGGGAGGAGCAGAAGGCCAAGAAGAAAGCTCGCCGCAAGGTCAATTGGGACTCGCTCGATCTCGAGGATCGTGCTGGTGCGGAAGACGACATAGGTGAGGCATCCTCCGAGCCCGAAGATTTAGGCGACTACGAAGACGAGGTCGACGACGATTACGCCGAAAACTACTTCGACAACGGTGAAGACGAAGACGCTGGCGACGATGACGGAGGCGAAGCAGTGTACGACTGATCGCTCCTCGCACCACCATGGGCCCGCTCGCATCTCAGCGTCCCCCTTCTCGCATTGTAACGTCTTTTCCATGCCCTCTCAGGTATCCTCGCATCTGTATTTGTACCCTTCCTGTTCCTTTTCTCACTTCAAATGCTGCTAGTGTTCTAGTTGCTAGCTCTCTGAGCTGGATGTGACAGAGATGCGTCAAACAGGATGCACGAAGAAGAGCTGTTCGAGGTCTTCTGTGTGCGGGAACAGCCACGGAAATGTTTTATAATGTTATGGCTCAGTTTTGTCACAACTATCGAAATTGAGACACGGCAACTCACGCGAATGGGCCCTTCTGATGCTGATTCAACTGAACTAACACCAGAGCCCGGCCACCTCTCCTGCGAAGCCTCCATCATCCATCATCCCAAGCCTGCCTGATTCATCCGCTGACTCGAACAGCTATGTACTGGCTTCGAGGGTTGCTCAGCTGGCTAGAAAGAGAGAGGTGGCAAGTCGAGTGAGCAATGTGCAGCAGTTATGTAAACCCACACCCTCAAATGGATTCTTTTCCCTCCCTCTCTCCTTTTCTTCTTAGGGACCGATGTGCCGGGCGAGGAGGGTCAAATTTTCTCGAGAAGGTGAACCCTTTTCGCGGCGTTCGCAAAAGCACGGAAAAAATCTGGAATCTTCTCTCTCCCAGCAGCGTCCAGCGTCCGGATTTTCGCACGGGGCCGTGCTCTTTCAACAGCAGGCCGCGGTAAATTTTGAATTGCCTCCACCCGAGAGAGTGAGAGACAGGAAGGAGGAGCTTCCTTTGCAATACGGCAGGCGTACGACATCCGAAGCTACCACCATCATCATCACCGTCATCAACCTCTTTCCCCTCACCGGATCGGCTTCTACTCCCTGACACGCCTTCCTGGCTGCTCCTCGTCCTCGCGAGCTTCTCGCTGGCATCGCAAGGCCGTGCGACTGGCTGCTCTCCGCAAGGTTCCAAGCTGGCAGCCATGCCCGTTCCAATAGCTCGCGGCGCCGCGGCACGCCTCCCTGCCCTCTGTACACCCTCCTCTTCGACAGCAATCAGTGCTGCACCACGTCTATCCCTCACATCAGCAACCAGCAGCACTTCTGCATCTCCGGCTTCGTCTCGATCCCTTGTCAGCTGGTCTCGTGCGTCGAGCAACCGTCCCCGCTCGTGCGGCTCGTGCGGCTCCCAGCTTTCATCGTCCTTCACCTCGACACGATCCTTCACAGCTTCCGCCTCCCGTTCTGCCTCCCCGAAAGATCCGTACTCTGTTCTTGGCGTCAAAAAGGATGCAGACGTCAAGGACATCAAGCGCGCTTACTACGGTCTCGCAAAGAAGTACCACCCAGACACCAACAAGGACAAGGATTCGAAGGAACGCTTTGTAGAGATACAGAACGCCTACGACCTGCTCAGCGATGACAAGAAGCGTGCTGCCTATGATCAGTACGGTACGACCGACGGTCAGCCCGGCTTCGACCCCTTCGGAGGCGGAGGCTCGTCCCCCTTCGGCGCAGGCGGTTTTGGCGGATTCCAGGACTTTGGCGGCTTCTCCAACTCGGGTGACGCAGGCTCCATTTTCGAGAGCCTATTTGGTGCCTTTGGCGGCGGAGGCAGGCCTGGTGGTCAGCGTGGGCCGGGATTCGGTGGAGCAGGCTTTGCAGGAGAAGCGCGAGGAGAGGATCTCGAGACCACCGTCAACCTCAGCTTTGAGGAAGCGTGCAAGGGCTCCAAGCGCAAGGTGGTCATCAACCCAATTGAACGATGTGGCACCTGCACCGGATCTGGTCTCAAACCTGGCGCCAAGAAGAGCACATGCGCCACCTGCGGTGGCACAGGTACCCGCACCTTTGTCATCCAGAGCGGCTTCCAGATGGCAACAACGTGTCCATCGTGCGGAGGTGCCGGCTCTAAGGTCGCACCCGGCGACAGCTGCAACACCTGTGATGGCGTCGGTAGGGTTCGCGGACGTAAAGAGGTCGAGATCGATCTCCCGGCCGGTGTCGACGATGGCTTCCGTATCCGCAAGGATGGGTTCGGCGACGTTCCGATCTCTGGTGCAGGCACGCCCGGCTCGCTCTACGTACGCATCCACGTAGCACCCAGTCGTATCTGGAGGCGACAAGGCTCGACGCTCTTCTACCCAGCTACCATCCCTGTCCACACGGCTATTCTCGGCGGCAAGGTCCGCGTACCGACACTCGATGGCCCCGTCGAGGTGCGGGTGCCAGCGGGTACGCAGGTGGGTGAGGAGATGATGTTGCCCGGCCGCGGTGTTCCATCACCGACACGACGAGGACAAAAGGGCGACCTGATCGTCCAATTCGAAGTCAGCATGCCGCGTTCGCTCACCAAGCGACAGCGCGAGATCCTGCAGCAGTACGCCGACGAGGTCGAGGGTCGATCCTCGACGACCGCATCCAGCGATAGTACCTCGTCGAGCAAGGGCGCCAAGACAAGTGCAGTGGCAGGCGGAAGCTCATCTGCATCGTCAGCCAAGGAGACGCCCAAATCAAGTCAGTCGGCGTCTTCCGCTTCTGCCTCATCGTCTGGCTCAAAGACCTCTTCGGCTGCATCCGAGACAAAAGCATCAACGAAAAAAGCATCACCAGGTAGGTTCACAATCCATGCTTCCTCGCGCTCCGACGCCGCAACCGATGCTGCGGCCCAGGCTGAAGCCCGGTCAGAGACTGCCTCCTCCCAAGACCAAGGAACCTCGTCCGATGGCGCGTCAACGCATTTGGAGGACCAGCAAAAAGGCTTATTGGGTCGCGCATGGGACTGGTGGACGAGTCGCAAGTGAGGCATCGCAGTGTCAGTCTGTCAGATTCGAGCAGAGTGTAATATACAGTCCACCTCTCTTCAGGATGCTGAAATCCACCACCTTTCCTCTCTTTCCCTTTTTCCTCCCATGCTTCATCGCCACAGATGCCAAGACAAATGAGTCTCCTTCGAAGACAGAAACCGCAACCAAAACGGACGAAAGTGGCGACTCAAGCGACGCTAATGCCAAATCGTCCACCTAAAAACAATGCTTTCATGTATTGGCTAGCATTCGCATGGAAACAGCAATGTCATCAACTCATTTCAGAGTATCGTCACGTCCGATCTACCATAGACAAGCTCACTCCTCTTGTGTGCGTGTGTCAGACTCGTCGAGGTGAGGGTGATCGTTGGTGACGGAGAAGGCCTCGAAAGCGATTTAACAGCGTCGTAATTTCTTCCGTGTACGAGAAGGCATGTGATCACACGAAAGACCCTTGCATCACGAATCCACTTCGAGTCTTGCTTCGAGATGGGTGATAAGTCGTGCTTTGCCCACGACTCGAGTCAATCGATTGAGCCTACGACTGTATGCATTGATGAGGAGAGCACGATTTACGGTCCAGCGACATTGGAAGCAATTGCCGCTCCAAAGGTTATGAAAGAGTACCTGTAAGTTGCAAAAAAGAAAAAGGCCGGCAGCTGGGCTCGGAACCGCCTGGAAAGAGAGCAGGAAGAAAATTTGTTCGGCTTGAGCTGAGCTTGCAAGTGCAGCCAAGACGAATACCAAAAAAGAGAAGAAAAGAAAAAGAGGCTGGCAGCCGAGTCTAGCAACTGATGGTACAGCAGAGCGCAGTATCAATTTAGACTACTGTCCACATCACACAGAAGGTTAAGAAAGGGCTCGAAGGGCGTGTCACGCTCACGCAGCAATCTCGGTGTGCGCTTCTCGAGTTGATTGGCTGCAACTGGCGAGTGTGAGTTGGTCGATTATTGGTTGGTCTCTGCGCTCTTGCCACTCTTTTTCTCTCAGGCAATCTTCGCATTGGCTTTGTGTTCATCTTGACTCCTCTCTTTGCATCACACTTCTTCCATCTTCACCGTACCCTTCGTCTTGTCTCAACCTGTGGATTTCATAACCGCTCTCTCGTCCGCTCAGATAGCTCAGCCACCGGTGTGTAGCTTCAACTCTGCTCGTTCAGCAACTTCAACACCCACAAAGCAAGACCTCGGGCACGCTCAAATCTGCAACAGCAGCAACTTCGGCTTCGCACTGCTAGACAGCCGCATTCATCGATTCATCACCTTCTCTTGACGAGACGGACAAACTCTTCAGGTCAGGCTAGGATCATCTCGCTGCGTTTTGCCCTCTGCAGATCGCATTAAAGCACTTTTCACGCACGCTTAGGCTCGGCATATCACTTCTTCCTCGCTTCCACCTTTCATCGACTTTCCGACTGAGAAGTGTAGCTGCGCTTTTTGCATTCGAACCATCTAGCAATCGCATCTTTGCATTCATTCGCCACCAGTCCCGCACATTCATCACAACCTCGTATCTCCTCGTAGCCGCAACGTGGCCTGCTCGAGCAAATTGCACCGCAAGAAGCTTGTCATTCTCCTCTCATCTAGCTGCTCAGTACATCAACCAGCTTTTCATCTCACACACCGCATTCAACCTCGAAACAGCATACTCAGCCAAGACCAACGATCGTCTTTGCATCGCCCCGACCCACCTGAATTCCCTTCAGCACCAACACAGCATCTAGACATCATGGCTACTTCAATGCAATTCGGTCCCGAGTGGATGCGAAAGGGTCCCACCAGCAAATCCGGCGGCAAGGAACAGCCGACCTCTTCCGCGCCGTCAGCCGCCACCAGTCCAGGCACCGGTCCAGTCACAGGAAATGCAGCTCCCAGCAGCGCAAACAACGGCGGCAAGCGCAATGGCGCGGGTAACCTATCGGGTCCTGCACCTGTTGTTAGTCCTGCGGTCGCCAGCCCGGGCGCTTTTTCGTTTGCAGCCGCTGCAGCTGCGGCAACTGCGCAAGCCTCGGATCGCAACGGCACGCATGCTTCCACCCAGCATGGCTCATCGGTCGGCAACGATAGCGACGTCTCGGCGGGTCTGCTCAATGGCGGCTCGGCGGCGCTTGCCAAGGACAAGATCACGCGCGAAAAGCTGCTCAGCTTGTACAGCTCGGATCGTTCAGGCAAGACGCCCAGCGCAGACCCCTCACCCGTGGACGCCGTCGCACCCGTGACTGGCTCAGGTCCCGAACGCTCTTCCAGCACTTCACGCAGGAAGGGTGGATCCGATCGTCGCCCTTCTGCCTTTGCCGAATTCGGCGGTGTGGGCGGCGGTCCCCTCTCACCTAGTCTAGGCAGCAACGAACCTCGCGGACTCAACGCACGCTCGACGTCCGGAGGCTCGACTGGAGCATTTGGTTCCGCTGCTACCTCGAATTGGGACAAGACGGATAAGGAGCGTCCTGGCCTGTTCCAGCGCGCTTCGAGCGGTGCGCTGGCAGGCGTCACCTCCAACTCTGGCTCTCGACCACTCTCGCCTTCGGTTTCGCGTGATCGATTCAGCGGTATTCAAGGTGGTGTTCTTTCCGGTGTCGCACCGCCCGCCCGCAAGAGGATGGACAGCAACGATGGCGGCACGGGCACAGTCGAGGGTTCTCGAGCTGGTCGTTCGCTTAAGGGCAGTCAGGACGAGACGAGCGCCCCGCAAACCATCAACGGTGCTTCGTCCGGCGCCATGGGAGGCTCTTGGGGTCGATCTGCGCAATCTGCGCAGACAGTCGGCACTGGCGGTGGCGTTCTGGGTGCCTTTTCGGACGCTTTCAGCTCCAATCGAGTAAGAGGGCGCAATGCATCGGCCGTCGCCGATCCTGCCTCTCAGTCGAGTGCCACTGCTACCCCAGCTTCTGCTACAGTATCATGTGTTGCTGCTCCCTCCTCTGCTCCTGTCGCGCACTCGGCGACCTCCCAACCTATCGTACCCAGCGCCAACCCCGAAGGTCTGAGCATTTCTGCGCGCTTTGCACGACACAAGGACCGCCTGCCCGGCGAAGGTCCCATCGGCCCCCCCTCGGACGGCAGCATCGGCTTTGGGAAGGCGTCTGGATTCGACCGCAGGCGAGAGCGTCAGACCACACAGACGAGATCCATGCAGTCGCATGCTCCAAGGGGCGATGCTGCCGCTGCCAACGCGAGCACAGCGGCCGCCGCTGCTGACGCGAGCTCGATCCCAGCCGAAAAAGCGAACGTCGATCAAGTGCAACATGGCACCCAGAATGCCGCCACAGCAGACTTTGGGCTTGCCAGCGACGATACAGATCTTGCTCAGCACGCCTCTGCCGTGCTCGGTTCGCTCAAACTCGACGACGACGACAGCCCCGGCTTGCCTTCCGCCTCTGCTCTGGCTCAGGATCAGCGCCATGCTGCTATCACTGATGACGGCTTTCCTCGAGAGCGTGACCTCAGAGATCGCTTTGATCAATCCCTTCAGCCGCATTCCGGTATGCAGTCGACCGCCCCGTGGTCACCAGAGTCATCCATGTGGCTCTACAGAGATATGGCTGGCAACGTGCAAGGTCCCTTCAGCAGTCTCATGATGCAGGATTGGTACTCGCAGCAGTACTTCGCCGACGATCTGCTCATCAAGCGTCAGGAGGATGGCGAGTTCAAGCCACTCGCTCAGGTTGTGTCCGCCATTGGCAACGCCATGCAGCCCTTTGTCATCCCTCCCTCGAGCTGGCTCCACCCTCCTGCTCTGCCAAGGTCCGCTTTTGACGGCAGGCTTGGCAGCGGCGAAAACTTGCTCGGCACGGAGCAGAGTCGCTTCAGCGACACTTTCGACCGATCTTGGCAAGGATCGGCCGGCAGGCATCAGCAACAGTCGCAGGAGCAGCAGCAGCCACAGCAACCGCAGCAGCCGCAGCAGCATGGCTGGCCTGCTCCTCTGAGTCTTGGTGGCCTGGGAAGCGCCGGTCCATCACCCGCTTCACCCTTTGGTCGCCCTGATATGTTCTCCGCGAACCAATCGGGAATGCGCAACCAGGACGACCTCATGTCCATCCTCCGTGAACGTGAGCTGCACGAGCAGCGTCAAGCTGCAGCAGCCGCCGCTTCGCGCGGTCCAGGCGGCATGCACCTCGGCCAACTCGACACATTCGGTGGAGGTCTCGGACGATCCGGGTGGGGCAACGAGTCGGCCATGACGCCTTCGCAATGGACCGGCATCGGACACGCCGGTCTCGGACATTTCGGCGATGGTGGTGTCGGCGGTCGCCAAAGCCCACTCGTCGGCGATCGAGCCGTCTTTGACGGATTCGGCCACCAGCAGAGGCAGAACTTCGACCAGGCTGGCAGTCCATGGAGCAACAAGGCTTCGCTCAACGCCACTCGATCGCAGTTCGATCCCATCCGTCCGACGCAGCACGGACAGTGGGCCGAGCAACAAGCGCCTTGGAGCCACTCGGCAACGACGCCCGACGTCAACAACCGTCAGATGGACTTCACCGAAGCCATGTTGCGGAACGAAGCGATCAAGGCCGCGGATCCTATCGGTACGCCTCGACGCGCACGTTCGCCTGCACCCCAACACGACATGACCCAAAGCTATCAGCAGTCTGCTGAGCAGCGGGACGAGATGCACAAGTCTTTCGAAAACGCCTTCCCCGCCCCTGTGGCAGATGCGCAATCGTCTTTCGATTCGCAAGCCAGTGCCGCTCCGCTTGCTGCCGGCAACTTGGAGGAAAAAGCCTCTGCTGCAGCACAGGCTGACGTCAGCGCTGAAGCAAACACGGCCGTGACTCCGCAGAAGAAGCAGAACAAGAAGGAGGCGCAAAAGGCGGCCGCTGCGGCTGCGGCTGCGACCAGTGCTGCTCAGGACGCTTCCGTGCCTGCAAAGACGATCGAATCGGACATTCCTCCTCCCGAGGCGTTCACCGCACACGAGCCTCGTCCCGAAGAGCTCTGGCCTCAATCTCCCAAGGCAGTCGAGTTCGCTTCCGAACCGGAGCTGTCTGGCATGCCTGCCCTCACACTCCCTTACAACAAGTCGGCGAAGGACGCCAAGCGCGAATCGCGATCCGCACTGCAGCGTCAGACTTCGGATGCTTTCCGCGTCGTCCCTGGAAGCGGCGAGCCGGTAACCCGCACTGCTGCCGCTGCTACTGCTCGCTCTACCGCCGCAGGCAACGTTCGCGTTGTTTCGCAGGAGCAGTTCCGACGAAACGTTGACGGAGCCTCCACCGCCACGCAGGCTCCGCTCTCCGACTGGCTCAACGATGCAAACGTCGTCGAGGCGACCGCGCCTGCGAGTCGACCGGCTCCTTGGGCTGCCGCAAAGGAAGACGCGACGGCTCCGACCGGTCCGAGCCTGCGCGAGATCCAGGAAGCCGAAGCGAAGCGCGCAGAGGCCAGACGTGCAGCTGAAAAGGCGGCTGCGCGTGCTCGTATGGTCGCTTCGCCAAGCGCCGGCGAGGAGCTGCCGACCACGCTGAGCTGGGGTCTTGCTTCGGCGCCTGCTTCCAAGAACGTCGGCAATGCTGCTGCTGGCAGCGGCAACGATGCTGCTTCAGCTAGTCCTGCCGCACCTGCTTGGAACGCTGGCAAGACCGCACCCAAGAAGACGCTCATGGAGATCCAGGAGGAGGAGAGGAAGCGGGCTGAAAAGGTCAAGGCTCAGCAGGCTGCTCAGGCGATCGCGCTGCGTAAAGGGTATGCGGATTCGGCTAGCAGGAGCACGTCTGCGTCGAATCTGCATGGTGCTGCGAATGCTGCGGCGGCGGGCGGAGGTGCGTGGTCGGTGGTTGGTGCGAGCGGGAAACCTTCCACTCCGAGCGGAACTCCTAGCACGACAGGTGCTGCGACAGGTGGTGCACTTGCTTCGTCGGGAGGCTTTGCATCTGCTACAGCATCGCCGCTTGCTTCGCGACCGACGACGGCTTCTCGTACCGCTTCTCCCAGCATCCCTGCCTCTACCTCCGGTAGCGCATGGTCTGTTGTCGGTAACAAACCACCTGCTGCTGCACCAGCGTCACCTTCACCAGCCACACGAATCTCGCCCTCCGCATCGGCGCTTCTCAGTTCTCCCTCCGTTGTCGGTAAAACGAACCGGGCAGCTGATCCGAACGCACCGTCCGCCGAGTTCATCCGGTACTGCAAGGACAACCTGCAGGGCTTGACGATCAAGACGGACGACTTCATCGACATGCTGCTGCAGTTTCCGTTGGATCCGAGTGCCGATGTGATCGAGATCATCGCCGAGACGGTGTATGCGAACAGCAGTACGTTGGATGGGAGGCGGTTTGCGAGCGATTTCGTGAGCAAGAGGAAGATGGACGTACAGGGCAGGACGGGTGGCGGGAAGTGGGGGCAGGGGTTGGGAGGAATGGGGGCGATGGGAAGTGCGGGGTTGGGGGTGAAGAAGGTTCCGGTGATGGGAGGTGAGGCAAAGGTGAAGCCGCAAGGGGGCGTGGTGGGCAGCGATGCCGGGTTCAAGGTTGTTAAGGGGAAGGGGGCGAAGGGGAAGCGTTGAGGTGGAAGTGGGAGCGGTGAGGTGAGGTGGCAGGATACCGATGCTAGTGGTGTAGCGGAGCGTCGGGATACCAATACAATTGTAGAAACCAGATGATGAGCACGGCTTTGTGATCGTGAATGAGGGAGGCTCGTGATGGGTGTGAGTGTGTGTGTCGAGTAGTGCGCAAGCTGCCACGCACGCAATCGAAACCTGATGTGAGCTCCCTGAGCTTCCAGTGCAACGCTACCGAACGAACGCCTTGTCTCCCGCTGTGTACTGGTTTTCCGGTCAGCCTCTGCTTTGAACGTTGTTTTCCACCGCTGATGCAACTACAGCTACGAGAAGAGACGAGAAGGGAAGAGAGAGAGAGAGGTTTTCAAAGGTCTCGCTCAGCCCGTTGTTTCTCACACACAAGCCCAGTTTCAAATCAACAAAGAATACACAACGATTCGGGTGGTGAAAAGTAACATTCGGCGTCTAATCAGAGAGATGGAAGGGCTCTACAGCACAAAGGCTGACTTATGAATCGATGTCCATGCTGGTGGATTCGGCGGTGTCGGCGGTCGTTGCCGAGGGTTGTGATGGGTCGGCGGTGGGAGCGGTGGATGCGTCGGTGGCGGTAGCTGCTGCTGCTGCAGCATCGGACTGTGTCGACGCAGCGGTTGTGGATGCAGGAGGTTCGACGACGGCTGGTGTCGCGGTTTCGCTTGCTGCAGGAGCGGCGTCCGCAGCGGGAGCAACAGCATCATCCGCCTCAATTGGCTCTTCCGTCTTGGCCTGCTGCGTTTCCACCTGCACCTCTTCCGCTTTCGCCTCCTGCTTCTTCGCCTCCTGTTTCGCCACGGCATCCGCCTCGATCTTTTCATCTATCGCGTCCTCCTCAGCATCCGCGGTGGGGTTCTTCGCCTCTCCAATCGCAACTCTCCTCTCCCCGGCTCCCGATTCCTCTTCCACCCTCCCCACGTTCACCCTTCCCTCCCTATCCAGCTCGTCGTCTCCTCTCCTCGAGTGATCCTGGAACTCTCGTCGTTCCACCACCCGCTCGTCCGGGAACTTGTCCTCCAGCACCTGCAGGCCGTTCTTGTCGCCCAGCTCCATCCTCTCGTCCTCCTCTTCGCCGTTGACGTTCTCGAGGTGCATCTGTTCGATGATGCTCCTCGGTTCCACATGACCCTGCACCGAAGGGGCGTGGGCCGTCTGCCGCAGGTTCTCGAATACTTGGATCTTGATCTTCTCCAGGTACTCGCGCGTGTTGAGGTCCTCCATGTTGTTCGGTCGCACATCCAGCCGGTAGTCGGGGCCAAAGTATTCGTAGTACTCGTTGACGGGGATCTGCGGGTTGAGCTCCTGACCCGCCGCCAGGCCGGTTTCGAACGCCCATGCGCGCGAGACGTTGCGCATCGTATACCCACCACCTCCCAGCAGCAGCAGCGGCAGACCGAAGGATTTCACGTACTCTACGCAGTTGGCGTGCCCGCGCATCGAAAGGTTGAAGCAGCCGAGCTTGTCGCCCGCAAGCGAATCGCTGCCGCACTGGAGCACGACGGCCGAGGGTTGGTAGTGCTCCATGATCTGGGAGATGACCGGCTCGAAGACGGTCTTGTAGCTTTCGTCGGTGATGCCGTCGCGGAGGGGGAAGTTGCACGAGTACATCTTGCCTTTGCCGATACCGATGTCTCGCAGTTCGCCTGTTCCGGGGAAGAATTCTCCGTACTTGTGGAAGGAACAGGTCATGACGCGGTCCGTTGTGTAGAAGGCTTCCTCCACTCCGTCTCCATGATGCACGTCGATATCGATGTACAGTACACGCGGGTGGTACCTTAGCAACTCGAGGATACCCAAAACGATATCGTTGATATAGCAAAATCCGCTAGCTTCACCCTTCTTGGCGTGATGCAATCCACCCGCCCAGTTGATGGCGATGTCGCACTTGTCTCTGCTCAACCTAGCCGCACCTTCCATCGACCCACCAGCTGAGATAGAGCAGTACTCGAACAACCCATCGAACACGGGACAATCGTCACCAACGTTGAACTTGGACTGCTCTCGAACGAACGAATCGACGTTGTCCGGAGTGACGCGGTTGAGGAATTCGACGTACTCGTCGGTGTGGAACTGCGACATCTCTCGCTTCGTCGCGGGTTTGGCTCGGAAGATCTCCATGCGCTTGTAGAGGCCGTAGTTCATGACGAGCGAGTGGCACATCCGGATGCGCGTGGGTTTCATGGGATGACCGGGCCCGTAGTGGTAGTTGCCGATGTCCGAGTCGAAAAAATAGCAGACACGCGAAGGGTTTGGGTTAGAGGAGTTGGAGATGGGTGCGAAGAGGGGTTCGTCGGAAGACTGAGGTCCGGTGGGGTTGGAGGTGCCATTGTAGGTGGAAACGATCGAGTTGTTGGAGAGGAAGGTGGACGACATGATGGGCGAAGGATGGCTGCAAGACAGCTCTATCGGAAGTTGGAGGAGCGGATGGAAGCGGAGAGAGGGTTTTAGGAGGGTAGGCGCTGTCGACACGCTCCTGAGGGCTCGAAGCGGCTTCTCCGAATGCTGCTTGTGGCTCAGCCTTTCGATGAGGGTGCTCCGATGGTTGCTGTGAAGAAGATGTCGTGAGTGTGTCGGATGGAGCGAAGTGAAGAGATGCGTGGGAAGGTGTCTCTGCAGGCAGCGAGCAGCAGCTAGCTCTCTGGACCCTCTTTTGCTCGAAACGAACGTCGTGGGAAGAACTGGGTCGTGAACCGTGGACCGTGAACCGTGAATTTCTCCACCTTTTCTGACACTTTCCGCACGAAAAGGCGATGGGCCCAGATGGCTCGAGCGGGAGGAAAGCAGCACTGACTGCCTGCCTGGGCCGCACGTGATACGGCTGCTTGCACACCGCACTATCTGCAGGGCTCCACATTTTGTACCCCTTAACGTATCAGAGACGTCGTTGATCTCTCTTTGCTCTCCATCACCTTGTCGATCGCACACCTATCTTTCTCTGGCGCCGACCGCAATCACGGACCGCAAGGCAGAGGGTGCAAGTCGCGAGCTGATCAGCAACACCCAATCCGTCCTCGCGCGCACCCGGGTGCAGCTGACCTCTCCATCATGTCGGCGGCGGAACGAACATTGATAGCGCTCATTGCGGATGAGGTATGTTTCACCATTTCGCTCATCGCCTTCCCCGTTCTCACTCCATACTGACTTTCTCCTCTCCTTCTATGTCGCTCCCAATCCACTAGGACTCGACAACAGGTCTCCTCCTCGCCGGAATCGGCAACGTCGACGAAAAGGGCGAGAAGAACTTCCTCATCGTCGACTCGAAAACCTCCGTCTCCGACATCGAATCCTCCTTCAATCACTTCACCACCGAACGCAAGGACATCGCCATCCTGCTGATCAACCAACACATCGCGGAAAAGATCAGACCCATGGTGGACAGGTACACACAAGCTTTCCCCGCCTTGCTGGAGATCCCCGCGAAGGATCACCCGTACGACCCGTCGAAGGATAGCGTACTGAAGCGGGTGCAGAAGCTGTTTGGAGAGTAAAGGAGGTCCGATTGGGAAGGCTGCAATCATTGTTCAGTCCTGGTTACGGAGGTTCATGTGTGTGTTTGCTATGTGCGTGTGCAGAGAAGGGGAAGCCCTTCATGTGATCTTCGGGTGGGGGGTGACTTCCCAGACCGACACCATTGGAAGATGTCACCAAGGGAAAAATCACACTGGCGGGCTACAGTACGCAATCCGCTCACAAGTCCAACATCACACGAGCATGGTGTCTGATTATATAAATCTATGAGTTCCTCGAATCCCGCTCAAATCTCCATCGACAACCACCCCACGATCCTCTCAAAATCGTCTCCCCCATGCATCAGCATCTCTCCATGCGCCTTCCCCTTTCCATAGTGAATGTTCTCCCTCGGACACCCGCTCTCTACCAGATACTCCAACGTATCCTTCGCACTCAAAATCGCATCCTCTTCCGCCAAATAGAACCTCGTCCTCCTCCCATCCTGCAGCTTTTCGATCTCGTTCGGCCACAAAATGTTGCTGCTCCAGTCGAAATACCTACACAGCGTATTCGCCGTCCCCAACTCCCTAGCTACAAAGTAGCGCATCAGCATCTCGATCGGTGTCGTAGCTCGTTTGTAGACAAAGTTCGAACAGACAAAGGGTACCCAGAGTTGAAAACATACGGGATCGACGAAACAGCTCCTCCTGATCGACGAAGCGATCGATTTGATGAGCCACGAATGCACCAGCGAGCCGTACGAGTGCGAGAGAACATCGATCGATGTCCACGAGTTTTTCGCAAGGATCGAACGGAAGGCAGAGGTGGTCTCGTGATGTCCGAATGGTTTCAGGAACGAAGGCGAGAGGATGGATTGGGAGATGTTGGGTTGGATCAGGATGATAATCGGACGGTGGGCAAAGATCGGTGAGTGCAGGAAGAAGGAGACTAGAGAGGCATATTGGGCCAGTCCGATTCCGAGTCCGTGCAAAACGACGAGCGGCGTCCTGTCGAGACGTTTGCCACTGTCGGTCGTGGAGGACGCGTCTGGTGCTGGGCGGTAGAGGTAGGGAAGCCGGCCTTCATGACACAATTGGAAACCGCCGCGGACAGCTCGTCGGATCGTGAGGTGTGACAGCGTGTTTGTGGCGAGGTAGCACAGCAATGGCCGCGAACGCGTGCGCACAGGATCGATAGTGAGGCGCATCATTCGGATGCGTGGCGGACCTTTGGCTGCCAGCTTGTCCTGTGCAGTCTTCAAAAGCGTCGAATGGCTTGAATCTTGCGACTTAGACCGAGCCTGTGACTTTGACTCTGTTGCGGGAGGATCCTCAGGATAGCTTCGTCCCTGTCGTGTCTCGAGTAGCTCCATGCAGTACTCTAGAAATTTCAGTCTGTCTCCTGTGGTGGGATCCCATTCGCCGTCCTTGGCACGAACTTTCCTCGCATCCTCCTGCTCCTCGATCGATGCGCTCGCGAAAAATGAAGGAGGGAGCCCTCCGAAGGTCGAGGCCGATGGAGGCATGGGCGAGTTGAATGTGGACGGCGTGGCAGAGTCCAACCCGTTCGACGACGGCTTTGCAGCCGGACCCGGCTGGACACCTGCGCTCTCGCCACCGGTGAGTGTCACAAGACCATCCCTCTCGGCTTCGAGCACCTCGAGATCTGTTGCGAAGAGCGACCACGCGAGCCAATGCATGACTTCTCTTCGCGTGATCTTCTCGAACGGCACGCCGAAGAACCATTTCGCTTGGTCCTCTTGAAACTTGATGGCGCGCGGATCGTCGCCCGAGATTGGCGTGGATACGAACTGCGGAACGAAGCTGGCGGCACGAAGCCTGCCAAGTCTCTGTCGTACGTCACTAGGTGACGAACTTTCGTTCAGCCCGGATATTGATGACGCCGATTGACCGTTTGAGCTTCTGGAGATGAGCTCTGCGGTGCCCTTCTCTGCCCCGGGACGGGAGGGGGATACTGCACTCGCATACGACTGCTTCAGCTCCGAGTTGTCCGCCGGAGCGGGATTGAGACCAGCCTGCAGCGCTTGTGCAAAGACACTACGCAAGAAGCGTCTGCCGTACAAGGGGCGTGGCCCTGGTCGCTGGATCCGTCTCGAGAGGTGGAGATGGTACAGGGAGAAGGCTGCTTCGAGTGCGCAATAGAAGTAAAAGAGGTTCGACGCCCAGCGCCATCGAGATGAAAGAAGCTGAGCCCAAAATTGCGATACAGTGCGTGGCGAGTGTTTGACGACAAAGTTCCAGACAGTTCTGTCTATCGAGTAAGTTGTGTAGTGGTGAAGATAGTACCGCACCGCGCGAGTGATGAGTGCGATCCAGCTGAAAGGAGTCACACCCCATACGGTGAGAATGAGCAGGCGGGTGATGATCAGCGATGCGTCGCCTGGAATCAGCTGCGCCATGTTTGGTTGATGCCGTCGTCACTGGAGAGCCAGCGATGAGACTGTGGGCAAAGCAGTCGAAACTGTGTGATGCTGAGGTCGCAGCAACACTAGGCCGTGCGAACGAACTACACGGACGGTTCGAGGCCCAAAGAGAGCAAGCAAAGGGAAGGTCCGTATCAGGCTGATCCGAGCATGTTCAAGAGCGTGTGGTGTATGACCGGGGACTGGTCTTGTCGTGTGCTTAATGGGGTCTTGTCAATGTACGAGTCTATGCGTAGGTAGTGCACCGCGTCGAATAAGGATGCAAGCGTGGAAACGAGCTCCAAGAACACTGGCCAGGTGGTTCGAGGTGATTCTGTCCCGAAGCGTCCGTGCTGCGAAAGATCGCAGTAAAAGTAAAAGAAGCAGAGAGGTGAGAGATGGTGTGCACAAGTCAACGTGTCAAGCGCTGTTCCAAGCTTATTGATGTCATTGATGTTTCCGCAAAAGGCGCACGAGCTGCGATTCAATCGGAGAAGGACCCTTGATAGCCGACGGTGCGGAACTTCCCAACAACGCATCACATTCTTGACCCTTTTCTCAGAAATTCCTCGAAGCGTGAAAGAGGGCGTCGGGAACGTTCTGATCGATCAATCAATTTTGAAAAGATTCATTCCCTAAAATCAATTGCGGCTGTCAAAACCTTGTCGATCCGTCGACCCCACATGTCATCGGACAGAACCCACCTGATCATTGTTTGGCAACGAAGGCACGCATGCACTGCGGATAAACAGAGTGAGGTGCCTACCCCTGGGTGTAGCGTGCTCATGAGGAACCATCCCGGAGTCACGGCCAAAATGCTTGACAAGATACGTGGGCGATCTCTCTGACTGAAGTGTCTGACAACGATGTTTCTAAACGTGTCCGATTGCTTTCCATAAAAAGACATGATGATAATGCGTATCCCTACGATGGAGATATGATACAGATGCGAAATGGTGCAGTCCATGAGCGGTTGGCTTAGTTGTCGCTCGCCGATGAGGCTTCCGCCTCCTCGGGCTGAGCGCTTTCGAGATCTTGCACCTTCTTGCGCGTCTCGGCCTGTGGTGCCTGCTTGACGTCCCTTCGCAGCGAGTAGCCTTTCACACCGAGCACCGCGAGGAACCCTGCAGCTGCCATAGGTGCGAGCATGATCCACACAACCTGCAACCCCTTTCCGTAAGCTGCGATGATCTCGCGACTGAGTTCGGGAGGCTGGATGTTTCGAAGCCCCGTGAGGTCCTGCCCACCAGAGCCTGTAGCGACCATCGAAGGAGAGAAGCCGGGGATCTTGGCCAGCCTCGTCCTGCTCTGCGTGTTGAACACAGCACCTGCTACCGCAATTCCCATGGTGCCTCCGAGCGAACGGATCAGCGACATGGCTGCTACCGTGGTAGACAAGTCGCCGTGCGGCATTGCAGCCATGAGACCCACCAACGGCGTTTGGAACAGGAAACCTGTGCCGAAACCGGCAACAGCGATGAACCCTTCCTGCCTAGCCTGGCTCGAGCTGGCGTCCAGCGTAGCCATGAGAGCGTAGCCGATCACCATGAACACCCAACCAGCCCACAGGAAGGGTCGGTAGGCGCGCGCTTTGCTGATACCGATACCCACCACGCTCGACATGATCGAGGCGATCAGCGCGTACGGCAACATGTAGACACCGCTCATGAGAGCCGAGGCGCCGAACACGGCCTGGAAGTAGACGGGAAGGTAGTACGTAGCTGCGAAGAAGACGAATCCGTGCAGCAGCACCGACAAGAGGAGCAGCGAGGTGGTTCGAGTCGTGACCAGGCGCGGCGGTACGATGGGCTTCTTCTTGGTCTTGAACTCCCACGCCATGAAAGCGACCAACAGGCACCCACCCACCACGAGCAGAGCGATGGTCTCGGGCACGTTCCATGCCTTGGTCTCTGCGTAGTTGAAGCCGAGCAGAATGAGGATAACCGAGACAACGATCATGATGAGCCCAACGAAGTCAAATTCGCCGCAAGCCTCGCGGAAGGTGAGCTTGGGTCTCGGGTTGAGGTTGAGGAAGAAGAAGATGATGGCGAAAGCGATGGCACCCAACGGCAGGTTGACAAAGAAGCACCATCGCCAACCCGAGTGACCCGCGTCCGTGAATGCACCTCCAAGCAAAGGTCCGATGACCGATGCGATACCCCAGATACCTCCGATCCATCCCGAGAACTTGCCTCGGTCTTGCAACGAGACAATGTCGCCGATGATGATGTTGATGAGAGCGATGATGCCTCCTCCTCCGATACCTTGAACTCCACGGGCCGCATCGAGCCAAGCCATGTTTTGAGCTGCACCGCACATGGCCGAGCCGAAGAGGAAGATGATGATGGCTCCGTAGAGAAGCGGCTTGCGTCCCGTCAGATCCGAAAGACGACCATAGAGGGGGATCAAACTCGTGGCAGCAAGCAGGTAGGCCGATCCGACCCACGAGTATTGACCTGGATCTCCATCCAAACGCTGGGAAATGATCGGCAATGCTGTCGAGACAATGGTTTGATCAAGTGCGGCCAAAAAAACGCAGAGGCAGAGACCTGGCATGACGATCTTCATGTTGTTATAAGGCAGGATATGCTGATCGTGTTGAAGCCAGTGACCCTTCTTGGTGTCGTCCGTGCCGGAAGTTGGTGTAGCGGCGCGCGTTTCGCTCTTCTCATCCACTTCTGAGGCGGGGAGGCTGCCCGCATGTGTAGGTGCGCGCGTCGAAGGAAGAGTCTCGGAGGCTTCGTGGGCATCATGTTGAGCTGCTCCTGCGGCGGAGTCGAGACCGCCGATCTGGTTTCCTTCGCGTGCTGCTGCCTCGATCTCTGTATCACGAGCCGGGCTGGGGACCTCCTGCATCTGAGAGGTGTTGCCGGTCATGGCTGGTGGGTTTGCTGAATGAAGGGCGGCGGCGAGAGGCGAGCCACTGAGTGTTAATCACGTTGCCAAGATGTGGACGGGAGGGAAGGTGATGGACTGGTCGGTTCGTGGAAGCGATGACGTTCGCGCCTGGCGAGAGGGGACGTTTCAGAGCGTCTATTAATACAGCCGTTGGCAGGAGCGGGTGGTGACGAAGTCTTGATAAGGAATGCGGAAGGAGGATGATGTGGTGAGGAAGGAAGGACTGAGAGGAGATGACGGAGGCTGTGACACTCATCGAACCCGAGGAGGGCACGAGTCAGGGACATCTGACTGGACGCCGCGGGGAAGCAGCACTTGTCAAGCTCGGCGCGAGTGTTTTTCAAAAAGAGCTTGGATAATCCTGTCCGCGGTTGTTTCCACTGTAGTACGGCAGAGGCTGAGTCCGGCCAAAAAAAGGTATGATTTTTTTTTTCGAGAGAAACAGAGGCGTTCTGCGATTTACGGAAATGCCGCGGCCCTGCCCAGGATTCTGCGAAATCGCAGTTGACGCTTTCCCCCCACGCTTTAACCTCGGCATCGGCACTTAGTCAGGAGGTTTACCACCACTTGATCAGACAATTCCACACTCGACCCTTAGAAATGCAGCTACTCGGTGCGACTCATTCTCCCTTCATTTGCCGATCATTCCACAAACCCCTTTCCGATGCCATGACTCCATTTCACACGTTCCCCCGGCTATGCACACGTACGATCGTATGCTCCCCCTCTCTCCAGTACCCTGTCCTCGCCCATTTTTGGCCGCGGAGCTGATTCTGTTTTAGTACACAAGCCTCGACTTGCTTTCATCATCAGGCTCAGGCGGAGATAAATGTGCTGATTTCGAAGCTTCCATGAAGGAAACACGTGGTGTGCGTGTTGCGATATTTGCAAATGAACCGCCGGAAGCGGATGGTCGGATATTCGCGTTCGAGGTGTGGTACACGTTGACGCGGCGACGTGTGTTTTTCGTTGCTCCCACCAATCCTGCTTCATGGATCCTATTTTGGATCATTGAGACTGGAACCTAACTACAGCAAAGCAGATGGCTTGTTCGAGGCTGAGCCTCGGTCGTGAGAGATAACGAGTTTGTACTCCATAAATTGCCGGAAGGCTTGGTCGAACACAGATGGCGTTCTTCATAAATAACCCCCGGTCTAGTTACCAGCCTTTTTTTGTTAAATTTTTTCTCTTTTTTACCCACATTCGGAGCACTTTACCCCGAACTTGCACACCGAGCAACATACTTGTAGCACAAGACATCCCAAGATACCACTATGAAGACTAGGAGAAGGCTGGAACCCGTTCACGTAGCAGAACACCTCTGATCAAAGTAGAACTGATAGACAGACAGAGAGTACTTTTCTGACTTTTGGAGGACCAAAAGCAATCTCGCAGCGTAAGCAACGCCGCGGCCTTGGCAGCGCTTTCGGCTTTGCAGCAATCGGTTTCCGATATTGCCGAAGTTACGTATTTTGCATCCTCGTTGTTGCTAATATCACCGCGGAGCAGCAGCTTAACTTTCCTTTTTGCAACCAGAACGAGTGCAGGTTATCGGTAGCATGATGTTTTCGGATTCTTTGCCGACTCTTGCCTTCGGAACGCTTCTGTGTCTAGAACGTACCTCCGCTTGACTGGCGCTACAGGACAACGATTTGGTACACGTACTCCGAATGCTGCGTTGCAATTGACGAGGACGACGACGTCACGCATCGCTTCTTGCTGACTACATGCTTCCCTTGATCGTTCCACTTTGCTGAGATCTTGCCCTTCTTGCGCTGCTGAAAATTGGCTGACCGCGGGCGTTGATGATGGTCTCCTCTAGACTCTATTTTCTGTAGAACCGTTAATGATATCGAGCACGGCTGTATCCTCGATTGAAGCTGCCAACGTAGCGACCGAGACAGTTACGGGTCCCGCCTGAGTCATCCTGCTGGGTCTTTCGCCTGCCCCGCCTCTTCCGCCTCGATCTTGAGTCGCGAGCTGGACAAATTCTGAAGCTGCCTCGATCGGCCAAGTCAACGGAGAGACGCAGATCCGACCGTACAAATCGAGCTCCCTCTTGAGCGCTACTATGGCTTTAGCGTACATGGCTGTGTTGTGGAAACGGAAGAGAAAAAGGAGAATGTCAGCGTAAGCAAGACGTCAAGTGCAGAGCAGCCAAACAAGTGTCGTCGACGCTTCGTCTCGTACCACGAGTGACCAGGACAGGCAGCAATACTCACCATCTCTGCTATAGAGCTGGCCGCGTTCCCTGAGGACCGCCGTCAGCGTCGAAATATCTGTTTCGAGCTCGTCCTTGCTGCCAAGTTGAAGGTTCACCATCCACCTAGCCGCAATGAAAAAGCCGACCGAACACACGGACGGAAAGCTGAAAAGAAAACTCGCATCCTGCAGAGCCATACCCGCAAGGCGTGAGAGCCAGACCGCCGCGTTCAAGATCCTGCTTCGAACCTCATCGTCGCCTCGAGCAGATGGCTGCATGATGTCAATCTCCGTCTCGAACAGACCGAGTACAGCTAGATGATGCGTCACCTCTGCCGCAAAGCGTATTTTGTCCTGCATCATCAAGGTCGCCAATAGCCCGTCGCGCGACCGAGAGCCGCCGCCGGCACGGTCACCGACAGACGCGTCCGAGTGCAATAGCAGGCGCTCGTCGTAGTGGGACAGCATCACTCTCGAGTGGCGAATACTTTCATGTGCGGCTCTAAAGGCATCATCGCGATCTTGCCTTGAGCCGCCCAGACTGCTATCTTGAGCTGCTTCCGATGAACGATTCCACTGACGCTCGGCGACGCTATAGCTGTAGCATTCGTCCAGCACTAAGCTGACCTTGACGAGTAGCGACATCGAGGTATCCGATGCATGGAATGTTGGAACACGGCGTTGTCGTCCCAGACTCGCTTCCGCTTGGTCTGCGCTACGCTGTGACGGGTTGATGGCGTCACTGTATTTCTGTCGAGGAAAAGCTCTGTGGATGCTCTGTCTCTCCAAAGTGGTGGGAAGTAGAGCAAGGCGACTTTGAAAGCAATCGTGCACAAACAGACTCCAAAAAGCAAGTGTCTCTTCTCTGCTCTGCATCAGCCCGCGCAGTGCTCTGGCGAGATTCGATGGTTGTGAGACGCCTGACGAAAGTCGCGGGTGAGCGTTGGAGGCACTGCTGTAGAGCTGTAACAGACGAGCGTCGGCGACTGCCAAAGCAAGGTCCGCTTGCGACGAGGATGTAGTCGATTGAGATTGGGAGAGCTCGACGAGCAGAAGGCGAACCATGAAAGAGGCAGGCGAAAGACTTCCAGGTGACCTCGTGGTGACTTGATGGAGCAAGCCGCGCGCACCGTTGGCGTAGATTTTTGTGACTGCTGGGATCCATCCCGGACTGTCGAGGATGGGGAGGTCGGAATGCGATTGGGATCTGAGAAGCGCATTGATTGTCTGGCAGGCTGATGAGAAGCTGATACCTGTAGTCGTCGTCGAAGATAGCAGCGGCAAGCCGGTCGCCACGCATGACAGCATCAGAGCTTGCGCTACTAAGCGCTCCTCTTCAGGGCTCGGTACTGTCTCTAGAAGAGCAGCGACGTCGGTCAGCGCGTAGCTGTTGATAGCCGAGAATAGCCAGGACTCGTAGCGGCAAACCTGGATGAGTCGGTCCAACACCTGTTTGCTGGGCACCGGCGGGACTGCGGACCCGAAAGCAGAGCCGTGATTCGAGCGCATGCTGGAGTCTTGGCCATGGTGCGGCGGCGCCGAACGGCTGGTTATTGCCGAAACGGATTCGGTGATGGATTCCCTCCAGCTCAAAACCGAAGAAGAAGGAGCCGAGACGCGATGGGCAGCCTGCCGATCTGCGGCCTTCTCGTCCATTTGCCGCCATGGTGACCCGGATCCCGTGTCACGAGATTTTGTCAGCGCCTGGGCGGAGTCGTACATTGAGGGCCCTTGGCTTCCTTGTCTCGTTTCCAATGCATCTCCATCGTCATGTAGATACTTGGATCGCTTGTAAGAGAGCCCATCGCTTCGCCGGTCTCCAGCACGTTCCAAAGAGGACGTCACGGTAGGTTGGGAGGGCAAAGTGGCGGATTGGCGTGGATCGACGCCCGCGATCGAGCTCTCTCTCGTCGACTGTGAGTTGACGATCGCCTCGCTACGTCGGAGTTGTTCTTGAAGACGCGAGATCTGGGCGCGGAGCTGTTCGTTGTCGGTGAGTCGATTGTCTCGGGTCACGTCGGCATCGCGGTGACCCACGAATGGTGATTGTTGTGAAATCGATGCGTGCGTAGAGTCCTCTGGGCTGCTTCGCTTGAAAATCCTGGCCAGGATAGACGTATCGTATTCGCAAGGCGGCGCGACGCTGGACGAAGAGGAAGCCTCATTGGAAGCGGAGTGATATGCAAGCCAAGCTTTCTCGCAACGAGTGCACGTAGGCTTCTTTGCATCACATCGGAGCTTCCTCTTCCTACACGCAAGGCAAGCCTGAGACCGACGCAGCGAATCAGGTCCTTTAGCCTTGCTTGCCCTGGCAAGGGATTCCCGGGCGTCGTCACGAGTGTGTCCCGAGTCGTGCTGGTATATCGGATCAATGTGATCACGAGAAATGGAGTGGAGCGATCCATCTTGGTTCAATATAGACGAACCGGCATCAGAATGTCCAGTCTGACCGTCGCTCGCGGCTACAGCTTCGTTTCCAGGGCTGGTGTCAGTCAGCTCCGGCATAGCGGACTTCGAGCAGGACGTCGGACGTCGGACGCCCCTGGTAAGCAGGAGCCTTCCGATTTGCGGTCAAGTCGGTTTGCCCCAGAGACGGTGGTGCGGAGGTACCGAGGAGAATGTCGGACCTGATACGGGGTGGGTGTGTAGCAATTCTGGGAGCTATTGTTAGCACCGGCACTGCCGATGAGCGAAAGGAGGTCGAAATGGGCGCTACAGTCTTATTGACTAATAGTGTGTGTGACAGAGCGATCAGTCGAACGCCCGTAGAAGGCATCTTCTCCCAACTCTGGGAAAGGCGCTAGAATGTCTGTCGGGACGAGGACGCTGGCGACAGAGAACGTTGACTGTTTGGGTTTGTCGAAAGGTTGAGCTATTGGCACAATGGATGAGGTCCTGTTCTTTTGACGAGAGTCGTCCTCAGGCGAGTCGGGGGGAAAGGAATATCGAGGTTGTCGTGGCGACAATTGACGACCAAGAGAAGCAGAGGAGGGCAGGTGCGACATGCAGGTAGAAGGAGGCGACGCCACTGCCGCGAAGGCAGAGGGTATGATGACAAGCGACGCGACAAATGTTGTGGCGAAGCTATGCAGGTGGCAGGAAGCGGGGACGATCAAGTAATGACCAAACAAAAATCACTGCCCTATCTCTTGTAGACAAACCGGGAGCGGGTCTGCTGTCAACAGTCAACGTCGGTCATCGGTATACGTGATTAACGTCAATAACAAGTGCCAACGCGGCCTCTGAAGCCGGGAGGACGCTTTGCGCGCGCGTTGCCGTGTCCAACGAGGAAGTCGATGAAAGGGGCGGGTCTTGCTTGCTTGCAGCTTGTAGAGGCAGACGGAGGCTGTGCGGCCAGGATCAGCTACGCTCTCATGCGCTGGAACAATGACGGATGTGGGACAGAGGCGAAATCGTCACGAGCCTGCAACATGAAGTGGTGGTGATAGGTATCTGCCCAATGAGCCGCTCGCGCGAAGTGCCTGGACCTGAAGAAGGAATGGTTACATAGGAAAGCGTAAGATTCAGTACTCAGAAGACAGAGAGCTCGGAAAAGGATGACGGATCAGTCAAGTTGCGACTTTGGCCAGTCTGTCAAATCACCTGCAAGATCTCGAGAACAATGGAAACAATGAAACAAGTGCGGAAGTACAGTGGCGTTCATGCTTCGCGCAGCGATACACTTCGAATATTTGTTCGAAAGACGCTCGTAGCGCTCCAGGCCCGCATGGTCCGCATGGTAGGCTCTTTGCCAGTCCCCTCCCCTTTCGCATGTCGCGCATGGTTGTGGACTTCGACAAGAACGCCGCCGGCACTTTTACGATCGGTACCTTGGACCTGCAGCTTGAGCGCTTAGGAAGCATGAACGACGATGACTGTACAGCGAAATCTCAAAGCCGCAGCGTAGAACTTACTGTGGCCAAATTTTCTTTCCGACAGCTTGGATCTCGGATGTGAAAGTGTTTGCTCGTCGTAGGAACGCCGAGTCTTGCAGGATCGAAGTCATTCGAGGGATAGCAGAAGAAACGTTCGGTCTCTGAGCCCAGTTTTACACCCGCAGTCAAGGCGTCCGCCAAAATTACAAGTGTATTGGGAAGGCCACGAGGATGATGAGGAACGGCAGGCATGCCAGCAGCAGACGTTTCCACCGTCTCAGAGGCAACCTGGCTTAATGTCGGCAATCCAACTGCCACACGAGAGCCACACTTATAACCTCGCCAAGACACTGCTCCGGGGAATCGCACCCAGAGCTTGGCGACGAGGACCACCTCCACCTAAACAAGGCTGGGAGCTGACCACACGTGAAAAGTCGGGCGTGGTCAAGGAACATGGTACCTGTCCCGTCTCGACTACACCTGGCGCCTGCCTGCGCTGCTGAATAGCTTTTCACGACTCTGACTACAGTGGTGTGATGGCTCATCGTGTGGACGGTCGACGCCATCGACAATTTTCAATCTGAAGACGAAATTTCCGAATCCGATACGAGAGCACAGCACGGCTGCCCGAGGCTAGACAAGGAAAGCTTCCCCGCATTGACTCGCCGGATTATCTCGTCCTCAGAAAGACGCTGACGATCGAATGGACGAGCTAGCCAAGGTCATGCATGTGAAGCGGTGTGATGCAAGACGGTGGCGATCGATTGATGCGTCTGGGTCCACTCGCAGAGGCAATGAGAGAAGGACGACTCCAGAAGACATTGGACGGCAAAGAAGGGCAGGTGGCATCATTCCATTAGCTTCGCGCTACCCGCGATGCCGACGGATGGTGCATCTTGCTCGCTGCATTTGCTATCCCAAAAGGTAAAAAAAGTTGGACGCAGTAAACAGCACACAAAAGCCCTTCCAAGCCGGACAGCTCCGACATCGTGGTTCTGGAAGGTGGTTCGATGCAGTCACAGCAAAATTCGCGCAAAATGAGTAACCTTGAAAGCCTCCGATTCTGCTGGAGGAGGCTGCCAGACGCTGAACAACTGACTCGCGTGTACGGTTGAGACGTCAAACGGGTGGTGGAGCGGGATCACAAACACCGTCGGGCAATTCCCAGAAAGAAAGCTGGGTCGACTCTGGTTACGGCGAAATCATGGGCCGTCGACCGAAAGCAGCCTTTAGGCGATTCGTCAACGTGACTCCGTGCAGCAGACTCCATCTGCGCAGCGAGCCTGCAAGCATCTCGCCGTCTGGCTTTGTTCGGTCCTTAAAGCTCTGATTCAGACCTGGCAAAGGATGTGGTCCGCCTGCCGAGGCATACAGTCATGAGAACAGAAGTCGGTGAGATGCTTTCCAATGTCTGGCTCGTCTGAACTGTGACCATCGCGGTTGGCAGACGCTCCCTTGCTATTCGGCTTGACTGCATCTCATCAAGGGCACTGCTCCAACCGAATCGGCGCTCGGGATCAACTCACTTGCGTGTCCACTGCAACGCACGCTAGCTCCCGGAAGCGGCTGCAGAAGCGCTGCTCTAGACAAATCACTGTTCTGTCCCCAGTTCGGTAGAGCTGAACCGCAGCGGTGAAGAGGCCCGAACGGGTCCGCGAAGATCGAGTCCCCGAATCTCACTATTAAACCGCGGAAATGCCTTTGTCAAAGCTGCCAGAGTGACGTTCGATGAGGTTTATGCTTGGCGGATGTCTGACTCCGGCATGGCATAGAAGCTCCAGCTAGCGTTGAACAGGATCGCGACTGCCGTTGCGCAAACACCTCGTCACAGGCTACTCTCCGCTGCAAATAAATGCACAAGGATCCGGATTTTTTGATTCCGACATGCTTTCTGATTCGCAGTGTCCTTCGCTTGCGTGGCGCCCTTCGCTGCGGCTCAGCTGATTTGATGATGAATCGCCGGAGCTGATTCATCACTCCTTTTCACCCCTGCAACCTACAGAACCTGCCCTGTGCGGCTTGATTCGTGAGACCCGGGAATTCGGCGAAGCGTCGCCCACGAGACACGCGTCGGGGAGCAATATGAGAAATATTTAATGGGATGTCTTTGCGCACTTTCACGCACTGCATCCATCGGAGTCGGGATGTGCCACGTTGGTTTGATATCTCTCCGAAATCGCTTAGCGCCAGAAAAGATTCTTCGGCATCTACCAAACGTATCGACGTTCGGCTCACGGTGCGAATGCGCAAAGTCGTTTCTCCCACTTCTCCCACACTCTCCCACTCCCGCACTGCCCGTTGCCGAGTCCGCAAGGCTTCCCGCGAGCCTGAACGGCAATCCAGGTATCGGCCATGCATGGATGGAAAGGGCAGAAACCCAACTTGAAAAGGCGATATTCTCTACTTCCATTCCGGACTCCGGTCGCCGAATGTCGGGCTTCCGAGTCTAGTGTGATGTGAACGCGCCGGATTGGAACAAGCGAGCAACACGAAGGGCCGAGAGAGGTGGCGTTGCCCCCCGTCACCCCGGTTCACATGTCATTTAGACGCAAAGCCATCGCCCCCTTTTTTTAGTATGTGGTTTTCAGTGACCCAGCTTTGGAGCGACCGTCGCGATCGCCGGGAGAGCTGGTTCCGTCACTAGTGCAGTGGAAACTTGGCGCCTACCAGTCGCCGCAGAAGAGCTTTTGTGGCTCTGAGCGGATATACCCCATGCAACATCACATCGTGTACATGATTGGCTCAGACTCCCGATGAATCGATGCGTCCGATTTGAGCGGATCATCCGACCCTCCATCGATGGGGCTCAGCGTAACAGTACGTCTGTCGCTCTTCTCATTCGTCCACGATACGGTAGCCCGTCTTGCTCTGCCCAATGAGGGATGGCGTTGTCATTCACGCTTCAGGACAGGTAGGTTCCGGCTCGTCAGAGCATCGTTGGTTCATCGAGCCACTGCATAACGAGAGAGACAAGGCATGTCAGCAAAATCCCTAGGACGAAGAGTGTAACGACGCTTTCGTGAACTTACGTCGAGGAACTCGGGAGTAAAGTAGCTGAGAATGATGTTCGCGCCGGCCCTCACCATGCTCTGTACCGACTCTTCTGCCATCCTTCGGAGCTCGTAGACACCCGCTTTGGCGCCGGCATGGATCATGGCAAACTCGCCGCTCACCTGGTAGCACGCCAAGGGATGATCGGGAGCCAGGTCTCTTGCTTCAGCGATAATGTCGAGGTAAGGCAGCGTCGGTTTCACCATGAGCACGTCGGCACCCTCGTTGGCATCGCGTACGATAGCGCGGCGGGCCAGACCTCGTGCAGTGGGTGGAAGCTGGTAGCACCTTCTGTCGCCGAACGAGGGCGCCGAGTCGACCGCATCGCGGAAAGGTCCGTACAGGCTGCTGGCAAACTTGGCGCTGTACGCCATGAGCGTCACCTTGTTAGCCATACCAGCATCGATCAATCCTTTCTTGATGGCGCGGATGCGACCGTCCATCATGTCCGATGGAGCGACACAGTGAGCACCAGCCCTGGCATAGCTGACAGCGACCTCGGCAAGACGCTCGACAGAGGGTTGGTTGTTGATGGTGCCATCATCGTAAAGGATGCCGCAGTGACCGTGTGATGTGTACTCGCAGAGACAGACGTCGGTGGCAATGTACAGCGAAGGGAAAGCTTTTCGGAGGACCTTGATCGCTTGGATGACCGGTCCGTTGGGGTCGTCTGCGAGCGTGCCTCTCGCGTCCTGGCAGACAGCAAGTGGGCAAGGAAAAGTCAGCATCATCGGTTCCGGCCTCGGACACGGCTCGAATGACCTTTCAAGAAGCTCGGGTACGCACCTTTGGCGTCTTCAGCGGGACACCGAAGAGTATAACCGACGAAAGCCCCTTCTTGACCAGAGGAGCCAGGAAGCCTTCGAGCTTGTTGACTCCCCATCGGCACTGACCCGGCATGGAGGCAAGCGACACCTCTGCATCTGCATCGTCGGTGATGAAGATGGGGTACATGAACATGGACTTGGTGATGTTTCGTCCCTGGTTCTGCCATGCCCGGGTGACCGGGTGCTGGTAGCCGGAGTGCAGGATGGAGCTGTTCGATCATCAGGTGGCAATCGAGCAAAGCATGAAGCGACGTCAGCACATCGTTACAGATCCGGCCTGTTCTGAACGGAGACTCTTGGGACGTACTTGAGGTCTGAATTCATTCTGTGAGGGTGTCGCAAAGGCAGAGACGAACGAGGTAGGTGGAAGCAATTCGAAATGTGACGCCGGTCTTCTCGCTCGGACTTGTAAGATGTGAAGGTGTCGGATCGATCGTGTCGATCGGGAGCTCGCTGCCTCCCAAAGACGATTCCGACGCGTCGAGCAGCGACGGAGCATATCTCGTGATCAGGCAGGGCAGAGCGAGATCTGGACGAAATTCAGGGAAAGAGGCGAGAAATTTTATTTAATTTTTAGCGACGCGGTTGACACCTGGGAAGAGACAGAGCCAGAGAGCGACTGACTCTGACACTCGGGCCAGCTCGTTCTCTATGCTTGAGGATAGAGGGCCGTAGAGAGCCAGGTCTTAGCCGGCCGTCGCATCATCGTCACACACGCTCTGTGTGAATTAAAATAAGAATGGGCACAGGCAAGTGCAATCTGCAGCTGCACTTTCAAGCCACGGCATTCGCGACGGCTCGGCCTCATCGCCCCGCGCACCTTCCTCCCTTTCCATCCATCGTTCCTTCCATCTGACCGTTCATCCTATACCTAGCTTCCCACCTTCCATCCACCCGTCCATCCGTCTTTGGCGACACCACGCTTCACCGAGCGCTCGCTCGTTCACCATCATCACCGCCGGTAAACCTTCTGTCCGGCACATCTCGTCGCGCGTCGATCCACTCATCTCAACGACGCGTCGCATCACGACCTCCTAACCGATCTACGCAAGCACTCACACAATGTACGGTCGAGGAAGCGGTCAGCAGCAGTACCGCGGCGGTCTCTCGTCGTGGGACATGCAGGCGCAGTCCGGATACGCGTCGTCTCCCTCGCAGCAGCAGCAGCAGCAACAGCAACAGCCCACCTACTTCGGCAGCAACATGATCTCCTCTGGATCCAGAGATGACGTGGGCGGATACGGCGGATACGCGGGCGGCGGATCCAGCTCGCATTTCCCTTCCGGTTACCCCGGACAGCAGCAGGGAACCGCTGGATCCTCGTCGGCCAACTCGCGCCCCAACACTTTTGCGAGCTTCTCCGAGTCTTTCTCCGGAGGCTACAACGGCAATCAGCTCGTGCCTCAACAGCAGCAACAACAGGCTCAGCAGCAGCCGCAATCGCAGCAACAACAGCAGCAGCCTCAGCAGCAGCAAGCGCCGCCCACCACCTCGTACCGAAGCGAGCACAGCTACTACCAGCCCTCGTCCGATTCGTACGGCGCCAACCGCGATCGATCGGGTCAGCCGCTCTATCCCTCGAGCGATGGCTTTGCCAAGGATTCGCGTTTCGACGGCGGCTATTCGTCGGCGAGCGGCCAGCAGGACTGGAGCAACTATCAGGCTTCTTCGGGCCAGGCCGGCGCCAACGCCGCTTCGCGATCTCAACCTACTCCGGCTGCAGCACCCTCGGCTTCACCGTCAGTAGCGCCTGCTGCTGCGACACAGGCAGCGGCGGGTGCCGGAGCAGCGCCAGCCGCAGCGGGGCCCAAGAAGCGTGGACGCAAGCCCAAGAACCAGACTCAGGCTCCCGCCGCCGCCCCAGCAGCAGCACCCGCAGGAGGCAAAGCGGCGGGCGGCTATCCGGCGCAGCAGCAAGCTGGATTCATCGATCCATCTGCCACCATGATCAAGGCCAATGGCACCACCGCCAAGGGCAAGAAGGCAGCCGCCGCCGCCGCCGCTGCCGCTGCCGCAGCGGCTGCTGCTGCTGCTCCACCTCCCTCGGCAGCTCCTGTGATTGCTGGCATACGACCCAAGGGCAAACGAGGTCGAAAGTCAAAAGCGGAGCTCGCCGCGGAAGCTGCTGCTGCCGCCGCCGCCCCACAACATAGCGTCGTGGCAGCTGCGGATCCATCGATGAACCCGCCTCCAGCGAAACGCAAACGACGAACCAAGCTCGAGATGCAGGCGGCGCGAGCGGCGGAAGCCGAGGCGGCAGCACGACAAGCTGCGCTGCAAGCGGCCGGTCAAGCGCCCATACCGGTGAAAGACCCGCGAGGACGCAAACCTGGCTCGAAAGGCAGCTTCACCATCGCGTGGAACAAGGAGATGGTGTCCAAGATCCAAGGGCTGCGCGTGTTTGGAAACATGATCGAGGACGACGCTACGCAGCAGGAGTTTGACAACGTGGTGGTGGATCTGTTGAGTATGCTCGACGGCAAATTGCCACAAGACAAACAGGGCTGATTGCGTTGAGCATATTGGTGTCGGGGTTTCTGCCGTCTGTATGTGGTGTATATGTAGATATGTACAATTTGTCTCTGTAACAATGGAAGATCTTCAGGATTTCGCCTTTGCCGAGTGGTTCAGACCGAGCTCCTTGAGAAACGCGCGCGAGTACCTCTCCACCTGTCTGTACGTCGCTTCAAAGTCATTCGTGTAGTAGCTATCTGCCACAGGTTTCCCATCATCGACGTCACCGAACAATCTAACTTTCGCCTTGGACCCTGGAGGTTGCATACGTTTCAAGTTCCTGACGTTGTTCGTATCCATACCAAAGATGACGTCGAAAGTGTCGAAGTCGTGGGGTTCGATGCCGCGAGCGGTGTTGGAGAGGTCGATGGGGATGTTACGACGTTGGCAGAGTTCGGTGGTGCGTTCGTCGGGTTCTTCGCCCGTGTGGTAGGCGGCGGTTCCGCAGGAGTCGAGCATGTTGAAGTGGGAACGTACGCCAGAGGTGGTGGCGATGTGGGTGAAGACGGCGAGCGCCATGGGTGAACGACAGATGTTGCCGAGACAGCAGAAGAGGACGTTGAGTTGAGCGTCTGGCATGATTGAGATGATGAGGTGGGAGAAGAAGGAGTAGTAGTCGAGAAACGCGCGGTGCTTCGTGCGCAAAACAGAGAGATTGTGGTGTTGGATTGGAGTCGGGTTTGTGAGATTTCTCGCCGGTGAAGAAGAAGCCTCCACTCTGGCTGCCGGTGGGGAAAATCAATGCACGATGCGCTAAGCCGAGAGAGACTGTTGCAGCTGCTACGGTTTCTCAACACCATCACTTGTAGTGTATCTTCGTTTCCACCACGCACGACCGTCACTCTCGGTAAAAATCAATTATGGTGTCCTATTCGGAGCTAGCCAACAAGAACGCCTCCGTCGACGTGTCGGGTCAACGAGCGCTCGTCGCCGGAGGAACCCAAGGCATCGGCGCCGGCATCGCTCTCCGCTTCGCCCTCTCCGGCGCCTCTGTCTGGCTCATCGGCCGTTCCGAATCGCGCGCCTCGGAAGTGCTCGACCTGCTCAACAAAGCTTCGCTCGAAGCATCACGTCGATCTTCCTCCTCTTCTAGCTCTGCTGCGGATCATCAGTTCTTCAAAGCTGACCTCTCCTCCCCCGCCGGAGTCACCGACGTCGCCTCCCGCATCACCACATCCGCCGGCAAGCACGGCATCGACTACCTCATCGAAACCGCCGGTGGCCCTCCTACCGGCTCCATCACCACCACACCCGACGGAATCGAAACCCAATTCGCCGTTCAAGTCCTCTCCCGTGTCGGTCTCGCCAAACAACTCGTCGAAGCCGGCACCATCAAACGCGCCGTCTTCATGGTAGCTGCACCCGCTCAAGGTGGTTCCTCCCGCATCGACGTCGATGATCTCGATTTCACCAAAACCCACTCCACCGGAAAGTGGTGGTCTGGACCTCTAGGAATGTACAAAAAGGGCGCAAGATCCTCCTCCATTCTAGACGCTGCCTCTCAACACCTCGCCGAACACCACCCCAACCTGACCTTCACACACGTCTTCCCCGGTATCATCAACACCAACGCCATGGAGAATCAGGGTTACAACAGATTGGTCGTCGCTGCAGCGAAGATCTTTGGACCACTGGTGGGAAGCAAACCCGGTCCGGGGGGGTATGCGGAACTGCCGTTTTATCTGCTGGCGAACGACGAGGGTAGGAGGTATTTGGAGGTCGGGAAGGCGAATTTGATCGACCAGAATTTGAAGAAGCTGCAGATCAGTCCTAATGTTAAGGAGAAAGATGTGAGGAGCAGCATCTGGGAAAAGTTGTCGGCGTACTTTGCTTGATCGAATGCCAGATGCGGGGGGGTTCCAATGATTCCAGGTGTCATGGTGTACAAGTTGTGGGCTTCGTGATGCGATGGATGTACATTGTCGGCGTTCGAGTGTGTGTTTTTGCTCAGACTGTCGTGCTCTGTTTCTTGATCCGAAAGGTAGGTTTGTAGCAACTGTGTGAGAGACTACACCAGCCTTTGACTTCTCCGATTCTCGATCAAGCTAGCGATCTTGGACTGTGACTCTTTCTCCCCTCTTGACCTCTCCACCTCCCCCGCTGCTGCTGCTGTCCTCGCCACCGCTGACGCCGAGAGCTCCTCCCCTTGCTCCCTCAACCTCGCCTCTCGCTTGGCTAGCCTCTTCGCCTTCATCTCGTCCATCGCCGTCCGGAGATCCTCTTCGTTCCTCGGTGGTCGGTAGAGCGACTCTTGCTTTGGCCAGAACTGATCTCGAATCGGAAGCACGTGTTCGTTGTACCATTGGACGTCGCCGAAGTGCACCATGACGGCGAGGGGGAAGAAGAGGTACACGCCGAACTTGAAGAGCTCCAGGTTGGGGCCGGCCATTTTGTGAGGAAAAGACCGCGGAGTTGAGTGCCCGGTGAATTGTGCTTTCGAGGGAGAAAGAGGTTGTGCGCGCGGACGAACGATTGCAATGGTTTGTGAAGCAGTCTTGAGATGGCTATCGAGAGAGTTTGAAAGGGGAAACGCTTTTGGATAGCAGGTCGTCGAAATGATGGAAGCGAAGAAGGTTTCTGCTGACTTGATCCAGACTCAAGAAATTCACCGCGTCCTGCAGCCGCTTTCGATTTCAGAGCTCTCCGAGATCCGATTCAGGCATTTCCTCCACACTCTGTTTCGCCCGCGGCCATCATACGAACATCACCACACCACAACTCAATCTCACGTCAGCGCACACTGCCACCATACGCTCTTTGCTTGAACAGACAGTACTGCGGAATATCTCTATGTATGACCGCAGACCAAAACCCCAAATCACTTTGAAACCCGAAAAAGAATCGAACGCCTCCTGAAACTACAATCTCAATCATCGCCACTATCGCCATCGCTGTAATCCTTCGCACCCGCCTTATCCGCCGTATATCCGTCGAGCTGCTTGCTGAAATCCGCGGTCAGCCCCGTTCCGCTGCTCGCCTGATCCGCAAACAGCGCGTTCCTGCCCTGCGGCGAGCTGTACACCTTGCTGGCACTGTGACCTGCCCCCTCGACCACGCTCAGCGAATGCACGATGGAAACGCCGGTGAACTTTCTCAGCGTGGTCTTGGAGGATGTTGGGATGTCGGTCTGGGTTGTTTTCGCCGCCGATGCCTGAGGGTCAAGTGCGGGGAAGGTTCCTGGGAAATTTTTGAGCGAGTCGGGCGAGGTACGACCGGAGAGCAGGTGGATGTACTTCCAGTAGGCTAGACTTCGGTTTCTTCGCAACGGTCCTCCGACGGCGTGCGCCATGCACGTCTGATCGCCCTTCTCGGTGGAAGTATCCGCCAGCCCGACCACGTACCGAACTTCCTTGGCGGCGTAGGACTTGAACAGTGCAGGAGCTCGAGAGGCCGAGAGAGTAGAGTACGGTGCAGTGTACTGCTTGAGGCCGTAGCGGTAGTTGTTCCAAGTGGGGCAGGAAGCTTGGTCCACTCCTACAGGTCGATCGTCGGTAAAGTAGAGTTCCGACGAAGGATCTCCCACGACATACCTCACACTCAACCTCTTCGGAGCCGGGTTGCTCTTGCCCAACACAGCATATCGCTGAAGCATCTGTGCACCACCTCCATGCGCCACGAACGTAATATACTTCATCCTCGGATACGCCTTGGCATCGCTGAACCTATCCAAAAACGCATCCAACACGGCGAAGCTCGAAATGCCACTGAACGGCGGATTGGTGCTGCCCTCGCCTGCCGTCCAGGCGTTGCTATCGTCCCACGCCAACTGCGTCACGTTGTACGCACCTGCATCCTCGAACGTGCTGAAGAACAACGGCGCTACGCGGATCGAGTTCGGTCGTGCCGAGCCGAGCGATGCATCGCGTGCTTTGGCCCAGGCGTTGTTGAGGATGGTCCAGTAGGTGTTGGCGTTCCGCTGGACACCGTGGATGATGATGAAGGCGGATTCGGCGAGCGATTCGTTGGCGGGGGTTTTCGAGTACCATGTGAAGATGTCAGAGGTAGGGGTGATGGGGATGGAGCGCGCGTAGGCTCCGGCGGGGCGACGACCGACCGAGCTGAGCGAGGCATCGCCGCGCGTTCCACGTGCGTCAGTGAATGCGTCTCGGCGGGCAAGCGATGGTGGTGATGGCAGGGCGTGGGTTGGACTGATGGTGAGAAGAGTGAATGTGAGGGTGACGAGAAGCGTGCTGAGGAGCGTGCGAAGGCTGACCCGCCGCAAGGGCGATGCTGGTGAATCTGTGGACATGTTTGGTCAGTCTCGCCGATCTAGAGTGGTCGATTGATGGAGGGGGAAGGTCGAGAGCAGGGAAGGAACGGAACGGTCACTCTTTACGGAAAGAGAGTATGTGTACGGTGGATCCGGCGGTGACGTTGGAAAAGAGGAAATGTGTTTGTATATATCAGAGTAAGAAGGGGTAAGGGTAGACCGTGAGCCAAGGAACGGGCGCCAGGATGACGGCGAGGCGCTTAGCTTGTTGCGATCTTGGCGCCGACTCTCTCACAACGCACACTCATGATCTTGCCTCCGGCGACCAAGGAACTTCACTCGACACTCGGCACGCTCCTGGGAGGCATCTGAAATCCCAGGCGAGATCAGGCTGAAGCTGACGCCTCTTTCTCTCTGTAGATGTGGCTGAAATGAAGATCCCAAAGCGCGCCAGCCTAATGTCCGGACCTGAAACAACAGGCTGCCTGCCTGATCCAAAGCCAGAGGTAGGGATCGAGTTGCCCAACTTATCGGTACATGCTCATAGTTCAGGTGAGAAGCTTGAGTCTGCTTTGTTTATGGGTACCCTACCCTTACCACTGAGCGGGGCAACCGGGCGGTTCGGTGCGGCGGCTGTCACCTTGAGGTTCCTGTGGGAGATACAAACCAAAAGGTACGGATCGTGCGTCGGTTTTCATTGATTCCACAAATTAATCTTCAGCAAGACGCCGCCTGAATTGTCATCCACCACCATCATGTCTCTGTCGTGATGCGCCTCGGAGCGAAAGGATTTTCCATCCGATCTGCAGCGTGCATAGGCGAGATTGATATTTCAAACAACGCCGCGGCAAGAAAGAGGCGCTCTGCCACCCGTTCGGCTCTCACGGCACAGTGTCAAACCACGAGTTGGTTGTGAAGCGACGCTGACACTGGATCTTGCTGGTCGGAGCTGATTCCTTTCGAGAAAGGATCAGACCCCGATCCAATTTGACATTGGATCGATGGTTGGAATCATCGAAGGTTTCCGTTGTAGCAAACAAGACCGCCGTCTAGCCGCGGCGATCTACCAAGCTTATGATTGAAGCATTCGCTCTTGAAAATGACTCTTCCTTGCGATCTTCCTAGTGTCCGTGATCTGCATACCTCTTGCAACCATGTGGACAGGTTATGAATGCTGCAGCGGCAAGGGGTGGCATCCGGGTCTTGGCGCAGCGTGGTGTCTCTCCTTTTTTGGAAAGCAAGCATTCCGTCCGATCAAAAAGACACCGAAGCAGATGCGTGCGACGCGTGCCCGTGTTTATTTTCCTTCCAAAAAAGGAACAACAACAACAACACTCGCTGTCGGCATGCCTGTTTTGGTTTTTCTATTCTTGCCAAGAACGCCGAGCATGTCGATCAGGTACGACACAAATCGCATGCCTTATTCTCTGTGTGTGTCGGCTGCAAGGGGTTCAGAAGCGCAGACTATCTACGAGATGCAAGTTCAGAAAGGCACAGATTGCCGGTCGAGATCACTGCTGCTGTAGATACCAATCGCCAATCGGTTCGGGGTTGTTGCCGATCGATGGTCAGGAATGTGGTTCATCGGAGCAGACCCGATACGGTGTGAGACGTCCGATAGGATCTGTATCGACTCGTAGGAACGACCAAGAGAGAACACATGGTCGTTTCTTGTCGTTATTTTTAACCTCTTTTCTTGTCCTTAATTTCTCTTGCGCATTCTTTACGTGGGAAATCCTCGACTTGCCTACATGTGCGGGCACAGTCTTTGTGATCTCAGCGTGATACGGGCAGGCATCGCTCATCGACTGCGCACGTTTGAGCATCTCGTACCTTGATCATGATGGCAACTCTTCTGTATTGTGGCCTCGTCAGAGCACGTCAGTCGTCGTACGGCAAACAGAGTGTTTCGGAGCGGGATCAACAGTGTTAGATCTATCAAGCTCTAATGACTGTTAGAGTGGACTGCTAACATGCGCGCGAATAGTGGAACGGTGCGCCCTAATCCAGACGCGCAGACCAACACTTTTTCGCAGAGCGTGAGAGTCGCTCGCAGCGTGTGCGTGCGAACGAACGTCTGCCGCGAGAGGGTCCAAGCTTCACACGCTCCGTAGTTCGACCAACACTTTTCGTCGAGCTCAGCCGCGAAAAGCTGTTCCGCCATTACCACCGTCGTCGTTTCAGCTTCATCTCATCGTCGCCGTCACCGTCAACTTCGAGGTGTCGTCACACATGGCACGCACCTTCACCTGAGCGTACTCGAAGCAGTCGTCTCCTCGTTGCAGCCGGGAGCATTGCACAACCATGGTAGACGCGATACCCGGCGGTGCCAATGGCCGCTCAGGCTTGGGCAGCCGTCAGGATAGCGACGTCGATGTCCTCTCCCGAGGTGGCACCGACATGTCGCCGTCTTCCTCATATACACGCTTCAACGGCCTCTACGATACTGCACGTCTCAAGGCGTACCTGCGCTCCCTCTTGCCCGTCCTCCTCGATTCCGATGCCGACATTGTATCTGACCTTCTCCTCGACACACCGGCGTGGAAGGAGCAAGCTTCCGCCTTCGCTGCCGATCCGAGCATCATGGCCGCCTACGTCAACAAGATTCGTCGTCAGGATGTCTCTTCGGACGCCACCGAGCACGACCTCTTCGACTACCAACTATCCACGCAGGCATCCTATTCATCGCTCCACGTATCCAGCATCGCCCTCATCAAGCGTGTCCCCGTGCTAGATCCTGCAGTTTCGCTGCCACACCAGCTTCATGTGCTCACACTCTCTGGTCCCGCTGCTGCTGCTGCAGCTGCTGCTGCCGCCGCCGCCACCGTTGCCTCGACCGAAGATGGCGCACTCCGATCACAGTCGGCCTCCGCAGGCACCGCTGCAGCCAACAACGACGGCGCCACCCGCGACGACGCTGACGAGTCCTTGGCTGCTTCAGCCGTCCGTGAAAGCCCCTACGAAGCGCTTCACAGCGTCGTTCACAACGTCATGTCTCCGTGGTTCGATGCCTTTGTCGCCAGCAAGGCGCCCAAAGACAAAGCGCTTCTTTCAGGTGCAAAGTCCAAGGACAGCGACACAAAGATGGGCATCCCCATGGCCAAGCGCAAATTCGCCGAGCTCGAGCTCAGCCTCTTCCACCTCCAGCAAAACGTCGACATCCCCGATATCATCCTCTCCATTCATCCCGCCGTGCGCGCCGCCGTGGACCGATGCCACGCCGCCGGCACGCGTGTCAGCGTCGAAGCCGTCGAACCCGCATCGCTCCTCCAGGACTCCTCCTTTCTCAACAAGCTTCAGGCCGACGTCAACTCGTGGGTCAAAGAGGTACAGACCATCACAAAGCTCGACCGCAGTGTTGCCTCCGGCACCGCTTCCCAGGAGATCAACTTTTGGCTCTCCATGGAAAAAGCGCAGGAATCCATCGAGCAGCAGCTTCGTTCCGATCCGATCGTGCTCACCCTCGACATTCTCAAGCACGCCAAGCGTTTCCACGCCACCGTCTCGTTCCTCGCCGACACTGGTCTCAAGGACTGTGCCGAAAAGACGCACAACTACAACCTCTTGATGAAGGATTTCCCCATCAACGAGCTCCTTTCGGCCACAGATCTCGACAAGTGCGCCGACGCGCTCGGTGCCATCTTCAACCATCTCAATAAGAAGCTTCGAATCAGCCCGTACCCCGTCAAACGTGCTCTGCCGCTCGTCGAGGCCATCAGCAGGGATCTCAACGACACCCTCCTCAAAGTGCTTGCCTCACAACGCATCATGTGGCAAGATTTTCCCCGCTTCTGGGACACCATCTCGGCCGCTGCTGAAGTCTTTTCAGTCTGGGACGAGCTCATGAAGGACTTTGTCAACATTGCGAGAGAGGTCACGCGCAAGCGCTCCGAAAAGTTCCTTCCCATCAAGATCAACCCGGCTCATGCCAAGCTACGCGAACGGCTCAACTACATCGGTGCGTTCCGCAAGACGCACGAGCAGCTGCGTGCCATGGTCAGCTCTGGCAAAGGTCTCACCCTGCCCGGTACCGTCCACGCCGCAAATGCCACTTCAAACGACAGGCAAGTGGCCACGCAGAACCTGGCAGGTATCGAGATGAGCGAAGAGATTCGAGCCGCCTACGACCAGGTCAAGGTCATTGACGTCCTCGACGTCTCCAACGAAGGCACCGAGATCTGGACGACAGCCGAGGGCGCATACAATGAGCGCGTTGCGCGTGTCGAAAACAGCCTCATCGCACGTCTGCGAGATCTGCTCGGCCAGGCCAAGTCGGCGCGCGAGATGCTTCGAGTGCTCTCCCAATTCAACAGCCTGTTCGTGCGTCCCAAGGTGCGCGGTGCAGTGCAAGAGTACCAGCAGCAGCTGCTCAACAGCGTCAAATCCGACATCAAGGCGTTGCACGACAAGTTCAAGGCGCAGTATCGTCCCTCGGAGGCAAACCACATGAGCCAGCTGCGCGACGTCCCCGAGATTGCTGGTGCCATCATTTGGGCCCGCCAGATCGAACGTCAGCTCAACGTCTATATGAAGCGCGTCGAAGACGTGCTCGGCAAGGGATGGGAACTCTACGCAGAGGGACAGAAGCTGCAGAGCGAGAGCGAGACGTTCCGTCGCAAGCTCGACACAAGACCGCTCTTTGACAGCTGGCTCCACGACATCAACCGCAGAGACATGAGCATCGCAGGTCGCGTCTTTGACGTCACCAAGAACCGTGCCGCGGGCAACACCTTCCAGCTCAGCGTCAACTTTGACGGTCACACCATCTCGCTGTTCAAAGAGGTCCGTAACCTCATCTGGCTCAACTTCCAGATCCCACACGCCATCACCAATCTCGCCAAGGACGCCAAGCGAGTCTACCCGCACGCCGTGTCGCTCATGGAGACCGTTCGCACCTACAACCAGACCTGCAGCCTCGTGCGTGCCAACCCGGAGATCACCTGCCTCATCGCTCAGGTCCACACGGATGCTCACCAGCTCATCTCGCAAGGCATGACGCTGCGATGGGAGCATTTCGCTAACATCTACGAGAGCGCTCGTGCCGCCTCGTACTTGCCAGGCTCCAGCGGGGAGCCTAGCCGCGAAAACCGTCAGGTCGCCTTTGTGCGTCAATTCGCCAGCGTCGTCAGCCTCTTTCAGGACAAGACGGCCGAGCTCATCGAGATCCAGCGCGAAATGCATTCCACCATTGACGAATTGGCCAAGTGCGAGTATCGCACCGAAGCGTTTGCGCAGCGACTCCGAAAAATCCAGGACACTATCGACAAGCTCAACCTCGAAGGCTACCCCAACCTCGAAGAGTGGGTTGGCAACCTCGACAAGCTCATCGAGGAGGTACTGCTGCGCAGGCTCCAGTCGGTCAGCATCGCATGGTGCCGCGCTTTCGTGCGTCATGGCTCGAGCCAGAGTGGCACCAACGCCGGCTCCCTTCGTGGAGACCGAGCGATCAAGAGACTCGCCAACGGTTCAGCTGGTTCTGCAGCTGGAGGTGCGGACGGTGCTGCAGCCGATCAGATTGCTCTGGAGCCCATCACCCACGAAGTTCGTATCCAAAATCAAGTCATCTTCCTCGACCCACCTCTCGAGAACGCGCGAGCCTCGTGGTTCCGACAGCTGCACGAGGTTCTTTCCGTCGTGTGCTGCCTCACCCGCGTCCAAAGCTCGCGCTACGAGATCGGCCTCCAGATGCGCGTCAAGCAGCAAGCCACGCAGCAAGACTATACCTCACTGCTCACCCGCTTCCAGGATGACTCGCTGACGCGTCCCTTTGTTCTCATCGAGGCCAAGCTGGCAGAGGTCGGCAGCTACGTGTCCAAGTGGCTTCAGTTCCAGTCGCTTTGGGATCTCGAGTCCGAGCACGTCTTTGCACGTCTCGGCGACTCGCTCGCAAACTGGCAGCAGCTCCTCGCTGAGATCCGTCGCACGCGAGCTACCTTTGACAATTCGGACACGCAGCGCTCCTTTGGCATCTGCGTGATCGCCTATGACCAGGTACAGAGCAAGGTCAACGCCAAGTACGACACCTGGCAGCGCGACATTCTCAACCGCTTCGGCACCAAGCTGGGCGCTGTGATGCGAGAGGTGCATGCCGCCGTCGCCAAGGCACGTGTCGAGCTCGAACAGCACAGCATCGAGGGCAGCTCCACCGCGCAGGCCGTCACCTTCATCACCTTTGTCCAGGATCTGAAACGCAAGACCAAGGTGTGGCAACCCCAGATCGAGCTGTTCGGTACAGGTCAAAAGACGCTCGAGCGCCAGCGATACATGTTCCCTCAAGACTGGCTGTACGTGGACCAGGTCGACGGGGAATGGAGCGCGTTCCAGGAGATTCTCAGCCGCAAAAACGCCAGCATCCAGGAGCAGCTGGCTGGTTTGCAGATGAAGATCATCGCCGAAGACAAGATCGTCGGTGACAAGATGACCACCATCATCAGCGAGTGGGAGCAGCAGAAGCCCATCCAGGGCACGCTCAAGGCCGACGGTGCCATGAACACCATCAACGTCTTCGAGACGCGCGTCTCGAAACTCGCCGAAGACAGGGCGCTCGTCGTGCGTGCCAAGGAAGCGCTCGACCTAGAGCATACGCAAGACGATCGTCTCGAGCCCGTGTTTGAAGAGCTGCGCGATCTCAAGACAGTTTGGACGGCGCTCTCGGGCACGTGGAGCCAGCTTGCCGAGATCAGGGATACCAATTGGAGCAATGTGCAGCCGCGAAAGCTTCGTCAGCAGCTCGACGGGCTGCTGGCACAGACGCGCGACATGCCCAGCCGCATGCGCCAGTACGCTGCTTTCGAATACGTCCAGGAGCACGTCCGCGCTCTGCTCAAAAGCAACCCGGTCATTTCTGATCTCAAGTCCGAGGCGATGCGCGAGCGTCACTGGCGATCGCTCTTCAAGCAGCTCAAGGTGCAAGATCACTACTCGGCCAGCAGCATGACGCTCGGCACCGTGTGGGATCTCGACTTGAAGCGACACGACACCATCATCAAGGCTGTCGTCGCTCAGGCGCAAGGCGAGCTGGCGCTCGAAGAGTACCTCAAGCAGGTGCGAGAGGCGTGGACCAGCTACACGCTCGACCTCGTCAACTACCAGAACAAGTGCCGTCTCATCCGCGGCTGGGACAGCCTTTTCCAGCTCGCCGGCGACAACCTCAACGCCTTGCGTGCAATGTCCATGAGTCCGCACTATAAGGTCTTCGAGGAGGAAGCCTCGCTGTGGGAAGACAGGCTGTCTAAGATCTCGGTGCTCTTCGACACGTGGATCGATGTTCAGCGTCAATGGGTCTACTTGGAAGGCATCTTCACCGGCAGCGCCGAGATCCGCCACATTTTGCCCGTCGAGAGCTCGCGCTTCCAGAACATCAACACCGAGTTCTTGACCGTGATGAAGAAGGTGTACAAGTCGCCATTCGTGCTCGACGTGCTCAACATCCCTGGAGTGCAAAAGAGTCTCGAACGTCTCGCCGACCTGCTCAGCAAGATTCAGAAGGCGCTCGGAGAGTACCTCGAGCGCGAGCGTGCCAACTTCCCACGCTTCTACTTTGTCGGAGACGAGGACCTGCTCGAAATCATCGGCAACTCCAAGGACACGGCTCGCATCCTCAAGCACCTCAAGAAGATGTTTGCCGGTATTGCCAGCGTCGAGTTCGACGAGGAAGCGGGCAAGCTGACGGCCATGGTCAGCCGCGAGGGCGAGACGGTGCCCTTCCGAACGCCCATTCTTCTCAAGGAATATGCCAAGATCAATGATTGGCTGGCCAAGGTGGAGAGCGAGATGCGGATCTCGCTTGCGGAGCTGCTGTCGCAGGCCGCTGCCGAGCTCGAATCGTTCTACACCAGCACCGACTCGCTGACGCTCGACGCGTTCCTCGCGTGGATCGCCAAATACCCTGCTCAGCTCGTCGTGCTGGCCGTGCAGGCGCGCTGGACGGCGATGGTCGACGAGGCGTTCGAGAGCGGCGCCGGATTGCAGCATCCGCTCGACGTGGTGCTGCGTGGACTCGATCTGCTGGCGGACACCGTGCTGACCGACGTCGAGGCTCTGCAGCGACGCAAGTGCGAGCACCTGATCACCGAGCTCGTGCACCAGAGAGACGTAATTCGTCTGCTGATATCGCAGCGGGTCGCGGACGCCCGTGACTTTAACTGGCTCTCGCAGATGCGCTTCTACCTCAACCGCCAGATCGAACAGCCGCTCGACAGGCTCACGGTCCAGATGGCAGATGCTACGTTCCCATACGGCTACGAGTATCTGGGCGTCCCTGACCGCCTTGTCCAGACTCCCCTCACCGACCGCTGCTACCTCACACTCACGCAGGCGCTTCACTACAAGCTCGGCGGCGCTCCCTTCGGCCCTGCCGGTACGGGTAAGACCGAGTCTGTTAAGGCGTTGGGTGTCCAGCTCGGCATGTTCGTCATTGTGTTTTGCTGTGACGAAACGTTCGACTTCCAGGCGATGGGTCGCATCTTTGTCGGTCTCTGCCGAGTCGGAGCGTGGGGTTGCTTCGACGAGTTCAACCGACTCGAAGAGCGCATCTTGTCGGCTGTGTCGCAGCAGATCCAGAGCATCCAGCAAGGCTTGGCCGACACGACAAGCGGCGCCGGGAACGCCGGGAACGCCAGCGGCAGGGAGATCGAGCTGCTCGGCAAACGTGTTCCGCTCAACGACCGCGTCGGCATCTTCATCACCACTAACCCGACCTACGCTGGTCGATCCAACTTGCCAGACAACTTGAAGAAGCTGTTCCGCAACATGGCCATGACGCATCCCGACCGCGAGCTTATCGCCCAGGTCATGCTCTTCTCGCAAGGGTTCCGAACCGCCGAAACGTTGGCGTCTAAGATCGTGCCCTTCTTCAACCTCTGCCTCGAGCAGCTCAGCCCGCAGCCGCATTACGACTTTGGATTGCGAGCGCTCAAGGCGGTGCTCGTGAGCGCAGGCCAGCTCAAGAGAGAGCACATGCTCAGTGGCGGCGACGATGCCGGAGATGCCGTCGTATCGATCGACGTGTCCGAGCAGGAGATCTTGATCCAGAGCGTCAGCGAGACGATCGTGCCCAAGCTCATCGCTGAGGATGTTCCGCTGCTCAAGAGCCTGCTTTCCGACGTCTTCCCAGGTGTCGAGTACAAGCCGGTGAACCTCGACGTTCTGCGCGGCCACATCGCCGCTGTGTGCGCCGAGCGACATCTGGTCGAGGGCGGTCTGTGGACGGAGAAGGTGCTGCAGCTCTACCAGATCCAGAAGATCTCGCACGGTCTCATGCTCGTCGGACCGTCGGGCACGGGAAAGACACAGGCCTGGCAGGTGCTGTTGGCGGCGCTCGAGCGGCTGGAGGGACAAGAGGGCGTTTCGTACGTCATCGACCCGAAGGCCGTCTCGAAAGAAAGCCTCTACGGAACGCTCGACCCGACGACGCGAGAGTGGAACGACGGCTTGTTCACGCAAGTCCTACGCAAGATCATCGACAACGTGCGCGGCGAGAGCGCCAAGCGTCACTGGATCGTGTTCGATGGCGACGTGGATCCCGAGTGGGTCGAGAACCTCAACTCGGTGCTCGACGACAACAAGCTGTTGACGCTTCCGAACGGCGAGCGTCTCAACTTGCCGCCCAATGTGCGCATCATGTTCGAGGTGGAGTCGCTGCGGTACGCTACGCTGGCGACGGTGTCGCGATGTGGTATGATCTGGTTCAGCGATGATATTGTGCGCCCGTCGATGGTGTACACGAGGTACTTGACGGGTCTGCGTTCGACTCCCGTGGAATTGGACGATGACGAGCTGGCCAGCGCCGTCGCCTCACGCCGAGCTGCAGCTGCCACTTCGACATCCGGAACAAGCGAGGTGAGTCCCGATCTGCAGGTGCAGAGGGCCGTGGCGGACGCGTTGGCGCCCTTCTTTGAGGACGACGGTCTGGTCAACGGTGCGCTCGAGTTCGCCAGGACGGTGCCGCACATCATGGACTTCACCGAGGCACGTGCCTTGTCGACGCTGTTTTCTCTGATTAACAAGACGGTGCGCAACATCCTCGACTACAACACGCAGCATCCCGACTTCCCGCTCGGTGCTGAACAGATCGAAGCCTACACCACGCGGCGCCTGCTCGTGGCGCTCGTGTGGGCGTTTACGGGTGACGCGAAGCTCGACGTGCGTGCAGAGATGGGCGAGTACCTGCGCAACCACGCGGGTGTCGATCTGCCGCCTCTGGGACCTGGGGCGTCGTTGATCGACTACGACGTCGGCTTTGCGGGGCAGACGGTGGAGTGGTCTTCGTGGCTCTCGAAGGTGCCAACGATCGAGATAGATACGGCGGCGGTGTCGTCGGCGGATGTGGTGGTGCCGACGATCGATACGGTGCGTCACGAGGATGTGCTCTACTCGTGGTTGTCGGAGCACAAGCCGCTGATGCTGTGTGGACCTCCCGGGTCGGGGAAGACCATGACGCTGTTTTCGGCGTTGCGCAAATTGCCGGATATGGAGGTGGTGGGTCTTAACTTTTCGTCTGCCACGACGCCCGAGTTGATCCTCAAGACGTTTGAGCAGTACTGCGAGTACCGCAAGACGCCGAACGGGATCGTGCTGTCTCCGACGCAGATCGGACGCTGGTTGGTGCTGTTCTGCGACGAGATCAATCTGCCGGCTACGGACAAGTATGGGACGCAGCGGGTGATTTCGTTCCTGCGCCAGTTGGTGGAGAGCGGAGGGTTCTGGAGGATCAGCGACAAGGCGTGGGTCAAGTTGGAGAGGATCCAGTTTGTGGGGGCGTGCAATCCGCCGACGGATCCGGGACGTGTTCCGTTGAGCCACAGGTTTTTGAGGCATGCGCCGCTGATCATGGTGGATTATCCGGGCGAGATCTCGTTGAACCAGATCTATGGGACGTTCAACCGGGCGTTGTTGAAGGTGACGCCGAATTTGAGGGGGTATGCGGAGGCGTTGACGGGGGCGATGGTCGACTTTTACCTGGCGTCGCAGAGGAGGTTTACGCCGGATATCCACGCGCACTACATCTACTCGCCGAGAGAGTTGACGAGGTGGATGAGGGGGATTTACGAGGCGATCAAGCCGTTGGAGAGTCTCAGTGTGGAGGGGTTGGTGAGGGTGTGGGCGCACGAAGGACTGAGGTTGTTCCAGGATCGACTGGTGGGGATGGAGGAGAAGACGTGGACGGATGGGGAGATTGATCGGGTTGCAGCGGTGCGCTTCCCTACCTTGGATACCGGGTCGGCGCTGGCGAGGCCGATCCTGTTCAGCAACTGGTTGAGCAAGGAGTATCGCTCGGTGGATAGGGAGAGCGTGAGGGAGTACGCAAAGGCTAGGTTGAAGGGGTATTCGGAGGAAGAGTTGGATGCGAGTCTTGTGCTTCACGATTCGGTGTTGGATCTGGCGCTGTCGTGCGACCGCGTGCTTCGACAGCCGGCGGGGCATCTCTTGCTCATCGGAGCCTCGGGGTCGGGTCGAACCACCGTCACGCGCTTCTGCGCCTGGCTCCGCGGTCTCTCGCTCTTCACCATCAGCACATCCAACAAGTATACCGAGGAAAACTTTGACGACGACCTGCGCTCGCTCCTCCGTCGCGTCGGTTGCAAGGGAGAAAAGGTATGCTGGACCATCGACGAGTCTCAGATGTCCAACGCTGCACGGCTGGAGAAGCTCAACACGTTGCTGGCGAATGCCGAGGTGGCGGGATTGTTCGAGGGAGACGAGTACAGCAGTTTGATCAACCAGTTGAAGGAGGCTAGTCAGAGGGAAGGGTTGATGCTCGATGCAGAGGAGGAGCTCTTCTCGTTCTTCAGGGGCGAGATCTCGCGGAATCTGCATGTCACGTTGACCATGAACCCGCCCGAGGGGGGGACGGGTGGCAAGGCAGCAGCTAGTCCAGCGCTGTTCAACCGAACTAGCATCATGTTCTGTTGGTAGACAACGCAATTCAAATGTACATTAGAGAAATCATCTTCGTAGTGACCCGAGTGATCCAGGTGACGCTGCGCTTCACATCTGACATGCACAGTCCCGAACCTCATTCCCGCTCAACCGAAACGACAACGTGATTTCTCTCAACCCTCCAACACCACTCCCATCATCAGCACAAGTCTGATCCCACATGCCTGGGTGCCGACTTCTCGTTCCGCAAGACTGCTCGCTCACAATCACCGCTCAGTCTAGACTCGAACTCACACTCAAGAGACACACTTCGACCGAGAAGCGGACGCACGCACAACAAATTGATGTAGACAAGACAACAGGGCTCAGGAGAGAGCCGCTGATGACGAACGGGGTAAATTGCACTTTATGAGCGTAAGAAGGACGACATCATCATGGCGCGAACACTGCGCGCTGAACCGGTGCGTTCAGTTACCGCCACGCAGACGGAGGACGAGGTGCAGAGTGCTCTCCTTCTGGATGTTGTAGTCCGACAGAGTACGGCCATCCTCGAGCTGCTTACCAGCAAAGATGAGTCGCTGCTGGTCAGGGGGAATGCCTTCCTTGTCCTGAATCTTGGCCTTGACGTTGTCAATCGTGTCCGAAGACTCGACTTCCAATGTGATCGTCTTGCCGGTGAGTGTCTTGACAAAGATCTGCATACCTCCGCGCAATCGCAACACAAGGTGGAGGGTGCTCTCCTTTTGAATGTTGTAATCGCTCAGGGTGCGGCCATCCTCCAACTGCTTGCCGGCAAAGATGAGACGCTGCTGGTCGGGAGGGATACCCTCCTTGTCCTGGATCTTGGCCTTGACATTGTCGATCGTGTCCGAAGACTCGACTTCCAAGGTGATGGTCTTTCCTGTGAGCGTCTTGACGAAAATCTGCATACCACCACGGAGTCGCAAGACAAGGTGGAGTGTGGATTCCTTCTGAATGTTGTAGTCGGAGAGGGTGCGGCCGTCTTCGAGCTGCTTGCCGGCGAAGATAAGGCGCTGCTGATCAGGGGGAATGCCTTCCTTGTCCTGGATCTTAGCCTTGACGTTGTCGATGGTGTCCGACGATTCGACCTCGAGGGTGATGGTCTTGCCGGTCAAGGTCTTGACAAAGATCTGCATACCACCACGAAGACGGAGAACCAAGTGGAGGGTCGACTCCTTCTGGATGTTGTAGTCCGAGAGCGTTCGTCCGTCCTCGAGCTGCTTTCCGGCGAAAATGAGACGCTGCTGATCAGGAGGAATGCCTTCCTTGTCCTGGATCTTGGCCTTGACGTTGTCAATGGTGTCGGAAGACTCCACCTCGAGGGTGATGGTCTTGCCGGTCAGAGTCTTGACGAAGATCTGCATGGCCTGTTGAACGGGGGAAAAGCGGCAAGACAAAGATTGAGAAAGCGGTCAATACGGAATGCTCAGTGTGATACTCTTGAGTGTCAAGGACATCGCACTCTGATTGGCCGCGTTGGACGCGCTGCGACGAGACCCTGCAGGCGAGGTGCATGTGCTAGCGTCCAGGTGGCGAGCGGATGGATGGATGGAATAGGTGAGTGGCACTTACTGTTAGCTGAAGGTGTGTGACGAGTGTGGTACCGAGGATAGATGAATGCTATTGAATGTGAGCGTTGAACCAGAGTTGAGGGGGTGTTCTGGTAGGGTGGATGGTGAAACGGCGGATGACGGATGCTGAGGCAGGCTGTGGGATTATATACTAACTGTAGCGTATATGCGGGTGAGATGAGAGTGTGGCAGCAGCTGCGCGTACGGCGCGGGTAGAAGCGCACGGTGCGGCACTCACGACTCGGTGTGCAAGCGAAGCCAGGGTTTGGGCAGGGTCAGACAGCGACCGTGCCGCCACCGTGCGTGGGAAGAGAGACTGCTCTGGTGCCTGGGGTGCGGGCTTACATCAAGCCATGGCGGCGTACGGGCGTGGAGGTTGAAGCGAGCAGCGCAAAATGCTGAGTCGATGTGCCCGCCTCGCTCTCACCCTTATCGCGCCGAGCTGTGCGCAATTGCTGTGCTGAGCTGTGCAGGCTACGTCCGAGTCGAGCTGGAAATTTCTTCCATCGTAATCGGGCCAAATCGATTTTCCAAATTGGCACGAACCGGAATCGCCATCGTGCAGAAGTTTCGCGAAATCGAAATCAGCGGGCGCTGCCAGCAAGAGCGGCCCAGATCGGGGGTCGATTGGGCTTCAGGGCAAAATCCATCGACCCCTTCAGGCGACGCAACACAGGCTTTCCAACCAAGAAATTTTCGAACTTGAAGCGGAGCCACAAACCACAACGACGACGGCCAGCTGAGAGAGAACAAAGGAAAGATGAGCCGAAAGCGGCAGCAATCGGCCTGCTGCGAGCGAATCCCGCATCAAGGGAATGATGATATCGCATCGATGGTGGCTTTGTACGAGCGCGGCCCTTCGTTCCAAGAACACCAGCGAAGTAGATCCGAGCACGATAACTTTCCCCTTACTATAGACTGTTGTTCTTTGGCAGCACTTGTTAATCGATACTGAATGTACTGCAGTCTCGACGCAGTCATCGACACAATCAACGACGGAAGAGCACGTGCGTTGTTTGACCTCCTTTTTCTTCCTAAGGGAGCTTTAGCTGGATGCGAGACGTCCATCCACCCGCCCGTCCGAAGCAGAACCGAAGTGGTGGACCCTGTGACGCACGCATACCATCTTCGGCATCGTAGCCGCTTCGGCAATTCTTTCGGCCTTGCAAATTTTTCGACTTTCCGAACCCTTTGGCCCACGTTTTTGACGCCGGCTGGCTGTTGTCGATCCTTTCCGAGGACCAGACCGATGCTTTCCGAATCTCGGCCATCGTTTTGAGGCTACGTTCTTCTGCTCCAAGAGTCTCCTGTTTGCCCCGGCGAGATGACCGACGGCGTGCCTAGGGTAAATGCCGTCGGTAGCTCCGAGGTCAATTCCGTCTGGGCCTTGCCTTTGTCTCCTAGTCCAAGACTTGGACACCATCGTCGGGGCGAGCCGAACATGAATCGTCGAGGCGAGCCAAGTGGAGTATTTCAAGCCTGCCACGTCCTTGCGTGGAGCCGAAGCGGCGAATTTGACGGCGGAAAAGGTGCAGCCAGACCACAGCACACAAACTTCGGTGCGGTCATTGACGAATTTGAGAATCGATTGCTTTTCTTGCTTGCTTACGTCCACCATCGAGTTCCCTGTCTCCGAGCATCGCATCATCCGACGTCGCCCTCAGATCGCGCATCAAGCGCTCTTCGAAGGCAAGCTTCTATCTACCGTGCCGCTCACAACGCCAGCTGCGGCGTGTCGCAGCTGGTTGCTTGCGCACTATTCGCTGCCGTATGCACCCAATTTTCGTATCGGGGCTAGCTCACTGACTCTGTTTGCCATTCTGTCACCTGCCTTTGCCATACACGCTCGGTCGTGCACTCGAAATTGCATGCAAAAATGTCGTCTCGTCATCAGGCGTCCGGCTCTCCTCGGTCACAAGATGAGCGTCACTTGAGCCGCGGCAGCGGCAGCGGCAGTGGTCGTCGCTCGCCGCCCTTGTCTGCTGCTGCTCGATCCTCCAACACTAGCCGAGAACCTCCTTCTAAACGGCTCAGACCAAATCATCCAGGATCCGCCCCTAAGCACACAGAGGCATCAGCGACTGCAACTCCATCGAAAGAGCAAGACGATATAGCTCCCAATCTCGACAGCTGGCTAGACGGGTATGATGCCGGAATCGATCAGGAGGAACGCAGGCGAAAGGTCTTGGAGCAGAGTCGCAGACGGCGCGAGGCTATATTGGAAAAGTACAACAGCACCCAGGCGGCGCCAGCGTCAGACAAGTACAAGGACGTCCGCTCTGAGGCAATATCCAAGGCTTCACCATCGAGCGCCATCCACAGCTCGTCTGCACCGTCCGAGCAGCCAACAAACTTTTATCTGATCAAGAGCGCGGCTCATGCTGATAACGCTGCCGGATCGTACGCCGATGTCGAAGCTCTGGTCTCTGCTGCTGAGCTCGATCCGGACGCCGACCGTGCAGACGAGCTGGCTCGGCTTGAAAAGCGTCGTCAGTCCCAACTGTGCTCAACATCCAAGCAAGCAGCACAGGAGCAGGAGTACGAAGAGATCGAAGTCACCGAACATGAAGACGATGCCGAGCTCGATATGTTTGCTCTTTCTGACGATGACGGCATGAACGAGTCCAATGACAGAAAGAAAAAGACCAAACTGGTTCGTTTCCCCAAGGCAAACGGCTCTACAGCCGCCCTGATCAGCAACACCAAACCGTTGCCATTGGTAGACGCAGCATCATCAAGCGCCGCAAATCTGTCGAGCAACTGGGACGACGGCGACGGCTATCTGCGCACCATTCTCGGCGAAACGCTGGACGAACGGTACCAGATCTCTGCTGTGGTGGGCAAGGGCATGTTCGCGTCGGTGGTGCGCGCACGCGATCTGGCCGACAACGGGCGCGAAGTGGCGATCAAGATCGTGAGGGTGCAGGAAAGCATGTACAAGGCAGGACTCAAGGAGGCGGGCATCCTGCGCAAGTTGAACGAAACGGATCCCGACGACCGAAAGCATGTGGTGCGTTTGGAAAGACGCTTCGACTACAAGGGACACCTGTGCATGGTTTTCGAGTCGCTCGGCATGAACCTGCGCGAACTTGTTCGCAGATACGGTCGCGATGTTGGTCTCAACCTGCAGGCAGTGAGAGCGTACGCGCATCAGCTGTTTCTCGCGCTTTCGCACCTTGCCAAGCAGTCGGTCATGCACGCCGATATCAAGCCGGACAATGTGCTGGTCAACGACGCCAAGACATCGCTCAAGCTTTGCGATCTTGGCTCGGCTTCGTTGCTCAGCGAGATGGAGATCACGCCCTACCTCGTCTCTCGCTTCTACCGCGCACCCGAGATCATCCTTGGTCAGGCGTACGACTGCTCGATCGACGTGTGGTCCGTGGGCTGCACTCTGTACGAGCTGGCCACGGGCAAGATCTTGTTCCCCGGGAGGACCAACAACCAAATGCTTCTGTTGATGCAGGAGGTGCGAGGACGCTTCACCACCAAGCAGATCCGCAAAAGTCAATTTGGCGAGCAGCACTTTGACGACGCCAACGCGTTCCTCTCGATGGAGCCCGACAAAAGTACAGGCTCAAACGTTGTGCGCAGGGTGATGCTGCAGAAGCCCCGCTCGGATCTACGCTCGCGTTTGCTGCCCGCTGATGCGGTCAAGCATCTTAAAGCGGACGAAGTCAAGATGACGAATCACTTCATAGACCTCCTCGAGCGGTGCTTGGAGCTGGATCCTGCCAAGCGAATCAAGCCGAAGGAGGCGCTCGAGCATGCCTTTCTCGCGCACGTCGCGAAACCTACCTGAACACCTGCTAGGTTGATCAGAAAGCTCTGTCCCATGGTCTGCAAAGGGAAAGTCCATGTGTGCATAATCAATCTATACCCTGAAGTACGTATCACCAGTGGACAGAGTGTGTCGGGCGGAAGGAGACCAAGGTGGTGATGTACACAGAAGCTCCAAAATTTTGCCGGCAGAGTGAGCGCTGTCGGAAATGGACCCTGAACTCAAAGTTATCTCGTCGATTAAATTCGCCGGTGCTGAGCTAGGCACACGAGCACGCGAGCAGGCTACGTTAGTCCAACACTGGTTTGCCAGTTGCGAGCAGCCGAGCAGCCTGCAGCTTGAATCGTCACACACTTTGTCTTGGCACCTCTCCACCAACTGGCCAAGCTGCGCCATCTCTTGGCTGCGCTCCCAGATCTTACTAGCATCATCGTCACCACATACCTACTGTCGATCCGTCACCGCACCGCACACCGCAAAGTTGCCACGTTTGCCATCGCGCCATTCCAATGCCTTGACATGAGCGCACTCATCACAAGGGCTGAGTGGGACTCGAAGCTCAAAACCGCGCAGGAGCAAGCGCAACGGGCCACCAAGGCCGAGCTCGCTCGCAACTACTCGGAAGCCTTCGAGCTCTACGTACGATCAGGCCAGCTCTTTGTCTGGTTGCTCGGCAACCTTCCCAATCCCAACGATCAGCATGCTTCCGAAAATCGAGCCTCGCCCTTCGCATCGAGCTCAGCAGCCGTCGATGGCTGTTCCGAACCAGCTGCCGCTCAAACTCGTGAGCGTCTCAAGCAGATGGCAACCAAGGTCATGGCGCGCGCAGAAAAGATCAAGGCCATCCGCAAAGACCTTCGACCGATCGACCGCGATGCGCTCAGTCAAGAGGAGCAGTCCACCATCCTCGTCAGCTCGTCTCTCATCAATGGCTGCCGTTACCCCGTCTGGCACGCATCTCCTTCCAAGGCTCCGGCTTCCAAGGCGGCCACATTTACTCAGGAGAAGCAGCCGCCACTGTCGTCCATACAGCTCCGAAAAGGTGCAGTGTACAAACGTGCATCTCAACTCAGCTCAGAGGAGGCACAGGGCTGGTCCACAAAGCTTGCAGGCAGCGACATCGTTCAGGACATTGTCTCGGATTGCTCCTTCGTAGCTGCCCTCGAAGTTGCCGTACAGCATGATCGCATCTTTGGCGGTCAGCTCGCAACATCTGCACTCCATCCACAAGACTCCTCCGGACGCATCCAGCCCAGTCCGGACGGCCAGTATCATGTCAAATTGCACATAAATGGCGCACCACGCATGGTCGTCATCGACGATCATCTTCCTTGCTATCCCTCGACATCCACAACCTCACAAGCATCCTCATCCGCACCTGCGCCCCTTCCAGACCAGCCGAATACACGCCAGCATCAACTTATGTGTGTCACGTCCCGCGATGGTCAGCTTATCTGGCCTGCGCTGCTCGAAAAGGCCTTTCTACAAGTGATGGGCGGGTACGACTTTGCGGGCTCCAATGGCAGCATCGATCTCTACGCCCTCACCGGCTGGTTGCCAGAGCACATCTTTCTCAGACACGCCGGCTTTCAACGTGAAAAGACCTGGATCAGGTTCCATGACGCCTGGAACGCCGGCAGATGCATGGCCACAGCTGGCACCGCCAAAGCGCCCTCTCGCAACCAGCCAGTTGGCTCTGCGCAGCCGGGCGAAGCACCCGAGACGATCGTGCTGGAATCTGGCCTCGTGTCGAGTCACAACTACGCCATCCTTGACGTCCGTACTTTCGGCAGTCGTCGTTATGTCAAGCTCATGAATCCTTGGCGCACTGCCACCGGCATTCGACCAGCAATAGCCATCCCAGCCGAAGAGGAGCGGCGCGTCTATGCAGAAACCGCTCTCAACACCATCTCGATCGAGCACAAACTAAGCGAAATGAGACTCGCGAACGAAGCCGAAGATGACAAAGCAACATCGACCTACACAGTCTCATGGGACGATTTCTGCAGCCACTTCGATTCGCTCTTCCTCAATTGGGATCCCGAGCTGTTCGAAAACAGCGTCACCGTACATTCGAGCTGGAGAGGCACCGCTCTCCTTTCGACTGCACACGGCTCGAAACAGCCAGATCCTCATTTCAAGCTTTCACTCACCATTTCACCGAGTATGCCTCGCGGCAGCACAGATCCCACTGACGAGATCTGGCTGCTGCTTACACGTCACTTCACCAGCACGCACAATGCGGCAGAAGACGCGTTGCCTCGCAGCTCAGAACAGGGAGCCTCGGATTACATTGCGATTCATGCATTCGAAGACGATCAGCGATCTGCGGAAGGCGCACAGCTAGCTTCCACTCCTGCACCACCCTCGCGTACGACCAAGCACAAGGGCGCGTACGTTGATGGTACGCACTGTCTTGTTAGACTCAAGCCGTCCTTCCTTCGTAAAGTCGACTCCAACGAGACAAGCCCGCGCGCAGACAGCCAACAGGAGCCGCAGCAGTGTACGTTTACTGTCGTCGTTTCGCGTCGCAGCGAAGGCGATGCGCTGCCTTCATCAGCAGCTTCGCCGAGTGAGGAAGCAGGCAAGGACGTCAACTACACGCTCGCCGTGTTTTCTCGCTACCCGATGGAGCTGTCGGAGCTGCGAACACGGCTGCCGTTCTGCGAGTCCGTCTCTGGCTCTTGGACCGCACGCACTGCTGGAGGCAACGCGACGCTGGCGTCGTTCATGACCAATCCGCAGTACACTCTGGTCGTACCAGCAGGGGCAGGCGAAGTGCAGTTGCAGGTGATGCTCGAGTCCTCGGACCGACGAATTCCGGTGCAGGTGCTGATTGCCTATCCGGGTGCTGGCACCGGCCGTGTCACGCACTTGACCGAAGGCGATGTGGTTCTCAGCAGTGGCATGTACCACCATGGGTTGGCGCTGTGCTCCACTTCGCGACCAGGTACTTCCGGAACCGTGGTGCGACCGGGCAGCTATACGTTGATCGCGTCGACCTTTGCAGCTGGAATGGAAGACGAGTTTCATCTTCGCGTCGAGAGCTCTCGCCCTGTCCAGGTGAAGCCTATACCGCAAGAGGGAGCGGGAATGTTTCACCGGCGTCTGACGTCCTCCTGGCGACGCGGCGTTACTGCTCATGGATCGCGCGCGAACCAGGCGTACTTTGACAACCCCTCGTGGCGGTTTACGATAGATCGACCGGGACCAACGGATTTTGCTGCGAGGATCAGGGTCGAGCCCATGCGTGGGGACGATCACGTACGACCTTATGTACACCTTGCGCTGTTTGCGGAGCGGGAAGGTGGGTGGCAGCAGGTGGCGAACAGTGGAAGCTATACGGATTTGGTGTGTGGTGCAGCGGTGGAGAAGGTGAAGCTCTCACCGGGGACTTATAGAATAGTCGCGTCGACGTATAAGGCCGAGGTGGAGGCGCAGTTCGGGGTGGATGTGTACACCGAGAGGAAGGTTGATCTTCTGCAGGTGTGAGCGGAGGAATGGGGCGAAGGTGCAGAAGGCGACGGGGCGAGGGATGATCGGGGGATGTGATGCGGTACGATCGAGGTTCATATTGCTCAGGTGTGGTTGGAGGAACGAGGGTCGGGTGTACACTCTGACCAGGTGGTTTTTGGGGATGATCGAGACATCTTATGGGTATACTTGCCGAATCTTCAATTCTACGTCTACATATCATCTCCCTCACCGCTGGTGTGTACGATCGATCCTTTGCCCCCCGTTCCACCCCACCTCGTCTCGACCTTGTACACCCCCGGCACAGCGCTGATCAACCAATCCAGATCGTCGAGTACGCACAGATCGCGGATGTACACCTTGTCCTCGCGTGCTCGGGTTGCTTCTGCAAACACGATCCAGCGTTTCCCGTGCGGAGGTTGACGGTTGAAGAACGTGCTTGTCGGATGAACGTGAACGAGCTGATTGGAAGCGGATAGGGTGTAGGACAGGGTGGAGGGGTTGTAGCGGGCGAGGTTGGGGTATAGACCTGTAAGGAGGCATTTGTGAATTCGTTCTACTGCATCGGGTGTTCTGAGCGCTGAAGATTTGGGTTGCAGATGATACCCTTCGGCGGAAGAGGAGAATCGCTCGAGGTAGCGTTCCAGCTGACCTCGGATGGATACAGCTCGACTCAACACGGAAAAGTTTAGTCTGTGGAGATTGCACCATTTCCTGCTCCGACCATTTCGCGAGAAAGCGAGGAAGACATTGAGCAGTGTCAAGAAATCACCCTCTTGCGCGGAGAAGGATCGTTTGCTGAGTTGGGTTTCCGCAGATTCGGGAGCGAAGAACGCAGAGGTGACGGAGAGCATGCATAGGATGGAAAGGATCTCGGAGCAGCACAGGAAGGGTTCGGTGGCGGAGGAGAGGAGGATGCGTGCTAGGTGTGGGGGGAGCGGCAGTTCGGACATCCACATGCCCGTGGTGGTGAGTCGTGTGTGGTCGTCGATCGCTTTCAAGGTGTGCAGCTTTTCCAACGCCGAAGCTAGATTCTTGGCGGTGGGTGCGGGCGGAACCCACGGAAATTTGACCAGGTTGTCTATCCCCAACGATTTCAGCAGCAGGATCGTCGACGATAGATCCGTCCGCTGCACCTCCGGGATACTGCTCCGCCTCATCTCCTTCAAGAAAACCTCTTCCGTGTAGAGTCGAAAGCATTTCCCCGGTCGTGTACGTCCCGCCCTCCCCGCACGCTGGATCGCACTCGCCCGGCTGATCGCTTCCACCCTCACGTCGTCCACCACCTCACCGCTGTTGCGCGTCTTGACGAGACCGCAGTCGACGACGTAGACGATGCCGTCGAGGGTGATGCTCGCTTCGGCGATGTTGGTGGCTACCACGACTTTGCGCATCGCTCTGCTCGGGGGCAGAGGGAAGATAGCGGTTTGATCTTCGGTGGATAGGCCGGAGTGGAGCGGCAGGAGGTGTAGACGAGCAGCTGATGCCGGTAGGTCGAGTTGTCGATCTGAAAGCTGTTGGAGTGCCGAATCGATCTCGTCTCTTCCGGTGAGGAAGGCCAGGATGTCGCCTTGAGGTTCATCCGTATGTATCCGCCATATCGTCTCCACCGTTTCCCTGACATAATCCTCACACGGCTCTTTGAGGTACGCCACTTCCACATCAAACTTCTTACCCCCCGCGATCTGCAGCACCGTCACCCCATCCTCCTCAAAGAAATCCCTGAACGCCTCCACCTCCATCGTCGCACTGCTCACTACCACTCTCAAATCCTTCCTCTTCCTCACCACCTTCTTCAACACGCCCAACAGCACGTCGCTCTCCACGCCCCTGTCGTGCGCCTCGTCCACGACCACCACGCTGTACCGCGTCAGCAGCGGGTCCCGGATGCATTCGCGAAGCAAGGTACCCGGGGTCATGTAGATGATGCTGGTTTCGGACGAGGTGTTTGTTTCAAAGCGGATGGTGTAGCCGACGGTAGAGCCGAGCGGGGAGGAGAGGAGGGAGGAGACGCGGGAGGCGGAGGATATGGCGGTTAGACGACGTGGTTGTGTGCAAGCTATGATGGAAGGGTAGCCGTCGGTGTGGAGGATGAGCGGTAGTTGGGTGGTTTTGCCGGAGCCGGTGGGGGCGGAGAGGATGAGAATGGGATTTGAAGAAAGGGCGTGTAGGATGGCGAGACGGGATGAGTGGATGGGGAGGGTGTTGGGAGAGGAAGAGGAGGTGATGAGGGGGGAAGAGGCTTCGGAGGAGCGGTCGAGGGAGCTTCCTGGGCGAGCGGAGCCGGGTTTCCAAAAGGATGTGGACATCTTTGCAGAAGCGGCTAGCCCAGGCCAGGACCGCGCTGGATGTGTGCCGGGAAAGGGCAGCTGAGCGAGGTCGAGATGCTGAAGATGGTGGTGAGGAAGAAGAAAGTGGCACACCTTGACAGCTTGCCGGGTTTGTGAAAAAAGACCAACACCTCCACAAAAAATAAATTGTCACATGCACAAACACACACACGCACGTCGCACCGCTCGCACCTTTGATCCACTCCAACATCATCTCGCTTTCCTCGACTACCTAGCATACAACACCATCGCAGCCTTCTCTTTTCCAGCTCATTCGCCCATCAGCGATCGAACTGCCTGCTGGAATTGACGTCGTCATCCTCTGACGACACCACGAACGACCAACCATGACCGCACCCGACCCACCCCCAACCACCAAAGAAGGTCTATCCGCCTACATCTCCACCCATCCATCGTTCCAAGACACACGATCGTCGTCGTCCCCTCTCCCCGCCCTGTACTCAGACCTCTCGCGGCAACGCAAGTCCAACCCTGCAGGCTACCGTGCCAGCGTCGAGTGGTGGAAAGACGTCTTGCTCGACGTGACCTTCCGCGGTGTACAGTTCGAAACTTCAGACACAGTGCAGGACCGAACCATTTTCACACTGGACGAATCGACAAAAGCACGATGGACGATCCCCTCCGTAGGCAGACCGTTGGGTTTGGGAACCGTGGTCTCTGACCTTGCGACCGAGCACGTCGCCTATCGCGTCTCCTCTTTCCTCCACTCCTCGGCACCCATCGCTCTACCTGCCTCCATCATCAGGGATCGATCCGGTGGTCGAGGGTTAAAATCGTACATTCCGACTCCATCTGGAGTAGCGTCGACGTTGCTCCTCACACCGGCCAAGTTCCTCGCTTCGTCGCTGTACACCCTCACCATCGGGGGTGCTAACGATGACGAGTCGTACAGTGCAGACGAGCAGCTCTTCCACAAGAATCGCGGAGAATGGGTTCTGCTGCCGTTGGTGGATCGGATCGCGACGACGTTCTTGGCACGGTTCGAGGAGGAAGCGTCGATCAGTCCGTTGGCGTGTCTGATGACGAAGGGGGAATTTGCGGTGAGGTTGGGTGAGATCTGTGAAAAGGAATTTGGGTTCGGTGTGGTGGGGGACAAGGACGTTGATGTGTTGCTCAAGTATCTCTCGCGAGATCTCAACCGAGCGGTTCGTCAAGATTCGCTGGTCAAGATCTTCCTGCAAGGACAATCACCGACAAGGTTGACTGCTGAGGATATGTCTGTCATCACGGTCAAAGAGACACTTCGAAAGCTCGACTTGCAACTCATCTCCCTCTCTCAACGAATCACCTCCCTCGACTCCTCCATCAAAACTTCCCTTCGACAGAACCAGAAACAACTCGCACTCACCCACCTGCGCAACCGGAAAACCCTGCAACAGACGCTCGATCAACGCTCGAATGTAAGGGACAAACTCGCCGCAGTGGTGGCCAAGATCGAACAGGCGAAAACCGACGTTGAGGTGATGAAGGCTTTCAGCGCGAGCGAAGAGGTGCTGCGCAGCGTGCTGGGGAGGGACGAGTTGAGGATCGAGAATGTCGAGAGGGTGATGGACGGGGTAGAAGAGCTGGTGGGCAGACAGGGTGAGGTGGAAGACGCGATGAAGATGACGAGTGGTGACGTGGATGAGGACGAGATCTTGGAAGAACTAAAAGGGTTGGAGAGGGAGAAGCGCCAAGAGGAAGACACGAAGAGGTTGCAAGAGCAAGAGAGGATCCCGGAGCAGAACAAAGTCAACCAAACCGACCCCAACCCAGAATCAAAAGAAACCCAGGACAAACAACTCGAAGACGACCTACAAGCAAGACTTGACCGTCTACGCCTATCCACTCCCCTCCCCACATCACCACCGCCGCAACCCAAATCCAACACTACAACACACCCCGCTCATTCCGCCATCGCCGAATCTTAACGCGCTACCTCATCTCTTTCCGCTTCCTTTACTTCCACTACACACCTGTCTCCTCAGATACCCACACTTCAAACCGGAGTCACACATTTCCCAAGCATATTCGAAAATCAGATGGAAGATCTTCATACACCGTAGTGTAAAAGAATGCTTCCGGCTTTTTGTGTATTTTGGCCCAAAGAGCAAGTGTACAGTAATGCGTATGTGTGGTGTGCATGAGAGAAAAGGCAATCGGGCCTCGAGCGAACCCTACGAGAGGTATTGCATGATGTGTGTTTGAACGAGAGAAGGGGAACCGAAACTTTGTGAGCGTGGCATGCGTTTCGAGGTGTTTACTTCTCGCCGTTGGGGTTCATGCGGCGCTTGCCACCGGGACCAGTGACAGCGTTGACGAATCTGTGTGTGATGTAGCGGGGAGAGGGAGAGAGAACAAGACAAGTGTGAGTGACCGTCATCTAGCATTGAACATGAAAGATGCAGGAGGGTTCGTTCGGGAAGGACTTCGAAAAGGGGTTCGAGGCAGGTCGATCAAGGTTGAGCCGATCTAGAATGGCGAATCGCAATTTTCGTACGAAGCCGACCCTGCATCTGCTAGACCAGTCGGACTAGCAGATTGGAGCAAGCCTTGCGCCTGCGTTGCCACGTCGTTCTGATCTTCCGGATGCGATTCGACTTGCTAATTTTAGCGAGGATGACACAGATGGCGTCGCTACAATCACCGAAGTGAAAGAGGGTCGATGGTCTCGCAGAGTCCGCCCTGAATCCTCCGTTGCACTGCGTTTCGAATTTTGTTGCGGGCGTGCCACTGATCGCACTCCTGCTGCCACGTCCTGACCTGCCCGGTGGTGTCGTCCCCTGCTGACTCCAACTTGAATCGTTCCTGTCTTCTGCGACCCATTGCCGTTGCTAAAAGTGGTGATGGCGTCGAGTTTGCATCCCACTTCTCGATGTCCTTTCTCGAATCCCTTGGTCGATCGCAATGCGCCTGCGAATGTATATGAAACTTACCGTCGGGTGTACAACAGACGCTTCTTGGCGCGGCCCTTGGGCTGCTTGGCCTTCTCTTGCTTCTCGACCTTGGGGGTCTGCGACTTGACCTTACCGGCACGCGCGAGGGATCCGTGAACCTTACCCATGTTGGATTATGTGTGTTATCGGAGGGCTGTTAAGTGACCGAGAAAGTATGAGGAACGAGTCAGATGGTGGTCTTAAGAGGAGATGGACGTGGGGGATGGTGAACAAGCATCAAGACGCGCGCAAGCTGGTGAGGTCGATCTGGCGGGTTGGTGTCGGAAAAGAGGCTGGATATATGAGCTGTAACGGCTTAGCTGGCTATAACGTGTCTGCTGATATTTTGGCAAGCGTGTTTGTGTTGCACCTCGAATTGCCACTTGTGTAACGCAAATGCTGTCGATGTGTCCAGTGCCGCATCACAGGACATTGGATAGCGACGAGATGCTGCGAAATCCGGCAACTCGTGATCGATCTGAACCAGCCAGGGTTCGTGATGCTATCGCTGGTCAGTCAATACTAGGCCGACTGAGAAAATGCTTGACTGTCGACATCTCATCTCCTGAAAGTCGAACAGGCGGCATCATGTGCTGATGAAAGGGCAGAATGACACTATTTCTGGAAGCTGAGGTGTATGCCGGAAGTCGATGCTGAGTGTTGTATACGCTGTCGATGGGTTGGTGCTGCATGCGTGTAGATTGGCGGTGCGACTTCTATGCCGATTCGATTGTGTCGTGGACCGGACCGTTGCGTGCGAGCGTCTCTGCTGGTGCTTGGTGCAATGTAGCTCAAACCTACGTCGAGGAAGGCGATGGTGTTGATGCTTACGTGTTTGAGTAACCTTGACGATATGGAGGGGAAGAGGAGGAGATGATGTCGAGGCCCGTTTCGATAGCGTCCACTGGCGCTGGCGGCGTAGCCACACAGTTTCGCGCTTTCCAGCCAGCGGAATCTTGACTGAGCTCAGTTGCAGGCGCTGCTGCCAAAGCGGCGAACTCGAAGTTGGACGAGTCCGCTGCTGGTCAACGATGCGCGCCGTGTGCTGTACTGAAAATTCTCCTGAAACAAAGCCGGTAGCAGATCAGTCTTCTGGGATTTCTGCCTTCACCCTCTTCCGCGCCTGCCTATGTGACTGACACAACTCGACTCGCCGGTCGAAATTGTCGACGAGGCAGCAGACCGCGACAGGCTCGAAACAGCTACAAAGATTCGAATTCAATTTCGACTGAAATTTAGAAATGACAAGCTATGGGCAAAAGCAATTCCAAATTTCTATTTCCGTTCCTTCAACGTGGGAACTTTCAAGATGGTCAGCACGTGACCTATCTGATCCGTGATTTGAGGCAAGAGATCTGGTCAGGAAAGCGATGTGCTGCCTGTATTATCTCAGAGCCTCTGCGGGTCAGTCAATCGGGTCGTGGGGAGGAAGAAAGCGAAGCACAGCCAGACTGGCTGCTGTGGTGGTGAATGAGCTCGTCGTCGTCGTCACTTACTCGTTCTCCTCTCTTCTTCTCTCAGGACTCATCTCATTCGTCAAGAACGTAAGTATCTCAAGCTACGCACCAACATGAATGGAACAGCATAGGTGGGGCAGTACAGAATCGCGCGCACGCATCGGAAGCACCATCGGAAACCAGGTCCAACGGCATTGTCCAGCAAGTGGAATTATCGGCACCTGCAGCAGAAGTCATGTTTCGTAGGATGATCTCAGAGCTAGAAGGAGCATCAGAGACAGCAGGCTCACGGACCGTCGCGATGGATACCGCTTTGACCGGCGGAGGGATACGTGATTGCGAGGCAGCCGCGCACGAACCACGACAATTGCCAACACACCAGACTGTCGACTGAAATTGGGACCATCAAGGTGTTGAAGGTAGCCAAAGCCGACAGATCGAAGGGTCAGCAGTACACGTCGTACAAAGAGAAGGTCAATCCAGGATGGCGTTGTGCGAGGAACGTGTCGGTACATCTCGTAGCTGGTTCGGCTGGCGCGTGCGCGCATTCTACATCTACCTTTGCATCTCTCCACCACCAACTCCCAACGACAGCTCAACTGACTCCCTCGACATTCATCCCCGTCATCTCCCTCCTCATTCAGTAGTATCCCGTCAAAATGATCATCAGCAAGGAGAACCGCAAGACCATCTACGCCTCTCTCTTCAAGGAGGGTGTCATGGTCGCCCCCAAGAACTTCACCGTTCAGCACCCCGAGCTCGAGATCCCCAACCTCGAGGTTGTCAAGGCTCTGCAGTCGCTCACCTCGCGCGGCTACGTCCACACGCAGTTCTCGTGGCAGTGGTACTTCTACACTCTCACCGACGAGGGTGTCGAGTACCTGCGCGAGTTCCTCCACCTCCCCGCCGAGATCGTTCCCGCTACCCACAAGCGCCCCGCTCGCCCTGCTCGCGCTCCCGTCGGTGGCCGCGACGGTGCTTACCGTGCTCCCCGTGGTGACCGCGAGGGCGGTGACCGCAGCGAGTACCGCCGCCGTGACGGTGCCGCTGCTGGCGAGAAGAAGGACGGTGCTCCCTCGGGCGAGTACCGCCCCCGATTCGCTGGTGTTGGCCGTGGTGCCCCCCGCCAGTAAATCGGTCGAGATCGTAACGTAGAATGTGGCTTCGAGGTTGTTACACGTTGTAAGCTGAGAAAGCAGCCAGCATCAGTCGTCATCATTCGAAAACCGAGTCGCCAGCCCAACCACGCGACCGATCCACGATTCAACGCACATCATCAACACTCGCGACCTCCAAAAAAGAGACGTTCAGTCACAAGCATATCGATTATCAATCCCCGCCCTTGTCGTCACTGGTCTCTCTCCTCAAAAATCATCCCTGGATGCAATTCGGGCACGTAGGATTCCCCTCTCTCTTCTAATTTTCCCCCTCGGCGCCTTCTCTCCTCCACTTACTCGATGTTCACCGCGCTGTGTATCGTTGGAGGGGGTTTGTGAAGGCGTTGATCTTTTTCCTACGAGACTGTTTTGTTTTTTTAGAAAGCTCAAAATCCAACGTCGGGCAGGCGCCCTTAGTCCAGCTTTTGCATCCCCCCCATCATCATCATCATCTTTATTGTCTCCAAATGTGGTTTGTATTCGCACTGCACAAGTCAAAAAACGAAACAGTCTCTCTCACTGCATACCAAGCTCTTTAGAAGTGAGCAATTGTGAATTGAAGTTATTGAGATTTGGAGGAACCTCTTCCACCTTGTTTCCTGGCCTCTGTTGCGCCAAAGTCGGACTTGTCCGGGGTGGGGTGTTGCTGTTTGGAGGGTCGACGGTCGGATTGATGGGTGGATTTGGTGGGGGCGGCGGAGGTGGAGGCGTCGGCGGAGGAGGAGGACATGTCGGCAGAGGTTTCGGATTCGATCTTGGAGGAGGAGGATTGAGGGGAGGTGCGCGAGCCGTCGTAGGCGCCTTCGCTGTTGGCGATCTCTTCCGTCTGTGTGCGAGGCAAAGCAGCCCAAAGGAAAGAGATGTTGTTAGTGAGGATGAAAAGCGTCGGAGTCACAGAGACGGGAAAGGCGATGACTTACGGATCCGGAGCCAGGAGTGTTGGCTTCACTTTCGCTGCCTGGTTTTACGGCGGAACGGACAGCGGGGCTGGTCGTGATGTTACGAAAGCCAAAGGAGAGAGGCGCCGCGGTGGCCGTGGGTGTGCGTCGAAGCGCGACGGTTCGAAAGAGTGAGATCGACATGTTGACTAGTTGGAACGAGTGGGATCGATGGATGCCGAGATCTCAACGAGGGTCAATATATACTTTCCACCTCTTCGAGCAGCACAGACCAGTTCCACGCCACAGTCATTGCTTGTCACATGCGACGATCATCAGCAGTCAACTTTGCTTCGACAACTCTTGCACCACAGGATCGCTTAGTGGACCCTGACGCATCCTCGACCCTTGCGGGCGATGCTTGACAGCCGTGCCTGTGAGTGCGCGGTGACGTTCATGCTCACTCATCCACAATTCTTGCCGGTCACGATTTCTTCGACATTGTTAGCGCATCTCACCTCTAACATTTTGGAAACGCACATTTTCGGAATTCGGCGAGGCGGAGCATGCAAGCCTGCTCGGCGCTCGCAAGTGTTGCTTTCCCACACCAACCAACACCATCAACCGCAACCGTTACGGCAATCGCGACCCCTCGAAGGACTCCATCGTATCGCATCCACGAGTCGAAGTACACGTAGGCATATCATACAGCCCTACTCTACGTCGAGCTCCATCGCGCAACTCCTCAGCCCCTCCTTGCAGACACTTCCAGGGACAAAGCGCGACAGGAACGGTTCCAATACCGTGGTGTGAACAACGGAGGCGATACAACGACTCCGTTTCCACCGTCACTCGGACCGTCTGGTCTATTCAGAAGCTTACGCGCGAGCCCTTCTCTATCACCCTCCAACCGTCTCTTCACACATCCATCATGATTCTCACAGCACCATCACCCCACCACCCTCTTCTTCCACCAACTTTCCCTATCCTTCTCTTCCTCTTCTTCCTCCTGCTCACACCTCCCGTCCACTCCACCACCTCCTCCTCCTCACACGTCAAACGCGGCGTCGATCCAGCATCTCTCGCGCACCTTCCGTACCAATACTTCCACTCGGACGGAGTCGGAGGATCCAACGCCGTATGCTGGCTATCGCGCGAACCGTTCCCCACCATCGAAGGCGTCAACTGTCGATTTGCAGATACGATCTCGCAGATGAAGGGCAGACAGATCTGGCAGTGCGAGGGCGATCAGGGCAAATTCTGCGATGGATGCCATGAGTTGGAGAGGAAGTTGGTCGATCCTAAGGATTTGGTACAGTGGAAGGTGCAGGGGTGTTAGTCGTTGGAGAAGGGTTGGAGTGACAAGGGAGGTGGTGGGTGAGGGTCGTTGGGAAGCACGGCATTTGGTATAGGTGAAGATTGTGACGGTGAAGCATTCGCCTGGAAAAGCGGACACAACCAGCATACTCGGAGCATCCCAACACGGAGTCAGGCTATCCCGAAGCCGTGCGTTGTACCCATCGTTGCTGTGCATCAGCAAGTGAACGGCTTGCAAGACTTCTGCCAAACCTCAGACCCTAGTCGGCGTTGCTCGGGATGCACAAACATGGCGCGACACACCGAACGGGTCTCCCAACTTGGTTCGGCGTTCTACTACATCGCCATTCGTCAACCAAATCCTCACGTCTCATCGCACGCGGCCCATTTCTCTCGAAAGAGAAACTTCGAAGCCTCTGCTCTCCATGTCACACTACCCGCTCATCACTCTGCACCGTACACATCGAGTTTCAATGCAACTTTGTATTCTTTGCGCTTCGTGCGCTTCATGTGTGTCTTCTAAGGAACATCATCTCTTGACATCTTTTTGAGTCTGCTTTTTCCATCCATCCATCCGATCTCCTCCGCCTCAAAGATCCTTCTTCTCAGCACCAACCTCAACCCTCGCCTTGTTCAAGAACATGGTCCTGGTGACCAACTTGCACACCTCCTCGATCAGCACCACGGGCGCACTGATCCACACCACCGCCTTGACCTCCTCCGCGGTCAACCGCGTGACCTGGAACCAGTCCTGCAGGAACGGAATGGTGCAGATCGCATAGTGCAGCGCCAACGACAACGCGATCGCGCCGATCAGCAGCGGGTTCTTCCAAGGTCCGAACGTCAACAACGAGTCGGTCTCCGAGATGGCGTTGAGGGCGTTGAACATCTCCACCACCACCAGGACGGAGAGCGCGATGGTCGAGGGCTGTCGGTACGTGCTGAAGATCGAACAGTCGACGCCGTGGAAGAGACCACCGACGGCTTGGGATGCGGGGAGCGAGCATTGGTGGAAGTGCGAGAGTTGCGAGTAGCTGATCTGCGGTCCAGTCGATGCGAACAGGAACCACCATGCATAACCGAAGATCGTGGCTGCACCGACAAACGCACCCACCAACAGGTACCTTGTAAAGATCCAGCCCGAGATCAGCGGATCGTTCCTCGAACGCGGCTTCTCGCGCATAATCGTCGTGCTCGGCGGGTTGAACCCGAGCGCCGTAGCAGGCAATCCATCCGTCACAAGGTTCACCCACAACAGCTGCACCGGGATCAACGCCTCCGGCAATCCCAACAGCACCGTCAGGAAGATCGAAACCACCTCACCGATGTTGCTCGAGATCAGGTATCGGATGAACGACTGCATGTTGTTGAAGATCGACCTTCCTTCCTGCACCGCTGCTTCGATGGTGGCAAAGTTGTCGTCGGCAAGGACCATGTCGGCTGCCAACTTGGCAACGTCGGTTCCGGATCCCATAGCGATTCCGATGTCGGCCTTCTTGAGCGCAGGTGCGTCGTTGACACCATCGCCTGTCATGGCCACCACCAATCCCTGCGACTGCAACAGATCCACCAGCTGAGACTTGTGCGAGGGTTCCACACGCGAGAACAGCGACGCAGCGGAAACCGCATCGAGCTTCTGTTGTCGAGTTGTCAGCGCATCAAACTCGCGACCGGTGAACGACTTGCCTTCAAGGTCCTCCGCGTCCCCGAAGACGCCGATCTGACGACAGATGGTTTCGGCGGTGTTCTTGTTATCACCTGTGATGACAATAACTCGGATGCCAGCTTGTCTACATCGTTCGATGGCGTGACGAACTTCGGGTCGAGGTGGATCCAGCATGCCTACCAATCCGACCAGCGTCATGCGCTGTTCGAACTGCACATACTCGGCCGGACTGCTGCTGCGGTACGACTCGACGTCGAGAGGCACATCCTCCTTGACAGCAATGGCGAGCGTGCGAAGGCCCAGTCGACCGTATTCGAGCACCTTTTCTCCGATCTGTGCGCGCAAAGCCGAGTCCAGAGGGGCAGACTTTTTGCCCATCATGACGGTGTCGCATCGCTCGACGACAGTTTCAGGTGCTCCCTTGACGAGCAGACATCCGGTGGCAGAGGAGCGCTTGATCAAGGTAGACATGCTTTTCCGATCGCGGCTGAACTCGAAGGTCAAAAGCCTCGGGTTTGCTTTGCCGTACTCGTTGCTGACGGCGCTGGCTCGTTCAGCAGCATCCAGCTTGGCGAGCGTGGCATTGACGGCGGGATCGTGGTGACCAAGTTTCTCGACAAGCACCTTGAGCGCAGCTTCCGTGGGTTGGCCGACGATGGTGTAGTTGTTGTGGTCATCCAGATGAACGTGCGAGTCGTTGCAGACGGAACAAGCCTCGGCAAGTGCGTGGAAAGCGGTGCGTGGCTCGTTGAGCTTTGTCACTTTTTTGCCAAGGGGATCAGTAATCTGGCCAATTGGGGCAAACGTGCTTCCCGAGACCGAGTAGTCGGCGATGGCACCAGCATTGTCCAGGACGGAGAAGTGTGTGACGCTCATCTGATTGGTGGTGAGCGTACCGGTCTTGTCGGAGCAAATGACGTTGGTCGAGCCGAGCGTTTCGACGGAAGGCAGGTGACGGACGATGGCGTTTTTCTTTGCCATCTTTTTCGTTCCCAGCGCCAGGCAGGCGGTGATGACAGCAGCCAGACCTTCCGGGATAGCAGCTACGGCAAGGGCGACGGCGATCTTGAAATAGTACATCGCACCTCGAACCCAACCGTGGTGGGAAGGATCGTTGAAGTGACGGAAGTTGACGATCCAAACCAAGATACAGATGACGGTGATGACCTTTGCGAGGAGCTCGCCAAAGTCGTCGAGCTTCTGTTTGAGCGGAGTCTTGTCGTCATCATCCTTGGAGATCTCGGCGTGGATGTCGCCGATGGCGGTGCGAGTGCCGATCTGAGCGACGACAGCGAGCGCGGTGCCGTTGGCGACGGTGGTTCCGGAAAAGAGAATGTTGATCTGATCCTGCTTGACTGCGTTGATATCCGACACGGGATCGAGCGACTTGTTGACGGAGATGGATTCGCCGGTGAGGATAGCCTGATCTACACGGAAAGAGGAGGAGTTGATGGCGATGAGACGGCAGTCGGCGGGGATCTTGTCACCGACGGTCAGAATGAGGATGTCACCGGGGACCAGATCTTCAGAGCGGACCTTTTCGGTGGTGCCTTCGCGGATGACGTTGGCAGTGTCGGGACTGTACTCCTTGAGCGCGTCGATGGCCTTGTCGGCGTTACGCTCCTGCACCACACCGACGGTGGCATTGGCGATGAGGATGAGGAAGATGACACCAGGTTCGATGAGAGCGGCGCCGAGCGTGGTGTCTTCCTCGAGCAAGGCGAGGACGAACGAGATGACAGCGGATGCGAGGAGGATGAGTACCAGCTGATCTTTGAACTGGTCTAGGATGAGCTGCCATAGCGGGGTCGGTGGCTGTTCGGGCAAGGTGTTGGAACCGTACTTTGCACGACGCTGTTCTACCTCGGATTCCGAGAGACCCTTGGAGGGGTCTACTTGGAGTAAGGTGAGCGCCTCGTGGACGCTCTTTGTCCACGCTGAGTTCATGATCGAATCAACGGCAGACAGGTGCGACGAAAGGGATGAACAGAAGAGATGGTGGTGGAGAAGGTGTGTGAAGTGGGCTGTTCAAGAAGAACTGCATACGGCTGTACGGAGCACTGTGCAGAGCTGTCCAACTTTTGGCCACGACGCACAAGCTCGGAGCTAAAATTCCCAGACGCCACGTCCAATTATCCAGAGTAGTTGAGCGTGTGCACGGTCACGACCGCTCAGTCGGGTTTGCCGATTTGAGAGTTTTAACTGCATACGTGTCACTTCCGTTCACGAAAGACTTCGGATAAAGACCGACGGGCTCTTTGCTGACGCTGCTTCGGTCTCCGTTGCCGACTGAATGCAAATCTTGACTCATATAGCTGGTCCGAATCTCAGTGTGTCTCACGCTCTTCCTTCTCAGGCTACCGACCGAAAGTGCGCGAAGAATCAATTCCTTCGGCTGTCGAATGTTGCTCCTTTTCCCCTTGTAGTGTTAAATGCAACGGAGAATTGGGACACACCGCTCAAATGCTTTTCGTCCCCTTCACACACAGCGGTGTCATGCCGACGCAAAGCTCACTTCGAGTGTTAAGCGGTAAAGAGAGCAAAGGTGAGACATTCGAGAGTCTGAGTTCTTCTTCGTGATCGACACGTGGAGGTCATTCGTGGATGCATTGCCACTCTCGCCTCGCGCAGACACGCACGGCAAAGTCCGAACACTGAAAATCGATATCGAAAAATCTCAGATCGAATTGCCCACGGCCCCCGATCCCAATCGATCGTAGGTCTAACACTTTCTTCTGGAGAAAATGCGGGCAAGGGCAAAAGTGTCGTTCAGCGGCTCAGGAAAGATTTTTGGAAACCTTCTCGTCATCCTCGACTTCTGTCTTCCATCGCATTCTCGTCGACGGCCATCAACGACAACTCTCCTCGCTCATCAAACGCAGTCGAACATCGCTCGAACACTAATCTCACCCATCCTGCACGTCTAAGTGCTTCAGCCTTTGCCGCATCGTCCACCGCAGCCGGAGCAGCACCTCTTCAACCACATTCTCCTCATACCACAATGTTCGGCGCCTTCCGACCATCCCTCCCTTCCCTCGGTGGACTTCTCTGGAAGAACCCATGGCGACTCTCAGCCACCCGCAAATCGCGCGTTCGACAACGCCTCCGAGCCGTCGACGACGTAATCTCCACACTCCAAGCATCCTCCGTCCAGTGCAACTCCCTCACCCACGCCATCTCCTCCATCACCCCAGAATCACAAATGGCAGCAAAGGACAAATACACAACCTTCAGCAAACACGACCGCGGTTTCCGAAAATCCATCCACAAGGTCCCCAAGTGGACCAGAAAGACCATCAGAGACAATCCCGTCGGTTACTAAAACCCTCCAACTCCTTCCATCACTCTGTAAACTTGTACACTAGTCCCCATTCCATCAATCCATTCAGCATTCAGCATTGCATCTCAAGCAAAACCGCGCATCTTGTGACACTCGCATCTCATCACACCATCTCACAAATCCAGCATCGCATCCACCGAAAAACTGACAGATTGCATGCGATTGAATCAGGGTATATAATAAACGAACATGCGACGACACACCACGGGTCAAAAACGAAACACCCATCCACAACAATCCCCCGCCTAGTGACTGCAGTACTGAAACACAAAGCTGACATCGTCGTACGCCTTCTCCGCCCTCAGCAGATCATCGTGCAAGTGGTGCATCTCCTCCTTGCCGTAGTGGTTCCACGTACTAGTGTCGCCATAAAGCAGCGCATTGGACTTGATGAACTGCTTGCCGCTCTTGCACCGTTTGCACTTGTACGTGTCGTGCGTATCGCACGCCGTCTCTTCCTTGAACTGGAACAATGCACGCAGATCTTCGCCCGAAAAGTGGCGCGCTGCATCCTGCGCCTCGTCCACCACGCACGACGATAGCGACTGCTTGTGCGACTGACGCTGCAGGATCTTTTCCTCGATCGATCCCGTCGCGATGAACCGGTACACGAAGCACGACTTCTTCTGCCCGTCTCGCCACACTCGCGCCAACGCCTGTTGGTCCGACGCCGGGTTCCAATCCGGATCGAACAGCACCAACCGATTCGCGCCGATCAGGTTCAGACCGCAGCCGCCCGCCTTGGACGACAGCAAAAAGATAAACTCCTTGCCCTCGGGATCGTTGAAGCGGTCCACCAGCTTCTGACGCTTGTTGATCGTCATAGTTCCGTCGAGCCGGAACATGCCCCATCGGTTGGTGCGGCACATGCGCTCAAACACATCGAGCGTCTGCGTGTAGTTCGAAATGAGCACGATCTTGTCGTTGGTCGTGGCGCGGATCGTCTCGAGGAACCGCTGCAGCACCATCATCTTGCCCGACAGTCCCGGATTGACGTGTCGTCGGTCTCTGGGCGTGTAGCCCTCGGGAAAGTACTCTTCGCTTCCTTCCAAATCGCTCGGCAGGTCGAGCAAGTCCGGGTGGTTGCACAGCTTCTTCAGGATACCGATCGCCTTGAGCGGCTGACTACCCGTACCGCGAAGCAGCTTCTTGATCTCGGGCGATCGGATGAAGAGACGGTACAGGTCGAGCTGGAAGGGCGACATCTTGCAAAACACCACGTGCTCGTACTTGACCGGCAGGTACTTGGAGAGCAGATCGTTGGTTCGTCGGATGATGAAGCGGCTCACCAAGGCAGAAAGCTGGGCCAACTTCTGGTTGGCTTCCTCCTGCTGCTTTTCGGTCGCCTCGGCATCGCGTCCCTTGAGGATGGCGATCTCGAAGGTCTTGCGGAAGTCGATGCGGCTGCCGAGCAACTCTGGGTTGGCAAAATTGAGCAGCGCAAAGTACTCGGACAGGTCGTTCTGAATGGGTGTGCCGGAGAGGATGACACGACGACGCACCTTGATCTGCGTGAGAGCCTGAAAGGTGAGTGAATCGGCGTTCTTGAGTCGATGACCCTCGTCGCAGAGCAGCAGACCCACTTCGGTGTTGCCAAGCTCCTCTTGCAAGTTGCGGAGCGTCTCATACGACACGATCATGACCGGCTGCGTGATAGCACGTCCCGAAGCATTGCACCATCTACGCGTCGCCTCGATCATCTCGTCCTTGCTCAGCTTGCCGTCCAAAGCTAGGTTGCCAGGAGCTGCAGGCCCTAGCCACTTGATCAGCTCGTTGGCCCAGTTCCTGACGAGCGAGGAAGGGCAGACAATGATGCACTTGTCGATGGTCGACTTGCCAGCGATGGGCGACTGCTTGAGCAGCGTCCACATGAGCGCGATGCACTGCAGTGTTTTGCCGAGACCCATCTCGTCGGCCATGATGCAGCCGTGAGCGTTCTCGACGATGAGCCCCGTGGTGCATCGGTAGAGAAACTTGACACCTTCGACCTGGTGCGGACGGAGCACCTTGCCGAGGCGAGGATCGATGACTACGGGCATCTTTTCAATCTCCTTATTCTTGTTCTTGTTGAGACCGAGAATGTCCGCGAGGCTCTTGTGCGGAGTCTGCGGCGCTGCGCCAGCCTCGATGCGTTCTTCCTCGGCTGCCTGCTCCTGCTGCAGCTCCGCCTTCCTGCGCTCGGCTTCGCGGTCATCGACGGTGGGGTCGAATAGCACGATGGCGTGTTCGCCCATGGGATCATGGAGCGGGCGCGGCGGAATGTCGATTTGCCTTCTTGTTCCAAGCGCTGCGTACGAGAGCCTCGTCTCGACGACCTGGCCCTGCTTGTTGGTCATGACGGGCACCGAGAAACCCTTCTTTATGGCGTCGGGTTTGATTTCAAAGACGTCCCACTTTCGGCGATCCACGTTGAGCGAGACACCAGTGGCGTCGATTCCCTTGTATATGCCTTCGAGCGTCTTCATGGCGGCCTTGCCCTTCTTTTTGGCACCAGGCTTGCCCGACTTCGAGTCGGCAACATCGTCAGAGTCGGACCCAGCACCAGCATCACCATCGGCATCGCCCGCTGCACCCGAGTCCATGCCGCGGTAGTCGACCTTCTTGCGCTTTCTACCGCCCTCCGGATTGTCCTTTTCTCGCTGATTGGCGAAGGAGGGCGGCTTGAACGGTTTTCTCCCGAGAAGGGGTCCAAACCCGGCAGCATTGGCGTTGCGCGAGATGTCGGCTAGCGGGGAAGGGCGAGAGTATGGAGAGCTCTTGGCTTTGAGCGGCGTGTTTGCATCTGTGGTGCCGTCTCCTGGTGTTGGCGAGGGCGTGCCGCCGAGGGCGGCTAGAATTACGCTTCGACGCATGTCTTGTGCCGCACTCTGGTCCTTCTCAAGCCACTGCTGTTCCAACGTGGTGTCGCTTTGAAGCAAGCCTTGGAAGCAGGGTAGGCGATCAGGGACGCACTATGCGACGATGCAGGCACAACGCTACGCCGTCGTTATATGCCGTGTCGAGCCGAAGAGTGTCGATCTGGTGGACGACTCTGAAGCGCTTGGAGGAGCAGGTGGGAGAAGAGATGAGAGGCGGGACGGAAGAAGCGGAGGCACGCACGCCGCCACCGAAAAGTGCGTGCAGGCTGGCTCAGTCCGGCTCGCGTGTGTCACTCTCGATGGGTCGCTGAAAATTCTCGGCAGCAGAGCGCGATCTTCGGATTATTTGGCCGTTACAGAACTCGTATGTGGCTGAGTCTCTGCGTCGCCTAAAAAGTGACACTTTTCCCACTCACGAGTCGCGTAAAGTCACGCGTCGCTGCTGAAAATCCTCAACCACAAATAGCGTCACAATCTGTCTCAGAAGACAAGGTGGAAAGTATGTTGCGCAACAAGGTGATATTGCCATGTCAAGTCGATCCCGGTGACTGTTGCTGCTGTTGCTGCCCTTCTTGCTGCTCTTGAGTTGACGGAGGCGGCGATGACGGTGGAGCGTTCGACATCTTGGACTTGGTGAAGCTGCCCATTCTCGCCGCTAGTGCTTGAGCCTGTGCCGCATTGGCCTGAGCTTGGATTCTGGCCTGCTGCATGTACGCCATCTCCATATCTGGACGCGGCTGGCTCCTGCCTACGCTGACGTATCCATCCTCGTGGCGCACCAGTGGACTGCCGTACATCCTCCATTCGCTGCCCGTTCCACCAGCACCGTCGGGCCAGAAGCGTCCACGACCCGAGAACGCCAATGCCGTCTCGTAGAACCATTCGCTCTTCTTGAGGTAATGCACCACCACCGTTCCGCCAAACGGTCGTCCGAGGTATCGTCGATTGCGCAGCTCCTCTGCCTCGCCGTTGCCGTCCTTGTGGGTTGGCAAGGGTATCATGCGCGGCTGCATTGCCGAGCTGGCAAACGACCGCTTGCGTTCCTCTGCAGCGCCACGCGAGACGCCGCCAGCGCCAAAGTCAAAGCCGGGTACAGACGGCAAGTGTGCCAGGAAGGGTATATCGCGCTTGCGCCGTCTCGATGGCTGCACATCGCCGTCCATGCTGGCGGCCATCGGGTCTAAAGGATTCGGATGCAAAGCATTGATGTGACGCACCGTCAGACCAGAAGCAGGGTCGATGCCCACCTCTTCGGCAAGGGTCGGATGCCCTGCCATCGTATCCAGCATAGGTGGTCTGAGCCGCTCGTCATTGGCTTCGAACACAATCTGTTGCCAGGGAACCCAAATCTGCGTGTCGTTGCCCTCCTCGCCCCGGACCCATGTACCAGCCCAACGTCCTCCACCTTCCACTAGAGCCTCGACTTCCTCCTCGATCGTCAAGTCGCTGCGTGGCTCAACGTAGGGCAAATGCCACCGCGAAACGGTCGAGTACGACTTGGCTCGATGCTCGCCGCCGCGTCGTGCAATCTCTTGGTCGGTCAGGCCGCGTCGACCTTCGAGCTTGATCTTCTCGACGTAATCCGGGAAGAGGAAGCCATGCGAATACGCTGTTCCTGCCTTAGGATGGTCGTAGATCCAGCAACGCTCTTCGACCCAGTGGATGTCGGATCGGTTCGGATGCAAGCTCATCCACTGCGCCACCTTCTTGTCCTCCTTGCCGTTGACGTGGTGCAGCACGCTTTCGGAATGTGCTACGTACTGCACCAAGTCGCTGGAGAGCGCATAGCATTCGCCGCCCATGAACCAGTTGCGGATGAGGTAGCCCCAGTAGGTCATCTGACGAGGTGCCACGCGGAGATGTCGTTCCAGCTCTTGAAGCCGGAGGTAGGCGTCGTCGTCGGCCTTGACCACGTAGTCGGCTTTCTTCCACAACACCTGATAGCGCTGCGCCTGCTCGGTCGAGCCGCCGAGCACTTCGCGTGTCTGGCCGTGACCGTTGCCGTGCTGTGCAAGCTCATCGAGAGATGCGCCGAACTGCTGCTTTTGGTCGACGGGGCGCAGAAAGGGCACGGTGGCGTTCTCTGCAGCCCACTGGAAGAAGGCGTGCGTCTTGCCTCTGTTCATGTTCTCTTCCATATCGAGCACGACGATATCGTTGAACGTCTCCAGCTCGAGCGCGACTCGTCTTGCATGCGCGCGGCGCGGTTTACCGATGATGAATTTGACCTGAACGTTGCTGGTGGGCATGCCTGTGTGAGGATCCAGTGGAAGTTCGTGGGTGGCGTAGGTGCTTCGGATGAGATGGCGGCGCTCGTAGGAGCTGTCGATGCTGAAGACACCGACGAAGACATCGACGGGTGCCAGTGCATCGGCGTAGGCGTGTGGAAACGGAGGCTGCTTCTGGCAGTAAAAGCGCCACGGGAGCTGCTCCTTGTCAGGATTGAGAATGTAGATGATGAGCTTGGTCACCGTCACTACAAAGCTGGCGATGAGCACCAGCGCCAAGATGATTGTGACAGGATGGATAGGCCCAAATGCGGTTCGGAAGATTTTGGTGAAGAAGGACGCGAGCATGCTAAATGGCTGTAACCATATTGGAGCGGTCCTGCGACTACGACCGCGGTCCTTGGAGGGCGCAGAGGAGGTGGTGGAGAAGAGTGCCTTGTCCGTCTTGGAAGTGCGATTCCATTTTGACTTTTTCAAGCTACGTGAGCGGGTGGTACCTGTGAGCGGGGTGTAAGAAGTGCCCGACTTGCTCCAGAAAGGTTCTCCGCGAAAGCTCTTGGTGATGGTGCTGAACATGGACGCGGCAGAAGGGTTCGCAGCGCTTCCTCGTCTTGCACGCCGCAGCTTGGCGCTATCGTCGTACTCTGAGACGTCGGATTCGGTCATGTCGGCGATCTGCTGGTCGGTGAGGTTGACGCCTACAAGCGGCGTGCGGGCAACATTGGCAGGAATGGGGCTCGAGCCCGATGGTATTGGAGTGAGGTCGCCGTCGGTCGACGATGCGTAGCCGGTCGTTCTGCTCCGAGCTGTGCGGAATTGAGGGCCGGATCGATCGTCTAGAGCATAGCTGTCGGCATCGAGATGGCCGTTGGCACTATACGATGAGGCAGAATACGAATGCGATGCAGAAGGTTCTGGCCAGTATTTGCAAGGCGAAGATGGGCCGGCGACAGCAGCAGAAGAAGTGGATGAAGAGGGCAGAGCGTTGACCGGAGTATCTAGCGAAAGACGATCGTAGTCGTTGGGTCCATCCGGTCCGAGATGCACGGGCAGCGTTCCGTCGGCGGAGGAGGTGTGCGGATGTGCATCGCGAGGCAAGTGAAAGCGTGGCGGCTCCGTCGACGGCGTGCGCGTGAAGGGATGGCGCTGGACCGTCGTGGGACTCATCGCTCCTTTGGAAGCGACATGATCCCTGCGAGACGATCTGCTGTCTGCCGACATGGTCGACGTTGTTGTTGCTGCCGAGTGCAGGCTTCTACGCGGACGACATTCGACACCTCGCGGTCCTGTGAGTGAGGTGTGACGAAGCCAAGAAGCGCAGTTGTGCGATCACGTTGGATGACTTAGGGTGACGAGGTAAAGCCAAACAAAGGCGGATGCCGGCGATGCGGATCATCCGAAAGGGGTCCAATGCAATGGCGGGAAGCGGCTGTGCTCAAGCGTTTTGCGCGGTTGGCTGGTAGGTTTCGTGCCGGTGCATCCAAGGAGAGAGCCACGACAAGCCAAAGTCTAATTTGCGCGTCATCGTCGACTGCCGCCCTAAACGTGGCTCGAGTGCGGTCAAGTTCAGGTCAAGTCTACAATCCAAAATGGCAACTGTCCAGAAAATCAATGTAGCGGTGTCAGGTCGCGAGAATCCACACGTTTGCTCGCACACCGAAATTCGGGAAAGTCGTTGGCCTCGTCCGGACTGCCTCAGCTGTCACGTAGCGCCCGATGGCATTGCCGTACTCACATTGCTTCAGTCACGAGATCATCGCAGAAACCGCTGTGTGACAGCGAAGGACGCTCGCCGCTTGCAGGCTGTGCGCGGTGTCAGCCTTCTTGATTTCTCCGCTTTCGAATGCCAGCGACCCTGGAAGAATCATGCGCTAACGATGGCAAGGCTCGATATGGCCGACCCAAACGAACGGAAACATCGGAAAATGATATGGCTCGTTCGATGCGCGCATGTGGCGGTTGGATTTTTTTCCCGCTGTCTGAGCCTCATGCTTTCCTCGTCTCTGTGCCCGCCCTTCCTTCCCACTCCGGTCACTACTGTATGCCCCGATGACGCTGAAGTTACCTGACACAACATGTATCCTCAGCTAGCAAATGGCACCGGACAGCTGCACAGCGCCACCGATCCGGCTGCAGTGCTCGTTGATCCCCGCTGAAGCGAGCTTGGCGTGACAGCTCGAGACTAACAGACGCTGACGCAGCCTGCGAAGCGCTTCCCGCTCTCAGATTTGACCATGCTTTAGGATCATGACATTGATCATCCACGCATCTCCGCATTGCTCACTGTAGATGTTGTTCGCACCGGAGCCACCTGTGCTCTCTGTTGTTGCTCCTGAGTCTGCCTAGGTACGCCAACAAATTACACGGCTGGAGAGACCAACCCTATTTGGTCCACTGTCTCGCCGTCCCTTGTTCTCGCACCGCCCAAGCTAAAGTTACCTCTAGTTGTCTTTTATCTCTCGACATGCTCACCTTCACCGTCTCATCCTAGCATCGCACTTCATCCTCGATCCAGTCTTCATCTCCTTGTCCCACCGCCATCATACCGGTTCGACACCTCCAAGACCACTCACAACGCCATCTCCAGTCAGCATCTGACTTCATTCGCTTACACTCCGCATTCGACCCGCCATCGCCGTCGGCACAAGCGCTGCTTGTTGCCATTAATCGTCCGCAACCATGTCCGGGCTCGGCATCGACTTTGGCCACGAGTCCGAGGCTTACTCCACCGACACAGGCTCTCGCTTCTCGGCTGCTTCGACCTCGACATCCGGCTTTCACAGTCGTACACGTGCGCACATGATCCCCAAAAAATCTTCCATGAACAAGATGCGAGGAGTACGTCCAAAGACCGCCGAAGAAGACGCTCGTCGTGTTCGCATCGTTTCAGGCGAGCCGGACGTTCTCGGCCATGGAGCATACACCGACGAAGACTTCATGTCCCCTTCCAGCGCTGGTGAAGAGGTCATCACACAGCCTCACCAGCTTCATAGCCTCAGCGCTGCCGTCGCTGCCATGAGTGGCTACACGACCGATACCACCACCAGCGGCACCGAGACTGATACTGACCAAAGCCCGACACTCACCGAGTCCTCGGTCACAAGCGCCTCCTCGGGCGCAAGTGCCGCTCAGAGATTCTCCGAGAACCGAAAGCCCGCCGTTCAGCTTCAAAGCAACGTTGTTCGCTCCGGCAAGCCCACTAGACCGGGTCAAGCAGTATCTCAAGGACGCCCTGTTTCTGAACAGCTGCTCACAGCCGGTGGCAGGTCGGTTCAAAAGAGCACGAGCAATACCAGTCTTGCTTCGGGCTACCGATCAGACGGCGCTTCCAGCTTGGGCAGATCGGCCGAGATTCCTCGTGGTGTAGGACGACAGCGCGTCAGCATCAGAGGTGCTGCAAGTCGTCAAGGAACCCTACAAGCACGGCTCGGACCCAAGATCGATTCCACGGTCACCAACCACTTCCAGCATGAGATTTCCGGCTCAAATCAACATCAAGAGCCTGCCTCTGATGCCGAGACGGAGATCCTCGTTCCAGATGGCTTTGGCGGGCATGAGCGCACGAAGCAGCCGAGAGCACAGGTTGCAAGACGGCCAGCAACCGCTGGGCCTGCAACATCGCCTTCCCTGCTCGAAAGGATCGACATGGAGAGTGAGCCCACTCGAGCCGATTCGCAAGGGACCAGACCTACTGCCAAATGGCGAGTGGGTAGCTTCTACGGACCTGATGGCTCCGAGACCGGTCGCATCGATCACAAAACCAACACCATCAGCGCGTGTACCTCGCAGGCGGCAGGATCTGAAGTGGGTCCTGGCGCTATGCAGAGTACACTCGGCTCAGACCAAACTTCAGTCTCGCTTTCGCGCTCTCAGAGTCAGGCTCCCAAAGCCAGCCACATGCGAAGTCCAAGCAACCACGTCGAGCTGCAATCACAGCAAAGCGAGCAGAATATCCATCCAGATGGATCTACCAAGGCAGCTGCGCTCGAGCAGAATCTACGATCGCGCACCTCCCTCGCCAGCATCTCCATGCGCAGTAAGCGTGGCTTGCAAGGACTGGAGGAAGCTGAACGAGGCGGTGCACTCGTTAGCCTCGACAACTATCGCATGACTTACGATACGGGCTTGCCGATCTTGCCGCACGAGATTACCGCTCTGGATCAAGACAGCATCATGGGATCCGTTCGGCTCGGAGATGCTCAGACGATGAAGACCTCGCTCAGTCAAGGCGTCCTCCCCACCTCCGCGTCCGTCTCTGGTCATCTCAATGCTTCATCCACGAAGCAGGGCAGCACTGACGCTGCCAAGAACGGCGGCAAAGTCAAGAATCGTCCACGAAGGAGTCTTTCCGATACGAACCTAAACAAAGCCCTCCTTGAGCGCCATGGCACTCTCCTCAGTAGCAACGCAAATCCACTGCGCAGGAGCAAGGAGCTGGATCGACTTCTGGGAAACTCGGATCGTAAGCTACCTCCATCGGCTGCCAAGCCCATGACGAACGAGGCTCAGATCAAAGCTGGTCTCAAACGTAGCAATGCCGTCGCCGCGAGCGTAGCGCCTCCGCCTGCGGCGCTCGAGCAGGGCAAAGCGAACAAGGCTCGCGTCGAAGTCGATCTCGTCCTCGAATCCGATCTCGTTGTGGAAGGAGGTACGCTCCAAGGTCGAATGCAGATCCGCGTGCGCAAAGGCTCGGACAAAGAAGGCGGGGTCTTCCTCGCTCAGCCCAAGATCCGTGTGGTTGGATTCGAGGAGCTGCTTGCAGACGACACGCGCTACATCTTCTACCACCACGCTTCAGTCATCGATGGCGATCGCTCCAACAACGGTCCGAGCGAGCCGTACTACCTTCACGGCTCGCCAACGCTTTCCTCGCCGGAGACGGCGTCATTCTCCGCCCTAGCTTGCTTCTCTGGCGGTCCAGATGCAGAAGGATACGCCGAAGGCAAAGTCGGCTCGCACTCCATCCCGTTCTCGCTCGAGCTGCCCGTGTCGAAAGGTGCAAAAGGCAGTTACCGGGGCAAGAATGCCGTCGTGCGCTACATCGTCATCGGATCGGTCAAGCTCAAGTCGTCCTCGGGAGCGAACCGTTCCATCGCTCACTTCTACCGACACGTCGACCTCTTCCCCTACCTCAATCCGGCAGTCGTGCTCTCAAGCGCCAACAAGCCGATCCAGGCTACCAGCTCCAAGGGCCTGTTCCTTGGCGGCTCGGGCAAGGTGCAGCTCATGGCCAGCCTTCACCGCAACACGTGGGTTGCGGGTCAACGGGTGTACATCAACGTCGGCGTCCAGAACGACACTAGCAAGAAGATCAATGGCATGACGCTTTCGCTCATTCGTACAGTGACACTGTACAAGCCGCGTCCAGAGCTCAACGTCAGCGGTGCAGCTGCACGAAGGGATCTCGATCCGGATGCGTGCCAGACCTCGACGACGCGCAAGAAGATCGCAGAGGAGGAGCTCGAGATGGGTCAGAAGGGTAGTCGAGGCGTCGTCACAGCTCGCGGCTGGTGGACCGGTGTCGAGGCAGGACAGCGCGTAGAGTCGACACATTACATGCAGATTCCAGCGGACGCCCTGTCCGTTTCGCGAGGTCGTCATGTCGAAGTGGTCTACAGCGTCAAAGTTTCGATCGGCAGCTCGCTATCCTCTGACGTCTCGGTGGAGCTGCCCATTCGCGTGATCAACTTTGTCTCGCTCGATCCGCCGCCTCTGAAGAAAGCTGGGAGCGCAAGGTTCAGCGTCGACGCTACGCGTAACTGGGCTGCGCCCGGCAGCGTCTTCAGTGACGCCAAATCTCCCGTCAGCACAAACGGCAGCCCTACGGGTGGTGATGCCGATCCGATGGTGGCACGGCTCAAGTCTGTCGATGCGATGCGCTCACCGGGAAAGACCGAGATCTCGTTGCAGAACTACAACCAGTATCAGCAGGCAGCAAAGCTCCTGTCGCCTGGCGAAGTGGCAGCAGAACAAACTCGAAGAATGCAGCACCAAAAGTCGCTCGATTTCATCAATCATGCGATTCGCAGTGCCGCAGCTCGACGTGGGGTGGATGTCACACCTACCACTTCCAGCTCGTCTGCGCGTACACCCAGCCCGGCCGGTCTCGGAATCGGACTGGGAATGCTCGGTAGCGTTTCTGAGAGCGAGAGCAGCAACAACCAAGACAGTCCCGGTGGAAGCAGCAGCACCGACGGCACCTCCGGCGCCGAATCTGATCAAGGTGACGATACAAAGACGCCTCTCGCCACTGCACGTTACGCTTCTGGACCTTCTCAAGTTTTCCCGCCTGGTTGCGAACCATACGAGCAGCATCACCATCAAGTCCACCAAGCGCAACACGCTGGAACCTACTCCCAGCACCCTGTCGCTCTCCATTTGCCAAACGGAATGCATCATATGCAGCAGATGCAATTGCAAATGTACCAAATGCACATGTCCAACCCTGCCTACTTCCAACGCGCAAGCCCCACGGGCGGAGGAGGAATGCTTCCTATGCTACGCATCAACAACGCGAATGCGGTGTCACTCGACGATATCGGCGACGATTATGACAATGACGAGGATGAAGCACAGCAAAGAGCGAACGAGACGTTGGCGCTCAACGACGAGTCGATGGCAGAGATGAACATGGTGATCGGGTCGGCGCGATTGGACGATGAAGAGTTCGGACAGTTCGATGACAGTGTATGTGCAGGTGATGTGTACGAGCAGGACGAGCATGCGCATGTGTTGGGACAGATCAAAGAGCGGGAAGTGGAGGGAGACGCGGAGGGATGGTCGCTTCGACGTCGAAGCTCGGCTGACGATGAAGCTCGGGAGCAACGAGGTCATGGAAAAATGGATGATGATGAGGTCGATGATGTTGCCGAGGTTTCTTCCATCATGCAGATGGTCAGCATCGCGCCACCAGTCGCGCAACACGAGCAAGGAAGAATGGCTCCTCCGCCTTCGTCTGCTTCGGGCTCTTCTTCCACCATCTCGCCGGTCGCTGCCGACCAGAGCCACCCCGCCGTTCAGATTCCCACGCGTGGCGATTCGCGATCGAACGCTCAAGCACGCGTCACACGACCGCTCAGGATCACTAAAGACACCATGAACCCCACCACCCTCCTTCCACAGCAGGTCATCCGAGCAAAAGTGTCCACGGACCATCTCCCCGCCCAGCCTTCCAGCACACTTGCCCAAACATCCCAAGCTTTGAGCTCGGCAAACCTCAAGCGTCACTCTGACAACCTGTCACTCCGCTACCAGCCGCAGCTCGCGATGCACAATCGACATCGATCCACGCATTCGGTTTCGGGATTGAAACCGCTGCTGTTGCAACCTAAAGCCACGAGTGCTGGATCTTCGGTCGGCTCGAGGACGCCCGAGACTCCTCGCGAAGGTGAATTCTCTGATACAGGTGCTGAAACCATTCAGGTTGAGAAGCCAGCGCAAATCTCGACGCAGGCTCGACACGTCGAGAGTCCTCAAAAGGACTCAGGCATGCCACGATCTTCTACACTTCAATCGATCTCGTCGCTCACAAAGCCGCAGACGCTTCGACACTCGGACAGCACCAGCTCTCTCGCCTCCAACACAACCGAACCTGCCGAAGCCCTTTCCCGCTCTCATTCGACTCACAACCTCCGAGGTGCTTCGATCATGGTCCCCTCGGTTCGTAACAAGATCGCCATGTTGGAATCGAGAACGGCTACACTGCGAGAATTCACCAGCACCGAAAGCCCATCGAGCAGTCCCGCACCTAGCCCGATGAAGGCGTCAACGAGCAGCGGCAGAGTCTCGGCGATGGCGGGCAAGGTGGAGAGAGGAGCAGGAGGCGGACTGACACCCGGTGAGAGGGTGTTGGGTAGGAAGGGGAGTTACGTCTCGATGGTCGAGAGCGAAGACGGGCAGGCATCGGTGGTCAGCAGTGTGATGACGGTACCAGAGTACATGAAGGGCGAGGGGAGGGGTGAGGGGGAGGACAGGTTTCATGCTCCTGTGCTGCGGAACCTAAGATGAACGTCTCCGGACGACGTTGCTTTCTCACGTTCCGTCATTAGTATGATTGGTTTGATTTGACTCTTCGTTTTGATTGTAGATACTTTGTTTGGCGACTATTTTGAATGCTCAGGTTGATCGACATGATGATCGCAAGCTGTTTGGCCGAGGACGTGCAGCCGAACAATGCTAACCTTGAAGGTGCGGTGCTCGCTGACGACGGCAGCAGAAGGTGTAGTATCTCGTACGAAATGCGGCGGTTTACTTGACACGCCCGAACGACGGAACGCTACTTGCCACGACCGTCTGAGAAGCAGCGAGTGTGTGCGACCGGGACGGCTTCCCCGCCCATGTAGGAACAAGCCGATGCCATCTCTACGTGCAGCTGCATGATGCACGTCGGATGCTGCGGCAGTTGCCGGCAGAACTTACGCTTCGCATCCACAAGGAAAGGAATCGGTGCCAATTCAGAGTTCTGGCTCAATTTGAGAGCAATGCTGGCCAATCCCATTCGAGAAACTGTCCACTGGGCCTCGTCGTCCAACCACAAGATAGGAAGCGGTAAGTTTATCCATATTTCGCTGCGCGCAAAATCACTCCTCTTTGCTCTACTTCAGGGAAGTCTAGTCACCTGACTGCGTCGTCCTCCGGTTTGGTGAAGCTCTACAGTATTCGCTTTTGGGGTGTCCAACGCTGAGTGTGGGTGCCACCTCGAACAATCGTTGCAGGTATCAGCATGGACGCCGGAGCTGATGCCGTCGTCAAGAGCTCGCGAATTTGAACTTTGCGGCGACTTGAAAATGTCACCACGAGGTAAGAGATTCGGACTCCGATTCCTCTGCTGAACCGCCGCAACGCTGGTTGCTCCGCACATTGTGGGCTCGTGTTGCAACGCTTTTGAAGGCCGGCGTGTTCCAGGCCAAAGGCACAGCCTGTCCACTCCAAGCTTTCCATGTACAGTCCTATGCACATCCTTGCAATTCCGATGCATCCTCATAGAGCTGTTAAAAGAGTTCATCGAGACGTTCGAGAACAGAGATCGATGCGATGGAACCGAAAAAGTCGAACCCCGAAGCGATGTCGAGGCATGGGATGCGCCGATCTCTGCGAAGAATCGCAAGCGAAGAGGCGCAGCGCGTGGGTCGTCTCAAAACGCCGGCAGGAACACGCCCCTTTTTTCAGCGTTGCAACCTGACGGCAGTGAGGCTGCGAATGGATCGTAGCACGACTTGTCTGTTCGGTTGGTCCGAAGGTGTGGCTTTCTTGGCGATTGACAATAGAGCACCCAGCTGGACGCCACTTTGATCAAGGTGCAGATCCCTCGATCGCGGGCGCTGCATCGGAGGAAGCAATACCTAGATGATGGTGTAGCACGTATTGCACGTGCGTTGTTCGTGCAGTTGCGGTGAATGAGAAAAGAGGTAGCTTGAGGCTCGCTCGATCTGGACTCGGGCGAGGCTCTCCGAACTTGATGTCGGTCGCATCATCGTCAGGAGCGGCGTTTGAGGACACTGCTCGCTTCGCGCGTCGGCGCGCGTGTCACCGTCGACTCGATCCGTATCAAGCCTCGCGAGCGTCCCTTAGTCTGGAAAGGCAGCTAATGCACCCAATCGCGCACCCCGGTCACATACCGTTCAAGCCTGTCTGTCCGGTTACCTGCGACGTTGCGACAGGCGGCGGTGCTAACGCTGTCGTCGAGCTACAAGCAATGTTCAGGTCGAGACGAAGATGAAGGTGAAGCCGCTAGCACCGCCCACCGGTCAACCCCCTTCGCTGACTTTGTACGGCCTGCTGCAGAACGCAGAAGACGGCCTTGAGCGAGTTCGAGTTACAAGTCAGTCTTCCCCGCATTGCGCGGGCCAGCATGACGGACGAAGGCTATGCAATCGTCCGCGACCTGCCGCGAAAGAGCATCAGAACGTGTCGGCTCCAAACACAAAGACTCGACGTCCGGGATCAAGTGCTCTGGAAAGACGATTCGATTGTCAGGAATCTCTCATTCTGCTTAGTCGGATCGGTGTCGTCGGGGTTTGGCTGGGCTGTCGCCTCATCCCTTGAAAGCTGGACCAACCTTGAGCTTGATCTTGGCTTCAATGCTGTCACATGGTCGCCTGCTTCTTCGGAGACAAGCCGAGCGCATTCCCACACCCAAACTGTCCTTCGGAGCGTAGTGACGAAGCGGAGCTAGGTGTGTCAGACCGATGTGGGGAACGACGGGGACGAGGAAATGCTTCTGTGGCAGCGACACGAGAAATACGATTGTCACACTGGCTCGCTGGCCTCCCACGCCTTTGTCCTCTCGCGATACGATACACTGAGGCCCTCGTTCGCCGTCGCCAGAGTAGGAGAGTCGATGCGAGTCCCTTCAACTTAGGGAGCTGCAGCAGCGCATCGATCGCCGCGTAACTTCCCACAAGTGACGCAGAGAAGCTCGGTTGCGCAGGCGAAGACTTGCAGGAACCGTGACCGTGGTGAAAAGATTCAAGTGAGTCCAAATTGTTCAATTAACGAGGGCCCGTGGCCCGTCGCAGGAGCCGGGCGAGGGAGAAGACAAGATAGACCCGAACAGCAGATGCTTAGCGGCCGCCGTCCTGCGGCTCGCACCGCCTCCGCCGCCGCCTCTTTACCTTCCTGGCTCGTGGCACTTGGCGAGTTATAACAAAATGCCGCTTCCGCTTCGGAGGAAATTCAAATTGACCTCGAAATACAATCCATCCATGCCATTCAAGCCAAGCCCCAGAAGACATTTCAAAGCACAAGTGGAATGTGATGAGGAAACGCTACGCTCCCTTGAAGGGCATGCACAGCTGTGCATACATCGACCTGCACAATACCGCAGCAGCCAGGAACAGTGGACTTGATCCAAAGCGGTCCACCATCGTCTTTGCTGCCGCTGCTGCTGCTGCTCCTTTGGCAGCCAGCTTGTGGTCCTCAGTGGTCGATCGTGATGAGGCATCAAGCTGCTTCCGTCCCGAGAGGCAGGTTGCAACCAGGTCCAAGAGCCTACGCAAAGAGCTTTTCGAAATCCCCGCTCTCTTGCGTGTTCTTCTTCTCGAGTTGAAAATTCCAAGCAAAGCTCAAAGCCCACTTTTGGCTGCAGTCGCTCGACATTTCTTCTTGACCCCTGCATTCACCGCTTTCTCTCTCACAATTTGGCCGCAGGAAAATAACCAACAACTTTTTTTTCTCCCCTCTTGGGATCTGGCAGCTCTTTCTTGTTCCGGCTCGAGTCGCCAAGTGCCCAAAAAATTTGTGTGCTGCTGCTGCTGCTGCTGCTGCTGCTGCTGCTGCTGCTGCTCATGAGCCCTAGACACAGCTATCGGCATTAACAATTGGGTCGGAATGGCCGACGGACATGGTGCCGAAAAGCTGTGCAGTGCCATGCTGTGTGCTCCAGCTCAATCACACGACAGCACGGATGCGAAGCGTCTAGAGGCGCTGTTCGTCTAGCTTCGACTCCAACTTTTGACGATCGCCGAGGCGCTGGTTGCCAGACGATATGAGTTTCAACGGGACGCTGGGTGACAGAGTCAAGCGGATGGCTGTGTGGCCGGTTGACCGACGAGGTCGAGAGAACAGGCAGGATGTGCACCATACAGCGTCTCCAGCCAAGTTGCGATGCGAGGCAAAGCGTATTGGGGCGGACAATCGTGAGTCCTCGACGGTGAGCGTCGGTTGCGTGCTGACTGACGGAACAAGGTCAAGAAGGCTTGCTCCTGTGTGGTCTTTTTTTTCCCTATCGAGAGAGGCAAAGCTGGAGGAGCAGCGACGCTGAAAATTGAAAGTCAGTCCACGGCCCACGGCGAGAAGAAGCAGAGAAGGAGCCGGAGGCAGCTGGATTAGATTAAGCTGCAACTCAGCAGCAAGGCGGCAGGCAATCTGATCGGACTCGCTGCCATCCTTCTCATCTTCCCAACCCATCTCATCCGCTTCTGGTACCTTCGCATCCTCTTCCTGCTATCACCTCCATCCCCGCCGCCCTCTTCACACCTCCCCACACTTTCTTTCCCCCACCTCATCTCACTTTGCATCTCCCACAAACACGTATACATACGACGCCTCAGTCCTCATATCAATCTAGCCCGGTCGCAACCAATCAAGCCAGCCACCTATCGCCGTTCCTCCAGCCCACTACTGTACTCGTTTCTCGGATCTGCCGACTGCTCAGCAAAGATCCGGCTCAGTTGTGCTCGGCATCCCCGACCATTCTAGACGTGTCTTCACTCTATCGTGATAGAAATCAGCTCGGTTGATCCCAGCTGGTCACCTCATTTTGTCTCCTCTGCTTGGCTCATCTTCCTCGCTCCTTCACTCCCATCAACCGTCGGGACCTGAACGATATTGCGTCGACCACGCAAAAACGCACGCGGAACCACCGTTGCATCGAATCGGCATCAACAGTTTCGCCGAAGTCACTTCTTCCGCACCTCATCGACGCCAAACGCCGCCCTCCTCTCGCTGCAACCTCGCTCTTAACCGCTGGAAAAAGCATTACTGCTGCAGCTGTATTTACGCTTTCTCGGGGCTGGCCTTCGAGCACACTTTTGGTTTCCGTCTTTCGCTTTGCTGATACTCGTCAATCCTTCAGCCTTGACGAATAAGTAGCAATCTGATCGACGCCGACTTCTGGCTGCGCACCTTGTCTTCGTCTCCAAAAGCATTCCATCATCGCTAATCCCTCAGTCGCTCATCGGCATCTCGGCAAAAGCTTTGCCCTTCGAGCCTCGTCTCAACTTCGAACCCCACCTGCAGCGTAGGCTCCTCCCGGGGACCTGACGCGGTCTCCGTTGCCCAACACGATTTCCCAGCAGCAGCCGCTCTGGCCAGCGGCACTGCCAGACACGTCCGGCCAGCAGAAGCAGCAGGCATCCCAGCATCCTCAGAATTCAGCCTGGAGCACTGGTCAGCTGCCATCCGTCTTCGAGGACGGTGACACGGTCAACTCGACTCCTACATCGACCACCTTTTCCAGTGAGGTGCCCGATCCCGCATCCAGCTGTACTTCTCCGCTGCTCGACGACCAGGGCTTCTCCCTTCAGCACCATCGTCGGCGCTTCACGAATCCTGACGCTGGCCGTACTGTCAAGCCCTCGCCTCCACGGCTGAGTTTCGGAGCTCCAGTCGCTCCCCACCTCGGCCAATCCAACTTTCGGCATTACTCCCCGTATCCTGGGTTTGCCGCTCCGAATCACCAGGCAGCAGGATCGCGTCCTCGCTCGCCGGCCCCGCTCAACTTGCTATCCAACATGGACACCGCTTCATCACAGCAACAGCAGCTGGCCCATCCTTCCGGGCTTGATATGCCTATGAGCGTCTCCACAGACATGCAGGAGCAGCAATTCCACCACCAGCAGCAGCAGCAGCAGCAGCAGCATCAACAGCAACAACAACAACATCAGCAGCAGCACCAACAACAGCAGCAGCACCAACAGCAACAGCAACTATCACAATCGGTCGCAGCATCTCCTGTCACGACCAGACCGGCAAGCTCACAAGCGGGGATTCTAGACGTCACGCTGAATCACCAACAAGCGCATGCGCCATCAGCGCCTTTGCAGCTTCAGACGCAGAACCTCTCTCAGCCTTCCTACGCTTCCCTAGCTTCGCCAATGCAGCAACAAGCCAACATACAGCAGGCTCAATTGCCTCCGCAGACCGCCCAGAGCATGCAGCTTGAACCGCAACAACCACATCATCAGCAGCAGACCGAGCAGCAGCCCCAGCAGCAGCAGACTCTGTCCGCTCCACCGCAAGCCCAAATGCTGCCGGTGCAACTTTCGCAGCAAGCTCAACCGGTCCATTCTCAGGCCATGGTCCAACCATCGACGGCGGCACCGCACACACCCATGGCGGACGAAGCCGCGAAGAATGGCATGTACGCTGCTATGGCTCAAAGACCACCCATGTCAGCGCATCAACGGTCCATCTCATTAGGATTGCACTTGCATCAATTGGCGTCGCAGTCTGTGCCGCAGCACTCGGTTCCCGCCTCCGCCGAAAGCATTCAAGCCTTTGGGTGGCCACCTGCATCCTCGCAGAATGAGATGCTCATGTCGTCCACGCCTTCCCAGTCCGAGGACAGATCGATAGCTAGTCACCACCGAGCGGCTTCGCACAGCATGGCACACAATCCGGGTCTGGGTCTGCAGCAATTTGCTGCGAGCTTGCAATCTGTTCCGTCCACGCCTATTGATGCGACACATGCCCAGGTACAGGCGCAACAGGCACAAGCCCAGGCACACGCTCAGGCGCACGCTCATGCCCAGGCCCAGGCACAGGCACAGGCACAATTGCAAGCACACGCACAGATGCAGGCTCAGGTGCAAGCACAAGCACAAGCCCAGGTTCAAGCCCAACTTCAGGCGCAAGCCCAACTCCAAGCGCAGGCACAGCAAGCTCAAGCAGAGGCGCAAGCTGCAGCCATCCGAGTTGCCGCTGCTTCGACGCAGCGACCTGCTTCTGAACATTCGGAGCTGATGGACCAGATCGCCAAGCTGCTGGACGATGTCGTCCTTCAAGCAAAGACGGCTCGAGATTCCTTCCGCAGCGGCGACGGCTCTCTCAGCAATCGCTGTCTCGGCGATCTGCAAAAGGATTTGCAGCACATCCAGCATCTCTCCCACAAGAACTTTGCACCCGCTGTTCAGGCGCCGCCCGTGCCTACTTTGCCTCCCACGCCGCAGTCTTCGCAGCCTTTCGCGAGCGCCTCGTTCCCGGCACCAGTCATGCAGGCGTCCCAGCCGCAAGGCCTTGCTCCCTCCTTGATGCTCGAGCAGAGGACACCGTCTCAGCAGCAGCAGCAGCAGCAGCAGCAACAATCACATCGCGAGATCCAGCCTCTGCCGAATCTGACCCTCAGTCAAATGAAAGGTCCAGATGGCGATTCGACCCACAGCGGTCAAGTGAGTCCGACGGCGCGCAAGAGGCCGGTCCAATCCGACAGTGATCTCGCCGAACAGCCTTTCAAGTCGCTGCGATCAGAGACGGCAACGCCGGTCAACCCTCCTGCGCCTGCTCCATCAGCGCCGCCCACAATGGCCGGCTCCGCTGCAATTTTGACGCAGTTGCAAACCTCGATGCCTGCACAGAGCATGCCTCCGGCGCATGCCATGTTGCCGCAAGCTCCAGCCGCTCTGTCCAGCGGAATGCAATCGCTGAACCCATCCCCATCTACGCCGCAGACGCCCTTCGAATTTCCTCCCGGTCAAAACTTTGCTGGCCTTGCTAACGGCTTTGCCATGAGCCAGTCGATGCCCTCTAGTCCAGCCATCCAACAGCCCGGTCACATGCGTGGCAACTCGCTGCACGATGCCATGACCATGACCCCCCAGGCTGGTCAGAAGATGCAGAGCGCCGTAGAGGCTCCGAACAGCGCTGATCGCGGTCAGCCCAAGATCGCAAGGAGCGCCTTGCAGATGTCGGCCATCTCTAGCGCGAACACTTCGGCGAATTTTTCCGCCATCGACTCTGCACCCTCTTCACCGGAAGAGTCTTTCAGCAACGAAGACAGCGGCGACGAGGCCGACCAGCCTGTCGACGAAAGCCAACGTCACCTCACCAGGCACCGTCGGCACCGCGGCAGCGGCTTTTTCTCGAGCGGCGCTTCCTTTGACTTTGGTGCTCCCGACGGCGGTGCTGAAGAAGCGGCTGGTGGAGACGCGTCGATGTCTGGAGCGGATAAGAATGGACCCAGCGCCGTTCTCTCCGCCGAGCTGCGGAACAAGCTCGAGAGTATCTTCTACAGCTTCCTCACGGCTGTCTGCTCCGATCTCGAGATCACTGACGATCGAGGCGAGCTGCTGCACCAGACTCTCATGCCCAAGAAGATGGCGAGGTTGGACGAGTCGCCCGACTTTCGTCCGTTCAAATTCCGTATCCAGGCCTTCACAAACGCGTTTCAGGCTGAAGTGTACCGCAATGGCATCACGGAAGCCGAGTGCTCGATTAAAAAGATCAAGCAATTCTTGTGGACGCAGCCTTACATCTCACGGTTCAACGAGGACGGCAAGAAGGCCAAATCAAAGGGCAATCACATCTGGATCGTCGAGGCCAAGAAGATCCCGGAAGGCGGTTGGGAATTCCGCGAGTTCAGCCGCAAGATCGCCGGCGCACCGGAGAAGATCGCCTACGTTGGCCTCAAGTGGACATGGCCGCTCAAAGTGTGGGATCCCCAGGCGTCTTCGACCAGCATCAAGGCCGTCTTCTCGTGCAATAAGGTGCCTTCGTGGATTCAATGGGAGGAGAACAATCGAATCCTCTCAGGCACCCCTACGGCTGGTAGCGAGAGCGGCGAGGTGAGCGTCACCGCGCACTACGTGCACGGCGGTCAACTGCACCAGCTTCAGCACTCCTTCTACCTGCAGGTGGCTTCGATTGCCGCAGACGAGCTGCAGGTCAACGACGCTGGACCTCCAGCTGGGACCACAGCGCTTCCCACCCAGCCCGTCGCCGCAAACGGCGCATCTGAGCCGTTGCCGCCTATGGCCGATGCCGTCACCGACATGATTCGACATGGGACACAGCCGGATCTTCCGGCGCCCGGCCATGCTTTCATCAACGGACAGCCGCCCGCCAATTTCCCAAGCGAGTCGATCAACCATCAGATTGTCGAGCCGTCCAAGGTTCCTGCGGTGCTCAACGCCATTTCTTTCCCCTTCACACCGCCGGTCCATTCGGATGCGCGACCGCAGTACTTCCAGACGTTCAACAACGAAGCAGCAATGTTGACGCCGCAGCTGTCGGATGTGCCCGGTGCAGGCGGCGATGGTGGCCGAGCTGGTTCGCAATTGTCGTCTGCAATGGTGTCCCCGATGCCTGCGCATCTCAACCACAGTCCGTTCCAGAGCGCACCTGCTCAGCAGCTGTTGGGACACCAGCAGCACATGCAGGCACCGGCGTCTTCGCAGGCATTGCAACAGCAGATGCAGGTCGGCGTTGTGCTTCCGCCGCAGTCGGCGCCCATGGTTGCATCGCAGCCCGAGGGCGGACAGCCGATCAACGGAGGCAAGGCATCGAGCGAAGAAGTCCAGGTGCATCAGGTGCGAAGCATGATCGAGAGGAAGCAGCAGGCGCAAGCGGCCAACTTTATGCTCTCGATTCCTTCGCGAAAAGCTGCCATCGCCGCCGAAGCCGCTCGCCCCGCGTCCGGTCAGACGACACCCATGTCGTCGATGCCGAACGACATGGCTGCTCATCTGCCAGCTCTGAGTTCGCTTCCACCCAACGAATCGCTTGCGAGCGGTCTGGCGCCCAACGTCATCAATGGCGACGTCACGCTCTCGCCGGCAATCAACGTCAACTTTGACGCGTTGGGAGAGGCTGGTATGCAGCTCGGTCTGCAGAACAACCTCACCAATCAGTCGCAGCAGGGCCAATGAGGCGCTCGAGGCATCACTGAGGCCTCGCTAGGCCATCTCTGCTCGAATTGCCCTTTAGGTGGAAAGCCTTGCATCTGCACTTTCTCATCTTGCTTGCTCTTCTCTCTGCAATCTAGAGTTCGATCGGGCTCACGTCGACATCTCATGTCGCTCTTTGTTTTGCAAATCCTCTCCGCCCTCTACATGTCGTACCTTCCATCGTAGATTTTGCACATTCCTTGACCTCCTCGCAGCTGCTCCGACCAACTCAGATAGTCTCCTCAGGTCCGCTACAGTATCGGCTGAGCGGCGCTCGGGGGAACTCTGCATTCACCGTCACTTGTCATGGGTCTTCATCTGTATCCAAGCGCTCTTTCTCTCTTTTTTTGTCCACGTCTATGGGTTTCATGTCAGCTTTTCTTCTCTCCCGGTCATCTTGTCTTTCCACTCTAGACGCGACCGTACTCTCGCTCTGTCTTCTCTCCCACGGTCCCACCCCCTCTCCCTCGCGCTCCCTCGCGCTCTCTCGCTCTCTCTCCCTCTCTTCCTATGTTCTCGCTAGTCTCTTGTCATGTCACCTAGAAGCTCACGGTCCGGCAGTAATAGCCATTCTCTCGTTGTTCAAAGCAAGTGAATCTGTGAGGATCTCGATTGTGGTCTGTGGGTGTTCACTACACATCGAGGGTTGTCGAGCCACGAAACAGAACAGGGTGGGCATGTCTGTCGTACGATAAAGGAGGCAGTCTGCACAAGGATGATGCAGCTGTTCCACTTTCGATCGAGGGCGTAGGCCGTTGAAATAAAGCCGGATTTATGCGTGCCTCGATTTTGGCTATATTTTCAAAAGGAGGAAAAGTAGTCGGCGAGTATGACGGCCAAGAAAAGTCAGCGCGTGCGTCAGTGTGCCGCGACGAGAGCAGCAGCAGCGGAATGTCCGATTTTAAGCCGGGGAGATCCTGTTTCTTCTCGTGACGGATCGGCTCGCCGACTCGACTCTCGGCCAAGCAGAGACGCTACTGGTTGAGCTGTGCGCAGATCGCTCTAAGCGATTGATGTTACTCCACACAAACCACCAACCGCATTCTTCGCTCAACACGACTTTCTTCCTTCTGACCCTCTTCCAGCATCCACCTGACCGACTCAAAAAGCAAATATGGCGACGACTACCACCCGCGGCTCCAGGGATAGCCCCTTCCCGCCTCGTAAGTTGCCCCATGCCCAACCTGGCTATTGCACAACTGATCGTTCAAGCGAGCAAGCGTTTGCTGACTGTATTTTCCAACGGTCTTCGCTTCTTCCTCTCACTCCTTCCTTCGTCTGGGGACAGCCTCCGATGCCGAGGTTAAGAAGGAACTCGGCATGAAGGGAGACACCATCTCTGCCGGATCTACCGAGCTCTCCTACCTCAAGTCGCTCGTTTCGCAGCTCAACGACAAGATCCAGCAGCTCGAATCCAAGGCCTCCTCCGCCGTGTCCTCTATCACCGGATCCACCCCGGCCGGCGTTCGTATGATCCTCATCGGACCTCCTGGTGCAGGAAAGGGAACCCAGGCACCCAAGATCCTCGAGAAGTACAACAACTGCGTTTGTCACCTTGCTACCGGCGACATGCTGCGCGACCAAGTTTCCAAGCAGACCGAACTCGGTAAGATGGCCAAAAAGATCATGGATCAAGGTGGTCTTGTCTCGGATGAGATCATGGTCAACATGATCAAGGATCAGCTCGAGACCAACCCGTCTTGCAAGGGTGGATTCATTCTTGACGGTTTCCCGCGTACCACGCCTCAAGCTGAGAAGTTGGACGGAATGCTGCGCGGAAAGAACCAGAAGTTGGACCACGCCGTGGAGCTCAAGATCAACGACAACCTCTTGATCTCGCGTATCACGGGCAGACTGATCCACCCTGCCTCCGGCCGAAGCTACCACAAGGAATTCAGCCCTCCCAAGAAGCCCATGACCGACGACGTCACTGGCGAGCCGCTGATCCAGCGAAGCGACGACAACGCAGAGACCTTGAAGAAGAGGCTGGCCACCTACCATGCTCAGACCGCCGCGGTGACGGACTACTATAGGAAGCAGGGTATCTGGAGCCCCGTCGATGCAAGTCAGAGCCCCAAGGTCGTCTGGCAGAGCATCCAGGCTATCTTTGAGAACAAGAAGCAGCCTCAGCCGTCCAAGTAAGGAATCACAACTTCTCTCCTTAGACTTCCCGCTGATAGTTCAAAGCACACAAGGGCACTCTTTCACCGGTGTCGATGACAATTTGCAAAAAAGACAAATTATGAACCGCATAACTCGCCACATGCACTTGACTGGTGTGTGATCTGCCTTCTGCTCGCCTTGTGAGAAAGGTCTCTCCAAACCCAGGGACATTGTCTGACAAGCTGCGATGATGGAAACAAGCGATGGGAAAGGAAATGCGGTTGAATTCCAACTGCCGCGACGAATAGAAAACTGAACCTCTTCTAGAGTGAGACGTCGGCATCGTGAAGTACAATATCCAAACTCGAGTTGGCAGTGTTCAAGAAGCTCCCTGCATCATGGTTCGGATGAGTAGACGCAAAATCCGCCGGAGGATTCATCATCCCCGCTGCTCCCGCCGCCGCCGCTGCTGATCCATACTGAAACATGTGGTGCGGAGTAGAGTTCGCCATCGCACTCGCATCGTAACCTCTGGCACTATACTCTCCGCCACTCTCGTCGACCGACTGTCCACTGACCATGGAATCCATCATGCTGAACTCCAGCTTGTTGCCCGGGAGACTCTTGTACCCTTCGCAGATGCTCTTGACCAAGCGCAGCAGGGTCGGGTCTAGATCCACCGCGACGCTCAGATGATGCGTGATCTCGGCGTGGTACTTTGTCGGCAACACCATGGTGCCTGTCGCTCTGCCCGCCTTGCCACTTCCACCTTCCAGGTGACAGAACTGGCCCCCGCCCAACCTCATATACGACTGCGCCAGAAGGATGTGCACACTCGCTTCTTCCGGAGCCAGCTCGCACGCCCTGCACAAATCCCGATGGCTGGACTCGGCATCCCCATGCTGCAGCAACAGCTCCGCCCTCCTCAGCAACGTCAACACCCCCGCTCCCGGTGCCAGCTCGATGGCGCGATCGTAGCACTCCAACGCCTTGGCCGGAGCGTTGAGGAGCGAAAAGGTCCACCCCACCAGATCCCAGAGGATGTGGTTCGAGGGGTTGATGTGGATCGCCTGCTGGAGACTCTTGCTCGCGGCATGTTCGTGTTCGCCGATGCCGAGGTAGACGCGACCCAGGCCGGCCCAGGCGTTCCAGTGCCGGCGATCGCACCGGATGGCGGAACGGAAGTAGGCGATCGCTTCGTCGTGCATGCCCAGATCGTGCGCTTCGTGGCCCGCGAGCGTGTACGCGTACGCATAGTCCGGCGCCGACGCTGCGGCACGCTGGAAGCAGACGAGCGCGGTCTGGTGCTCCTTCTGGAGCGAGAATGCGTTTCCGACGACAATGTGGGTGGAAGCGGTGGAGGGAGAGATGAGCGAGAGGTGCTGCGCTAGTGCCGAGAGCCGTACTTCGCGGGAGAGGTGGAAGAGGACGAGGGAGAAGATGTCCACGTGGGAGGCGATGTACGGGTTGAGCTTGGTGACGGCCGTGAAGTGGGATTCGGAAGAGGCGTATTGGGAGCTCTCGGCGTAGCTTCGCGCCAAGAGGAGGTGATGGAGAAGGCTGTCCTTGACTTGGAGATCGAGGAATCGCGTGGCTTCGGTTATGGAGATGGTGGCGGCTGTGCTGCTGCTGGAGGACGCTTCGCCGTTCAACTCGAGCGGTTGCTGCTTGCTGTCCATAACGGGAATGGCCTCCGCAAGAATCGGGATCGATAAAACAGCTGCAGCTTTGTCCCCTTCGCACAGACGCAACAGCCGATATGCCTCGCCAACCTGAGCGAGCAGTGCAAGCACGTACCTGTCCGCGGCTTTCTGATGTGCCATGGCTGTAAGCTGATGCACGCTTGATCCGCGAAGTGCGTTGAGCGAATCGAGCTTGGCTCTGGCGTCGGATTCCTCCTTGAGACGCATGGCTTCGGCTGCTGTGCGGCTGGAAGCGAATGCACCGTTGCTTCGCACAGTTGTGTTGGCACCGCCGGCCGAGCTGGAGCTGGCTTTGGACATGGCACTTCCCGGGCGACTCGTGTTGCCAGCGGTTGCGAGGCGACTGGTGGGAGCAGCCGTGGTCCTCTTTTGTTGAACGCTGGCTCCGTTTGTTCCGGCAGCAGTGCGCGCCGAGGATGCAGTGGTAGGCTTGGTGGCTGTGCTGCGCGCTGCGGTCTGACCAGGCGCTCCAGATGCAACTCTCTTGGCGGACACGGCTGTTCGTGCGGTCGAGACGGTCGCGCGGGACGACATGGACGTGGTTGAAGAGGCTGACGAAGTGGATGATACGCTGCCGGCTGCACTTGTGGCGCCTGCTCTGTTGGGAGCGGCCGCCGAACGAGAAACGGTGGTCGCTGATGCTGGCGCGCCGGTATTGCCGCGTGTGGAGCGTAATTGGCGTGCATTTGCTGCTGTGGGAGGAGCGACGGTTGCGGTACGTATGCCCGCTGGTCGAGTCGGTCGAGTAGCGTTGCCGCCCACTTTGGCTGCTTTGACGTCGTCTTGGTCGGCAACCACGGCCTCGAGATGATGCGTGTTGGTCTGAGCGGCTGATAGAGCTCGAGAAGCTGGATGCAGACGTGTTGCGGTAACCGCACTGGCTGATGTGGTAGGCAGAGGCGGCGCCGTCATTTTGTCAATGGGTCTGGATGATGCACCATTGCGAGCAGGGCCAGATGGCAAGGAAGGCATGGGGGGAGCATCTGATGACACTTTGAGCTTCTTGTTGGCGCCGTCTTCCGACACCTTGCGGATCATGGTGGATGACTCGGCTTGTCCAGTCGAGAAAGGCACACTCGACTTGATCGAAGACTCCATGGCTATGTAGGGCGCCTGCACCTGAGCGACCAAACCAGAGTAGAGGCGATCGAGAGCGGACGCGCCCAGGTGCTTGTTGGCGGTGGCCGCGCCGTAGCCGGTATCGCAGAGGCCGGCCCAGGCACGCCAGTTGAAAGGGTCGAGCTCGATGGCTTGGATGAATGCAGTCTGCGCGTGCTGACTGCGACCACGACTTGCTGCACTGTATGCTTCGTCGGTCTGGAGCTGCGACTGGTATCGCGACTGTGACGAGACGATTTGCGGTAGAGGCATATCGTCGCTTGGCGATTCAATGGCTTTTCTCTTGCCAAGCGCCTTGTCTCGGAGCAGATGAGCGACCTCGAGTGCATCGGATGGTCTGCCAAGGGTGCGACAAGCGTCGCGGTACTCCCTTGCGCTTGCAGCATCCTGAAACGTAGCGGCCGAGCCTTGCTGAAGGATGTGGATGCAGGCGTGAGCGCCTGCGGTATCGTGAGGATCCTGCGAGCTGAGTCTGGAGGCAGAAACGATGGCCGATGCTGCACTGGCTGAAGGGCTGAAGGGGAGAACGATGTTGAAGCCTCCGTGACGAGCGCATCTCGCCAGTGTGCTGCGAGCGACCGTGGACGACGGGTCGAGACACACGGCGTAGATGGAGAAGAAGGTGGCAGAGCACAGGTCGATCTCCCAATCCCAAGGATCATGGGAATCTTGATCGGCGTTGAGAGCGAGAAAGGAGCGGGCTAGCGAGATGAGGCGCCGAGCGATGAGTTGAGGGCTAGGCTTAATCTCGTTGATTGTTTCGAGCTCGGAGAGCGTCGGAAGCGAAGGTGGCAGCTCTAGTGCCAACGGTGGCGGTTGTGAAGGTACCGAATGATTTGGTGCTGCATTGGCTGGTCTGGATCGGACGGAGGTGGAAGTCGGATGCGCCGATATGGTTGCTGAAGAGGAAGCCGAGGAAGATGCGACGGGTTGGCGTGCCTTGGTGGCCGTCAGTCTCGACCGAGGCGCCGTCGCTGCTAGCGGCATCTCCGACCAGCCGGCGTGTCGGCGAGCAGTATGCGTTGCTGGAGGAGTGAATGCTGTTCTACGGCTGCCTTACGCTGCTGACATGCTCACGAGGTCATCGATCCGTACGTCGTGCTCGGTGGGTTTCGGTTGTAATGTCGGATCAATGACTGTTGCCAAGCTGATGCACGGCCTACGGCGATGGTCGATGTATCAGCAAGTGCTGCACGTCTGATGTGGTGGAGAGAGAACGAAAGGTGATGGAAGACCACCTAGTTTGTGCATCACAGAGTCAAGGTCGACACCAGGCGATTCCTTTGTGCCAGGTGTTGACTTGTGTGCTTATGCACGCCAGCTTCGCCAACACTTTTGGCAGCACACAAAAACAGGGTCAGCTCGCAACGCCGCGCGCTCGCGACTGTGAATGCATCATCATCAAGAAATCTGGCAGCAAGGATCGGGGATTACTGGCGCCCTGGTGTCCCGGCCGAGTCAACGATTTAGATTTACATATGACCACACGCGCCGCAGAAAAGGTTCGTGTTGCGTTTGTGTGTGTTGGTTGGCTCGGTGAGATTTGGCTTGCGGTGTCATGGAGCCAACCGACCGACAGGCGAGGCATCCAAAGATCGACAGCGCATGCGCCGTGCCGAGCGTGTCACTTTTTCTTAGTGTTTCGAAACACACATGCTCAAACACGCATGCACACACACTGTGCTGCAATTGTGCCGTTTCAGGTCGAACGGCACATTGCAAGACTGTATGCCAACATCATGATGGTCGACAAGGGACTCACCAGCTCCAAGATGAAGAATCGAGAGCTAAATGGCTTCGGAAGGAGGACATGTAGACGCAGGCTGGCAATCATGCAAATTCCCCTGTCTGTTGTTCTTTGTTTTCGGTTTTGAAGCTGCCTTGCATGCATGCAGCCCGAGCGAGTGGACAGAGTGAGACTACAGGCGCACAGCACATCCCTCTGCGTGTCATCACGCTGTTGCGGCGTGTTCAATCTATCGCACCAATTCTCAGCCATCACTCGCCGTCATCATCGTCCTCTGCCGTCACACCACCATCACCACCGTCTCCTCATTCCGCCCCATCAGTCCTGTCCTTTGCTTTGCTCACTCCACTCAACAGTTAGTTCCGATCCTTAAACTTTGGTCCCGTCCGGCTTCAACCCGTCCGGCCTACACTGCTCTTCAGCACCGCACACTCCTTTCGCATCGCCTTCCGAATCACGCTACAACTTCCTTCCGGCCCTTCCATTTGCAGCCTTATCCCGCCGACTGATTTGACACTACTCGTTGTTAATCTGTTTGCTCCATCTGCACCTTCATCGGCTCCAGGCCGCCATTCCTGCAGACATCGGTCTTGCCTTTCGACTCCATCATGCGCGTCCTACCAGCACTGCTAGCAGCGTTCGCCCTTCTGCCACTCCTCACACGCGCCGCATTTCACTCCAACGATACTGCCTGCACACGGCACTACACCGTTGAATCCGGCGACACCTGCGACAAGATCGGTCAAAAGACCCTCACTTCCACCTACCAGATCCTCGCGTTCAACCTCCTTTCCGCAGGTGCCGACTGCTACACGCTAGAGATCGGCACGCGTCTCTGTCTCGGACGCTATGGAAACGACTGTCAATTCGTGCATCAGTGTACCAATCAGGACACCTGCGAGAGCATCGCCAGTGCCTACGGCATCTCGACCGAACTATTGCAGAACAACAACCCGAGTTTGGATTGCAATGTCGTGTACGATGGCTTGATGCTGTGCGTTAGTGCCGGAAGTATCAGGCCGCCGGCCGACGACAGTCTCAATTCCACTGATGTTATGGCTGCCAGGGAGCAGGCGAGGCAGATGTGGCTCGTGCAACAAAAGGCAGAGTTGCCCCAGCCCGAGTCAGGGTCAGAGCAGAAGAAGAAGGCGACTACCAAGCATCCGCACACCTCACATGCATCGCACAGCAACAAGCATCACCAGCACAGCGGTGGATCATCCTACAAGCCAGCGTCCCAGCCAGAACCAGCCGCGGACAAGACAGCATCACCAAAGCAGCAACGCGCAGCATCAGATGACGAAGCTTCGCAGGAGAAGCAAAACACATCGTCACAAGAGAATCTCGAAGGGCAGTTTGTGGATGATCTCTTGACCTCGACGCCACCAGGCTCAAATCACACTCCAAATCTGCAACAACAAGAAACGCCACTGGTTGGCACTGATTCTGCTACTGCACAGCACAAACGTCATCGTTCCCTCTCGTCTCGTTCGCATCATCAGAGATCACATACCCGTTGAACAAGATAATCTCAACACATGTTTTGGTGTTCATTTGATCCTTCGCAGGATCGCCCGCGATCGTGTATGAAGATTTCATCGTTGCTACGAAGCAGGCTCGGCGAGGACGAGGTTGAGGATGCGATCGCACGTGTTGGTGAATCCAACATTGCCTACTGCTTCATCTGCACTGTATTGTCCGTCTGCTGGAGCTGACATTGGCGTCTTTTTTCCCGCATCATCATCCAGCATCAACTGTTCCGCATCCTGCAGCACCGCTCTGATTTGAGCCGGTAGACAAACTCTTCTCTGCTTTGCCAACGCTTCGTCCTCGGGCGCATGAATTTCGATCTCCAGCAGATCCTCTTTACCCCTCGCAGGAACAGTGGTGTACGATTGAGGTTGCAGATACATCCTCATCACGTTGGTGGATGGTTGTGAATCGGTGGGGTTGGAGAGGTCGAACATGCAATCCGGCTTTCTCCTCTTGATGGGTGAATTGGGAGGTGTGGTCGGTGAACGAACTGGTTCGTCGAATCCGGAGGAGAGCGCTACGATTCGTAGTTCTTCCACGTGCGATCGTAGACGTTCCCACGATGATCGATCTAGCTTCTGGACCGAGCGGGTGGAGCCGTGGATGAGAAAGTGAGGCTCGAATAGCGCGTACACCAATTCCGTCGATGTCGTGGAAGTGGTGATGTAGATCAGAACGCACGTCTCGAACGATGGTACGAATTGGTCGAGCGTCAGTGTGGATGGTTTGGCGAGAAGCGCGGCAGACGCTGCCGATCGTCGACGTCGAAGTGTCCGTTCCGTCGAACTTGAACTGCTGGCGGTGCTGGAAACGGACATCTTCATGGAGAATGCTTCGTCTAGGCTTGATTCACGCATCCGAACGTTTTGTGGAGTGAGAGAGTCGATCTATGATGAGCGAGACGATGCTGAATAAGCTTGTCAACGTAGAAGGCGGCGGTGGGGATGAGAGAAGAGCAAACAAGCTATCGACGAGCCCACTTTCATCTCTGTCCCAGCTGCGATATGGCACCATCAACACATTTGCGTGCCGCAGGCACAAGCGTCGGATCTAAGCTTGCTGAGCCGCCATGTGTGTCGAGTTTGCTGTGGGGATGGGGTGAACGACTGTTGGAACGAAGGTCCCGAACTGCGTGTGTCTGCAGCATGCAGCGTGGGTTGCTTCCCCTTTGTTTCATGCACTCGCCATTGTTTGCAGTGTGCAGGAATACTTTCGCTAAAGTACCAGTCGTTCGTCGCAAGCAGGTTTCGGCTTGGAAGCCGGCATGCTCAAGAGGCTCGAGCGTGCATTGGGAGTCTGTGTCATTGGTGACATTGATCGTGGGTCAAAGCTCAGACTCTCTGACTCGCTTGCAGAAGTGCGAATGCAAGGTGCATGGTGGGCAGAATGGCCGATGGCAGACGGACGCTGAAATGTTTTCGGGCTCACTTTCGGCCTTTACTCGAAGACGGAGCTACCGCTTCGGCAGCTTCTGCCTCCTCGTTCTCTAACAGCGCCTTGACCTTGCGTGCTTCAGCTTCGATACGAAGGCTCTCCATGATGTAGTCGAGGCCTGTTCCAGGATCGTGCTCTCCCTCCATGACAGCGTCGATGCCGTTCAGGCTCAGATTGATCCGATGATCCGTGACGCGGTCTTGCGGGAAATTGTAGGTTCGGACGCGATCGCTTCGATCCATACTCGCTACCTGAGCTAACCTTCGCTCTCGATTCCCTTCGACTTCCTGCTTCAGCCTGCGATCCAACAGCCTGGCTCGCAGGACCGCCCAGGCTTTGGTACGATTCTGATGCTGCGAACGGCTGTCTTGCATTGAAACGGAGATGCCCGTGGGCTCGTGCGTGAGTCGAATGGCAGATTCGGTCTTGTTGACGTGCTGTCCTCCCGCACCTCTCGACCTCATCACTTCAACTTTGACGTCCTTTGGATCGACGAGATCGTCCGCTTTGTTTTCGGAGCCTTCGGAGATGGGCAGCACCATGACTGCGATCGTCGATGTCTGGAGCTTGCCCAGACTCTGTGTGGCTGGAATGCGTTGTACGCGGTGTACGCCTGCTTCGTACTTGAGCTTCTGAAAGACACCTTTGCCTTTGACTTCGATGATGGCTTCCTTGAGTCCAGACCCGGATCCGGAGGATGACGTCGATACGTCGACGCTCGTACTCGACAGCATCTCAACCTGCCACTCGCCCGAGCCATCTTCTTCGATCGGCTTTTGTTCGCAAAAGCGTTCGTACATTCGAGCCACTTCCGCAGTAAACAAGGTCGATTCTTGACCTCCGACACCGGGACGAACTTCGAGTACAGCGCCGACCGCCTGTGCCTCGATCGCATCCGTGACGGATTCCAGAATGAGTTTCTCCATATCCGTGCGCAGATCCAACAACTCTTGTTCCAGGAGTGGAATCTCTTCGGCTGCAAGAGCACGCATGTCTTCGTCTGGGTCGCTTTGGCTCATACGTATTGTGCTGACGAGCTGCCTGCGTTTGGACGAGAAGGTTTCCCATGCTTGCCGCAAGGAATCGAGCTCTTTCAACTGTTTACCGATCTCGGCGCTGTCAGCGCCTTCGACAGAATCTAGCAGACGCTGGCGCTTCGTCATCCTGAGCTGCGCCAGTTGTACTACCGGATCTCGGTCGATGTCCAGGGAGGGTTCGGATGCCGTCTTTTGGGTTGCGTCACCGGCCTTGGTAGTGTACGGGCGGGCTATTGAGCATGAAGAAGAACGTATTGACCGTGGCATAGAGTGGACGCAGACAGCGGATAAGGACGGATGGAGTCGAGGTTGCATTGACCATCGTAGAGTAGCTGGCTGCTTTGAGGTCGACGCTAGCCTGTGCACTGCCCTCCGTGAAGGCCCAGCAGTTTTGAGCAGGGCTGAGGTTGCAGAGCACCGCAGCGAGCGAAGGCTGACCCTGCTCATTGTGCCTGCAATGATACAGCCAGCTCCTACAAGGCTGGTCTGGAGATCCTTGCGTGTGATAGATGCTCACACGACAGCTGCAGGAGCACATGTTGCTCAAGAACCTTAAGAAGAAAGTCTGTCGAGTCGGATCTCGGACCTTGCAACTTTTTCCACATGCAACGAAGTAAAGATGAGCTGGGTGTAACATTTTTGTTCGGCTTTGGCCGAAAAGAGGTAAGTTCCGGTTGGCAACATCATACAACCAAGACCTTTTCATTGGACTTAACATAAATCCTCCGGGAAAAATTGAGGTGAATGATGCCATGACCGCTAGGGTCCTCGCCATGATGATGCGATAAGGCCACAGCGGCAGGCGATGGTACGAAAACTGTCAAAAGATTGCGACCGCCAAGGTTACTGTGCAAAAGTCGGATAGCGTGCTCTGCATACGAGCATGACATTCCACGTCCCTGGCAGAGGTGCCTGTGTGAGCTCGCGCAATCTTGTGCTCTTGATCTGAAGCGGGCTCGCAATCCACCAGCAGCAATGTCGATGTCGTGTGTCAGAGTACAGGCTGCCCGAGTCAAATCGACGTGACCGGCGCGGTACTCCCTGGCTCGCCTCCACTGTCTTGCAACCCATGCCCGCCCTTCAGTGTCTTCCTGTTGCTCCGGCGGCGTAGAGAAGTGCGGGGTGTGAAGGGATGCGAAGAGATGCCTTAAGTTTTGTATTATGTGAAGACATCTAGATCGTTCGTTGTGACCATCACCTGTTGCACTTCCAAGTCGGTACCGTCTCTTCTACGCTTTCTCATCCGACAGCATGGTCGGAGCAAAGAGAAAGACCCTGGCTGGCAGCATCTCGCCCTCGACAACGGCGTCTCAGATCGACGATGGCGAGCCGCTGCTCAACAAAGACGGCACACGTCGCAAGTCGCGCGTGTTGCGACGCAAGACAGACCACTCGATCATCGAAAGACGCAGACGAGAGAAGATCAACGAGAAGCTTGTCGCTCTACAGAGCATCGTTCCAGCCTGCCGCAAGGAGTGTCAAGACCTCATCGAGAAGAAGTATGTCACACCACTCCGCGCCACTGACGACAACGAAGCGGACAAGAACAGCACAGCGATCAAACGTGACGCCAAGCGCAAGCGGGAAGCGGAAAGACTGGACAAGGCCAAGAACGAAATGAGCGAAAAGGTCCGGACGACCATGGTCCTCGAGAAGCTCTGCATCATCAGCCACACGCTCGACTTTGTCGTCAGACTGCAAGAAGAGAACAAGGCCTTGCGAGCGCTCTGCGACTGCCAGTCTGAGCGTCGCACCTCCATCAACAGCACTATTGAGCTTGAAGAGCACTACCGCAGTGCTCATGGTAACGATGCTGTCGAGGAAGGTGTTGAGCTACAAGAGGGGGAGAGGGTTCCTGGCTCGCCCTCCAGCTCGTCCGAGCCAAACAGTATCCCGTCAGAAGAGCAAGAGAGACCGAGCAAGCGCAGACTGCACTGGGGGAGCGATGAGGTCCGCAAAGCATCCGTTCGAAGCGAATTCTGTCGCCACAGGTGTGATGTTCATTCCCACGACGAGGCTCGTCACCGAGAGCGATCGCTGTCGCCTACTATATCCGAGCTCGACTGCGATACAGCCAAAGAGAGCAAGGCTTGGGTGTCGTCAGCCTCTCGCGAGGCACCTCGTTCTGCACTACCTTGCAGCGCAACTACTTCTGACGCAGGCCCTTGCAGTTCGTTTTGCAGAACACAGCACTCGTGCTGTCGAGAGGAAGAGCAGGGCTCCGACACCTCTACCGATGGCCCAGACGATCCCACCTCGCCACCTCTCGATCCAACTCAAAGGCGAGTCCTTGCTGTCGGTGGCCAACACAGCTACTTTGGACGTCAAAAACTTCCGTCATTCGTCAATCTCGGGTTGCCGAAACTTGATGCTCACTTTCCAACTCTACGTCAAGACGCTTTCGCCTCGCTTTATCGCCGGGATCCACCCAAATCGTCAGAGCTCCCTGCCGGACGACGACCTTTCCGTCCATTGTCTCTGTATACATCTCACGCGCCGCCTTCCACCTTACCTCATGTCAATCCGTAGCAGCTTCATCATGGTCAATATCAAAATTCGAGAGTTTAGATCGAACGCATTGCTCAACTTAGCATGTTTCTCGTCACCTTGACCCGGACACAAGACTGAGAAGCAGTCGCTCAAATGGCAACAAAAAACATGTTATATGTACGTAACATGTTGAACATGTGTGCATCAGCGCAGTCTTAGTATAGTGGTTAGTACAGCTCGTTGTGGAACTGAATCAAGTTGATTCGCTTTCTTCTTCCGAGCCGAGCAGACGGATGTTCGATTCCTCCAGACTGCATTTACTTTTTGCGGAAATATGTCTCTCTTTTTTCGGCCATCATGAAGCGATGGCGGAGTGTTGTTGTCTCGAAAGACGGTAGAAACGATTCCACGTACAGTGATAGGTTGAGGTGGGCTGCCTCTGCCTACGAATCTCGAGAACCCTTAAGAGTTACACTACCACTCGTGTCGATGTCGTCTGTGAGCGGAGGTAGAAGATTCTGCCGATTCGATGCGTGATTTTTGGTGCAGAGTAGGAGTGGAGAGATATCATCGGCGGACACTGCTTTTCTGACCCTGTTGTCGCTTCTCCGCGACCCTGCGTTGGAGAATCGGCGGAATCACCAAAATGGGAAAACCCACTGCTGTGGCTCTTCTCTGGCTGCAGGTGGCAGGACACAACTCCACACACACTCTCTCACTGCCTGGCACGGTCGGCGCACGCATCACCGCTTTTCCGACTCCATTTCGTCGCAAGCGTGGATCATCGTCGACACACCACCTTCGCCAACCACATTCTCTTCCCGTCTCAAGACCTGCCACTGGTCTTCGTTCGTCGAGGCAAGCTCTCTCAACACCGTCGGCTTCCAACATTAGGTGCCCCTTCTGTTTCTGTCTCTGCAGCGACAGCGGTAGCAGCCACTCATTCCAACCCCTTCTCTCACCACTCTCAGATTTCTCCCAACGACCCGCTCGACCTCCTTCCCTTCTCCGTTCGAAAGCCGAAACGAGCCGTCGACGTTCCTCACTCCAGCTGCAACTGCAATCATATCATCCATTCTCGGCATATCTTCGCATCGTTCTGCATCAACACCAAGCGTGTTCAACCTCCACGTCGAACTCAAAGCATTTTATATAGCATTGGCAATACTCGAAATCGCTCTACTACAACGCATTTGCCACGCCACCCACTGCGATACTGATTCTCATCCGGACTACGATCGCCTCACCACTGTCATGAGTGTATCACGCACATAGAGACCAAACGCTCATTGCGTAGCACTTCGATCCACTCCCGATCTCAGCACGTTTCCACATATCAGCAATACCCGGCGTCCCGCCGCCGGTCTTTGCTCAGCCAGGTGCAACCTGGCTCCAACTCCGTGGCAATGCCACGCACCTATCGTCTGCGGCGACGCAGAACAAGATCAATCGCAACACGTCTAGCAGCAACGGCGCTAGCAGCTCTCGCGTTTGGCGCATCGTACGTTGCAGCAGATGCAATAGCCCCGCCCCTCCACTCGACCAGCAATCACGCATCCGGTGCTGGACTGCCCGCGCTGAACAGTGGATCTTCTTTCGGCCTATCAGGAGCAGAAACGCTCTTGAACCAGCACGATGTCGCATCGACGGAGAATGCGGCATCGGATTCTCTCGATCGTCGCAAGCATGTAATCTTCCAAGACCTTGACCAGCTGCAAGTCTCGTCCAATCTCGATCGCTCACAGTCACGCATCCTCGGCCTCGATCGGTTGGCTCTGAAATCACCTGTTGCTCTCGAGTTTGATGATGCGGCTTCAGCAGACCGTGAGGCAGTCACGCACGATGCAGACTCGGAATCACTTGGCAGCGTCCCATCCGTGCCCGACGCTCGCTTGTTTCCGGTGTCAGGAACACGGCAGTACAAGGCAAAGCAACCTGCTGATCGCTTCAAGGTGACCTACAGCAAGGATTTGGTGGGGCAAGATCTCAAGGGCAAGCAGACCGGTAATGGGTATGTCTTCAGCCGTCACGCGAACGCGGATCTCTCTATATCGGATGCCGGGGCAGCTTTGGTCAACCTGTTCTCACGACGCGACTCGCCTGTCAGCCGTCCGCCGTTGGTTCCGAACTCGAACTCGAGACTACTGATCGGACTCGTGGTCGTCTGCATCATCGCCGTAGGAATCGTGACGGTCGCCATCCAGGAGATGTGGAACAGGCTGCAAGCAGGTTTGCAGCCTCGCTCGCCACTGAGAAGAAGATCGGGAGAAGCACGTTCAATCCGAACGCTCCATCGCAGCGATGGAAGCTACAGCTCGCTGCACACAAACGCATTGACGATCCCATCCTTGGAAGAAGAGGAGGAGCGTATCAAGACTCCGCCAACATTGTCACGTCGCAGCAGTGCAGCAGCGACAGCGTCATCGACTCCGTATACCCTAAACGGCAGCTCCGACTCGGATGACGACGAAGTCGAGCGCAAGACATCCAACGATCTGCACTATCTTTCGCTGCCGTTCGGAATCGGAATCGGGTACAGCTACGTCAACATCGCCGACGGCGGTGACGCACAGAGCCGCATTTCGAGGCTGGCAGCAAAACGTTCACGAAGGCGATCTGGGTCGACGTTGGCGCTATCGACGGGTGCGCTGCCGATCGCAGGGACGGGTGGAGTCAATGGGGCGGATGGTCTTCGGTCGAGATCGCGCTCTTTCAAGGAGCTGTGCCGCGACGCTTTCGGCACTACAACGTCTCGTGACATCGGTATGATCTCGGAAGAAGAAGTGGATGGCGAAATGTCGACGGTCTCGACGCCAAGGTGGGGGTCGAGTCTCGTCTCGCTCGACCTGCCCAGTTCGGAGAGGGGCAGTGGCACTGTGACGCCGACGGGCGCAAGCAGTGCAGGTGTGCTTTCGTCTCCAGCAACGAGCATTGCGCTCGAGGACCTGGCATCGCACGCTTCGACGACACAATCGGCGAAAGGACGCTTCTTCGGCGTCGAGAGCGGCGCTTCCGCTTCGGGTCACACGCTGATCGATCTGGGATTCGGAACGCCCGAACTGGCGATATCGGATCCGGACGGCATCACGCGGCCTGCATCGACGCCAGGAGTGATGCCTTCTCAGGTGGCGCGTCATCCGCAAGTGGAGCATCTGCGCCGCGAAGGGAGATCCGAGACCGGCAAGAGGGTTGGCAAAGGTACACCGACGAACGCAAAGCTTCACTAAGGACTCGTGATGTGATGAACGTTGCAATGTCATCGAAAATTGGCTGATTTCATGCTAAAGCTTAACTGCGTTGGGAGATTTATTTATTGAATTACACAGGATTTGTCCTTTTCACCACCTTCCGCACTACGTCCTTCCTCTTGCGCTTCCTTGATGGTGATACTGCCGTGACGATTGGTGATGGTGCAAACGTCGCCTCTCAACCCGCTCGCTGTGCTGGGGACGATCTTGGCCGTACCTCGGTGTTTATGCGGAGGACTATCCAAGCATTTGAACCTCTGCTGTACCGCCGGTGATAGCTTGAGCGTTCCGGTTTCCGATGTCCAATTGAGCAGGCCGGAGAAGCTTTCGGGGATATAGATGACGATATTCCCGTTAACTGACTTTGCACGGATGTTGAGTGGACGCGAACCGATGTATGAAGGGATGGTGAGGGAGATGGATCCCACGGAGCCGGTTTTCGCTGATATGAGGATCGGTTTGTCTGCTTTCTTCGTGGTGGTGGAAGAGGAGTCTTCGGAGGAAGGAGGAGCGGATTCTTTCAGGACGTATATGGTCGCATTGATGGGAGAGGATTTGGTGACCAGAACGCAAGATGAAGCTTGGTTCTCTTCGTCGGACAGAAGCGGTCGATCGTATACGGGTGGTTTGGTATCCGGTGCTGAAGGTCCGATTGCTAGCGTCTTCTTGATGGTTGCGTTGGGCCAATCGATGTGAATGTGTCGATGCGGCTTGAGTGTAGGGTTGGCGAGGGCAACCTGTTGTGGCTTCCAAAGCGCTTCGAGTCTCTCTCGCTCTTCATCTGCGGAGGGTCGACTGGTTCGACTTTGGTGCGATGAATTGTGAGGATGTTGATTGGGCTGTGACGACGACATCTTTAGCCAAGAACAGATGGTGAGTCGAGAAGAGGCAAGGAAAGCATCAGAGCATTTGAAGGCTACCGCATACGAGGGACCGACACAGAGTTTGACATCAGTTTCGGCATGCTGGTGCCGGACAAGCGCAACCGAACAAGGTCATGCGAGCGGTGCAACACACGAGATCTTCCAAAAGTGGACTCCTGGGCCAAAAAAAATAAGCTTATTCCTGCCTCCACCAGGCAGACCCCTGCATGCAGAGTGAGCGTGCTCACTCATCCTGTTCAAGACACTTTAACATTAGGTGCTCTAATTCAAGCCCCTTGTTCAGTACTTTCGCTCTAACACAACTTCAAGCTCAGATCTTGCAGTGGGCTTCGAGTTGAGGCCGACAGCCTGCACCAGCCATACAGAACGCCAGAGTGGGCGAACCTTCCCACGTCTCAGAACCACACCTGCTGCATCTCGTCACGACTTTCGTCCATTTCGATGTGCCTTACCGGAACAGGTGGCCCAGTCAGGCGACGAAATCCGAGGTTGCTCTGGTCGTAGCCGCTCCGTCACGGGGAGCTCGTAGCGCAACGACGACGTGCCTAGATTCGAGCGGAGTCGTTTCCGAGCTGTGAATTTTTCAATCTGCCAATCCCGGCTGAGAGGGGGCGGAGCTCGTGTTACTGACCAAAAAGCTCTTTATGCGTTGATACCTCTGCAACAAGCCAATGTCGGGCTGCAAGGTGTAGACAGAGTGTTGCTCAACCATCGAGATCGGTTTCAATTTCCTTCTTCCTCCGGCTCCGCTCTACACCGCGCTGTCCGTCCGACAATCGGCTACCATCACACGGGATCATCTCATCGCATTTGGCGAATGACCGCTTTGCAGTAGAAAACTTCCTCCACGATCCGTTTCCCCGTTGGCACCTTCAACACCTTGGCCTCCGCGAATCCCGACCAGGTTCCTGCACGGCTTACTTCATATACTGCATTGTGCGCAGAGACAACAAGGAGCTCCTTTGTTCGTGTTGACCCAGACAATCGTGAATGAGGAAAAAAATCAGGGTGGAAATGTTGGGTCGGCTAACCTGCACAATGGTACCCTGTGGGTTAGGGTAAGAGATCTTCTCATTATTATATCATAGAGGACAATGGCGAATGCGCATCAATGGAAGTTGCAGTCTTCATTTCATCAGAAATTCGTTGTCGAGACAATGAGCAACCCGCCAGCCATGAAACGGCATACCCACTTCCAACTCCCGTCTTCTCCACCCTTCTTTACCCCATTGTCTCGTCGTTCCGATCGTCACACGCATAGCCTCGGCCATGAGACAGAACGGTAGAAGCTCGGCAGGAACGTCTCTGTCCGGCAACAAGTACTCGGATCCCTGCCCCGTGTCATTGATGCACGTCGTTACCTTTGTCCTTTGGCGGATTCATCTCCCGGCGTGTGCCAGAGACCCTCGCCGTTGTGCTGACACCGGTGTTCGGAATCACGGGACGCCGGTCCAATCAACGAAGAACTTGTTAACGGTTAGTCTCAAGATTCGTAGACATTCTCAACGACGTCGAAAGAGATGCAGGTAGCACTCGAGGCAACGTATGGCAGAAAGCTTGGGTATATTGACAACGGGATCGTTGTCCCTTTTGATGACATGTCAAGAGTAGAAATACAGGTAAAAGCCATGACGCGACGGACGACGGAGAGAAGAGACAGAGAAGGCCACGTCTCGTGATACTAATACAGAGAAAGCAAATATCCAAACAAGAACGAATGTGAGAAGGCGAGTGATAGCCTAAGGGAGTGCAGTAGAGACTGTGTGTATAGAGGATATGAGTGGTGTGCCGATGGCGTGAAGGCCGGCCAGCCGAACTCGAGTGCAAGTGTGTGGAGTGAAGGGACGAAACTGAGGTAGAACGGTGACGATGAGAATGCAAGGTGCGATAATGCGAAGAGGCGCAACGCAGGAGACAGAGGGACAGAAAGACTGAAGAAGGGGATAGGTGTGCTTATGCGACCCATTCAGGCGCAACCGGCGTGTTGGCAGCACTGACAAACATGTCGGTGGGCATGGCCGAGGTGAGGGTCATGCCCGACATGTCAGCAGCACCAGCGCTGGCGAGCAAGCTAGCGTCGGGCATCTCGAGACCCGAGAAGGTGCTGAAGGGATCTTGAAGCTTGCCATCGAAAGCACCGCCGTTGATGAGACCCAAGTCGTTGCCAGCCATGATCTCGACGGCATCGGCAGACATCATGGGCGATGGCATCATGGCCGTAGCGTCGACGTGCAAGGCGCCAGCGCCGCTAAAGTCGATGAGGTTGTAAGGCATTGGCTCGAGCGACTGGAGGAAGTTGGTGCACTTGATCTGCTGCTCGTGCGGCGACAAAGTCGCACGAGGCACCATGGGAGGACCGAGCGAGTGAACATCGAAGCTGTCCGAGATAGGAGTGGTAGGAGGCATGCTGAGCGGTGTACCGATGTCCTGGCTCATGTGGAAGGGAGATCGAATGGCTCTCGTCGAAGCCAGCGATGGTGTCGAAGCTGCCGACGAGAGGCCCGATACCGAAGCGAGTCCTTCTGACAAAGAGGCGACCATGGGACTGTAGTAGAGCGACTCGGTGCTCATAGCCGATGATGGCGTCCACTGCTCGTGAGCCGGTGGCGAGTAGAAGACGTCGTGCTCCTGCACAGGTGTGGAGTTGATGGCGAGGCTGGGGCTGATGATCCTGCGCATCGGAGTGGAGGTGAGGAAGGTGGGACGCGTCGGGGTGGTGATCAGAGGTGTGGTGTGGCACGACGACGGATTGCAACCAGGACCGGGGACTCGCGAAGGCGTCATGGGGAAGTCGCCGTAGGCCCAAACACCGTGAGGGCTGGTAGGTGGCAAGAAGTTGAGGCTATCGCCCATTGGGGCGCCGGTCATGGCGTCGTATGGACCAGGCATACCAAAGCCAGGCGTCATGGGCATACGAGGGTGGCTGTGGAACGTGAGGGAGTGGAAAGAACCGTTGGCAAAGAAGCGGTTGGGGGTAGGCTCGTCGTGCGAGTCGCAGTCGTAGCTGCAAGGACCAGGAGGCACGGCCGAAGGGTGACCAGCAGCCTCGGCCGACGCCTGCGATCGTGCACAGGTGGAGCAACGAGGACGAGCGGCATCGCAACGAAGCTGGCGACGGATGGCGACAAGAAAGGAGGACAGGCGTAGGGAGCAGCGCGGTCAGTATTCACGCGTCTAATCCAAGTTAAAATTTCGTGCAATAAGAGGTAAGACTTACCTTGCGGCGACGGCAGGTGGCACAAGCCATCTTGCGTTTCAGGATGGGACCCTTGGACTCTTTCCTCGCCTTGGCGCCATCCTTCAAGGACTTGACCTTGGCAGCAAGCTCAACATCGAGCTTCTTGTTCTCAGCAGAGTGGCATTGCTTGTGGGTGGGGCTCTCGAGCGCTGGGCGGACCGGCGAGGAGATGTTGGTGCTGATGGGAGTCAACATGACGCTGAAGAGATGGCAGGGGAAAAGCTGGCAGAAAAAGAGGTTGCGAGAGTTTTGCGAAAGACGCTTCTTTGTCCGAGGTGCAGCAGACTTCGACAAGCGACGAGCGAGTAGGAAGGGTACAACGAATGCAGAGGCAGAGGCAGCTAACAAGGCGATGGTAAAGGCGTGGCGCGAGATATGATGGGAGAAGCTTTAGCTGGCGTGAGAAGGAGGAGGGGAGGGTAGGTTAGAAGACGGGAGATGAGGATGGGGATGCGGACCATCACCGAGAGATCCGAGGGGGCAGCTTATAAGCAAAATGAGGTTACTCGGTGATGGAGCGAGTGGGTAGGCGGAGGCACGTCCGAGGTGCTTCAGGCGGACCGGGAAATTGGGAGCCAAGGCTGTCTCAGTGTCACGTATGCCATGAAGCAGAAAGTGACAGGGAAAAGAACAGAGCGTATGATAGTGATCAAGGGCACTCGAACAGTACGGTACGCACAATCTCTGTTGACCAGCTTCGAGGGGACTGACGGCGACCTGCCCTCGAGCGTTGACAGGACATTGGACGATGCCGATCAGCCGAAGCGAGCACAGTCTGACAGGACCAACGAACGAACGGTGCCACGGTCCAGCCGCCACTCGATGCGCCACCGAGGCTTTTCATCTGCCATCGCGCACATCATGCAGCGCTAGCTTGCAGACATCGGACAACGAAATGGCCAGGCACCAGGGCAACGGCAGTAACGGGAAAGCCAAGGTTCAAAGCGGACCAGGACTCGGACAGCCCAAGCCTCGCACCGGCCCCCCAGAAGGAGACGCCGGACAGGCACCAGAAAGCTGGCTTTTGGAGGAGGCCGGCCTGGATAAGTGTGCATCTATGATTTGGGTGATTAGCACAAAGAAATCGAGCAATGAGAGGGGAAAATCCCAAGAAGGCAAGTCAAATGTTCTTTGCTGTTGCAGCACGAACTGGGGACAGAGAGAACAAAAATAAAAATTGATGAAGCATATTAATGAATATTCCGAATCGAAATTTACGAACAACGGAAATGAGCAGGATCGATTAGGAGGCCCGCATCGTAAAATATAATATAATAAAAACAAATCTAAGAACCTTAACGTTCAAATTCCGAAAAAAAGAAATTTTATGCACAGCAGCGAAAGGGCATCGAGCGAGCAGAATTGCAGTGACATTTTCCTGGTAGCCTAAAATAAGTGGGGACAATGCGTCCTGTGGGCGGAAGGAGAAAGTACCGAGGCGAGCCCGAGCAATCGTTGGCAAGGAGGTCAAGAGCAGTCATCTGCCATGGAGCTTCGATCGTCTTGGGCATTGTGGGACAGCGTTGTGGGTGGACAAAAACACTCGTCCTTTTCTCAGCCCGGCTGCTTGACAAGATCAATGGCTCTCATGGCCGAGGTGCTTCCAACTCCGAAGCGCAGGCGGAAGCGCAAGCGCACAGATTTTTTCTGGCTGAAGCTTGCACGTATTTCACATAGCTGATCCATTTTTGAGAATCAGGCCTTCGGGCAATGGTCACCCGTGATCCAGGTCTTGCTGGAAGACAAGAAAAAATTCGAAATTATGTTACATGATTGTGCGCATTCGCCAAGAGAAAAAACCGTTATTGGTGAAACTCGACGACAAGCAAGCGCAGTTCATACTCACGATCTGGGAGCTGCCTGAATGGTGAAAGTTTCGATCACAAAGGGGATGAACGGAAACAAGACCTATTCTACCTCCCAGTGACAATGGATGTATCCTCGCCCGCTAGCTAGTCTTGATTTTAGAGCAGAGGAACATGTACATCGGAAAAGGCTGTCCGGAAGGCATTCGTCGCTGAAGGCTGCTGCTGAAGACAGACGTCAGCGTCTGCTGGAACGCTCCAATCACAGGAAGCTGCATGGACTTCTTCCATCTGGAATCGCCCATAGCAGGATTGGCGTCTTTTCGTTTTTGAAGCGTCCCATCGAGACGCACGTCGGGAACGAAACATGAGTTGTGATTGGGACGTGGGGATGCAGTCGACTGCCAGCAACGCTCGATTATGTGGAGCGAGCCATCGAACGTGTACATCGCCGGCTGATACCAGAGTGTCATCCATGCAGCATGTGTGCATATTTCTTCGCTCGATTACGGCAACAATGAGTAAACTTTGGCGGTCGTGACAACGGGTGTACTGGACTCTGTGTAAAAGACAACCTGACCGCAGTTCTTCTTCTGTGCTCCTACTACAGTATCGTCCCATTTTCCCGCCTCCCGTATCCCCACTCCTTTGTATTGAAGTTGTTCATGTCAAACGAAGCCCGCGGTCGACTTCTAGTCAATGAAGGCGTAGTCGGACAGGGCAGAAATCCTTAAAGCGAAACAAAAGACAGAAGAAAGGAAGAAGGGAAAAATCCATTAAACGCAGACATCATGCAGCAGGCTCTTTGAAAATCCTCCACCCATCGTGACACTAGCGCCACATCAGCGTGATTCTTTTCGATTTAGGTTGAAATTCGAAACAATTAATCGTTAATGAAAAGGAAATGTGATCGTGCACCTGAAGTTGCCAGTCGTTCACATGTCGACGTCGATTTCGAAGAGGCAATTCCTGATTGCCTTTTGTGAGAAGCTCGTCCGCAATGCCGTGCGCCCGACGATGGCTGAACCAGCCTTCATTTCTGCTTTGCAAGCCACGCTTTTCTCGACATTCTTGATGTGCTCCCGCCGTTCATCGCCATTGGAGCGGAAATTCCGGGACGAATTTGCACCGAGTGAGAGCTGCAAGCCAGACCGCCGTTGTCTTCTTTCATCGGCCTGGAATTGTCCGTATCAGCCGCAATTTCGATCTTGCCTGAAGCAAAAGATGCAGTACTATGCAGGTCTGGTCATAGTCGAATCGCTGCTCGATGCCACCCTCGATTCACACCTCGACTCGCAACTTCATCGGCTGTCACGATCGCACGCCTTCTCAACGGCGCATCGGGTCCACGAAGCGAGAACGACAAGCTTCTCGCTTCCTCGCTTTCCTTCCAGTCCCCATCTTTTCCGAGACTTCTCTGTCGGCTGGCACTCGCTTCAGCGCTGCTCTTCCACCGTGACGACAATCGCGAATTGCGGCTAGCTCGGACGGCGAAATCCAGATTCAAGTGGCCGGGCGAGTCTAGATTTCGAGCGTGCAAGCCGTACTCAGCGATGGCCTTACCGGCATCCACATGAAAGGCGACGCACCGCGATGGTCAAAGTGCGAGCGCAGGGACGCACCGAGGTCGCGGTGCAGTGGGGGTGGACCAAGTCGTTGTTCGAAAGCACCTGCCGATGCAATCATGCCTTTTCACTCGCGATCGCAGCCTTGGCCCGCGTCGGCGATCTTGCACTTGATTCGCCGATCAGCCAGCCTTGCAGCCTTGCTGTTGCGGTCTGTACTGCAACTTGACCGGTCTCGCACGGTCCGCCGTCTTATCCCCGCAAATCAGTCGTATCTTCCGATGTCCAGCTGTCCGAACTTTTGGATCTCATGTTTCGGACTCATCTGTCCAGCTCGACTGTCCAGCTGTCATCAATGGATGAGGAGATGTCCCGTGGCTACGAGCTTAGTGTTTGAACGAGGAAAGGCAGCGGAATTTCGACGATGGCGTGTGGCTTTTCCAAATTCGAGAAGCTACCGTGGAGCACGGTACAGAGTCGGTTCATTAGAGGATGCGCCACAAATCGCGAGCTGGCGAGGCGGACGCGTCCAGCTAGCGGCATTAACCGAGACCAACACCCTCTCGGTTAAAATCGTCTGAAAGGTGCAACTTCCCAGGAATCGAAAGAAATCGAAATTGCGATGGTGAGGGGATTCGAGCACGAATCGTTCAAGCTAGCTTACCTATATGATGGAAGCAATCAATTCCGATTGGTTTGTCAAACGGGTTCGGCGGCAGTACCAAGTGTCCTCCATTAATTGAGAGACAGGGGTGCTAATGGGCCGAAGTAGACGACGACATGCCGCTAACATTGAAGAGGCTGCAAAGGGCAGTCTGCGCGAGCGGAGTGTTTCGACACATCCGTTCACATGGCTGAAACGACCAAAGGCACGATTTTCGCAGCGAGCGCCGTTTAAGGGCTCCGTTTGAATCGCACAGGCTGGCTCCTGTGCGTCGAGATTCGACCCTTCCTGATTTCTCTGATACAAGATTGCCATCATCGAACGGTCTGATTGGTACTCACTCTGTGTCCTTTCGGCAGTGACAGGATATACTATGCATCACTGTCTCACCTTGACAAGGTCTGCCACCACGTCATCGGTGGCTTGGGAAGATGCCGCAATTGCCTTCAGGCAACTGAAAAGATCGGTCGTCTGACGAGAAAGCCGCGATAGGCTCGATAGATTGAAAATGAAGCCTGTCACGATCAGATCGATCAAGGCAGTACAGCCGCAGGACCGGATTTGAGATGCCGCCGTATCGTTGAATGTGTCAATCTGGATCAGGTCAAGCAGAGATTTAATTGATCCGTGAAGGGCGGAAGGCATCGCTCGATCTGTGCCGGCGAACAGACATGAATGGTTGATAGATGGCTGCTTTGCAAGTGATGACAAAAAGCTACTGTGGTCGACGTTGTCCCGCAATTCGTACACACCAACTTTCCCATGTAACATTATCGCAAGTCGGCACGGACGACATCCAGACACAGTCACATTAGACGAGACGCCGTCGGACAGACTCGCTTGCGTGGCTGGACCTATTCACCGCTTTGCCATCCTTTTCATGCCGCTTCCTCATGGCCGCAAGCACGGGTGAATTTGAAGGGCCGACGGGATTGACGGTGGCATCGTCCAACAGACAGACTAGTCACAGACCTGGCACGGGCAAAATTGAATGCAGTGAGCCAAGCCACTTTCGAACGGAGAAAGAACGTTAAATCGCTGGAAAAGGGGCCGGGCTCCAGAGAACGCCACTTTTTTTTCGAGTGGTCTCGATCGACCAAAAAGCACGATTCCTAAAAAAAGAATGAAGAAAAAAAATCAAAAGGAGAGAAAAACCCTGAACCTTTCAGCTCGCACTGACGAAAATGACGGAGCTTTCGACAGCCGCTTCCAGATCAGATCGGCAAAGAAATCGGGCGGAAGCCTCGATCATCTAGCGACCGTGGGGCTGGACCCGGGAACACATTTTGGCTCAGCAAAAGCCGTCTTCCACCGTACGGTACAGGGTGGCTTCGCCGCCTCGGACATAGGCTTCCATTGAAAATGCAAAGGCCTCGATCTTTGCGTTCAAAAAAGGAGACAGGCACGGGACCATCGAATTGTTGTGACAACGCTCGAACCTGTCCGGTGAGCTACAGCTACGGAATACAACCGCCTTGAAAGAGACGCTCAGCTATGAGGCATACGAGGTCGCACGGTGCAACAAAGCTGGCAGTCAGCCGCGCTTCGAAGCAAAGCCATTTTGACGACACCGGCTCCGTCGGTTCATCTCCGGACCGGGTCGAATGCACGGCAGAAAGACACGGGCTGCAGTCCATCTGCCTCCGCTACAAGTACATGTCGCTTCTTGTGACGCTAGTACCTGAACTGTAACAGTTAGGGAATGACTTGCATCGACGACTGCGTGAAGCGCTTTAGCGAGTCGGAGCTTCTGCTTTCAGCTAGGCGAGACTTGCGACGCGGAAGACTGGACAGCACACATGGACGTGCAGTTCGCTTCGACGAGACAGCAATGCGTGTAGTACGTACGACTCTGAATTTGCAATCACAGCTAGCACATGCATATTTGCCAGCGAAACATTGCAGCTCTCGGGGTTTCCCCTTCACGCGGTCATGCAGGTGTCTTGCAGGCAACGTCTGCCGATGCATGCATTGCTGAAGCGTCACATATTGGCAATCTCGCTTGGCAAGCGAGACAGGCTCACAAGCAAACGGTGCCTACGTCTGCGCTTGCATCGAGACCCTCGCTCGGTCTCGGTGCGCTTGTACCCTCCCCGGAGCCTTTAGCGAGCGGTTCCTACGCTAGCGCTGCACGCATCGTGTACTCTTGGCCCACAGAAGACCGCTATAGGCCTTAAATGGCGACCACAAAGGTCAAGTGATCAAGATCAAGTCGACATCTGATCCGCATTGGCGAAGGCATATTCACACCATGCTGGTTGATAGGACCCACGGCGGAGTCCGACAGATACAGAGCGAGGCAGAGCATGCAGCGCCCCTGTCTTGAACGCAGACACCGCTGGCAGCAGTGGAGCGTAGCTGCGTCTCGTCGTCGCCTCTTGCTCGTCTCGTCTCAAGCACGATAGAGTTAGAGCGGTCAGTAGTCATAAGTGGGCTGCATCGTGGCTCGAGCTGGGTTTTGAAGCTTGAGAAGCTGCGTCTGAATTCGTGAGAAAAGGCTGAGCAAAAGCAATCGCCTTTTCAATTTTCGGCAGTGGGGCGCGTGTAGCGGAACCGCTGTGCCGATCATCGCCAGATTGCAACGCCAAGCGAATTCCTTCGCCACTACGGACACAAGGATTTGAGAGCAGGTCAATTTGAAATGACATCGCTTTTGGTTTTTCAACGGGATAGCGGCTCGATGCGCTCAGCGTCTTGATTGCCAGCACAAATGCTGGGCCAGGATGGTCCCAGGCTGCTGCACGACCCGAGCTCCGATTGCGAGCACAGCGCTTACCATGTGCAGGCACGTTGACAAGAATATCGCTGGCCGCCAGCACGGCGTCATGCTCTAACTCTAACACAAACAGTCAGCGCCACGAGCGGAGCTGTCTCTGTCACTCGCAATGTCACCGTTCTGAGCCCGAATTAGAATGCATCTGAGATCAGCAAGGCGCACTCGCTTTCGCCCTCCGCTACCTGTCCTTGCCGGTGTAGACAAGATCTGCAGATCAATCTACGCCCTTGCGGCTTGTCGATTCCTAGTCCTCGCCAGCCTTTGCACAATCGAGATAAATCGACACCGTGTGGCTCTTTGCTGTAACGTGAAGCAAAGGGTGCGAATCTTCCGATGGCGAGAACCAGCTAGCAGACCAACAATGAGGGTGGCTGCCGGTTGCAGAATCGAGTCTGCAACAGAACGCAGAGCATCGCTCGATCTGGGCATCAGAGTTCGCACGCCGGACGCGTCTCACGCGTCCGAACTCAAGAAGAAAAGTGTTAGTTTCAGGAACCAGCGTTCATGAAAGGTCAAATTTGCCTTATTCTTCCCTCTCGCAAAATTGCTCATTGATTCTCGATTAATTTCCTTCTTTATTTTTCGTTGTTTTTCTTCTTTTTTAGAAAGAATAAAAAGTTCTCTGAGTGACCGCGTGGCTGAACAGACAATTCATTTGCTGGAAAACGGCTGTCTGGGTGTTGGGAAACTGGATCATTCCCACCAAATATATGAAGAAGCCTCTTCTTTTTTGAAGAAGTGGTTCGCCGATCGTGCTGTGGCTTATTTTAACTTACAAACCTTCGCTTGGGAAACATGTACAGCGGCAAAACGAACCAGCCACGCTCTCTCCCCCCCGCGCTGTCTGCCGCACTGTCGCTTCCGTTTCGTTCTCCGCTGCTCGTGGACTCCCTCACTGACTTGCAGCACTTCAGCGCGAAACGCAGTATATCTCTACCGGCAGGAGACTATGATTTGCCCTGCACGACAACATTTGTACCTCGGAGTCAGAGAGGGAGGAGCCTCTAATCAGCGATCGCGACGCTGGCTATCGGCATCGTTCATTGTGCAACAAGATCATTAATGTAAGCCTCGCCGGCCAACGTGCTTCCTCCCGCAGACGAGACCAGCATCAAGACGCCATCATTGGCTGCGTTGATCGCCGTTTGCCGCTTATGCGCCGGCTGCTCAAGACAGTGAACCGACCATGTCGAAAAGCTCACACCTCGAGATTCTGACCGTGCGTGGGTCGTGGCCCTGGCAGCGACAATTGCAAAGCGCAAACTGAGTGAACGGCAAAACTTATCTCCTTGACATCCGCAAGCGAGAAGAGGGTTCTGCGTCGATCAGACAGACGGAAAGGTGTAGCCGAGAGCGGGTCCATGACTACGCGCGTCGATTCAGAGTGCTGCAGGCTTGCATGGGTTGTGCAGAAATCATTCTGCAGGTCGTTCGTGGGTACTGATCATGCATGCATGCAAACAAAAAATTTAGTGCAAGACGTACAGTGAACATCCTCGGTGATGACTGCAACGCGGCTGAGACGCAGCATCGTAGGCTGATGGAGCTCGCCAATTGAATGGTAGCCGATGCAGAACCGAGGCCTTTGACGCTGTCGTCTTTATGAGGGTGTCCTGTAATGCCCTCCAGAATCATCTCGATTAAGCTCAATCTTGGTCGTTGCGGCAATCTCGCTTGCCCTTTGCAGCTAGCGACGATGTCCAGCGTAACGATATATGCTAGTCTTTCTCGCTGGCCGAGCTATTGAAGGCGCCAAACTCGACCTAGTTGTTTTAGCGGTGGCAACCCTGGAAGTCCAGCATGAGCCGAACCGTTGGTTGTGAACATGAAGGCATTGGCTTTGCTGCAATGGACCATGGCGACGTGCCAGGTCTGAAAGGATCGTCCTGCGCTCAGCCCGCGCACAGGCATATTGTTGGCTGTAAAGCGTGCTGAATACTTAGTTCAGAAGAGATGGTCTAAATGGAAACAAAAAGTAGCGTGAGAAAATGGGGCACAAAATTCGATCGCGATTCGACCTCGCCGTGTCTTCCTCGCTCGTTATTCATCGTCTCCCGAAGATGTGAACATCCCCTACAGCATGTAAATATCCCGGTCCTGACACAATCACACCCTTTAACGACATACGAAGACAGAGAGAAATTTGTTGAAGCCGGTGCGCCTTTGTGCAGCACCGGCTCGCTAGTCCAGGGACGGCGGCTATCTAAGTTACGGCGGAGCTGCAAAAATAGCGTCGGCTCTCGGCCCGCAACGTTTCCGCGACTGCAACGTCGGGGCGTTGTCATGAAGTGTCTTTCTGGGGGGCAGGATCTCTGAGAGGTCAGGCAGGGTAGCCGCTTAGCGCTCAGATCTTGGACAAAGGAAAGCGCTTCCCGCCGTTGCTATGAGGACACAGGCAGCTGCACCTCGGGCGCGATCACGCTAGGGCACGGGATTGATTCCCACGGTGAGAACAACGATTCATTGTAACGCTTTTGCCCCGCACTCTGCCGTCGCAGACGTATTTGTACCACGGAACGACGTGCTCAGGTAGCCTAGCGTGTCCGCCTAGGCCGAACAATGGCACTCTCTCAAAGGGCTTCCGTCGGATGCTTTCCTCCCATGGGACGAGGTGCGTTGCGCGGAAGACTATTGGATTGCTTCCATGTCCGGCTAATACGAAGTAGCAAGGGCGTGGTCAGCCGTATCGGCGGGCAGAGTGCACCATCAAGCGTGAGGAAAGTCGGTAATCTTCGAAGTCGTGCTGCACGCTGTTCATGATCCTTCTGAATTTCCTCGAGGCTGTAGCCCAAATCAAGAAACCCGAAGAAGCGAGAATCGGGGCGAAGATAAGCCAACGGGAGATGAGACGATCTCTGAGGTGACTTAGAACGCGTCGACAACGGGACCCCCCATGGATAACGCGGCCGCGTCTCACGAATGCCACGCGAGCGAAAGAAAAAGAACGGGATGTACCATGGATCACATCGCTTTTCAGGCACCTGTTCCATACGCTGTCTCCATGATCCTTTCTCTAGCGGGCCTATGCACAAATTCCAATACATGTTTAGAGAGTAGTGCTTCTTATTTCTTGATTCCCTTATCGCTCGCTCTGGATGTCCTGTTCCAAGTCGGTTTTCGCGGGCTTGATTCTCGAAACGAGCGCGTGGTTCCCACGCCTGTAGTCGATCCCGCAATCCATAGGCGACGGATCTGGAGCATCCATATACTTTGCTTCTGCCGCGAGAGCGTATCTTTCTTGCCCGCCTGTAGCAAATGCAGAACAACTCACCGATGCCTATCGATTCGGCATCGGGATTCGACCCACCGAACAATGTATCGGCATACAGGACACATTGTAGCCGAGGATCGTATCCCACCGGCTTACCCAGGTTGGCATGATTGCACTTCCCTGGATCGTATTGCACCCTGCGGACGTCTAGGATCATGACCACTTCGAATGATGAGACAAAGGCAAGCGCGTGGCTTCGACTCGTTCCTGCAGTCCGGCACAGTAGCGTACCGGAGTTTCAACAGGGTTCGCATCGAAAGCTGCCATCACGTCTCTAGAATACCGTGCCCGTCGCATGACACGATGTTCCAAACACATCGTGTACAATAGTTGGCCGGTCCAACGACAAAGGAGCAGCTTCGAGCCATCCGATGATGTGTCGCGGCGGCTAGCGACACCGACGAGATTCAGCGGAACGTATTCCATCTGCGCTTGCATCTTGTCTGCTGGGTTTCGAGCAAATTGGAAAACGAAAGGAATGAAAACGTGGCAGCTTGCCCAAAAAAAAACTATGTCGACATCGGTGCCTGCTTCGAGCGCGGAACCGCTTATCCGATGAGCCAATGCGGCGTCGAAGTGACTTTCCTCCCATGTTCCTGTGATGCTCGCATGAAGCCGAAAGTGTGTCACATTTGCCCTTTCTCGGTCAGCTCAGGTACACGACAGCTCGCCTAATCCGAACCGACTGGCAAGGTTGTTCCTCCGCCAATGTCTGCAATTCCTCGAATGCTTCTCGCACAAGAGTTGGCCCGACGAGAGACAGCCCGGTACCTGACTATGCAACTTATGTCCCGCACGGCTAGTGAGACCGACACCGTCTCCGCATCATGCAGCGCATCACTGCTCGGACCTGTCCTTGCGAGACGATGTGCTGTCAAACCGACAATCGCCCAAAGCGGGTCCTTGCCACGTTTCGCTCACATCTGCGTGATTAGTCATTCAAAGCGTCTCAGACACAACCACTTCCCGCTTACATCACGCAATCCGCAAAGATCTGTGAATCTCGGCGCCCTTGGCGTGTCTTCGCTGCGGGAGTGAGAGGTGCGAGCTTTGAGCCTAGCTCGTCTTCCAAACTTGATGTGACCACCGCGGCTCTGTAGAGGAGACGGTGCATCGGTTTTGTAATGCAGCCGAGACCAAGGTGGCAAGTCACGCACAGCTTCGCCGCAGCGGTAAAGCATCGTTAAGAGTCGGAAATGGTGCGATTGATACGACCGATCGATCTGATGTGAGGCGGCTGATCGGCGATACGGAGTAACTTCTGCGAGGTACTGACATTCATCGAGTCGACACAATCAAGAATGGCTGGTAACAATCTCCAACAGCAACAGGCTGAGCAGAACAACATTTAAAAGAGGTCACACTGGGGATAACGGCGGATAGCCTCAGAGCTTCGATCGTGGTTCGCTGGCAGGTGGCGCCAAGGGAAGTGGGTTGTACCACTTCGGGTTGCGTTTCTGTGACAGGGGCAGTGTGTGAAGTGGACAGATTTTCGCGGTGTCAGCAAGAGAGCGCCAGTGATGCTGAAGCGGGGTGTCACTTGACAAATGACACGGCCCACGCAACGACAGAGACTCACGCCTTTGAAAGCTTCCAAGCCTTCGTTGATGTTCTTGCCGACGTAGAGCAATCGACTTCTGTCGGACAACATGTTGTCCCGCGCCGAGGCATCGATGTCGCCACTTGTCGAGTCCCGAGCCATGACCAGAGCCGACTTGGTGACCAGCACGCTATCAGGACTGTTGTGCGTCAACTGGACGGCAATGTCGATTGCGGCCTGATCGACCGCAGCCTGACCGAGTTCCTCTGATGTTGATTTTGCAACATCGACAAGATGGTTGACCATGTTGTATCTATCGTGAGCTTCTTTGGCGCTGATGGGCTTGCCGAGGAGGAGCAGCTCAGACGCTCGTTGCTGCATGAAAACATCAGATCAAACGGCAGAAGGTTGACGAGCAAGGTCAGCTTAACATGCAATGAGGACGAAAGCAGAAAGAGGTGTAGAGATACTTACGTGACCACACAGCTGCGTCAGTCGAGGAATACCACCCATGGCAGCGACAACACCTCTTGCTACCTCGGGCAAGCCGATGACGGATCGAGTGCTTGCCACTACCATGTCGCAATTGAGGATGGTCTCGGTGCCGCCGCCCATGCAGATACCGTCGACGGCGGCGATGATGGGCTTGGCACTCCTCCGCGCACTCATGCCTCCGAAGCCACCGCGTTTGAGTCTCTGAATGGACTTGGCCACCTCAGCGTCTGACTGCATGGGTTGGCCCGTGGCGTGTGGGATGGTATCCGAAGTCTGATTCTTGCTGAGCCAGTCCTTGAGATCTTGACCGGCGCAGAAGGCCCTGCCTTTACCGGCGAGGATGATGACCCAGAGGGAAGGCTCGGACTCGAACCAGTCGAACACGCGGCAGATGTCGTCTTCCATAGCATCGGTCATGGAGTTGAGCTGTTTGGGCCTGTTGAGCGTCATTTGGAGCACATGACGCGCAGGAGTGGTGAGGATCAAGTGCGAGCCCACCTTGGGCATGACGAGGTTTGAGGAGGACATGTTGACGCTCGCGGTCAAAGACGGGTTGGCAATGGCTTGACGTGCTTCTGGATTGTCTGCTAGCTTGATATGGATGAACTATTGGAGCTGCGTTGGTGGTGTGATCGAAGACAAGAGGCAATTTCGCTAGCTGGCGTGGTGTTGAGCAAGTCAATGATCAGTAGAGTACGTTGGTGAAGCGCTTCGACCAGGCAAGGAGGAAAGTATTGCCGGTTGTTCGGCGCTTTCCTGGCCGGCAGTCAAGGAAAATGCGGGGAAGGCATTCGCATCTCCCGATTGGCCTCGAAGCTAGGAATGCCCGATTTTACGATTGGGCTGATCCTCCACATGCACAGCATCCACAGGAGCTCGCTTCAACGAGACAGGTAAGGTACCCGTGAAGGAGGATCCGCCGGAGAACATGCATTGCGCAGCAATTCGAGACACTAACTTATCAGGAATCGTCGTACGCTTCGAGGCTAGGTTGCCGGGCTTTTGCTGCTATCTCTCTACACTACCATCACCTCCCTACTCTCGCAACTGGCTCATCCAACAAAACACGACACGATGACTGACGGCTCCGACATCATCCTCATCCTTGGTGAGTAGGCAACCTCGTTCTTCCGCGCAGCGTGCATCCATCCGTCGTTTTTGTCTTGCTAACCTGTGCTCATTCTTTCTATCGTAACACACAACCGAATCTGCGATCGACAGTGGCTCTCATCTTGCCGCCGGCAGCTGTGGCTTTCATCACGGGCGTGAGTGGAGAGCTTTGATTGAGATTGTTCGAAGCGGTAAACAGAAACTCACTGTATCGATGTTTTCCTTTTTCGACTCTTGACGTGGTCAGTGCTCCTGTGATCTGGCGATCAACATCCTCCTGACCATTCTTGGGTGAGTGAAAGATCAAGCAACTCCGACCAAAGGGACATTTTTCTGACCAGTCTTCGGTTCTGTCTATGCTTTCGCGCGCTCGTTCTTGCGTTACCGTCTTACAGGTACTTCCCAGGACACATCCATGCATGTAAGTGACTCTCTCTGCACAGTTGATGGACCGACAATCATGCTGATCCACACAAGCTTTCTCCTTGCTCCCTCCACACATGTCGACTTGCAGTCTGGCTAATCTACAAGAAAATGAAAGCCGAGGAGCGCTTCAACGGCGCCGTCAAGTACACTGGCAACGGCGAGTGGGTGCCCCAGTACGCTCAGCCTGTCCACGGAGGACCACCTCCTACCTATGGATCCATGCAGTGAAGGCTGCGATCCAGCTGTAGCAGCTACAGTGCTCGAGACAATCTAGTGGGGTCCAGCAAACACTAGTACGTCGGTCGGCACTAACCCGCTGGCTTGCGACCTTGTGCAAGTCTCTGCAGCCCCATTTGCTCCCTTTGGAAGCTTTGATAAGCTTCTTGCTGTATCAGAAGTCTCGTACTGATGTGCTATAGAAACGTCCCCGTTTCAGACATGTGTCCATGTGGTTACGATCGGCATCGTGTTTGAGGCGCTTGGACTCTGAGGTCTGGGGTAAAACCTTATTTGGCTGAGAAAAGCTTGCTACGCTGCACAGCCAAATACGCTGTAATTTCAGGCGTTCTACAAGCCAGATCACATGGCTTCGATGACGCAGTGCGATTTCTCGGGAGCGTGAATAGCGTAGCCTGATTGAGCCTTTTCCCTTTCTCGCTTTCAAACACTCAATCAATCCAACCCATCGGCTTGGCCAATGCTTTTCGCCAATTACATTTCACTCGATTCTTCCAATTCGAACCGTGCTTGCTTCAATCATCACATCGACGTTCGCCTTCGCTCAGCAAACTCGACACATACTTCACCCCATCACCGCGTCGATCAAGTGACGTTCTGCTCTTGCGCCTTTGCGCATTCAAGCTGGTCTTTCCCCAATTGGACTGCTTGATTCTGTAGATGAGAGCCACGCATCTGCGGCCTCGTGCCGCCAGCGACCTCGTACGCATCTTTGCCTCGACAGAAACTATGATCATACGTTCCTCTCTTTTATCGCCTCGATCAATAGCCACAGCATCGCCGTCTCTCCGCCACTCCGCACTCGGAGCTGTACCGCAACTCGTCTCTTCGAGACGCTACTACAGCCGCGATCCGCTTCAAGCTGAACACGAAGCCAACACAGTCAGAGGCAACCGCGCCGCTCGAAGCCGCATCGAGCAACACTCACGGCAAGATGAACAAGGCAAACAAAAGGAGCAGCAAGGCTCATACAAGCAAAAGCTTTCGAGGTCGTGGTCTGACACTCCCATCAAGTGGTATCCCATCCCAATCCTACTCGGCGCCGTCGTGCTTGTCGGCGTGCAGGCGCGCAGAAACTACGTCGCAGAGCAGAACGGCAAAGGTGTCGGGACCAAGATCGTCGACGAGAATGGCCAAGTCGTCAAGATGCAAGGTCCTTGGACCGTCTATGTCATCGGTGCGCTTCCACTCAACGCCATCTCGCGCGCATGGGGCTGGGCGAACAACATCACGCTCCCCGTCTGGTTCAGACCCTTCGGTTTCAAACTCTACGCCTACATCTTTGGCTGCAACTTGGACGAGATGAAGGATCCCGACCTCACGCACTACAAGAGTCTTGGCGAGTTCTTCTACCGCGAGCTCAAGGAGGGCGTCAGACCGATCGACGAAAGCATCCTCGTCTCTCCTGCCGACGGAAAGGTGTTGCATTTCGGCGAGATTGCTGGTCGACGCGTTGAGCAGGTCAAGGGCATCACATACTCGCTCGATGCTCTGCTCGGAGTATCCAGCGCTCCGGAAGCTACCGAGCAGGTGGTCGGCAATTCGCTCGAGGACGACTCTGAACACGAACGCCTCGACGACTCCCAATTCGCGTCAGTCAACGGCATCGACTACACCCTCGACGAGCTTCTCGGTGACGAAAAGAGCAAGTCGGCTGTGCCTGACCCCGACGAGACTCCCAAGCGGAAGGGATTCTGGAAAAAGTTCGTCAAGGGGTCCTACTGGAAGTCGTGGGTCAAGCGATCGTCGGCTTCGGGCTCGAATACGACTGGCATCCCACCAACCGCCAGTAAAAGCGGCAACGTCGCAGGCGACAAAGATGATGACGACGACGACGATGACGAGGATCAGCCCAAGGTCGATCCTTCCGCTCCCAAGAAACCAAAGCAGATCGACGACGCAGGTATGCCTGAGCCCGATACCCCCGAGGTGCTTGGCCGCTACGCCAACGTCGCCTACGAGATGGGCGTCGGCGCTCTTCCGCCTCTGCTGCAGCCCCATTCGCCCGGCTCAAAAGGTGTCAAGGAGGGGAACAAGCTCTTCTTCTGCGTCATCTACCTGGCTCCAGGCGACTACCATCGCTTCCACAGCCCTACCAACTGGGTTGCTGAGCGTCGACGACATTTCCGTGGAGAGCTCTACTCGGTCTCGCCCTACATGGCCAGGCGCCTGTCGAATCTGTTCGTGCTCAACGAGCGAGTCGCCCTGCTCGGTCGATGGAGGCACGGCTTTTTTGGCATGGTCCCCGTCGGTGCGACCAACGTCGGCTCCATCCGCATCAACTTTGACAAGGCGCTGCGCACCAACGTTCGAAAGCAGCGGTACCTCGCCGGCACGTACTCCGAGGCCTCGTACTCGAAAGCGAGCAAGCTCCTCGGCGGTCAGCCGCTGGGAGCGGGCGACGAGATGGGCGGCTTCCTGCTCGGATCCACCATCGTGCTCGTGTTCGAAGCGCCCAGCGAGTTCCGCTTCGATCTCAAGCCCGAACAGTTGGTCAAGGTGGGTCAACGTTTGGGGGATGTCCGTCAGCCTCTGTTGGAAGAGAGCCAGGACAAGAAGAACGGCCGCCAGGTGTGACGTTGCTCGTTTCGTACAATCTAGAACTCTGTTATACCCTGACTAGCGAATATCGTCTGCCGTTCAACACGAGCAGCCATCTGCGAGACGTGCCCTGTCCGCGCATCTTCACTCTTTTGGCGAGATACAAACATGCATTTGCGAAGAGATTTCTCGGACCCTAGTGTACAAGTGAGATGAAAGCGTTTGCCCAAGCAGGTATCATACACGAGCGCCGAGGTCTTGGAGTAGATCGTCCATGGTCTGTCGAAGTTGTTTTTGCATGTCTGGTGTAGCTTCGAGACCTTTGATTGCCTGTTTTTTTTGCCGTTGAAGGTTCGAGCGTGAGTAGCTTGTTCTTTGACTTGTCGATTGAGGAGGTTTGGTGCTGGAGGTACTTACCGATTCTAGAGCGTTCAAGGACTCCCTTGCGTCTGTCTGGATAGCATCGCTTCTGGCCCTTGTTTGGAGCAGTTCTCTATGGATCACATGGTTCTCCTTCCTGACCGTCTCCAATTCCTTCCTCAGTATCTCAATTCTTCTCTCCTGATCAGGTATCGCTCTCGCTGAAACCGCTGTTTGCAAATCCATCTCTTTCCGCCAAACATCCATGATCTCCACCGCACCTTCCCGATACCCCGCTTGATACCTTGCATCCGCTTCTTGTGTCAATCGATGCAGAGATGCGAGTTTGGCTTCGAGGTCGTTGGATTCGATCAGCTTTTCGGATTCGTCGATGATGGCGGCTTTGAGTTGGGCGACAAACTGTTGGCGAAGAGCTTCGACGGATTCCGTGTCGATGTGCGGGAGAGCTTTGACGAAGCTAGAGCGGGTGGCGCGGTGTTCGATCAGATCGAGGAAGCGGAACAGTGCTTGTCGCAGTCGATCTAGGCGTACGTTGACGTCTGGCTCGACAGCAACTTCGGTGGTGATGGTGGATTTGCGCGCTTTCTTATTCGATGGCTCCGAGGACGGTGCGGATGACGGCACAGTTGCTGATGTTCGACTTTTACGACTGCTTCGCGGAGAAGGTTTGTGAACGGTCTCGTCGATGACCGCAGTCGCTTGTTCCACTGCTGCCGCTTCCGCCTCTTCACTGTTGTCTGCTGCGGCATCCTGTGCTGACTGTGTTGGTGTGTCTTCAACGGGTATGAGAGCAGCAGTAGCTGACGCGGATGTGGAGCCTTCCGCATCGAGTGCCTCTCTCTGAAACTGGAATGACGTCTCCCGCTCTTCGTGGACCCTTTCCTGCTCCATGACGAGTTGCTCGTCTGCATTGTGCGGTTCCGGCGTGGATTGCACCTCTGACGACATGCTGATTGTGTGTCGATCGAGGATCGGTACAAAACCTCCAGGATGTTTCGGCAAAGCCTCGATGAGTCGTCAGCAGAAGTATCGGATCCAATTCTTCGAGTGTTCGGTCGATCGATGTGTGGTACGGGGATCAGCTCGTGAGTCTGCGAGTGTGTGGGATGGTCTCAACGAACGGGGGACCGATACAGAGACGAGAGACGAATCGGGCTACGTTGGCGAAGACCTGCAAGAATCAAGTTGGTGGAGGAGAAAGGGTGTCATGTTGTTCTCAACGCGTCACGCGCGACTCAAAAGCTCACTTAGCACGCACCAAAAAATCGCAACCCTTTGACATACACTCCGATCTCACACTCGAAATATTTCGAACAGCTGTTCATCTTTCCACTCGCATCATCCACCAAGGTCACTAGACCCGAACCGGGCCTGACAAACAACAAGTTGAGCAGGCGATGAGCAACACCTACCAAGCTCTAGCATGGACAGGACATTCGCGACCTCTTTTGAACCAAGAATCGATGCAGCCGCGATGGAAGTAGCACAGGCACGGCAAGCGCGCAATCGTGCTGTTGGCGACGAACTCCTCCATGCAGATGGAGCATTCCTTGCCTACGATGGGCGAGTCTTCGGGCAGCTTGTAGACCAAGTATCTTCCACCCTGCATGCTCCCACCTCCGCCGTTCTCGAGACAGTTTCGCACGTGGGCCTCCTGCTCCTCGGATCCGCCGAGCGCCGAGAGCGTGGTAGAGCAGACGGGACACTCGGTCAGCTCGCTGGCCCGGCTCGAGACATCGCTCGGGGGCGCCAACGTCGTTCGAGGTCCGCCGTCGTCCAATTGCGTCTCCCAAGCAGAGCGACTAGAAGTGTCTCCCACACCCCGTGCACGTGAGGCAGCCATCATGGCTTCGCCGCCCCTCATGTTCTGCAGCTGAGGAGGTAGTTGCAGTTCAGCATGGCACCCGTTGCAGACTCGCGTCGGAGCCAGCACCTCCGAGGCTGCCATGCCCGGAAGGCTCGGATCCACCACGATCTCGGCCATTCTGAGCTGTGCGCGCTTCGACGAGCATGCGTCGCAAAAGATGCGCCCACAACGTCGACAGTGATGCTTGCGCAGGAAGAATGTGAAGTGACGACCGCAACCTCGGCAGTCCTTGACCTCTTCGTCGCGCTGCCACTGCGGCTGCAAATTCTGCTCGCGCATCGCCGGACCTTGGCGCAGCGTCACCTTGTTAGGCGCCTCGTTGGTCGGCACGCGGAACTCACGGTTCGCCGCAAGGTCGGCGCTTCTTGCTGCAGCTAGCGACGTCCCTGCCTCGGATGGTGCGACGCTGTTGCGCAGCATCGAAGCGGCACTGCTCTGTCGTTGCGCAAGCGAAGGCCGAGAGAGCGTGCCTGAAGTCTCGCCGTTCACCAGACGCGTGGGAACGGACGCGCCATCATCCTTGTACGAGTTGGGATAGATGAACTCATCGTCGTCATCGTCCCCCGCATCTTCGTCCTCATCCTCGTCCAGACCCGTTGCTTCACGCAGCTGACCGAGTTGCAGTGTGTACTCCTTGCGCAACTCTTCGGCTCGGCTCCTGCGCTCGACGTCATCGTCTTCAAACGCCGCACGCAGCTCCGTGTTGGCCATGACTAGACGAGCGATACGCCTTGCGAGCTCGTCGCGATCGGCGCCGATTGCATCGGCGGGTGTCGCGCCAGAAGCGGCGCTGGCGCCAGCAAGTGCCTTGGCTCGACTAACGTAGTCGGCGTCCGGACCAAGCTGCGAGCATTCCAGCTTGGCAGCCTCCTGCGCAGCCATGATGGCCGCGGTGGAGAGGCCATGGCCAACGCCTCCATGAGCGTCAGAACCATCGCTGGCTGCCGAGCGCTCCAGGCCGGCAGCGCTGGCACCCTCGCACGCTTCCAGATCGTCACCAAATTCGATGTCGAGACGACGTCGCAGCACGCGGATCCATCGTCTGCGGCGCACCCATCCGCTCGAGGAAGCCTCTTGCTCGGCCTGTGCGCTGGCCATGCCCGCTCCTCCCGTGAGAGCCCTCGTGACAGATGCACTGAGACCGCGTCCTTCGAGCAGACGCTCGAGCGGCGGTGGTGGCTGGGACGACCACTTGTCGTCGAGCGCGTCAAAGGACTGTGCGTACTGCCAGCCGTGTTCGACATCTACGAGCGGGTGGGTTGTATCCAATTGCCATTCACTCAGCCAGAAGTGGGAGGTGTCACCATGACCATCTTGAGAAGAAGGTGCTTCAGCGCTGGAAGCATTGCGACGAGCTCGCAGCACAGATTCGGGTGTAGGTGTGCTTGCCATGTCGTCGTCGTGGCCGGTGTGCGCATGGGACGCTGCCCGTTGCGCCGCGATGGCCGCTCCTCGTCGTCGTGCAGCCGCTGGACTCAGGCGCGTGCGAAGGCGCAGCTTGTACGGCACTGAGCGCGTGGGAAGACCTACGTCGTCCTGACGCATGGGTGTATGACGCGTGCGACTCGGCGCCAGAGGTCCCGGCGGCATGGAGCTCGGCGAACGTCTGTCTGGTTTGTGCGCGCGGGCTGCGCTCGAGGAGCTCCATCGCGGCTTGGCCCCATTCATGGCGAGCGTCTGCAGACGTGTGTCGAGTCGCTGATTCTCGTGAAGAATGATAGGCACGGTCGTGTGCAAGGCGAGCGGCTCGTACGGACCGCGTCCTGGAATGATACCGCCTGCTCGAGAAAGAGCCGTGGGGGCGAATTTAGAGGCGTTCCAGCGTTCGGCTTCGTACCGCTCCAGAATCTCGCAGATGTAAACTTCGAAGGTGGCGGCTGCAACGTCAAAGGCGGTCTCTCCGGCAGCATTTCGCACAAAAGGGTCGGCATGGTATTTCGAGGTGAGATGACGTACGATGGGAAGGTGACCTTTGGAGGCGGCGTTCATGAGCGGTGTCCACGCACCTCTGCCACCTTGGATGTCGATATGGGCACGGCCGCGATCAACGAGCAGACGCACTAGGTCGAGATAGCCTCTGCTGCAGGCATTGTGGAGTGCAGTCCAGCCATCTGCATCTTTAGCGTTGGCGTCTGCGCCGTGAGACAAGAGGAGCGAGGCGACGGAAAGCTTGCCTGCCATGGCGGCTTTGTGGAGGGCGGTCTCGCCTTCGCGATCCTCCATCTCTACGATTGCGCCTGCTTCGGTGATGAGCCAGCGCGCAATATCGGTCTTGCCTTCCTTGGCCGCAAAGTGTAGAGGAACGAGACCATTGCCCGGATTAGGGTCGTTGGCGAGCGAAAACATAGAGGTGCCATTTCGTTGAGCTGTTTGGAAGAAGGACTGCAGGTCGGAGAGCGGACCGCGGCTGCAAAGCTGGGCCAAAGCGTCGTATTCGAGGCTCGTAACATGGTCTAGTGAAGGCTGTTCTTGCACGCTCGCAGCAGCTATGTTGCGTTGAGATGGGGAGGATGCGAGGCTCGTGGAAGGCTGCTGTGGCTCTTTGTCGGAATCTCCCAGCGTGGCGATAGGTGCAGGGTCGGCGACATCTTCTTGCTCGCCTGATATCGCTGCTTGGTCTTCACTGTGATGGCCGGCTCCTGGATACACAAAGGCAGCTTCATCATTGTCGTCGTCGTCGTCCCCGTCATCGACGTCTGCGGGCGCAACTGATCCTTCTAGGGCATGTTCGGCCTGCATGCCGTTCTGATGTCGGATTGTTTCGTCGCCTTCTTGCTCGATAGCTTCTGCCGCTGGATCAGGAGGCATGCCGGACTGATGCGGCTCAGAATGGTCGAGGGGAGCGCGGAGAGGCTCAGGTGAGACCGTGTTGGAGCTGTGTGTACTCGTGAGTGGGTCAACGAAATCATGAGCGCCATCGTCGGTCTCGCTCTGCGGTTGCACATAACGGGCTGGCTGGAAGACGGAGGCTTTTGCAGAAAGCGTGCTTTGCGAAACCTTGGGAGGCTGGGAAGGGGCGGAAGAGGATGCCCATAAATTCTCGGCCTCGTACGGCGCGAACTTGGGTCTGCGAGCGTTCGCAGCTCCAGAAGCTGGCTTTGCACCGAAGGAGGAGCTGTCGCGGGTCAGCCGAGCAGATAAGCCGATGGAAGGGAAACCTGAGGCATCGTGAACGGACTGAGCATCGTTGTTGAGCCGCAGATGAGCGGGAGCGTGCATGCTGGCGCTTGCTCCTCCATTGGCTTGGTCGGTACGAGGTCGGACCTGGTCCTGGTGGGTGGAGGAGGAGGAGGTTGCGAGGTCAGCCCAGACGTCATGGTCGGATGCTGTAGCTGTATCACCAAGACTGTGACCGGTGGTCACGGAGTCGGGTATCGTCATGTCGACGCACACCATGCGGCAACGCAAGGACGACGGAACAAGAGTGCTGCTGTTGCAAGGATGACGAACAAGATCATCTGTGGTTCGAGTTGAAATCGGCAGAAGCTCACTCCACACGACACCAAACCTTGTCTCGAGCACTTTTTCGAGTGACCTGCGTGTGGACAGCTGCACCAGAGCGTGCGTGCGTACGGTGGTTGCATGTGTTAATTTGCTCAGTCGTATCTCAAGTGTTGGACTCTTGAGTTCTGGACGGCTCAATGTCATGATTATGTAAAGCGCGCTGGACGCGTGTCGCGATTTCAAAGAAGTGCCTTTTTCCTCTGAGACCAACATAGCAAGCGCTGTCGATCTGCCGTGCATAAGCGAGGACGAGGCGAATTTGACAGCGCACCAAGATTCCAGATCGAAAAGGCTCTCTGTTGCTTCGCTTCGCCGATGGCTCGAAAGTCGTTGTGTCGGGTCGAGTCTCGACAATCGCTTTCCAGAACCTTTGCTATGCGGCGACTTGACGAGTGGGTTCCAATCGCCGTCAACAGATGAGATCTGCAAATGGCAGCTCAAAATTCCCACAATCGCCAATAAAGCCCGAGCTGCATTTCGAGTTTCAAGAGGAACGCCGAGCCTGTGTGTTGTCTACTGAAGCACCGCAGCTTTGAAGGTCTCGCCCTTGCAACGTGTTGATCATGTTGCTGCTCACGTCACAGAGGCGGCAAGGATCTGTCCGACTGGGGAAGGTAGACCATCGATGAGAAGCCAAGGCACCCATGCCCACCGAAACTCTCGCCATGGAATCGTCGATCTCGCACTTGCTCCCTAGATGGCGGTGCGCTCGTTTGAAGCGACGGCCCCTTTCTCGAAGCTTGCTAGAGCCGAATCCACCCGCTCTTCAGATCTACGCTGATCGCACGAGAGAAGAAAGGCGAGAGGCGGTGCCGCGATTACGTAGTTGAGTCCTCAAGCTGACTCTGCGGAAAGCGAGCCTGTTTGCCTGCAGTCGCAAGCTTTGCATGTGCATCATCGAGGGCGACCAGAGCGTCCATCTGTCTGGGGCAAGAACCAACAACTGAGACGCTGGCACAGTGCTGTGCCCAACTGAACTCATGCTTTCGCGCTCAACTTGGCGTGCTCTCCTCTCTCCGAAAAGTCACATTTCTCGATGGGCACGCTGCCAAAATCGCACACACGCACACACGCGGCATGCAGCTCATGCAAAACGCGCCCACTGCTTCGGCAGCCAGTCCGAGCTTTGTTCTTCCTGGCACCTCGCCTGTGTAAATCGAGTGCGGCCACTGGCCTCGGCAGCTCCGACGGCTGCGCTTGTTCTCCATCCACGAGTTGGTGCTTCTCTCTCCGTTCTTTGCTCAGGAAAGCCTTTGTTGCCTGCACTTTGCCCCTCTGCGCCGTACGCCCTCGGAAAGAGGTGGGATAAGTTACAAGCAAATCGCCACTGCGGCTTGCGGAAGGTGATGCCTTTTCGGGCAAGCGCTCACAGACCCGTTCGAATGCATGACTTGTGACGTTGAAGGGAGACAAGGAAAAAGAGAGTAAGGACGTGTGCAAGGGTCAGGGCAGACTAAGCCAGGCCAAGCCCAAGACAAGCCAAGCCAACCCTCGTGATGCACTTACTGTACTCCGAGACTGCCTGCACGCGAGCCGCCTTTGCCCCTCCTCAGCTGGGCAAGTGTGGGTGTTTGTGTGTGTAAGTTTGTCTTCCGCTCATCCTCTCCGCCGTCATCTCCATTCGTCGGTGTTGGAGCTACTGTCCCTCCTCTCACCATCCACATCTGTCGCTTCAGGCCATCTCTCACACTCTTTGCCCGTTCTGTCCACCCAGCTCATCGTCACTCTCTTCAAGACACTGTCTTTTCAATTCCAAACAAGACCAACCTGCCCTGCGGACCGCGGACGCTGGACGTTTCCTCTTGCATCGCCATACCCAACCAGCCGACTGGATTGTTCCGTCCTGCTCCGTCTTCATCTCTTGTCTTCCGGCACCCATCTGCAATTGCAACAGGTCCTTCGATCCACGTACTCGCCACACAATCATCGACAGCCCTGGTGGCTTCACCACACACACGCACACACCCACAGCCTTCCATCCTATCGGCTTGTCATCGACCCTCAGACATCCGGCTCGTCGACTGTAAGCTTGCTTCCCGAAGTGCCAAGATATGGCCCCATCGGCTTGGGCAGGCGAGTCTTCGTCCAGTGTTGCCGTTTCCATGAATCCACGCGACTCGCGCGTCGTCAGCATCTACGACAAGTACCTCTACGATCCAAGAGATCTTGAGTCATCCGATCCCCGTCGTCGTGAGCTCGCGCGCAAGGCGAGTCAACTCAAACTTCACGGTCAACCTGCTAACAATATGGACGCCAACGGCCTGAGACACGGCGGTCCCCGTACTCAGGTCCCCGCCCAAGGCAAAAGCACGACCATCTCAAACGCGACCAAAGCTGCCGATGGTCTCACAACCAGCTCGGCCAACGCTGCCACCTCGAGCAGACGACCAAGCGACGGAGGCGCATCCGTGCCTCATCAGGATCACACTCACGACCGCGATTCTGGTGCATTCGGTCTAGGCCTTGGTATGCTCGGTGGAAGCGACTCAGAGTCCGACTCGGACAGCGACGATGATCGCCCCACTCGAAACAATTCAAGTCTTGACGAGCTACACCGCAGCCAGGATTCCCATCGACCCGACAGCTGGACGGACCGCGCAGTTGCCGTCGGTCATCGTCCTCCCGACAACGCCTCTCAGAACCCGCCTTCGCTGAAACTCATGGCGCTCAAATCGGCAAAGCAATCTGCTCACCTATCGGGCTCATCTCACGACGACAGAACGAGCAGGCTAGCCGTCGACAACAACAACTTCGTTGACCGCACTTCACGTCATGGAAGTACCATCGGCTTTGCTGGTCCGCCCACGGATAATCACGCTCCACCGAAACCGGCCGATCCCGCTGATGCATCCAAAAGGCTCAGCGCTAGGACTGCCCTGACCAAGCAGCTCGGTCTGGTCACCCCAAACCCGGAGCCGACTGGACCGCAATCCAATAGAGGTCCTTCGCCCGACCCGCGTGCCGGTCCTCACGACTACTTCGACAGTCGTGCTCCTACCGTCGTCCAAGCCCGCTCGCCACACCGGAATCCAGGCCCTGCCCCCATCGACGTTGCTCGCGCTCAGCAGCACGGCTTGAACACCTCACAGTACAGCGCGCACGGTGCGTCCTCGCCTATGGGCTCCCAACATGGCTCTGTCTCTACTCCCAACAGCGCCACGCCCCTTCGATCCCCGGGTTACGGTGCTCCAGGCATGCCATCGCCCAACTACCCGCACGGACAGGCTCCGTTGCCGCCAAACATTCTGCAGCGAGGGCCACCTTCACCATACGACCAGCGAGGCCCACCACCTCCCGGTGGTCTCGGTGGACCTGGCGTGCCGAGCCATCCTTCTTCGCTTCAGGCAGCATCCGGTACGAGGCCTCCTCCTCAGCACATGCAAGGAGGACCTCGCCCGCAAGATCGTGGTGGACCTGCGAGCAACAGAGGGCCACCGGGGCCGAGCCGCAACTTTGGTCCTTCCTTCTCGGACGCTCCAGGTCCGTCCAAGCGCCAGTCGATCTTCCGCCGATCCATGGCCATGTTGGGCGGTGGCGGCCCACATATGGGCCCTCCCGGCAACGGTCCTGGTCCCAACGGTGCTGCACAGTCTCAGCCTGGCCAAAAGCGTCGATCATTCTTTCGACGAAGCATGGCCATGCTCACAGGAAACAATGGCTCTGCCCAACCACCACAGCAACAGCAGATGCGGATGCCCGCTCCAGCCGTTCCTCTCGCTGCGCCTGCGCCGCGCGTGAAAGGCCTGCAGGACGACTATGAAAAGCCCGACCACCCTCGCAAGTCGCAGTTTCTCGGAGCAGGAGGCGATGGCGCAGAGTGGGATACCGACGGCGAAGGTGCCAAATTCTGGCGTCGCTTCTCCGTCGCGCAGAAAGCCGCTGGCACGCATAAAGTCGAAGATGGCAGCAGAGCCTGGATGGCTTCTATGGCTAGCGGCAGGAGGAAGCTCATCGTCATGGGCTCCATCGCTCTGGTCATTCTGGTGGGCATCATTGTTGGTGTCATCGTGTGGAGAGAGATCAAATCACCATCGGGATCCACCTCGGACGAGCCCACCTCCATCTACAAAGCCAATCTCGGAGCAAAGGACAGTCCGGCCGCATCTTCTTCCACCCAGAGATCCGCGACTTCTACCACCAGGAAGGCCAAAGCTACGGCGACCGCCACATCGACAAGCTCGAGCTGGTACTCCAGGTCGGTATCCGATGATGTCAACAATCAAGAAGATGTAGCACACTCACGCCGCGCCGTCGCGCACGAGCTCCGTGCGCAGAGGATGCGAAAGCGTCACTTTGGCCGCGCCGTCGTAGCTGTATCGCCTCCACAACACGAGCAGCGAGCTTCCCTCGCCGAGCTCGACTGAAGCGAGCATCATCGCAAACAGAGTATGGAAACTAGCTCTGCCTGTCTCTCGATATCCATGCATAGACTCCACTATCTACACTCCTTTGTTTCGTTTGCATTCCCTACCCTTTCATAGAGCCCGTCCGCTTGCTTTTGTTTCTGTTCTCGAGTCAAGTCGCATCACATTCATTGTCTTTCTCGTCCTGCTTCCCATCGTCGTGCGTTCCGATCGTCATCAAGACTATGCTGGTGAATTTTGTGTCGATCGTGCTCGCGGGAGATGGTTTTGGCATGCTGGTCTCATGAGCTTTCTGTCACGGTTCTGTCAACTTTGGTCTGGGCGAGAGAACTGGACTGATCACATGAAACGGATCTTGAAGCGATGGTTTGGGAGTTGCAGTGGGTTGTTTGCACTGCGCAAAGGGGGGTTTAGATGGAGGACTGCTGACTCGAGAGGTGATGACACGAGCTGCCCGACGCAAGAGCGATTGCCACTTTTCATTCGCACAACGGGTTACAAGAGTGGTGGTTAGGCGACGGTGGGTCTTCTCAGTGGCGCGAGCTTTTTATCGATGAAGCTCTTGATATCATCGATCCTCTCACTGAAGATGTTGATGGCCTCAGTGTCGTCTATCGAACAGTGTGAATCAGCACGAAGCGCATATAAATGGTTGTCAGCTCCTGTTTTCACCCTCCCATGTCACATGGTTTCGAAAGAACTTACGAATGGGTGTGATCTTGCCGAACCTCTTGAGAGGGGCAGCATCACCTCGCTCGATCAAATGACGGTGATCGGCGGGCGCCAAAACCATCGACTTTTTGTAGTACCACTTCTTCCGATCCGCCGTCGACTGAAGAGACACACTGGGCATGTCGTTGTAGCCCACCACATTGACGATCGCCTTGACGTGAGACTCGGCAGCCCTCTCGTCCATCACGGCGGTCAAAGCACTGCATCCGGACCCTAAGCCCACCATCACGACGTGCTTACCAGCGAGGGTGACAATGTTGTCCCAAATGAACGCTGCCGCTTTCGCAGCCTCGAGTTGCGCCGATTCGTTGGCCCGTGATGTCTGCTTGATGCCAATCGGAGGCCTCGGCCTCTCCGTAGCGAACTCCCTCATAATGTTAACGTCCACCAGGCCGTAGCCGCGTTCGCGAGCGTAGTCGATGATGCTCCTGGAAGCATCGAGGAGCTGCAATGCCGCCTGCTGCTCGTCGTTGGAGGATGTCGACCGCTCCGAGCGCCAGTTACCCATGTCGTGTACGAAAAACACGATCGTGGAAAACTTGGTGAAGATCTCTTCCGAACACAAGACGTGGCCTTGGAACTGCTTGTGAGGAGTGCTGTGTAGCGGCACCTCAAGCAGATCGTATGCGGCTGCGATCTCGTGAGTACGGTAGGCCGCCAGCAAGTGGGCGACATCAACCGCACGAGGCGCAAGCTGGGCGCCAACGTCGTCGGCCTCGATCTGCGGGACGCGAAGAGACTTCCACCATTTCCTGTGGTGGCGACGGACACGATTGACGGTGTGAGCGGCGATGGTGCTCGCAATCGTGTCGCGTGGCTCTGCCGCAGGCATGCCCAGAAGCACGTCAGTGACAGCGGCAGCGCTGTTGGCCACGGCGTCGGGATTGTACCCTCCTTCGAGGACCACGGCGACTTTTCCTTTGCACAGCGACGTGAGCTCGAGCGTCATCTGCGCAAAGCCTCCGGGCGAGACTCTGTTGAGACCGATCGGATCGCCATCCGCCGCATCGAACCCTGCCGAGATGATGACGAGATCGGGCTCAAACTCGTGAGCGATGGGCATGACGAGGTGATGGAAGGCGTACATGTAGTCTGCGTCTCCCATGCCCTGGACCGGCCAGGGCACGTTGACCGACTTGCCCTCGCCCGCGCCTGTGCCCGTGCTGTCGAAGTTACCGTACGTCGAGCCCGGGTAGAAGCTCCCGTCCTCGTCGTATCTGTGCAGCGAAATGTAGAGCACGTTGGGATCGTCTTCGAAAGCGCGCTGTGTCCCATTGCCGTGGTGCACATCCCAGTCGAGGATGAGGACCTTGTTGATGTGGTCGTGCCGGCGCGTCACTTCGCGCGTTGCCACGGCAACGTTGTTGAAGAAGCAGAAACCCATGCTCTTGTGCGGCTCGGCGTGATGGCCCGGTGGTCTGACGATAGCGAATCCATTCTGTATGCGACCTGACGCTACGGCGTCGACGAGCTCGATCGCTCCGCCGCACGAAAGCCGTGCGACGTACGGTGTGTGCTCGTTGATGTAGAGGGAGCTTGTCGTCTCGAGCATCAAAACCTGCTCTTTCAAGACGTCCGGGTGGTAAGCTGAATCAACTCGATGTTCGCAGCAGCATACGCTTGAATGTCAGCGAGGAAAACACAGGGCAGTTGACGAGGATCAGTTCAATCATACTCACCGTCTAATCGCTGGACGCCCTCCCAGATGCCTCGGTCGTGAACCAGCTTGACCTCGTCCTCGGTGACTTCTCGGATGGGTATGCGCTTCATGTGTGAGAGCACGTTCTTTTCTTTGAGCTTGAGAAAGATCTTAAAGACCCGCAGAGGCCGCTCGGGATGATCGGGATCGATGGGGTTGACGTGCAACATCATCTCGGATGAATACACGTAGCCCGTACGATAACGATCCAAAGAGAGCGCTGAATCGGACGTGCCGTTTTGGTCGCCGACGTCTCGACTATCGAGGCCATTGAGCCGGTGGATGCCGCTGCTCGTCGAGGCTGTTGCTACTGACATGGCGGGCGTCACCTCGCGCAGGGATAGGGAAGGCGATGGCGCTAGAGCGTGACTTGCGGATGGTAATACGACTGGCGCGTCATCGTCGTCATCGACTATGATAGGCTCATCGCTGCGACCGGTCACCGGCGACACGGATGGCGCCGACATGTTGCGAGGGGGCGTGAGAAAGCGCTCGCTCTGGTTCGATCTCGGCTGCCGAGGATGCAGAAAGAGGGTGGATGCTGGTGGGCGTTAGGAGGATAGGGGGCTCGAGCGCACGCTTTGTCAGGTCGAAACACGCTTCGGTCCGATACGAGTGCCAGTCGGCCACGAATGGATGTGCCCGACGCAGGCGGCGATGGAGGATGATGGGGTAGCGAGGAGAGGTGTCACTCTGCGATGATTTTTGACAAGCGGTAGGAATTGAGGTTGGACCCTTGACTGCACGCCCAGCTTGTATGGCCAAGGCGGAGACACGCTGCTGACGCGCCAAATAGGTACTCCATCTCCACCTCGCAGACTCAGCTTCGACACTGAGCATCCGGATAGATTGTTTGCGGCTAGAATGCTGAGAGAGGGCTTGCGCGGTTTCGTGTGCAATTTCAAACAAGCTCAAAGTTCATATGACTGAAGAGAGGGCTGTGGGAACGAGTGACAATCGAGTCGTAAAATACAATGGACAGATACGCTTCGTTCGAGCTGACGCTGCGGCGGCCATCAATCAAATGGGATGCGACGAACGCCTGCTCCAAATGGCTTCTCGCCAAGCATGGTCGAGCTGAACCCACCTTGTTGGCGCTTCTTCTCCTCTTCCGCCGCTGCAAACACACTAGGGATGGGGATACCACAGCAGTCGCCCCACCCGGCGGCCTGTCCCTCGCCGCTGCCATGGGCATGTGGTTGACCGGCAGGGTGGATGTGACCATGCGCGTCCTCCTCTGCGTCCTCGTCCTCGAGCTCGCCAGCAGCGGGCTCCGGAAAGCGGATCAAACTTCCGAAAAAGATGTGCTGAGCGATGGGGAGCTTCTTGAGCACCTCTGCGCGATACATCTTGATCATGCCCTCGTTGACCTTGGCCCACGACTTTGCGCCCGAGATGTCGTCGAGCATGGGCGAATGCCAGCGTAGGGAGGCTGTCTTGACCGAGTTGATGAATTGTATGCAGGCCAAGTACATGTACTTGGGTGCGAACTCGTCGACAATCTCTGCGTCGTGAATCGCCTTGGGTCGCAGGTGGCGATGGCTGCTCAGTTGGCCAGCTCCCCAGAGGAAGGGAAGGAAGTGGTAGTCGTCCAGTCCCCACACGCCATGACTGCCGGCTGGCTCGAGCCAATAGGAGGACTGGATGTCGCGCATCACTTGGATGTAGGTCCAGAAGACGCGCAAAACGATCGCAGCGCCGTCCTCGGGCAGACGCAGAATGCGCAGTTTGCACAAACAGAGCCTGTATACGCAGCAGGGTGGAAGGAGGGAAAAGTGTGTCAGCTTTCAAAATTGAGGCTGACGAGCAGGTCTGAATGACACAGCTCAAGTCATCAAAAGAGCAACTGAAGAGACACTTACAACCAGCAGGCTATGTTGAGCTCCATGCCACTTCCGTAATCGATCCTCTTTTCATTGCCCCAGCTCTCCTGCAAGTAGACGCCAAGCTCAGCGCGGGCTGTTCGGGACGGCTCCGAATCATCCTCGAGACCTGGAATCAAGCGGTGAAGACGGTCGCTGTTGTCGCGGATCTTGGCGTAAAACGTGCGAAAGGCGGGGTTGCCGAAGCGGGACGAGCCGATAGAAGCGTCCGGTGGCGTCGATTTTCGCAGTGCTGCCACCTCAGCAAGGATGACGAGGATGGCATCACATGCTTGCGAGGTGTGGATCTCTTCTGTCAGCGTCCTGCCCACCACGCTGGTATTGCAGACACGGATGAAGGCGAGGATCTCAGCAAACGCCGGCGAGTTCTCGAATCTGGTGAGCGATGCTGGCGAGACGATCCGTTTGCGCGGTTCTGTGAAGGTATTCTCGGCTATTGAGACGGTGTGGATGTCGTCCGCTGTGGCTTGATGCTCTGTGCTGCTCGTTGATGCTGCTGTGGACGAGCTCGAGGCATCTGTGCGCGCCTGTTGCGCCGAAAGGTCACCTGTCGGTTGACGCAGCTTGGAAATGAGAGCATCCTTGGCCGATTCTGGCACGGACGTCTGTAGAAGTGTCGGAGACATGTCGAGCTGCTTTCTGAGGGGAGATGGCTGATACTATGCTGCAACTTAAGCGGGAGCAGACATCGATTTAGAGCGTGGTTGCAGAGAAGGTGGGCAAAGAGATGATGCGCCGCAGCAAAGATGCTCTAGGGTCTGCAAGGGTCCTCGTCGAGCGGAAAAGAAGCGAAGCGTCGAAGCCTCCACAAAGTTCAAGCCAGGCCCGACGACCATTCCATCGGTGTCATAAAAGAGGGCGTAACATCTTAGGTACGATTTTCTGAGTTGGACAGAAAACGCCGGTTCGCTTAGATGCTTCTTTCTACCCCAGACTTGTCTTGTCGAAGCAAAGGAGGGAGCTCCTTCGCAAGAAATAAGGATGCTCGAGACAGCCGTTCGTTTTCAGATTGTGCGGTCGCAAACGTGCCGAGATGGCCGGACCACCTCGAACAGACGCCAAGCTGTCACATGCTGATCAGTCCCGTTCAACGTCGCGCGCCAAGGCTCAAACCGGTCGGTGTACAGTGGACGGCTTTGTGATTACGAAGCTCCTTGTACGTGAGCAGGAAAGACGAAAAAGGTCGATCGAGACTTTCGGAAGATACGGAAAAATTACCTGCATACAAGTGCAACTCGCATTGGGACTTTCGGTGGCTGCCACCCACGCATCGACAACAAGGCGCCAACACCGGCTTGGCCGAAGCTGGCCACGAGGAGGAACGGAAGCAACCAGCTGAGGTGCTAAAGACATCTATCTCTCTTTGTGGTCCGTCGGAACAAGGCAGAGAGCCGGGACTGAGTTTGAATCGCCAGAAGTTCGAATTGTATGCAAATATTCAAAGCCCTTTCTTAAAAAATAATGTTTCAAGAAGCTCTGGTATGGCCGTGGTCGTCTGTCCCTCTGTTTCTGTGCTTTTGCAGAGCAAGGCAAGCCATGGCAACGAGAGTCGTTTGTGCCTGAGCGTGCATCGAGATAGGCTCAGTTGGATGCCTGCGAGCATCGCATGGCAGAATTGCAGTCGCTCTACGCTATCGAAGGATGTGTTCATAGACAGATGCTTTGAGGAAACCAGCATTGAACGCCGCCGTGCATTTCCGAGCGACTGGCCGAGGGAGATGGAGAATCACCATAACTTATGGCATCGCTTTCCATCTTGCCAAAGTCCCCCTCGAGCCTTTAGTGGATACAAGAGCCGTGACGGTTACAGAGGAATCGGTGCAGGTGACAATGCTCCACGGTGTAGACTATGATCATAGCTGAGGAAGAGGTCCGGTGATTATAGCAAGCAAAAGAGGAGGAGCAAACAAACACAAGTCATGCGGGCGTGTTTCAGCTGCACCATTGCTGACAGCACGCCGTAGCCGTTCATGCTGCAAGATCCGACTTGCGTTTCGGGTGCGAGCAAGCAACGCAGTGCGTGCGCGTTCCTTCGAGGAATGAATCTTGCACACACTCTCTGTTCAACGGACAAAAGTCGAATTTCCAGCCTGGGGCTTGCGTGCCTTTGTGACTGTAGCGGGGCCTGCACAAAGCGACTCGCGGTCGCGGCTCCCTTTGTCCTGCCACTCTTTCGGGTGCGCCGCTGCTTCTCGAGCAAAGGTCATCGGACCCCTTTCATTCTGGGTCTTTGGTCTCCCTCTCCTTCTTCTTACATCTACGTCCTCATTGTTTCCTCCCTTTTCGGTCGTCCGGTGGCTCTGGTCTGGTCTTCACTTTCGAAAGGCTACAGAAGACCAGCGGATAGTCCTGCAAACACGATCCGTTCACGAACCAGACCTCATCCGGCTCATTCATCGCTCGGCCGCGGCTCACGACGCATCCAAGGGGTCCGAGTCGACATCCCTTCCATTGACCGCTTTGACTCCTCTACATCGCGCTAGACGCCCACTTACGTTTGGCTCGCTCTCACTCTCGCAGAAGCAGGGCAGCCCTTCAAGCAAACCCGATCTTCGTTCCTTGCATTCAACTCTTTCGGACGCTCACACCACACACAACCGCCGCTCGGCAGATACACCCGGCACCTTGACCTCACGGCCTCTATCTGTCGCTAGCCGCATCACCATTTTGCTCCATAACGATTCGCATCACCCAACGACATCCTCGTTCTCGTCATCCCGCTGTCCTCGAGCTCGGATCCTCACCCTCCCGCTGCAGCGATCAGCTCGCATTACCTAAACATTGTGGTCGCTCGAGCCCTCGCAAGTAACCGCTCTCGCTTAGTCTGAGCGCACAGATCCTCGACCGCTTCCACCTCGCTCTGCGCTCAGCCCCGAGCGGCCGCACAAGCCAACACTGCTCTCGGAAAAAGAGGATATAAGCAATCGCCTTTTCGCTTCGCCGCCATGTCCCCCTCCGACAGCTCTGGAAGCCTGCCTGGCGACTTGGCGACCAGGACGAAACAGCAGACCACCAGTCGCATGATGAAGACCACAAGGCGCGGTCGTCCGTACGCGAAAGACTGCCACGACCTCTTCGCCACGCTCATCGTCTCGCTCGAGCTTGGCACGCATCGCCAGTACTTCAAGACCTACCACAACTCCTTCACCACAGACGAGGCCGCCGAGAACCTCTCCCATCTGAAGTTTTCTCAGTCCAATCGTGTCCCCGATCCAAACGAGCCCAGTCGCGTAGTCACCACTACCACCACTACCACCTTCAGCATGAACCGCGACATGGCCAAAGGCATCTGCCAGCACTTTATGGACGCTCGTCTCATTGAAAATGCAGGCGATACCACCAACCCCATCTTCAAGGACAAAGGCGTCTATATGCTCACCCCCAAAGGACTTCACATCCTTGAACGTTTCATCACCAAGAACGGCATCAACGGCGACCACCTCCTCAAGGTCTTCTCGTCCCAACCCATTTGTATGAAGCTGCTCCACCTCGAGAGGCGCATCTCGGACGACGAGCTGCTCGTCAACACGCCGGTGCTCGAGGTTATATTTCGACGCTTCGTCGGTCGCTCGCCCAACTACGACACTTCCTCAGGCGCTGGCGTCAAACATGACCACGCCGATGCAACCGTCGATCGCACCTTGGGCATCGAGATGGCCGATGTACAGGAAAAAGTCAAAGGTCATGGACTTCGCACCGTGCAGCACACATTCAATTCCATGGGCGCGCTCGACTGGCTCTGCGACTTTACAACCGTCTGCGGCAAGGACGAGGCGGCCGAGATCATGGCGCACTTTCAACGTCTCGGCTTAATTCATCTTGTTATTGACAAGTCCAAGCGCGAGATGGAACCCTACGACGACAGAGACGTCATCATCCGCGTCGAGGATGGACGTGGCGGCACCAGCGACGGACACTTCCGATGCCATTACAAAAGCATCTATGGCGTGACCGACAAAGGTCGTCAAGTCGCTCGATGGGACGGAGCCGATACGCCTCCAAGTTTAGGCAGTCCTGCCAGGGACATTGCACATCGTCCGAACGACGCCATCGCCGTCCACTCCGGCAAGCACAGCATGAGCCAAGCATCGCGCGACGCCGACAGCACAAGCTCGCAAGACTCGCGAAACGCCCGGCAGCCTTCCACCAAGCTTCGAGCCGAGCGTGGCTCGACCCCGGCGGCAGCCTCACCTGCAGGCATCGGCCAGGGGCTGCACGACTCTTCCTCCTACAGCAGCAGGGACAGCAACACCAATCGACTCAAGAACATCCTCGAAGAACCCGCGCTCCGTTCGCTCTTCCGCGAGTTCTTGCGTCAGAACTTTTGCGAAGAGAACCTCAGCTTTTGGCTCGACGTGCAAGACTTTAAGCGTCGCTTCCACACCACCTCGAGCGCCGTGGCCGTGCAGACGCCCGTCAAGGACCACAAGGGCGGCGTCGGCCGTCGACTCGGGCGAAGCGTCACCGGCGCTGCGAACAAGGACAAGAATGAACAAGATTCTCAGGGCTTGACAGCCATGGAGAAGCACCAGCAGGATCTGGTCAGCATGGCAGTCGTCATCTACGACACGTACCTCGCGCCCTCTTCGCCTTGCGAGCTCAACATCGACCACAACCTTCGCACCGAGCTCATCCTCTACATGAATAAGGTGCTTGCAGAAGCCAAGGTATCGTCGGCGTCGATTCACAGCGCATCTCCGTCTGCCTCGACGACGCAGCTCAACGCCGGTTCGGTCGGCAGCGATGCGCCGCACGGATACACGGGCGAAGGTGCGTCGATCGAAGAACGAAAGGCCGCCGTGGTTTCGAAAAGGCTTCGAGTGCCTCTACACGCCAGTCAGCTGCAGGTGATGGTCCGCCTGTACGAGCGCATCCAGGACTACATCTTCCGTCTCATGGCCACCGATTCGGTGCCGCGCTTCATCAAAGACGCACGCTTCATCCAGCTCGTACGATCCGTCGAGGAGTACACGGAAGCGCTCGAGGCAGGTCGCATCGATCCAGAGCAGAATGCAGGGCCGGCTGTGGGGCGCGCCGTCTTCGAAGCCATGCAGCTCAAGTCAGCTGACATGCTGGCATCCAACAGCAACGACGGACGTCTTTCGCATGAGTCCGGCGCATTCCGATCGAGTCCGCAGAAGTCGCCGCCGAAAGCGTTGCCTGAACGCGCTGCTAGCGGAGTGGCTGTGCCTTCTGCTCACCATGCTTGAGAGCCTGTTTCCATCCTCGATCGACTTGCATCCAACTTTGCTGCTTGAAAATGCAGCGGCCTTTTGGCCACGAACCTCCCGTAACGACTGTTCACGACTAATCTGCTACCCATGCAACACGACGCCACTGTCTACCCCTTTCCCCCCCTCAATTCACCACCTACGGTCTCTTGCTAGTATCTGCTAATGCGTTTCGTCTCTTTGTATTCATTGGTCTTGCCCCTCATTGGCTCTTTAATCACATTGTCAGCTTCAACGGTGTTTTCGAGGGATGTCTGGCAGCTCGATGAGCGAGCAAGTGTGCGATTTCCTTGCGAGCAATGTGTAGCTGTCAATGCTGGAGGGCGACGACGGGATTTGACGAAATTTCCGGGATCGGTCTTAGCGGGCGTGGAGTTGCTGTGACTTGTTTTTGAGCCCGAGCCTGGGCAAGCAGTGAGTAGCTGTGAAAAGCACAGTGACAAGCGCTCAGAGCTGCCAAAATAGCCGGCTACGTGAAACTGGAGTTTGGAGCTGGAGCCCCAGAATATTGCGAGCTTGGCATTCCGGCCGCGGCAACTTTGATCTGCCTTGCTTGTTGGTCGTGCACGATCCTCATCCCCATCATATCACCCTCGGACTGCCCATCGCTATCGACTGCTTCGATCCTCCAATATTGAACGACTAGCAAAACATGGCGGCCTCTACCATTTCGCATGGTGTCAAGACGCTCGGTGTCGTCGGGGCAGGTCAGATGGGACTTGGCATCGCGTACGTTGCAGCCTTACGTGCCCAGATCCCCTCCGTGCTGCTGTGCGATGCATCGCCCGCTGCACTCGAAAAGGGCGTCAGCTTCTTCGAAACGCTGCTCAAAAAGGATGTCAGCAAGGGAAAGATCCAACAGGCTGATGCTGACGCTGCACGATCACGACTCATCACGGTGGGGAACCTCGAAGATTTTGCTACCAAAGGAGGCAAGGGGGCGGAGGCGGCGGATATGGTGATCGAGGCGGCTACGGAGAACTTGGCGATCAAGCAAAAGATCTTTGGGACGTTGGCATCGACCTTGCCGCTGGAGACGATCTTGGCGACCAACACGAGCAGTATCAGTGTGAGCAAGATCGCAGCTAGTGCGGTGGGTGCAGGTGTCAAGGCTGGGTCCGAGGAGGCTTGGAAGAGTCCTGCACGGGTAAGTACTCCCCTTACGATCAGAAGATCCCAATGACAGTTCTTTTGTAACCTCATTAAAACTGACAAGAGAATCATGCCTGTTCGTGGCTCACACAGGCGTTGGGGATCCACTTCTTCAACCCGGTCCCCGTCATGCCTCTCGTCGAACTCATCCCTGCCATCCAAACCAGTCCCGAAGTCGTCGCCCGTTCCCGCGCGTTCGCACAAGCATGCGGTAAAGAAGTCACCACCTCCAAAGACGTTCCCGGTTTCGTCTCCAACCGTCTCCTCATGCCCTTCATCAACGAAGCCGTCATGGCCCTCGAAAAAGGCATCGCTTCCAAAGAGGATATCGACAAGACTCTGCGCTTGGGAATGAACCATCCCATGGGACCTCTGACGCTCGCAGACTTTATCGGCCTCGACACGTGCCTCAGCATCATGGAGACGCTCTACAGGGAGACGGCGGATAGCAAGTACAGACCAGCTGTGCTGCTCGGAAGGATGGTCGATGCTGGTTGGTTCGGCAAGAAGAGCGGAAAGGTAAGTGTCACTTTGGAGCAGTGGTCACTGTTCGGTCCGATGTCTGCGCGGCAAACTGACAATGACTTGGGCCGCCTCCTTCTACGATGCTGGTTCGACTCTCACAGGGATTCTACGACTACCCAGCCAAATAACACGACACCATTCTGTAGGTCAAACCTCGACGGCAAGCCATCCTCACATCGAAAATTGCATTTGTAAAATGTCCATTCAATCGTGCAAAACCTGACGATGACAACCTGAGCCAACCAAAAGCGACCGAACGACAGAAAAGGAAACAAGCCGTCAGCATCTTTTTCGCAACACTGACACCAACAGCCTAACTTGCGCTTCTCGTCCCCTCCTTCCTTTGGCAACAATCGATCGTGTGTCGTTCGGGGGGTTTCAGAGTATATTAAAGTTGTATGTTGTTATTGACGGGTTCATCGAGACGACCGTCTTGCAGGACAGATCGACCTACCCGATTTATCTCCATGAGTGATGCATCATTCGAATGTCGTTGTGCTCGAGAGGTCGGATGGTGCGAGAAGGGAATCCCAAGGGTGGTGAGAGTGGACACTTACTGTGCATGTGGGTTGACGGTGGAAGAGAGGTAAGATGCAAAGGCCTGACAAGTGGAAACGAAATGCATGCACGGATTTTCTTCCAACATAACTCGAAAAAAAGGCTGCTTCTGGAAAAAAAAAAGGGAGCGGCGAGGACACGTGACAAAGCACGCTCTGCTGCCATGCATTTTCTCCATCACGCCCATGCTATCATGCTGTCCTTCTCCTTCGCAGAGCAGGCGGTGGCTGTAGAGACGAGCGACGTCGAAAGGTTTTGAGAATCGCTGCAAAGTGAGGCGCCAGCGTCATCTTGTTCGTCCTGCTTGTGAGCTTTGCACGCGTATTGAAAGCCAGTCCACCGCATCGTGAATACCGGTGCTGTTGCGAACGAGCCAGAGTCAATCCAGACAAAACTGTCCATGTCAGTATGAGTTTTGCGCCTGCATTCTGGTACGGACCATTGAGCACACTCACCCTTCAGTAGCGCTCGCGAGGATCACGTCCCACTCGTACTCCTTGTCGTTCAACGTCGATCCTGCAGACGCCGGAGGGCGGTAAGGCTCCTCTTCGTCGTCCGCAAAGACGTTCCCGTTCTGTCGAGAGGTCGACAAGGAGCCAGGTATTGTCGATGCTGTCGGGTCTCCATCGATGCGGGCTAGCTTTTCGGCGAACCAGTCTTTGATGGTGCGGGCAAAGTCGGCAGATATTGATTCGCACTCGTCGGTCTTGTTGGCCACGATGAGGATGGGTTGACCCTCCAGGCTCGGATGGACGAGCAGCTCAGAGAGGAGCTTCCACGACGATTCCCGCGCTTCGTATGCCTCTGACCCTGCATCGGACGCAGTAGCTTTGCCTTTGCCCTTTACATCCCCCTGCTCTTGCTGCTGCTTCTTCTGCCTCTGCGCATCGAGAGCAACGAAATGCCGCGCGTCGACAACCCATACAACCGCATCCGACTCGTCGTAGTACTTGCTCCACAGCGTGCGCACCGATGGAGACCCACCGAGATCCCAAAAGTGCAGGTGCATGTTCGGAAGCGTCAGCTCGAGCACATTCTGACCGACGGTGGGGGCGATCTTGTTTGGCGGTAGCGCTGGCCGCTTGAGGTAGAGGCTCTTGATCTTTTCCAGGATGCAGGACTTGCCGACGCCGGATGTGCCGACTATGAGCACGTTGTAGCGCGGCTTCTTGGTCCATTCGGCGTACAAGCCGGTGATGAGGTGGTACATCTCGGTCGGCCTTAAAGCGGGGAAAGTGATATCGAGATTGGATGCGAAACAGCTCGAGGCGGCTGGGCCTGAGACGAGGAGAAAAGCCTCGTCTCTAAAAGTCTGAGGTTGCGCAGCCTCGTTGGGGCTGTCCCGTCATCGAATGGTGAATGAAAGGTGACAAGGGTTTGCGAATATTGCATCGAGTTGGTAGCGGGGAGAGGGCTGAGAGTCAGTGTTGGACCCTGCGTGTGCAGAAAGCCGACGCCTCCCGATGGTGATGCGAATTTGTCGGATCGAACCGATTGCCGGGTGGAACAACGCGCTGTCAAGTGCCTTCTTTGCTGGAGAGTCACACGCTACAGCCACGGATGAACTCGCACAACCGTAAAGCCGATCGGCCTGGTCGTCGCAATCGGATCCCTTCCGACTGTCATCGTCCGTTGCTCCGCATCTCCTATCCCACCGTATCCGGAAGCTTCGACCCCCAGCAGAGACCTCCAGCGACTGTACACCTGGGCAGCGCTAGCTCGGATCAGCCGCCCATCGCTTCGATCTTCCTACCGCCCTCCAGACTCAAAACGCATTTCTGGGAAAATGGCGTCGTTCGGTCTCAACGTTGCTTCCAGCTCGCGCAGCGCCATGGCGATGGCGAGCTCTAGCAGGAGACTGACTACATCCTCTTCCATCCGACCTCGCCTGCCAACAGCATCACTGGCACAGCAAGTTAGCGTTCGCGCCTTTATCCGCGACAGCAATTCCGCTTGGTCCAACTCGTCTTCCTCGTGGACATCCTCACCACCGCCTCCGGCTACCGGTGCGCAGTACGGCTCGCCCCATCATCAGAACTCATCGCCTCATCCTCTACCAGCCCGCGTGTTCTCGTCGCCATCCTCTTCGTCCAGCTCCTCATCTTCCTCCGCCTCGTCCGCCTCACCACACCCTCCGCATTCGAAGCGCTTCTCGACCACAACCTCCCTCTACGCTTCGCACCACTTCGACACTCAAGCGTTCGCACAGCGTCTCGAAGCATCCGGCATCTCGCGTGAACAGGCCGACGTGCTCACCGAGTCGCTCCGCGACGTCATCGACGAGAGCATCTCCAACCTCGCCAAGGGTCTCGTCACGCGCGAGGAAGGCGACCAGACCAACTACACGCAGAAGGTGGATTTCACGCGACTCAAGTCCGAACTGCAGCTGCTCGAGAGGAACGACTTTGCGCTCATGAAGAGCGAAAACGAACGGCTCATGGCCGACGTCGAGAAGCTCAAGCAGAGGTTGAGGGAGGAGATCACCAGGACTACCGCCGGTGTGAGGCTCGATCTGAATCTCGAAAAGGGAAGGATCCGTGACGAGTCGGCCGTGCACGCTCTCAAGATCAAGGAGGTGGATACGAGGATCGAGTCGGAGATCGCTGGGTTGAGGACGAGCATTCAGAGCGCAAAGTTCAACGTCTTGCAGGTGAGTGATGGTTCTGTTCTGAGAGGCGATGTGAATGCTTCGATCATGCTGACCTCTTGATAATATCGTTCTCCAAAACAGTATCTTGTCGGTGTCGCGACCGGTGCCGGTGCCCTGCTCTTGGCCTACCTTAGAATGTTCCGATAGACATGCGCCTTCGCTCGATCTCAATTCTAGATCTCGTCACCTCAAAGCTCGCTCAGAGCTCCTCTGATACATTTCGGATCAATGCATTCGACACTGGCCCTTCCCTTATCACACACATTCCAGACAGTCTGCAACACGTCATTGTCTATTGCATCATCTACTTGGACTTCGCCTCCGTCCCGGCACGCAGCGACAGCGTCGCCTTCGTCAGCGGCACCGTGCACGTGATGATGGAAGATCCATCCTTCTGCAGCCCCAACGCAGGGCTCGACCGATCTCCCTGACCCTTTTGATGCGGAACCTGCTTGTCGGTCGAGGGCGACTTGCGACCCTTGCCTGCGATCCAGCCGCGTTCCGAGGCGGCGACGAACAGGTTCGGCAGAGCCATGACCTGATGCTTCCCGCCCTGCTTGACCTCGTGCACCTTGGGCAGATCCTCGTTCGACGCGGGCAGCGAGAGGAACAGGAAGCGGGGCGTAAGCCAGACGCTAGGATCCGGTCCTGGGATTTCGATCGAACTCGGACTGATCAGCTTGACTTCCGCCTTGACGCGATCGCCTTGCGCGCTGGATTCGGAGATAAATGCAGGGTCGATCTGGTAGAACTGCGCGTAGGTCTTCATGGTTCCTTGCGGCTGGCCTGGACCGGGACCGAGTTCGATCTGGGTGTCGATGGAAAGCGTGCCGCGCGACGGGTGACCCGAGAGGATCTGCGCCAGCATCAGCGGTTCTGGCTCCGGATTCGGCGCAGCACCGGATGCTGCTGGCTCCGCGTAGACGGCGATGAAAAAGTCCTCCTCCTTCTTGACCTTGGATGCGATCTGTCGAGCTTGCAGCTCCGACATCTGCTCCGCCTCCTTCTGCGCGCCAGAGCCCTCCACCTTGCCCGAGTCGAGATCGAGCGGATGCTCTCGTGTCTGGATATCCCTCAGAAACTGCTGCGCCGCATTGGCGCCGTCGAGGCTCGAGATGATGTTGCCCTGTGCTGCGCTGATCTCGCGTCGAGGTCCGAAGGGTTTGAGACCTTCGAAGTCGGTCTTGACGCTGGGGATGGGAAGGTGATCCGAATCGCTGGGGTTGTTGCTCGCGACGAGCGCGACGCCCACGGCGCCGTCGGTGTGGATGCTGCTGTGCGGCTCGAGGCCGCCTGGACCCCCCTGTGGGAGGGAGATGAGTAGCGTCTGGTCGCGTCCTGTCTCGAATGGTGTTGGTGGAGCTGTGAGGCCCAGCACTGAGCTGGCGGGGAACTGAGTGGCGAGGCCTTCCAAGAGCCCGTGCGGCGAGGTGTCGGAGAAGAAGATGAAGGAAGCCGCCGAATTGGGATTGAGGCTCTCCAGACCTTCAGGGATCTTGCCTTCGAGGTTTTCGCGACCCCAGATGTCGCGCCAGTCACGGCTGCCGCCTGGCAAGGCACCGTTGCCATCGTCGAGCAGGTCGGCTCTGCGTTCGGCGCCTTGCTGCCACGAGGGTTTGCGGTCGGTCCATCTGCCTACGGCGACCTCTGCTCGCCCGGGGATGGTGGACCTGAACGGGATGGCGTTGACACCTGGCAGCAGGGAAAGCGCAACAGAGTACAGCGTCGGAGTCGCGATGGGCGGCGACCCTGGCTCGATAGCGTTGGCTGGGATCAAAGAGGCCGGCAGCGGCGAGGACAGGATGCCAATCCTGGCAATCCTAGAAGCTGCATCGTCGGTCGAATCGTTTGGCTTATCCGCCTGGGTTTCAGCTGCAGCGATCTGCGCTGCCGTCATGCCGCTCGTGTCCCGATTTCTGCTCTTCTTCTTGTCGCTCGAGGTTGTGGTGGAACTTGACGGGTCTTGACCTCGCAGGATCGACACCGCCTCGCTGAGGTATTGGGCTGGCAGATCTTTGCTCAGAGCGTAAAGCAAGACATGGTCGTGCTGGCCCTTTGTCGACGAAGATCCGCTGGAGTTGGGTGCTGGACCGAGCCTGGATGTGAGCGAAGTCATGCTCTGCAGTGTAGAACGCAAGGCGATCAGAAGCCCTTGCGGCGTCTCGGAGAAGAGCGTCAAGGTCTGCGCGGTTGCAAGAGGCTGCTTGCGCTGCCATTGTTGCGGACCGGTAGCAGAGGAAGCGCTCGAGCCTGGGGCTGGATCGGCGGCTTTGGCATATGTGCGTCGCTGAAGAGCGGTGGATGTGGATGACCGGGCTAAGGAGCTGAGGCTGGGTAGCCTCGGAGTGCTTGTGCGTGCGACCGAGGTGAGCATCGTGTATGTGCGGACCCGGTTACTCTTATGAAACCAATGTTGAGGAGGGAAGGTGTATGGCGGTCGGGATGGGGGATGTGCAAGCAGCGTCAAGCCTTGGTCAGAAGAAAGTGGAGCTGTTGCATTGATTTGAAATCCTCAAAGATTGTCGCTGAGCTCAGCTGTGACAGTTGGACCCTGAAAACCAGAGCGGTCGCAATCTGATCGGGTGATGTTACCTCGCATCCCGATCAATATACAGTGTACACACGAACAACAGGGTTCTGCACGGACGTGTGCCCGCACCGATCAAGACACTTTGACGTTGCTTCCCTATCCGCTGCCTTGTTCTAGTCTCATCATCGCTCAGTCAGAGCAACATCGGCATTCCACAAGCATTAACTCACAATGTCGACAAACTCTTCGGTGACCGTGTCACCGCTCGCCTACAAGAAGCTCATCCTGCACGCCGCAAAGTATCCCACAGCCCGCGTCCTCGGCTTCCTCCTCGCCGACACAACGTCCGCACAAACCATCAACATCGTCGACTCGATCCCCCTCTCACATCATTGGACAGCTCTCGCACCCATGGCCGAAGTAGCGCTATCCCTTGCCACATCATACGCTTCGTCGAAGAAGCTCTCCGTCGTCGGGCTGTACGAAGCACCCGAACTGACCTCGGAGCGCAACCCATCACCACAAGCAAACAAGCTCACGGAGAAGATCGCCAGCCTCACCAACGCCGAAGCGCTGCTTCTGCTCGTAAACAACGCGACCTTACTCAAAGCTGGCGAGCACTCGTTGAGCGGGTTTATAGTGTCATCGCCGACGAACGGGAAGGGAGACGCGAAACCGAAAGCGCTAGCGGCGTCGGCGGTAGCGTTGCAAGACCAGAGCAGAGCGGCCGAGCTGGAGAGCGCAGTGAGGAAGGACAGCACGTGGGACAAGATCATTGACTTTGACGGTAAGTATCACCTTTACACGAAAAGCGTTGCTTGTGCGACACGCCGACTCATTCTGAATTCTACTTTTCTTGATGCCTTCGGTATACAGACCACCTCGAGGATCCTTCGCTTGACTGGCTGCAGAATCCGGCCATCACGGCATGATGACTCCTTCCTGAATGAATGTCATCCTGTCTCTGTACTGTCAATTGCATCCTTTGCACAATATCGCTGCGTTCAAACGGGGATGTCGACCAGAACGTTCCACGACTGACATTGCTTCGACACATGACTTCTACGATAACATTCATCGGGACATTTCCTACTTGGTGCGGTTCTTAGCAAACGCATCCTTGACCGGCATACCCGCCTGGATATCCCTCAGACACTTTTCATCCTCTGCCCTACCCTTCAGCGCCAACCTTACCACCTCGTCCGCTACACTCGGTGGTACGATCATCACACCGTCCATGTCGGCGAGAACGAAATCTCCCGGTCTGACGGTGACACTTGGCATCCTTGGATTCTTCACCTTATCCTCCTCCTCCTCTGCTCGTGTTGATGGATCGTGGATGGTGATTGGAACCTGCAACTCCGACGGCCTCGTGAACGGGGATTGACCTTGAGTGGAATGGCCTCTTGCAAAAACCGCAAATCCAGCCTCCCTATGTTCCCCTAGATCCCTACACCTACCATCCAACACCACGCCTTGCAACTCGAGCTTTTGCGCACGTGCCGTCATCAAGCCACCCCACACAGCTGATCGTGTCAAACTCGGTGCAGTGACAACCACAACCGATCCAGGGTACGCTTCCGCCGAGTCGACAAAGTGTCCCTTCGGCTTGGGCGCAGAAGCGTCGTTCTGTGAAACCATCTTGACCGTATACGCCGGTCCACACACTCGAACTTGAGGGGAAGCGAGATACGTAGGCGAATACATCTCAATCCCAGGCAGGTATCCTCCTTCCTTCACCTTCAGCTTGAGCATTGCATCCGATACCTTTAAGCACGTTCAAAGACAAGAAAAGCAAAATCTTCGTCAGTACTTTCCTTCAGATCACATCCTGAGAACCAAAAAGCTGCGAGCAATATCGGTTCATATATGTGCAATTTCGCCGACGTAGGACGTTATTCGAAAAGGCAGTGTCGCCCAGAGTTATGTGTACATTTGTTATGCGATTTGAAAGGGTGGAAGTTAGGGGAGGGAGTTGCTCACCTCGCAAGTGGACAGCTGAGCCAGCCTCGCCAGCGTCGAAGCAGCCTCGTTGACGATCAACCCGGCTCCGGAGGACGAGGAAAGCTGCGTACCCTTGGGAACGCACATGATGGGTGCGAGCGTCTTGCCTCCCGCAGGCGTCTGGACGGAAGACCCGGAAGGCTTGGACTCGGACCTCTTCGTCGCGGCGACACCATCGCCACGCGGGACAGCCGCGACGGGCACGACTTTGCCCACCACGGTTCCTGGAGCTGCGACGTCCTTGCTCGAGTCGGTGCTGCCGTGCGATTGGTCGTGCGCGTGCTTGTCGTGGTCCTTGCTCTTGCTCTTGCCGGTTTTGCCGAGACCACCGAGGACAAAACCGCCAGCGACGATGCCGGCGAGAACGAGGGCGCCAGTTCGCTCCTGCTCGTTCAGAGGTCGGTTGCCGCTCTGGCGCGACGACGAAGGGTTGGACTTGGATGAGGAGGAAGAGGAAGACGACGACGAGGGATCGACACCGGTCGCAGAGACGAAAGCACCCTTGGCTTGCTCTGCTACGCTATTGAAGGCTTCCTTAGCAGCGTCGACGCTCTTGTTGATGCCTGCGAGTGCAGACTCGCCGCTTCCGCTACCGCTGGAGCCCGAGGAGGCTTCGATATCGGCGAGGATCTCCGAAAGGACGCCCTTAGGCTTGTCCTTCTTGTCGCTCTCGGACGTAGCATGATCAGCCATGTCTGCGGCATGCGAGATGGCCGAGCTAGCCGAGACACTGATAGCCTTGGGCACAAATGGCGACGATTCGGTCTGCTCGGTGGTCTGACGCAGGTGAGGGGAGGTGTACGAGGTGACGACGGGGATCTCGGCGCCGGGAACGGGCGGGTCGGGGTAGTAAGGGATCTGGATGTTGAACGTTTCCTTGGCGGCAGGAGCCTTCTGCGGAGGCAACCCAGGAGGCGTGGTCTTCTTGGCAGGACCGTCCTCGACGTCGAGAGAGGGCGAAGACTTGGCGGTGGTGTCGCCGGCAAGACCATCTGCGGCTGCACTGTGGACCGTGCCAGCCTCGAGTTCTGCAGGAGTTTCGGACTCCTTCATACTGCCGAGAGGCTTGGGAGCCTCTGCGATGGCGTTGGCGGTGGCAGCGTCCACAGTGGGTCCGGTGTTGTCGTTGGAGCTAGGAGCGGGTGGGGTGCCCGTTCTCTTTGCCTGACCAGACTGCGAGGTGGGAGCGGGCGGAGCCGGACCATCCTTCTTATTCTTGGCATCGCTCTCTGCATTTCGCAGCGAGGCCAGTGTCGACTTTTTGCGGAGCTGTGGACGAGCGCCGGGTGCCGAGTCCATGTTGGCGGTGCTGCCGTTGAGAAACGAGTCATGGTCTACGAGACGCTTGACGAGGTCGTCCTTACGACCCGACGAAGCGAGGCCGCGCGACTTGAGTTCCGCTTTGAGCTCTGCCATCTTCTTGCTCTCGTAGGCATCTCGAGTGCTGCTCAAGAGGACCGAAGAAACGAGGCCTCGCGATTGCTGGAGCAGTTGGTACTGGTACGAGAGCACGGCAGCCGAGGTGGCAGCGGCGGCGGCGGGCTGAGGACCGGGCGAGGGAGGTCGAAGGACCGGCTCCCTGAGTGTGCGGCTGGCGATTCGTCGCAGCATTGTTGCGGTCGCGTCCGAGTTGGTATGTGGCGGCCGTTGATGTGGTGGTGTGAATGGCGACCGAGATGGAAGCTAGAATTGATGGTGGCAGGCGATGAAAGGAACACAAAAGGTGGAGGCACGGGAGGCTGACAACGCCGGCGCCGCCTGTGTCAAGCTGCACGCTGCACTGCACAGGCAAGTGAGTCTGTTGTGACTTGAGCTTGTTGCTGCTCCTGCTGCTGTTTTGGTCTCTTCGGAATAAGCAGGAGGAAGAATTGCAGCTCAGGTCGAACTTCTCCACTCTGCCGAGCCTTCCGGCCGTGTTTATTTTTATACTTGGCTTTGTTGTGAGACCATCACATCGCATTCCGTCACTTTGCTGCTAATTCGAACCTTCTTTCGTAAAATCACACAACAAACCCAAAGCTCGAAAATTGACCGGTGCGGTGGTTGAAATACAAAGTTGAACAGGTGCATTCCAAGATTTTGAATCAAGACGCGTCTACTCTCTAAAGTCACATCTGGAGCTCCGCCTGTCATCATGTGTCAAGATTAGGGCTTGACACCTCGACCTCACCATCATCACCAATTCTTCGAGACACAATACAGACTAGCGAGCCATTCTATCTCCACGCGATCGAGGCTGCTCACGATCACAGCTGAAAAAGGTGACCAGATTGAAATATTGCGATGAACAGGAGAATTTCGATTCTCGAACGTTTAGTTCAGGTTTTGGGGGGCGACAGCAGAGGAGGAAGCTCGGCGCAAGACATCCTTCTAACTCTTAGGCGACTCTCCTGCCATTACCATGGACCCTCACGAGTTGATCGTGGGAGGACAGTTCTCGCCCTTGCCAGCAATGTGGACGTCAAAATAGGTGCCCGTGTGGTCGTCAATGTCGTAGTCGAAGGGGCTCACAGAGTCGATGCAGTTCTGGTTCTCCTGACCAGGACACGTGACGGCCGTATTGGTGTTGTGAGGGTTGATCCAGATCTCACCCTGAGAATGCTTGTAGTCGAGCGCCGGAGGAAGACGTGGAACGGGATCGTGTCCGTTGTTGATGTGCACGAACCCTGGCAGGTTGGCATCCACGGCATTAGCGAAAGCTTGGTCACCTGTTCGCGGCTGTCCAAACACGATCGATCGCACCGAGTTGGAAGGCAGCTGGTGCTTGAGGTACAGCGCATCGAACAGCGAGATGGAAGCGCCGAGCGAGTGGCCAACCGTCAGGATGGGCGAACCAGGATGCGAAGCGAGCGCCGACTGGACTTGCGCCAACACCGAGTCGGCGGTACGCAGCCACGTGTCCTGGAAGCCGCCGTGCACCTCGACGTCGCCGAGATAGGACAGCCTCGAGTTGATCGGATCCTGCGCAAAGTCAGCGTCGTTGATGATCGAAGAAAACGACGACGAGTTGGTGCCCTGATGCGAGACCACGACACCGAGGCTGGACGAGTAGGCGACGTACACCATCGGCGTCTGACGCCCATCGCCGGCCGTCCAGAGCAGCGTAGCGTCGCCCACCGTGGTCCCAACGGGTAGGCCACAGTAAGCAGCCTGTGCCAGCTGAGCAGGAAAGGTATATTGCTGGTAGTCCGAGAGCGGCGAGGTAGGTGCGGTGCTGCCTCGCGCCAAGAGACGCTCTGCGTTCCTGGCCTGGATGGATCGCTGCACACCGACCGGGTAGTCGAGGGATTCCGCATCGAGAGGCTTCGCCCAGACGCTCGACACTGTCAAGGCTGCTGCGGTCGCAGCAGTGGATGCTAGGTGTAGCAGCTTCATCCTGTGAAGCTGGGTAGGAGTCGGGAAAAGGTGGGTCTAGGGTCGGATGGATTAGGCGGCCTCCGATGGGATGGAAAGGCGATCTACGCCTTGCGCACCTAGCAGCTTCAGGGCTTTAGTAGGGTTGGGTGTCGGGGGGACTCTGATACCAGTAGCGACCACGAATCCTGCTGTGATTATATCGGTTTCGAGCCGGCAGCTGTCAAGACGAGTTTCCCATCACTGGATGGCTGTGGCGCTGCGATACAGCCGAAACCAGGTTGGAAAATCGGTCCAACGAGATGCTACTTTTCAAGTGGTCGACAACGTGGAGCGAGATTGCGAGCAGTGCCGAGTGGCCGGCTTGACAACCACATACTGATAGGCCTGGTAGCGAGCGATGATTGCCAAGCTCAACAGCGACATTCCAGCTGACTTGTCGGCACGACGAGAGAGCCGGGCAAGCACACAGAACTGGATGGCGCTAACCGACCAAAAGCGATACACCGCATCGGCTCAAGGCATGCAACCCAATTTCAAAAAAAAAATCAATTCGGCGCTATTCGACGAGACACTCGCCGTGTGCCTGACTCTGTCGGATGCTGCACAGATTCCCAAGCGAGGGTCCAACGTGTGGGCTTTCGGTCGTTGCGCTGCTTCAAAGGGTCCAACGTGCGACATTCCTGTCCAAAAGAGAAATTATTCACGCCTCCGCTTCCCTCTGGAGATCCAGTCTGAAACGGATGTCGATCTTTCTCCCCGCTTTGCCGCTACCGTGGCCTTGTCTCCAGCCGATCGCCTCGATGTGCCTTGCCTTGTATGGAGCCGGTTTCTAGCTGCGTCGACTTGTAATAGGCGGATGCGCCCGAGCCACTCCGTGCTCGCTCCAGCTCATCAAGATTTGAGGGTCAGACTCTGATTTAGCTCAAGCGAACTATGCGCATGGGACTTCGCAATTTGCTATCCCAGTTCGCTTGTTTGGCGTAACGAAGATGAAGCCTCGATCTCTGTCAAGTCTGGCCGGGAGAGTGTGGCCCGGGTGGGCGTCGCCGCCGCCGCCACTCGCTCGCTGATCCGAGATGGGTCCGAGTGTAAAGAAGGCTTTTCGGAAGAAGCAGTTGCCGAAATTTTGCACAAGCAAGGTCACGTTCGTTGCTAGCGGCGAGCTTGCCGAGAAGACCATGAAATGCAGGAAGACCAACACCATCTCGGAAAGCTTCAGTCCGAGCCCGACTTCCGAGCATCCTCTCTTCGCTTCCTTCCTCGACTTCATTGCCCGATGTGTCAGAGCAAATGTCATCTCGGACAAGCCCATCGTAGTGTGATCTACAGGTGACTCCGCGGAACACGCTCGGAGCGGTACTTGCATTGGAAACTTTCTCGAGCGAGGCCTTCCAAGTCGACTCGCAGAGCCTCCTCACCTGCTAGATCAAGCGCAACGTCGGTCAATCGGAATAAGTCAAAGTATGAGCTTGCAAGGAGATACAAGTACAAATGCAAAAGCGCGGATCAATAGCGGGCACCAAGACGACGTGCAAAAGCGAATGAGACGCCTCAGTTCTTGCCGATGCCATCACCAGGCCAATCGATCACATCGATGCTGATCAAGATGGCGACGATCATCAGAATTGCCACAAAAACGCTGCTCACCACCATCCAACTACCTTCGCTCCACGTCACAGCCTCGAAACCGACCGCGCTACTGTAGCCACCTTGTCCGGCGTCGTCTTGCAGAGAGTTATAGCCGTAGCCCCGGTCTCCGGGCGCGAAGTAGCCTGGTCGACTTGCATCGTCGTCGGCTTCAGCGTAGAGTAGTTGCTCGCGGTCGTCGTCGAAGGCACCAAAGCCCGTGCGGTCGTCATCCTCGTCGCCATCTAGGTCAGTGCCGTGATCTGCTTTGTTGTCGGATTGCAGCTCGAGTGGACGGTCGAAGTCGAGCGAGTCATTTCGTAAGCCTCTGTGACCTGCACCGGTGGGTCCAGGCTCTTCTTCCTGATACGCGGGAACGACATTTGATTTTGACTTCTTCCAAGGCATCGAGTTGGAGCCGAGCTGCAACAAGCGGCCTGCTCGCGATGCGGTCGACGAGCTCGGCACGGTGGACTGACCAGTCTCGAGATCGACATCGAACATCGCTGCGTGTCCATTCTGACCGAAAATACCGTCGTCGCCATCGTCTCGTGCCTTGCCCTTGCCCTTGTGATTGCTTCCGGAGGGTGATGGCGGTTGACGCCCGGCCAATGTGCCCTCGAACGAAACATCGATCTTGCCGTTGGTGAGCTGCGAAAGCGCAAACGTTTCCTGCGTCTTCTTGTCCACACCAAGAATACGGCTACTGTGAGCAATACCACGTCTTGATCCTGCGCCGGCCGACATCGACTTTCTAGGTGCAGACGGACCGAGCCCTGGACTTCTTAGTGGCGCCAAGGCTTCACCAGCATCGACGCGACCCTGTGTGCTGCTACTTGAAGCCAGCATGTGACTTGCCTCGTTTCCCCTGGCGAAGGCTGAGTCTGTCGAAGCCGACGCAGCGTTGAAGCTTGCCGGATCTCGATCAAGGCTGACGTCTGGAGAAGCCGGAATGAACTGTGTGATGGTCGAGCGGACGCCGGGGTTGGGTGAGTTCGAATTCGGACTCGGTGCTCGGGGCAGCACCTTCTGCGGTAGAACGGTCTGCAGTGTGATCGCCATCGTGGACGAAAGCTGTGTGCCTTCTCAGCAAGCACTGACTGTCCGTCCTCCTCAATGCGGTAGCCGCCCTACAATGCGGCCGTTTGTGAGAGGGATGCAGCTCTCCCTCTGTCGACCATGCTTCCTGTTGCCGCAGCAATTGACAGGCAGTTGGATAAGAGAGATGCGATGGTTCGATATATGCTACGTTATGGTTCGCTGCTAAATGCGTTTCTTGAGTGCTGAAGAGATGAAGGTGGTGGGTGTGATCGTAGCTGAGGGTGACGGTGTGAAGGGCCGTTCATGAAGTTATGACCACAGAAATCACGCATGCCAAACCCTGAAAACGTGAATCGGGAAGATCCGTGCCTCGGCAGCTCGGCATCTTAAGGGAAAGTCAAATAGGTTGTTAAGCCGCGGACAACGTGCCCTCACCGTCCTTATTTTTGTGACGGGAGGCTTGCCGCGGAGACCGCCCGGCTATCCATTGCCATGTTCGCGGAACGATGCTCTCTTCACATTTGCACCACCGATACTCTCCACCCCGGCGAGGCTTCTATCTGTCACTCCAACTCGATCCACAAGACGCAACAATGTCGTCGACTGCACCTCAAAGTTACACATACAAGACGTTCGTCAACACCGACGGCGAACAAACCAGCATCCCAGTCGATGTCTACATCCCCGAGACTGCCGCTCAGACCCAGCTGACACCAGTCGTCTGGGTCCACACGGGCGGGTTTCTGCAAGGAACCCGCAAGTTTGTGCCCCCACACTTCGTGCGAGCTCTTGCGAAGCACAAACTTGCCCTCGTGGCGCCAGATTTCAGGCTGTGTCCTCAGGTATCGATCTTCCAAGTGCTCGAGGATGTAGCGGATTGCATTCGTTGGACGTTGGATCCGGCAGCGCGCTCTGCTTCGGGCTTCACATCGGATAACGTCTCTTCCGACAGATACATCCTGGGTGGATCGAGTGCCGGTGGATGGCCTGCTCTGCTTCTCGGTCTAGCGCTGCATGATGAGGCCGAACGCATCCCTCGACCCCCCAGTGCTGTCTTTGCCATCTACGCCATTACCACCGTCACCCAGGACCTAGCTTCGTTCTTCTACGAGCCTCAGAAACCCCTTTCATGGGCTGCGGATGGTAAGCTCATCGACAAGCAGCCATTGGAATCCGAAGGCCATCTCATCAAATGCCTCGATGCTCAACACCAGCTACTCAAGTCTAGTTCGACCAAGATCCGCACCGAGGCGCCCCCTGCCTCGAACCCGGTCCGTGCAGCTCTCTACAACTTTGCCCGACAAGAAGCCATCTATCCGAGCCTCATCCTCCAAGACCCATCGGAGAGCTCTCATGTCTGCACGCCTACACTGATCAAGACCAAGACCACCACCAAGGGAACATCAGTTCGGGTCCTGATCGCATATGGCGACTCCGATCCGAAGGTACCGCATTCGCAGTCTTTGCACGTCGTCGATGCGCTCAAATCGGTCGGCTACGATGACAGGAATCTTTTGGTGATCGAAGAAAAGGGCGCGGACCACCTCTTCGATATGGAGCCGGAGAAGGAGATCGATGGCATGTGGACCTGGCTGACAAAGCAGCTTTGAGACCACCATCACTTGCACAAGAAGCTCTCGTGTATGACTGTAGGCCTTGATGGTAGTTAAGAATTGAAGCCGTTTTACCGTGCATCGGAACGAGGTCGGGATGACATACGAGATTGATGGATCGACCTGGGGGTGTTTGCGGGGATCTTCGCTTCCCCCCACGCGGCCGTCCTTTTTCTCTTTTTTTCCGTGAACCCCCACGTCGAATTTTGTGCCAGCAGCTCCCATCAGGGCCGCACGGTGCTCTGCGGCCTCAGCCCGCAAACGGCGCGTCCTTCTTCTCGTACAGCGTCATTCTGTGCATCACGTTGCCATTCACAGGTATACGTTTATGTTGAGCTTGAGCTAAGACAGAGACTGGCGTGTCCTCTCGAAACCAATGCCTTTCACTCGCAGACGGGTCGATGAGGGCCAATGGTTGCGGGGCCCGACTTTCAGGCAAAGTCGCCGTGAGTTGTTGTCGCATAGGCTAGCGTGGCACGCCGAAGCTTCGTGCAATCCTCTGTACTGTGCACCAGAGGCATTCAGTCTGGTGACTAGGACGGCGAATTGATCATAACGTCTTGAGGACCTCGACTTTCAAGGAAACGTCAGGCGACGAGAGGTGGAGAAAGCACGCTGCGTTTGGGTCGCTACCTGCGGCTTGCCCCCACGTCGATTCGGAATCTATTCTACGTGCTGAGAGTTAGCCGTTTTGCGGTTTGCCGGCCAGCTCTCGCGTCGGCGCCGACAAAAGAGCGATTGCGAATAGCAAGACAGGGTCTTGGGAAACGCATTTCGCAGTCCGATCCATGCAAGCTACCTCAGAAGGCACTGTAGCACCGGCAGCGAGCCTTCTTCCTGCGGCTGCCGCGTTCGGCCATGTCGAGACATCTGCAGGGGTCGTGCAAGTAGCTACAAGGTCCGTTCGCCGGCTTGCTCGCCTCCTGAGACTTTGACAGGAATAGCTATATAGCCACGACCTTGATCCTCAGCCAGACCAGCCCTATTGTCCCCCCTTCTCACTCATCCCGCTCTAACCTTAACTCAACACTGACTCTACTCACCTCGGACGCCGCGCTAGCATCCAAGACTGGAAAGCCCGCCGACCACCATGACCAAGACATCACCGCTGATTGTCTCGTCGTACTCGATACACGATGTTCGCTTCCCGACCTCGCTCACGGGAGACGGTACGGATGCCATGAACAAGAGTAAGTTTTGACGTTCTCATCAGCGAGCTAATCCCAAGCCTTGTCGACTGACCCGTCGGTTCTGACTATCACCATCGCGTTTTGTCCATCGAATTACGCCGGTTGACACAGCCTGCGACTACTCGGCCGCCTACCTGATCCTCTACACAAGCCCTAAGGATGGGGCTGAAATCCTTTCGTACCGTGGTCGCGAGAGCGAGGCGATCAATGCACCGGTCAAGGAGGATTCAACGCTTCGCGGATTCGGGATGACATTCACCATCGGCAAGGGCAACGAGATCTGCTGTCAGGCGATCGCCTCGATCGTCGAAGAGCTGCTGCTGGGGCGTGAAATCGAGCCTCTGTTCGCCAACATGGGCGAGACGTGGCAGCTCATGGTCTCGGATCCCCAGCTGAGATGGATCGGTCCGGAAAAGGGAGTGATCCACCTCGCTACGGCTGCCGTGATCAACGCTATCTGGGATCTGTTCGCGCGCTCGCGCAGCAAGCCTCTGTGGAAGCTCATCTGCGACATGTCGCCCGAGGAGCTGGTGCAGTGCATCCCCTTCCGTTACATTACCGACGCCATCACGCCTGCCGAGGCGCTCAAGATCCTGCAAGACGCTGCCAAGGGCAAGGCGGATCGAGAGGCTGAGATGGTGGCGAACGGATACAAAGCCTACACGACCTCGGCGGGCTGGTCGGGCTACGATGATGCAAAGGTTGCTCGCCTGACACGGTCGGCGCTCGAACAAGGCTTCAACCACTTTAAGCTCAAGGTCGGTGCCGACATGACGGATGACATCCGAAGACTGTCGCTGATGCGATCCATCGTCGATGATCCAAAGGAGATGCCCGCTGGTCGCAAGCAGCCCTCGGCGGAGAGTCTTGCCGGCAAGAACGCAGGACCTACCGGCTGCGTGGTCATGGTCGATGCTAATCAGGTGTGGGACGTCAAGGAGGCGATCGACTACATGGAGAAGTTGGCGCCTCTGCGACCTTGGTTCATTGAGGAGCCGACAGCACCGGACGACGTCTTGGGTCACGCTGCGATCCGACGCGGCATCCAGCACCTCGGCATCGGCGTTGCGACGGGCGAACACGCGCACAACCGCATGACTTTCAAGCAGCTGCTCCAAGCGGATGCGATCGACGTCGTTCAGATCGACTCGTGCCGTTTGGCCGGCGTCAACGAGATCCTCGCGGTGCTGTTGATGGCCAAGAAGTTTGGCAAGATCGTCTGCCCTCACGCCGGTGGTGTGGGTCTCTGCGAGTACGTCGTCCACTTGAGTCTGATCGACTACATCTGCATCAGCGCGGAAAACGAGCGCAACGTGCTCGAGTGGGTCGACCACCTGCACGAGCACTTTGTGTACCCGGTAAGCATCAACGGCGCTGGCTGCTACAACACACCGATGGATCCAGCGGGAGGATACAGCATCGAGATGCTCAAGAGCTCGATCGAGGACTACAGCTTCCCACACGGCTCGTATTGGAAGAGCGGCGCCGCGCGAACAGCACCTCCTTCAGGTCATTGATTGTATCCGCATGTCGTTGCCGTCATCAGAGCTGTGCTCTTGCAATCTGCTCTTGCGAAAGCTCTTTGAATGTCAGTGTGCCAGCGTGAATGGCCGAGTCGGAAGCAGCCGACAGAGGTGGTCTTTTGGGTTCATTCCGATCGATGACGGTACATGGAGCCAGTGCTTCTGTCAGCATGAACATAGGTTGCGAACATAAGTTGCGGGCGCCTGAAAGCGATGGTCTGTGACGTCGAAGACCGGAGAAGGACAGAGGGGTTGCCTCTGCTAAAGCGAATGAAGAGGGCAGAGACAAGACCCGGTCGGAAGGGTCCGATCGTGTGGGGTAATCCGAGCCGTAGCCGAAGTCGAGAGTGGCATGCAAATCACACATGTGATCCGAAATAAGTCTCACTAGGTCACAAGACCATGTCCGGCGTACCTCTTCTCTACCTGCAAGCCTGGACTTCCATCGATATCTAGACCACCAGGAACGATTCGGCGCTGGGACTGAGAAACACAGCTCGACCGATGAAAGACAGCGGTATACGATCGCCAACGTCGACGGCTGCACCGGATGCCGGATCGGAAATTGCGAGGAAAAAAAATGGGAGCTTGAAATGCCAGCCAAATTTTCGACTTGGCCGGTGAAAAGCTGTGTTATGACCATGCGGTGCATGCAGACTGGCAGCAGTTCTGCTCTCTTCGAAGTCACCGTACGGAGCCTGTGTCGGACCCTTGCGAGTCCTCTAGGTTGGGATTGTGTATGCACACGACATTTCTGAGGAGCAGCAACCTCTTCGGGAAGTCGAACACTGATCCGGCCCTGACAGCCAGAGTCGACACCGCTTGGTCGCGGCAGTTCCGATCCGCAGGTTCTGAACCCTTCTTTTTTTCTTTGGTCGATCAAATGCTCCTCCACCTGCCAACACTCTCACACAACTCTCTCTTTTCGCGACCGACCCTCACTCCATCACAGCGGATCAAGTCCGACCTTCTCAAAGTTTTGACTCAGCATTACCTCGAAGGCTCGTCGACTACGTCCGAAGGATCAAAGATGGGGCCGACACTCGACTTGTAGCAAAGGCCGATCACGACACAACCGCCAGACGGACGACCGCACTGCTCTCCTCGAATCCTGATGGTACGACTAGAACGCAACGGGTCTCGACCGGAACGTCTCGTGATTCGTCCCCACCCCCTTGGTCTCCATGTCATCGGCCGCGGAAGCGGGCGCGGGTTCCTCCGCCAGGGATCCGACCGCACACGCATCTGCAGCGATGGAGCAGTCCGACCTGCTCGACCTCGACATTGACGAGCTCTCACCACTTCCGCCCGCACACGGCTTCTCTAATGATAGATCTACATCGCTCGAACGTATTCCGAGCTTGAGGCTCAACGCAACCCCCCGCACAGCTCCGACTCATCCAGCAGATTCCACAGCAGTAGCATCTCCGGCTCTGAGTGCTGCGACTTCACCCTTCCGCCTTGAAGCCTCGCCGCCTAGCTCTCCGCGGGGACATGACGATCCAAAGCAGCATTTTCAGACACATTCGCAACTACCAAGCTTACGCCGGCCCGACGCTTCTTTCGAACAGAAAGGAACAGCCTCGCAAGCTTCCCACCAACATGAGGCCGAGCACGATTCTCAAGGCTCTCGTCAGCCGCTGGAGCCACTCTCGATACCTGCACAGACTCCTTCTGCACGCTACGTCACGGTTTCGGCCATCCTGTCTCGCTCAGAGATGTACTACGCTCCAGAGACCTCGGAGCAATGGGACATCCTCCGGTCCCCACATGGTCTGCCTACCGATGCTCAAAGCTCCTATGACACGAACGCTCGTCCATCCAGCTCGTATGAGCCCTTCAGCAGCCTTAGGAGAAGGAAGAGTCAAAGGAAACGCCCGAGCAACGGAAGCGCCATCGAAGCGCTAGGCGCCCTCTTGCTGCGCAAGGACAGCTCAGGGCGAGTTGCCAACCTCTCATTCGCCAGGAGCGAGATCGATGACGCCAAAGCGGGCACGAGTCAAAAGGCGGACATGCAGAAGGAGAAAAAAGGCCTCGGCTCGAAGCATGGCGTACAGGCTTGGACCAGTGCGCTGGGCTCGATCAGCAGAAACGGCCTGCGCCTCCAGTTGCCGCAACTCGAGCCATCGCAGCCGTCTAACTCGAAGCATGGTGCAACCATCGCCGAGCGTCGAGCTCACATGTGGAAAAAGGTACTCACCCGCCAAGGCGCCGTTGTGGAGGACACTCGCAACGGCTTCTCCAAAGTCCGCAGTAGACGAGGCGGACTCAGCTTCGAAGTTGGCAACGCCGGCCGAAAGCAGACCCAGTCTACCCTGCTCCAGCTCGACAATTACCGGCCCGAAGGCACAGCGAAGCAGAGAGGCCATGCCAATGGGTCTCGACCTGATCACGAAGACGCTTTCGGGAGCTATGAGGAACCGGGATTGCATCTCGACACACTCGCAGGGCGCAGTGCCAACGGCAACGAATGGAGCCGACTCCCCGAGACAATCGTGCTCAAGGCTGGACGACGTCCCAGGATCAAGCAGCAGTCAAAGTCGGAATTCGGGATCGGCTCGGCTTATCACGATCAAGCACTTCCCGAGGCTCCTCCCAGCCCCGTCGCGATGCCTGGCGCCTGGCATGGCGGCTCTTCGTGGCGATCCAAGCCGGGCGATGGCTACGACGAGGGTGCCTTGCTTCTGCCTCCGCCCTTGCTTGACGACAATGGCAGCGATGCATCCAGCTTTGAAGGATTGTTGGGCGTACGACGCATGCGCGAACGCGAAAAGGCCAGAAAGCAGGCCGAGAAATTGGCCGCCCGCAATCGCCCTGCTCATAAAGTCGGTCCTCTCACCGCACTGACCAACTTTGTCAAGGCTGCACACGCTGCCGAGACTTTTGCCAAACGAAGCCAGATTGGCGGACGATCTGGGCGCGCGCCTTCCCTTCTTCGCAGCTTCACGGAGCCCCCAAAGACCTCGCGCGCGAGATCTAGTTCGACGGAAAGCTTGTCTCGCATCCACGTCGCAGCCTCTCCCGTGATTGCATCGAGCGACGCTCCCAGAGATGTCACGGCTGACACTGCGGATACGACCCTGCCCGCTCTTCGCTCCAGTCTGGCTTCGGCTGCAGTGACCCCCGTCACCACGGATGCGGACGCGCGCACCAGCCCAGCTGTCGCGTCAGCAAGCCCGTTCATGTCACCTTCGCTTCGAAGAGCAGTCTTGTCGCGACGTGGATCGCGTAACAATTCGATCGATGCTTCCGGTCGAATGCTCAACACCGTATTTGAATTTGAGCCCCTCGACCCCAGCCAGATTCCGGACGATGAACTGGCTTCGCCGGACCTGCCACCCATCTCGAGTCCTCTGCTGCGACCATCTTCCACAGGCTCGGGCAAGACCAGCGCGTTCCGTGACTTTCCGGCCGCGCCGAGGTTGCTACCAGTGCAGCTATCGGTACCGCCTTCCCCGTTCACGCCGTTGGCAGTCGACCTGCGTGAGTCTCGCAACTCGGTGGGCACTACGTCAGCCAACGGAGATTATCTGTCCGCCCGCAACGTACACTCTTCGCCACGGACGCCGCAACTGGTCCCGACGATGCTCAGCCTGCCGCCCTCGCCATGGACGCCGTACCAGAACCCTGCAGCGGCTCATGCACAGCCCATGATTCACCTACACTTGAACACCAGCACCTCATCCCTCCGCCTGGCGCCCGGAACACCACGACTGGTGCCCACACACATCGAGATCCTGCCATCGCCTTTCCCGACCTCATTGTCATCGCGTCGCGGCTCACTCTCATACGACAGTCCGCACAGCCTGCGTGCCGGGGCCCTGACACGATCGCCTTTGACAGCACCCGCCACTGATTTTGCCTCCTTTGCCGCATTACGCGGATCACAGGCGGTGGATTTGGAATCGAGGCAGGCGGCTGAGCTGAAGGTGGCGGCAGCAGAGGATGACAAAGGAGAGGACAACACGCAAGACGCCCTAAAGAGAGACCCGCTGCGCCTCACGCCTTCCTCTATGCTACTTGCGACCCAATCAATCTTTATCTCTGACGCATCGGACATATCTGTCCGTGAGCAGAATGGACCCTCTCACCCTCATGCTGCAACGCGAACGACCTTCGACGACGATCAGCTGTCTCGTAGAGCAAGAAGAAAGTCGTTCGAATCGATACGTCGCAGACCCTCGGCAGATCAGGGCGCAATCCACGTCGATTCCGCAGGACGTCCGCGTTCTTTCGTTCTCTGGTTCTTGATCGGCGATTTGGGGCTTCGGGGCTCCGCAAGCTCGCTCGCAGATAGCGGTAAACAACTTGACCCGGATCACGGAGGTGTTGCAGCCCTTTTCGTTCACACCTTCTTTTTCCTCGTCTTTGTGGCTGCGCACGTCGTGGACTTGGCCTACTCGATGTACGACACTGCCTCGCTACTTTTGTGGTTCCTGCGCTGGATGCTCTTCAACCTGACAGGTCGGACGGTGCTGGCTCAATGTATCGTCGAGGCGTACAGCTTCATTCAGGCCGAATGGGCCACCGTGGCAATCGAGGATCACGAGGAGAAGGGCTCCAAAAAGGTCTTTCATCAACGAGGTCACAGAAAGCCCAAGGGTCTATCACGATGGCAGGTGCTGCGTGGTCTCGTCGAGCTGTACTGCCTGCACAGCGTCACTCGAGAACGCTATCTCGAAGAGGGTGCAGGCTTGAAAGAACTAGAAGGCTGGAGGAAAGCGTCAAAGCAGGAAAACAAAGGTCAGAGTCAGAAGCGCAAGACGCGCGGTTCTGATCGAATGGATATCGGTGCCCACCGTGCAGCATCAAGAGCCGCGCTGGGAGCAGACAAGGAGATCCTCGAGCGACGGCACCTGTCGGATGTCAAACAGGAGATCAGAAACGCGAACCTGGCCACGCAAGAAAGCAACTCTGACATCAGACCACAGCTACGACTCGAGCAGCTCAACGACAGCGAGGATGACAACGGCGACAACGACAACGACAACGACAATGGCGGCGACGACGGTGCCGAGGATGATGACAGCAGCGACGACGAGATGATCGTCACCAATCGCGGTGACGACATCCTCGAATTCGCCAAGACGCCGCGGATCGATGCAGCACGGCCGGGACAAGCAAGTACGGGCTACTTTGGGCGAGCGTACGATTTCGTAACCTCGCCTCAGGTGGGTGCTTCAGAGTCCGGACCGGCAGGTCCTGGTTTGACGACGTTCAAGGAGACGAACCGAGATCTGGTGCGGACCATCAAGTGGTGCGGTCGGCTTGCAATCTCAGCATACGGGCTTCACGTGCATATCGTGGATCTCCCACCAACCTTTACTCCTTCGGGCGATCGTTTCTCGCGCCAGACGTTTGCTTACCTGTCTCGTCTCAACGCCGAAGATGTCCTGCACGCCGACATCCAAACCCTCGACGCGGACGCCGATTACAGCCCGACATTCTATATTGTCCGGGATTACGTGCGGAAGGTGGTCTGCGTCGCGGTCCGTGGCACCCAATCGTTCTCGGATATCATCGTTGACCTGGAGCTGCAGACGGAAGAGATTGAGCTGCCGCAGGTGCAGCCTACCCCTGGCGAAGAATTCCGCTGTCATGCAGGCATCTGGCGTGCCGCTAAGGCGCTTGTTTCACCGCAGAGCAAGCTCTTCGCTACGCTGCGACAAGCGCTTGAAGAAAACGAAGGCTTCGGCATCATGTTTTGTGGACACTCGCTGGGTGGTGCGATCGCGAGCGCCGCTGCTCTGTTGTTGGCCGAGTACTTTATTCCGGACGGTGCCGAACCGGATGCTGGAACTTGGGTCACCAACATGTCGTCTGGCTTGCCCGCGCGACGACTCATCCGCGCGGTAAGTTTTGCGAGCCCTGTGACCATGACGGCCGATCTGGCTTCAAGAGCGGCGCTTGGATCTGTGCCGCTTGTGACGACGGTGGTGCTCGGCAGCGACGTCATCCCGCGCGTTGGTCACGGTCAAGTGCGAGAGCTGCGTCGTGTGTTGGGTGCGCTTTCGAGGGTGAGACGTCGTCACGCCATGGCGTCGACAGAGGGTCGGGAAGACGCACGCGTGCACATTCTACGGAGCTTTTGGGATTGGCGCTCCATCAAGCTGGCGGAGGATGCCGACGACGTGATGTTGCATCGAAAGGAGCGCATCGAGCATCAGCTTTGGTCTCTGCGTCGCGAAGTCGAGAGTGACTTGTACGCTGCCATCAAAGCTCGCCTGGACGCGGAGTCGTCGTCGGCTGCACGCATCCCACCGTCGCCCTGGGTGGGCCCGCAGCAGCGTGATCAGGCGCCTCTGCACGCACTGTCCGCCCGAAGACAAGGACTGGACGCTGCGACGTTGCGCTCGGAAGCCGCGCAGGGAGGGCCGCTGATACCGCCGGGACGGTGCATCTGGATCAACGACAGGCGCATCTATCACGTGGAGAGTCCTCTAGCCTTCTTCAGTTTGCCAGAGCTGCGGAGCGACATGTTTGCCGCCCACTTCCCCGCTGCTTATGAAGAAGCGATCCTCGAGCTGCGTACATGATGCAGGCGAAACAAAGAACAGAGCCCAGAGCTGGAGCGCGACTTGCGACGCAGCAGGCCATGTGCTTGCTGTACGTTTCTCGCATAGCTGTGATACATGCGCACCGAAATAGACAGCCGCCAATGAGCGGTTTGAGCGTGCGATGTTTCTTTTGAGACACGGCACCTGTACATCAATGCTAGATCAATGCTATCGCTGCCACAACAGGGTCCATAAGCCGTACTTGGGATTGCTGAACACGAGAGCAGGAAGAACGTATAGGAGCGGCGCGGACGTTGGCACTCGAAAAAGGCAGCAGCGGTGATCAGGGTGCAATCAGGGTCCGAGACGCGCTGCGGGAGCTCGGTTGCGGCTGTTGCAGGCGAGCGCGGAACGGAGAGGCTCGGCAACCAACGAAAGCATCGCGAGCGGGCAATTGATTGAAAACTCGCATGCACATCGATGCCAACGTGCAGCTTTCCGAACAAACAAAAATCCCTGTTACGGAAGCTGTGGATGGCAAAGAGCAAGGTGCCAGTGGGGTTGATGCGCGCGCGATCACGCAGTTGCAAGTCATACGGTCAACGCGGTCACACTTGCCCGTAGGCTGCTCTGCTCAAGCAAACGAAGCATGCAATGCACCACTCAGATTAGGTGCCGTCAGCGGTGAGGGGAAGAATGCGGAGCCACAAAGCCAAGAGATTCAGAGCGGGATATTTCCCCATGGAACGGACTCCCGACGTCAGTTTGCCTAACTGCTTTGGTACGTTTGCTCGACCGCCGTTCTCGTCGCAAAAGATTTCGCGAGAAACCAAACAATCGAGGTGCGCATCGAGCCTTGGCGCGTGCACTATCAGAGACCGCACGGCAGGGCCGTATCGATTTGCGATGAATCGATCCATGTTTCAGTGATGCTCCGCATGCCTTTTCATCTGTCCGGCTCCTTCTTGGTTCTGTCAATGCGCCGAGGGCCTTTGCGAATATGGCGCGCACTCAAAGGTGAAAGTGTTGATTGATTCGTTCGTTGGTTCCCGTTTCTTTGCCCCGGTTGATTGCGCGCCTGTCGACAAACTAACAAGGGTATGTCGCAGCTTGACAACGCCAGCAATCGCTCAGCCGCCTCACATCCCTCCGAGAGTCGTACTGCCAAAGCTCCTTCGAAGGATGATTCGGTTCGCGCAAGAAGTATGATCCTGCATCTCACGGAATTGCAATCAGCTTGCTGCATCTTGTGGGTAGGCAGACTTGGGGAACCGGCCAAACGGTCGTACAGAGGGGGTCCGTGCAATTCAATGCCTGGTGGACAGGGTCTGTTGGAAGATTGTGCTTTCCCTCCGCCCATCGAGCCGATGCAAGCGAGCATCAGCCTGCGCGAAAGGACCCTTGGGTCGGGTTTTCGCTGGTCTCGAAGCCAGTTCGTTTCTTGCACCGCGCCACTGCCGCTCGACCATCTGCGCTTTCCTGTCGCTCTCCGACGGTGCGCGCAAGCCGTTTCCAATAAAAGCCCTGCTGTTCCTGACCCGCCCAGAGAAAGGTGGGAGTAATATTTCATGTTGTCTTCGATCGCGAAGCAGTATGCGGGTCCTGTTTCACATTCAAGCTGCTTCGAGAAGCGGTTTCAGTTGTATAATTTTCCGCTGTCCCCCCTTGTCGCGCCTGTCCAACTCGGCAAGGAGGACCGCTAGCGGTATGGTCTCGATGTCGGCCAAGCCCTGGAGTAAGGCCTACAATTGGAGATGAGCCTCACCTGCGCTGCTCCTCGAGTCTCCTAGGCGAATGGCGGCGAGGCTTCCTGGATTCCGCCCATATATAACAGCGGTTCACTGAGATCACCCCTCATTGCAGCTCTTCTCCGTTTTGATTTCCCTGTCCCCGACGAAGCCTATCCGAACCGTCCTACAACCGCATCCCTTTCGCTGATATCCAACTTCGCTACCACAGCATCCCAACACCAGAAAAGAGACACCATGGCTGCAATCGACGCCGTCCACCGATCCAGCAAGCCGCTGCCGTCGCCGCGTTCCACCATGCGCAACATGGCGCCCACACCCAAGACTCGTCGAGCCCCGGTGAATGTCGACGAGTCTGACGACGAAGATGTCGCCCCCCACTCCGAGATCGACGAAGCCGAACCCGTGGAAGCCTTCACCCTCGTCCCGCACGTCGCCGAGCAGACGCTCCATGCCGTGCACAGCGCCATCTTTGGCCAGCCCTGGGCGGACCTCGAGTTCGTCGTCAGCGCCGGCGGAAACAAGGAGGAGGTGATCTACGCCAACTCCAGGATCCTCAAGAAGGCGTGCCCTGCGCTGTACCTTCAGGTCAGCACCACGGGCCGCTGCGAGCTCGACACGATGGAGCGCGAGCAGATCATCGCTGCTGCCGTCAACGCCGCTGCTACCAAGAAGGCGAGTGCTGCGGGCAAGGGTGCTGCTGCGGTTCGTCCTCAAGCTGCGCAGCGAAAGTCGACGGACGGCCTTGGGCTGGTAAACTATGCTCAGCGTAATTCGCGCACGGGTGCTAAGCACAACCAAACCCACGAAGACGAAGACGATGACGACGAGGAAGAGCTCGATGAGCGTCACCGCCACTTCGACGATGAAGAAGAGTACTCAGACTCGCTCGTCGAGCAGCCTCGGGTGTCGCTTCACGACGACCAGGATGACGAGCATTTCGACGCGGACGACGTCGAAGAGGTATCGCCGCTCGGCTCCAAGAGCAAGGTCGCTGGTGTTTCTGCCGCCGTCAACTCTATCCCGGCTCCACCCACGTTTTCGCGCTCGTCGTCGCGCTTCTCCAAGCTGATGAAAGGGTTCATGAACAAGGACAAGCCCTCTCCCTCGGCCGAGGTCGAGACTGCGCTGCCCTTCAGCTCGATCGGCAACGCTTCCGGTACCGACTACCGCAACAACGATGCCAGTGTTGGTGCTCGCAGCCGGGTTCGACGCTACAGCGCTGCGAACGACCTCGTCACCAGCTCGAACGCACGAGGCCCCGAAGCTGCTAGGGTTCAAGTCACCGGATGCTCGGCTGCTACGCTTCAAGCTCTCATCTTCTACCTGTACACCGGCCACGCCACGTTTGCTTCCCGCCTCCCCGCCACCCCCGCTCGTCGTCAGCGTCGTGGCTCTGCTTCGTCGATCGACTCTGACCGCGCCGAATCCATTGCGCGCAGCGACGGATCGGACGACGAGGAGCAACCCTTCGATATCCCCACTCCTCGCACCAACAAAACCTCGAGCTTCCCACCCGTCTTCTCCGCCACCGCCGCCTACTGCGTCGGCCGCCAACTCGGACTGCGCGACCTCACCACCAAGGCGTTCGACCACATCTGCCTGGAGCTCTCGCCCAAGACGGTGCTCGCCGATCTGCTGAGCCCCTTCGTCGACCGATTCGACGAGGTGCAAAGGGCCCACCTCGACTACATTGCCGAGAACTGGGACCGCGTCAAACGCAGACCCGACTTTGAGCTCACCGTCGGAAGGCTCGTCATGGGTGAATACAGGGAGTCGAGGAAGGCGCTGCTCAGGCTGTTTGCCAAGCTCTCGGTGGCATAAAGGAATTTGGAGCGGTTATGGATGAGGATGGACAATGTTTGTTTTTGCTTTTCCCGGTTCTGTCGAGACTCTTTGTTGTTTCTAGTAGTATTGTAGTTACATCCCTTTCCATCTTTTCAGGTCATTTGAATCGCCTTGTTACTTTACCTGGAAGCTCGAAGTGGTTGTCATTAGAGACGAGGTGACGCTTGGTGAATGTGAATGAGACAGCGTCATTGACAAGCTCCCGAATTGTGGCTTGCAGGGTCCACGCGGCCCGATGGTTGCATTGCCGAGACAGCCGTGCTTGGGCCAACGACTCCTGTTTGAGGTCTTTGCTTCTTCATGTTCAACCACCAACTCCACTGCACCCTTCGCCGACTGTAAGAGGTTATTCTACAGCTAGCTCAGAAAGATGACTTCCGACTACCCGCAGATCGACTTTTACGACATCTCGTGCCTCACCACGGAGGAGTCATGGAGCCCCTTCACGGCGCGCACCTACGTAGCCCTGCGCTTGCTCGATATTCCCTTCCAACGACACCTCGTCCCTATGGCGCGCATCAACTCCACCCTCACCTCCCTTGGCGCCCCTCCACCCAAGTCTGAACGACACACACTCCCCGCCATCACCATCACCTCCTCTGGCAAGAAAGAGTGGATCACGGATAGCTCCGACATCGCGGAAAAACTCCAAGATCTCTACCTCTCCTCCAACCACCCTCTCTCGACCTCGCTCTTCCCCGACCCGCACTCTCGTTCTTGCGTGGAACTCGTGAGGGAATGCTTCAAATCTTCCCTCTACACCGCCGATCACAGGTGGAAATCCGTCAACCCGGCGATCTACAAGATCCTCGAGCCCGAATCTTCCGAGTACTACATCACCGACCGGACCGTCCAATGGGGCAAACACCCGCAGGAGATCCTCGACACCGACGCAGCCGCAAACGAAGCCCGAGACGGTGGCGTCAACCAAGTCTACGCCAAGATCATCCAGCCTTTCGCACAGCTGTACGATGACAAGGAAAAGGAGGGGGTTTGGCTGGGTGGTGAACGACCGATCTATGCGGATGTCATGACCCTAGCCCTGTTGCAGTGGCTCAAGTGCGCCAATCAGGACGCTTTCGAGCAAGGATTGAGCATCAACGGTGGTGTATTGCAAAAAGCCTGGATGGAAGGACAGCCATTGCTCAAGTGCTAGAAAGCGGCCATGGCCCAAAGCCCAGCACCCGTACCGACATTTTCAAAGAACCCTCCACTCCTGAACGGCTCTTCTGTAACTCCTATGCTCCAACCTTGGAAGAAATCCTGCTCCGCCTCGATCAGCGCCTTTGCCCTCTGCCCTTCGATCCCATACCCTCTCAGCATCTCCCTCTGCGTCGAAACGTAATCCGGAGGTGCCGCTCCCCCGTCAGCTTCCACCGCCGCACTGTTGAGCATCAGATTGTCGTCCTCGTCCCACTCCCAATCATCCCCCTGACCAGCGCTACGGGAAGCGAAGTAGTCGCGCAGATCGATGCCTTCGTTGCCCGTACGCTCCTGCACCAGATGCACGATGAGCGGAGAACCGAAGCGCTTCACCTCTTTGACCGTCAAATCGTTTGGCATGGGTTCGAACTTGCGTGCGCGGTAGTACTTGCATCTGTACACAAAGCGTTCCGGGAACAACCCTTTGACCAAAAACCTAGCTCTTTCTCTGGGATTCGGGTTTCGAGAGCTCGGGGTGATGAGTCTACCGGCTTCGACCCAAATGGCTCCTCTGCGCTCCAGCGCGCGCAGCATGCCAGCACAGAGCTGATCATCCGCAGCACTGGGCGTGAAGTAGAACTTTTGGAAGCGCTCTTCGTCCGAACCACGGTCGAATTCGCTGATGAGTCGAGCAGAGGTGGCCAGGTCAGCGTCGGATGCTTTGTTCATCTCGACCGGGTACGGTCCGCCCGTCTCGAGCAAGCGAGGTGGAGGGGCGAGCAGGTCGATGGTAGCAAACACCATGGATGCTTTCACCGTTCGGACGTCGGGAGTCTGGCCATCGTTTGCCGCGCTAGCGTCGCGTACACTTTCGGCAGACTTGACCTGCTCGAGTTGGTGCGAGCCAGACATACCGCTGCCCTTGTCGTTGCTGCTGCTGCTGCTGCTGCCAGCTTTGGCTTTGGCTTTGAGCTTGGCGAGCCAGCCTGACTTTTGTTCGCCAACATCGCCAGCAGGACTGTTCGAGTCTGCGACCGAGGGTTTGTTCGAGTAACGGAGCACGGCTTCAGCCGGGAACGCTGCCATAGGATCGTAGATGCCTTGGCCTGCATACATGACGGACAAGACGCGCTCGACCAACGGTCTCGACACGATGCCGGTCATCTCTCTAGCTTGCGCCTGGAAGAGACTGACCCTACGATATCGGCTGACGTTGCCGGACCTGGCCACCATCTCTGCTCCATTCCTGGGGTGTGGATGGGAAAGGAACGCATGCACTCCATCGTAAGGCGAAGACGGCGTAGCAGAGCTCGGGTTGAATCCAGGGCTGCCAAGGTAGGAAACGGGTATTTGAACGCCGAGGCGCTTGCGGAGCTTTGAGACGGACTGAGAGACTTTGGTCTTGGAAGTCGCCGACGCCTCGCCGCGAGAGTGCTGTGCGGGGCAGCCGACCTGCCTGAGGGGAACTGGATGGGGCGAGTTGATATCATACGAGGCAAAGAGGGTGCAGTGCAGCAAAAAGGGGGCCAGAGGAGCAGATTGAGCAAGTGGGCTAGGGATGCGCTTGGTCGCTGTGACGAGAGGCAGTTCTAGGGCGGCTCTAGTTTGGCTGTACGAGGAAGCAGGATCATTCGCCTCTTTCAACGTCACGCCAGGAGGCAAATCCTCTGTGCGGCGAGCAGGCTCAGCCGAGTCGCTGTCGTCGATGCTCAAGCCAGCAACATCGGAGATGATCAGGGGTGCGGCTGCAGCTGCGGGCGGAGCTGCCGCTGCTTGCGACGGTGCCGAGGTTGACGTCGACGCTGACCCTGATGCCGGTGCCGGTGCCGATGCGGTGGTGTAACTGGGTGGCCCACCGTTGGCACTGTTCTTGTCCATGTTCGAAGAGGTTGTCACGGAGATGGTTGTAGGATGACAAGGTGTGCACGGACGACGAGGAAATCAAAGAGAGCCAAAGCTGAGCTCGGCTAGTCGGGCTGCGCTCTTTCCCCACAAAATTAAGCTCAATTTTATCCAAGCACGCGCTCACACGCCACCACTGTTCGCCGCTGTCTCCGAACCTTCGGCACTAGCGGCCCAATGGCCAATTGTCAATTTGCGGTGTTCAACATCAAAATTCATCAAGCATCGCGTGGCTACCGCTGGAGTGCATACATGATGCGTGCCGATGCTGTCATCCTCATCAATGATGATCAGCTGGCGATCCGATGCAGTGGTACCGTTGACGTCGACCCAGTGTGCACCGTGGTGGGGCCTTGCCGAGTCTGCGAACCGCCGGCTGCCATCCTTAACAAATATGGTCACGAAGAGCTCTTCAGCTGCCGTCTGGGCAAGGCATCGGCAGAAATGTCTGAAGCTGCTTCATCAGTAACTGTTCAGTGGAAGAGAATGTAGGTAGTGTACAGCATTGTACAGCGTCTCCGTGAAGTATATATATAGTGGTCGATGCCTGCGAGGATGGATGACACAATGATATCAAACCAAAGCCATTTTATAACATTCCCGGGATCAATCAAGCAGCGATGATGCTCCTCCGTCTGACCCTTGTTCTGCTCGCTTGTCGCGCCGTCAATGCTCTCAATCCTCCGCCCAAGACACCCGAGGAGCAGGCACACTACGGCCACGCAAACGTGGCTTACTTCAACGCATTCCCAGCCGATGTCGAGGCTCGTCGTACCAAGTACTACTCTCACATCATCTCGGCTCATCCCAATCTTGCCCAGGAGGCCTTTTCACACGCCCACACTCCTGGAAATGGACCCTACTACCGTGCAATCGTCGGAGGAGGAAACGCCGCCATCGTGGCTACGCGCGTCGCAGGCGACAGTCGCTTGGGTCAGAAGTGGAATCTCAGACAGAGGGGCAGCAATTGGGATGCAAGCTTGCTTTGGAAGATCGATAGCGCAGGTCATAGGCTGCTCGATCTGGATATTTGGCCAGTAGGTTCTCAGCCGGCACAGGTGGAGTCCATGTCCGCCGTCTTGGCTCGTTTCCAGACTAGAGCTGCTGGCGGCGGGTGCTGCATCATTCTGTGAGAAGCAGTGATGCAACTCGTTTGTACTCGCATCCACGACTGTGCCATGCAGGTTGGTTGGGTTCAGAAAATACATTGCGAAAGTCTCAATGCACAGCTCGGCACGTTTCAAGCAACCCACGTTGCAAGCAACCATTTGGCGTTCCTGCAGGAAAATCAAGAGCCACGTTGTACGGTACACTTTTACTTTCTGAGCAACACCCGTCGTCTTCTGGCAACGCCGAGGAGCCGGCGGCACGAAGCAGCCCACCTGCTAACGACGTGCCAGTTTTGCTGGACACGACGGCTTCTTGCTCCTATACCGGGATCACTGAACGGGACGACCATTTAAAATGGCCGTCTGGGAACCCCTGTTTGTTGTCATCACACATCGTCAGCATCCACAAAGAATTCTCTACCTCACATCATGAAGTTCTCGTTCCACCTTGACATGTTCCTCGGACTCATCGTGCTAGGTCTTCTCGCCGCCGCTGCCGGGTCAGAGCCTTCGATGAGCGCTCGAGCACTCGAAGTCTACCACTCGTGGAACCAAGACCATCTGGTCCTGTACAATCCTTGGCGAAATGGAGTCAATCGCATCCCTTACTACAGTCATCTCATCGTCGCTCATCCACGTTTGGAGCAGCAAGCTCTTCAATACGCTCTGCTCCCGGGCAATGGTCCTTACGAAGTCGAGCACGCACGCGGCGTTACCTTCGCTAAAACGCTGATCCCAGGCGACAGTCGTCCCGGAACCGCCTGGAACCTGCGACAGAACGGTCGACCACCGTACGACGCTACCGCCTTCTGGCGTGTCGATGCAAATGGCGCCAGGCTGCTCAGGTTTGATCTTTGGCCGGCGGGTGCAGAGACACAGCAACGCATCGCTATGCAGGAAGTCATCGACCGCTTCCGACGTCGTTGACCTGCGCTCGTCTGTTTCGAGACCGTCTTCAGTCACAGTCCACAGCACATATCAGAACCAAGTCATGTTGGCTCGCAATTCATGCTTTCTGAGCCCGGCAAGACTCGAAATCAATTGATTCATCTAGATTATTTCAGAAAGCGGCACCCTTTGCAGCGAGCTGTCTGACCTCGGTAGCGGCCAAAAGCACACCATCGTCGAACCTCTCCACTGCCTGAGCAGTCGAGCTACCGATGGGCACAAACGAAACGTTGTGTCCTACACTCTCCAGGAAAGCCGCGGTTTGGTTGCTGAAACCGACGAACCCAGGAATAGTAGGAGCCGGACTCTCGAGCGTGGTGGAGTTCGGACTGAGCTGATCGTGCCATCTCGCTTCGGCCAACGCCGTCTGAGCATCTTGTCCCTTGAACAGTACGTCGTACGCAACCTGCGTAACGGCTGTGATGATGCGCGAACCTCCAGCCGAGCTCAAGCTTAGCTTGAGCTCACCAGTATGCGCGTTCTCGGCAATGACCGCCGAGATCGATGACAACGGTCGCTTTCCAGGTTTGATGTAGTTGGCGGGAGTCGGAAGGTACCCGAAGAAGTTTGTTTGGCCGGGCGAGCTGGCGTCGTCGAGTTCGTTGTTCAGAGGGAACCCGTGCGCGGTCATGAGCTGGCTTCCCCAGAAGGTGTTGACGGTGGTAGTCAGGGAAATGGCCATACCGTCCGCGTCGACCACAGTGATAGCCGAGGTGCCGTGGTCAGACATGATCTGGGTGTTCTTGTTGCTCGGGATGTAGTAGTCCATGGGGAAAATTCGCGAGTCGTTGATCTTGTTCTTGTTCTCCTTGCTCACGTCGAGCTCGAGGTACTCGCTCTCCAAACGCGTGACGTTCTTGACAAAGGCCGGATCGCCATAGTTGGTTCGTTGACCGTACGAGAATTTGTTGGCTTCGATGAAACGATGCGTCGAAACATTGACGTTGTTCAGATCCTCTTGTCCGTCAGCACGGAATTGGTCAGTGGTCTGCAGTGTGGAAAGAACCACGGATCCGGACGAAGGTGCCTTGGTTCCGAACAGGCGATACTTTCCCCCGCGTAGGGTGACGTTGTGAGGTGTTCGGTACTCGACCCGGTAATTGGCGAGATCCTGTTTGGTCATGATGCCTTTGAGGACGTTGTTGTTGGCGATCGTGTCGACGATATCGTCGGCAATCGATCCGTGGTAGTAAGGCTGAATGCCGTTCCTTGCTATGAGCTCAAAAGTCTCGGCGAGTCGCTCCTTCTTGATAGTATCGCCGAGCTGAGCAAGCTTGCCGTTGGGACAGTAGAACCTGGACCATCGCTTGTCATTACACAGGAAGGGGTACTGTGTCGAGTTCAATGCCTTGCTCAGCTCTGCTGTCACCTTGAACCCTCGTCTGTTGAGCGTGATGGCCGGTTCGAACACCTTGGACCACGGGAGCTTGCCGTACTTCTGGTGGAGATCCCACCATGCCTTGGGCTCTCCAGGTACGCCAACAGCCAAGCCTCCATACAGCGATGCGTTCTTGACCGGATTGTTCGAGTACATGTCCTCGGTTGCAGCTGCAGGGAACACCTCGCGGAAGTCTACGTGGATGTAGCTCGCCGACTTGCTCCGTGCATCGTTCTCATTGCTACGTTTCCTGTTGGTGTTGGCATCTGCTGCGTAGGGAGAGCGCAGGAGGGCGTGGCCACCGCCGCCGAGGCCGGAGTGATACGAGGCGATCGAGCCAACGCAGAGGGCTGTTCCGATGATGGAATCGACGGCAGAGCCTCCTTGCTGCAGGAGTTGGGCGCCGATGTTGGAGCAGACATCGACTTCGGAAGAGACAGCTCCGTGCTTGCCCTTGACTTTGTATTCGGGAGTGTTGCCCTGCGAAGCAGCGCCGTAGAACGATGGCTGCTTGCCGTTGTTGCGAGCATCCAGGGCCTGAATGGGGGAGGTAGATCCTTGTCCTGCCAGGAGGAGCAGGGAGGCCAGAAGGGCGGCCCAGGCTGAGAAGGCGTGGAGAGACATGGTTGCTGATGTGGGAAGGCTTCGGAGGGAACGACTGTCCGTCGATCTTATTATATATCGAATAGTAAATGTGGGGCATCTGTCGCAACCTTTGATTGCCGTGACCCAATGAGAGCTCGAGATGAGAATGATTTTCGGAAGAAGCTCGCGTGCTCCAAGGGTCACGAGGCGATCGACTTGCTGATGGGTGAAGAGCGTTCCTATACCACTGTAGCCGAGGCGAGCAGGTACCACCCTAAATTTGGTGGGCACGCAGATACGAGCGAGCGAGCGAGCGAGCCTCAGTGAAACAACCGGAAACAGGAGGTGCAGATCGCGGTGTCCAAATCGGTCTCTTCGCCGGCGGTACCGTAACTCACAGGTGCTTATCATTTCGGCCTGCATGGCTTCGCTAAAGGCTCACGGATCGCCCTTCGGAAGCGATCACCAAACTTCTTTTCCTTGCTCTGCCTCATGCTTGACGATCGTTTGTCCAGGCTGGCGATGAGGTTTATTAATATTGAAGCGGGAGTGCCCACGGTTGCATTGGATCCCAATTCGTTCTTCTTGGGCGGCCAGTACGACCCACCAATGCTGGTTGCCGCAATTTCGAAAACCTCGGATGGATGTCGCTCGCCTATTCTGTGGCTCGGCTGCTTGCAAGCATTTCGCCTCACAGTTTGCAGCCGATAACAACGGTGCTTCTCAGCATGGACGAATGGGATTGATCAAAGCCTTTTGCTGCAGATCTCGGTCAGAGCTGAGCCTTTGGGCTTTCCCAGCACGCATCCGCTTTATCCTTCGTCGACGCAGACCTATAGCATGGACATGTTTGCGCCACTTGAGGGTGATCCGGCATTTGTTGCAGCAGCTCGACGGCATTGCACAATTTGGCATCTCTTCGCGTGATGCATCAGCGTTCCAAGCACGGTTGTGATTTTGGCTACCGAGGAGGTCAGGGGCGGATTAACATTTCTGTGCTTTTCAGTGCCGGTAAACGGAGACGGCTGATGCGGTTGGACCCTGAATTTGGTTTGTTCTTCTGGAAGCTTGCGCGTCCTGCAACCAAGGTGGGCTCATACCATCATAGCGCGCCGCTTTGCCGTTCGTTCAGCGTTCCAACAACAGCATCCTCACCTACACAAGGCATTCGAGAAGATGGAGTACGATCCGGTTAACCGCGATGCTCCGGCTCCGCGTTACGAACTCGAGTCGAGCTCCGAAGACGAGTTTGAGCACAGCGCTGGACAACCTCAGGAACCATACCAGCTCGTAGGAGCCACCCTGGAGCCAGGTTCGCCGCTGGTGGTGCTGATCGGCAATGCCGGCGTAGCAGCACTGTCTTCGCTCGGCACAGCACCAACGCAGCAGTTGTCTCTGCAGAGCGGATCGGAACAGCACGCAGCCGTAGCAGTCGCAACTTCAAGCTCAGGCACTCGAATCACGGCAGCTCTAGTTGCAGCTCCACCGCAACTGCGCTTGGCCCGCTTTCACGAGATCGCACAGACAATCATCGCAGCGAGCAAACCATCGAGCATCGTCATTGTCGATTCGTACAGCCCGCAAGAGCAGATTTACCGCGATCCAGAGTCAGAGGAGGAAGCAGGCTGGGAGGCTGCCATTCGATATCTGGCGACGCCAAGCTATGCAACAAACCACACGATCGACTCGAAAAGGCTGACGCCTCTGCGATCGCCTGTATCGGCGAGTGGCCTAGGCGCAGCTTTCCTATCCAAAGTACGTGCGACACAGAAGCGAGATTCGAGACAAAGTCGCTCTCCCTCCTCTTAGCGCGGCCGTACTGACCCATTTCTGCTCTACTTTGATGATACTACAGGCTGTCATCGACGACCGTCCAGCAATCCTGACGTTGCTGGAGGATGTCAGCTTTCAATCCCACATTCAGCTGTACGGGTCCTTGGCCTCTTCACGTCTGTCTCCCGCCGTCAGCGAGACCTTGAGCACCTTGACGGGCCTTGGAGGCAGCAACGCCGGCTCGCACGCAAAGGCGGGGAACACAGGATCGACGTTGCTCGACTTTGCAACGTCTCGACGGGTCAAGCCAGCGGCCAATTTGGCGGTGCTGGGAGACGGAAACATGTACATCTGAAATCAATCGTGTAGATCGCTCGACGACCGCATCCCGATTGAGATGCCCATTGCAGCCGGAGATTGCTGTTCGGCACACTGAGAAGGGCACGGGATTGTTGTGCCTCTAAGGACATGCACGTTGCGGCCGCAACATGAAAGGCTGATCAAGGCGAGCCAACGGAGCTGAGCTGCTCCATGACGATCCTTTCCTGAAACACACGTGGATCCCAGATCCAAACGTCTGGTCCGACGTTCCACGTTCCCACACAAAGTCAGTTCGGGCCAAGACAGGGATGCGAGTCGGCTGCATCGGCTGCTATGTGCTGCGAGCAGCCGTCATGATTGTGTACCGACCGGATCAGCACAAAGCTTCGGAACAAGGATACCGTGGTTCGATCCGCATTCAATGCACGCACCACAAAATGGCTCTCACGGTTCGGCACCTCTGCGGACAAGCGCAATATCACTTTTGGTCCCAAAAGATAGCGTCGACGGAAGAAGTTCATGTCGCACCACGCAAACTGCAGCTCCTCGTCATGTCACAACTCCGCTCCCTCGCAGCTCTAACAGCGGCGCACCGAACCAACTTTTCCAGTAAAGCGCACGATTACGTCGTCATTGCAATTCAAAACTTTAAAGAGAGACTTCGAACGACAAATCAAAGCAAATTCAACGCGCATTTTCTCGCCGAAGCCGACTCCAAATTGCATGGAACTCATTCAAAAATAAAGCTTTCAGCCAATGACGGAATGATATCCACCTTGAAACCGAGAACAAAGCGTCGGAGATTGGCTCGCAAGGCGGCACTTGGCTTGACTGGCTTCACAGCCTTGACATTGACAGAATCTCGTACAACCGCCGACGTCAGAGAGGGAGACCGACAGTCACCAACTGCATCTAGCCAGCCAAGATAATCATCACTTTGCCGTTCAAGTGTGCATCTGCTGTGTGCTGGTCGTCATGGCTATGACGACGATGCTGCTGCCGTCGACGAGTGCCTGCACCACAAGCATCATCATCATCCGCCCTCTCGGGACACTTGCCGTCGTGCCATGCCCAAGTCACGTCCAACGCACCCTCTCGTCATCATTGCCGTGCCCTCCTCCCACGACTAGACTCCCTCGTTCCTCGTGACGATATCCTTCTGCTCTACTGCTTCCGCAGCCGCAAGCCGAGCCATCCCCCAAGCGATTTCCCTCTCTCCAAGCCGCTTTTCCGCATACCGTTCCACAACACCGCTGACGTTGACCTGCCTCAAGCTTGTCACCTCGTCACACTGTACTGCACTGCAGCCTCTCCTCATAATCCGCATCTGCACTCTGCATTAGACCCTGGCTCGACTCGCTCGACTCTCCCGCTCGCATCCCGGCGATCCTGCTTTGATCTCACTTCTGCCTTGGGTCGGATTACACTCGTCTGCGCGCTACAGCCTCGCTCGCTCTCGCGCACGCTGCAGCAGCCCTTGACGCGGTCGTCGACGTCGTCTTCTTCTTTTCCAACGATCTGGCTCGCTTCGTCCCCTGACCTCATCAGCTTCCCACGCTCGACGTCGTTTGACCTCACTCTGCCTCGCGACACTGCTCAGCCTTCGCTGACTACCGTGCTACACCAGCGACCCCTGCCATCCCGTGACGCTCCTCCAAAAAGTCGCCGTCACTGCCGCCCACTTGCCGTTGCTGCCCCTCGCCGCATACATTCGCTTCGTCATACCCACGCCGAACAGAGCTTACTCGCTCATTCAGCTTTTTCAGCTCGACGACGTCAATCCCTGATTTCAATCCCCGCTCGTGCCTTCGAGCTTGTACCACCTTGTACAAAAGTCCAAGCATCTACATCGCTGCGCTGTTCGACGGTTCGCTCCCTCCTCCATCTCCATCATCCACAGTCTCGGTCACCCCTGTCGTCCCTGTCGTCTTGCCTAGTGTTCGCTCGCTTCCATATCTTCGAGCGACCTCATCGTCTACACTTTCCTTCACCACCACGTCCATCTTCGTTCATCGCCAGCAACCACCGCTTTCGAGAACAGCTCTCATCGGTCCTCGACACCTCGTCTCCTAGCAGCCTCGCCTGTCATCTCATCGCTCCGAATCTTGTTTCTCATCCGGCATCGTCCCAGCTCTAGACATTGCATCCCGGTAATCCAACAACAGACGGATCGGATCTTACTTCTTCAAGCCAGTCCCGGTGCATCCCCGTCTTGACATATTTACTTGCACACAAGCAAGTCCGAATCAGCTTCTATATTCCAACGCCAAGCACCGAATCGACGCGCCCCTACCCCCAGCCGACGTATTCGTTCACCGCCACACCATGCCCGTTTTGGAGCAGTTCAAGAACTTTATCAGACACGGAAAGGGTGCACGGGAAGTGCCAGAAGGTGTAAGTAGTCTACTGCCCGTTGATAAGTGATCGCGGCAATCAGCAGAGTAGCAGCGGCGACGGTCCCACCAGTCCCACCAAGGCATTTCGTTGTTTGCTTGCGACCAGTGGTGCGCCGATCCTCAGCGTGGCGCTCGCACGCGTCTTCGCGAAGAGTCATCGTCATAGGCAAGCGCACGCCAACACTACCAATGCTCTCAGGCCTACCTCGCTCCAGCGCTCATCGCCGCTGCTCGACTGCTATCTGGCGGATCAGATGCCGCCGCTGCTTACTGGCCACTTGATCGTCGTCGACCCGATTGTATGCATAGACATCTGAAACTGACCCTCATACCGTATCATCACCCACAGACCGACCCTTCCGGTGGTCCATCGATCCAAGTCCATCCTGCCGAAGCTACTTCCTCTCGGAATCAGTCATCAACAGCCTCTACTGCTGCCGGCTTTGCGCCCCAAGACAAAGCCCTACCAGTACCAGCGTCCACTTCACCTGCCCACGCTGCCGCCTCTTCGACTGCTTCGACATCAACATCATCAAAGCAACCATCGCAAACACACCAAGATCAACAAGCCCGCGACATGAAGCAGTACGCCAACGGCAACCATCTCTCCGTCCCGGCAGCCGGAGTACACAAGAACAGCAATGGTGCCAACGAGCAGTATCAACGCGAGGCCGAGCGCATCGTTGCCGAAGAGCGCGAGGCTGCAGAAAAGATGCCCTTCTACGAGGGCCTCAGCGAGCGATTCCAGCTCATCAAAAAGATGGGCGACGGCGCCTTCTCCAACGTCTACAAAGCCAGAGATCGACAGACCGGTCAGAAGGTCGCCATCAAGGTCGTTCGCAAGTACGAGTTGAATAGCAACCAGGTGCGTATCCTCCATATCTTGTGATGCGATTATCGCTTCCGTTCCAGGTCTTGTTCTTGTCTCGGTTTCGTGTCGTGGTCTGCTCCGTCTTCGTTTCGTCTTCGTTCCGTGATTCGTTATCCTCTCGAATGATGGCGATGCAGCGTCCCCTCTGGGAACGTTTGTATCGCATCGTCTTGCTTTGCTGCGTACGAGCTGCCGATTTGGAGACCTCTGGCCAAGGTATTCCATTTTGGTAGCAAGGCGCACATATGCATCTACGTCACCGTTGCCCTTGGGTCGCTCACCTGTCTCGGTTTCTCGTCAGACGATGCATCCTCTGAGCAGATGGTCGGTAGATGTTCCGGGATCTGATGGAACGAAGCTGTGTGACGGCTTTCTATACAGAGTCGTCGCCCAGCTTCCGTTCGCTGTCGCCCACTTCGTGCTCCTTGTCTCGTCTCCGCAACCGAATCATGATGCCCTCACTCTGCCTTGACACTCGTGTCGGTAGTTGAACTCACCGAGTCGAAGCCATCAAGGATGCCAACCAAGAGGCAGCAAAAACTAACCATATTTAACCTCTCCCCACCTACTCGATATCACACACCCTTGGATGATGGGTCTGGCTGTCATCCTACTCTCCAACGTCACGCCGTACACTGTACTCACAGGATCGACTTGACCCCAACTTCAGAAAAAAGAACCGCGTCACAGAGGTCCGTTTCATTGTTCTCCCCTGTCCAGCCTCTTTTTCCCCGTCATCCACCACTACTTCCCTTCTTGTTATACGCTACCCCTGTCACGCCCATCCCCACCACCTCACTTTTGCGTCCTGCCTCCAGGACAGATCACACTAGCTCTCTGCGAGTTCGTGATTCCCTTGTTCGCCTCCCCGCCAATCCACTCCACTCCCAAGAACCACTCCATCCCGCAACTCCCTTCTCAACATTTCCGAGGCGTACAGCACTTTCGTCGCTTTGCGGCCGCTCTCATGGCCAGAGGACGGCGTCTTGACCCTCAGGAAATGCTTGCAATCTCTCCCCTGTTGCCCCCCTCACTCCCGTGCTGGATCTCCGACTGCGTTGGCGTCGTGCTGCTCAAAACTCAAAACTGACATTCGAATCTTTCTTGATCTCTGCTTCTATCCACAACAGCGCGCCAACATTCTCAAGGAAGTGCAAATCATGCGAAACCTCAAGCACGAAGGCATCGTCGACCTTCTCTCGTTTTCCGAGTCTCGCGAACACTACTTTTTGGTGCTCGAGCTCATGGAAGGCGGCGAACTGTTCCACCAGATCGTCAAGCTTACCTACTTCAGCGAGGCCCTGTCGCGCCATGTCATTTTGCAGGTGGCTCACGCCATCCGATACTTGCACGAGGAGCGTGGTGTGGTGCACCGAGACATCAAGCCCGAAAACTTGCTGTTCGAGTCGATCAAGATCATCCCGTCCAAGCAGCCGATCCAGCGTCCCTACGACGAGGAGAAGGAAGACGAGGGCGAGTTTATGCCTGGCATCGGCGGTGGTGGAATCGGCCGCGTCAAGCTCGCCGACTTTGGTCTCAGCAAGGTCGTCTGGGAGGAGAGCACCATGACGCCATGCGGTACTGTCGGGTACACGGCTCCCGAGATCGTCAAAGACGAGCGATACTCCAAGTCGGTCGACATGTGGGCGCTCGGATGTGTGCTCTACACACTTCTGTGCGGTTTCCCTCCCTTCTACGACGAGTCGATCTCGGTGCTCACGGAGAAGGTCGCCAAGGGCTACTACACTTTCTTGAGTCCATGGTGGGACGACATTAGCGCTTCGGCCAAGGACCTGATCACGCACTTGCTCTGTGTCGATCCTCGAGAGCGCTACACGATTGACGAGTTCCTGCGTCACCCGTGGTGCAACGTCAAGGACCCCATCCCCGACCTCAACTCGGCCGACATTGCGCTGGCCAAGGCATCCGAGATGCCGCTGGATTCGCCGTTGCTGGCGGCCATGAAGACGGGCAATGCGGCTCGCAGCGCCATGATGTCGCCGGGTATCAACCGACTCAAGGAGGCCTTCGATGTGACGTACGCGGTGCATCGCATGGAGGAAGAGGGCGCGCGCAAGCGTGCTGGCGGCAACAATCCGCTCGGAGAACTCAACGAGGAGGACGAGAGCGACGAGGCGGACGAGGCGCGACGCAAGTACGGCGATGCAGCGGGTCAGGCTGTGGAGAGCCAGCGCGGTGCTCGCAATCACAACACTGCGGCTGCGGCAACGCGGACACAGGCGACGACACAACGCCAGACGCAGACGCAGCCACAGCAGCAGACGCAGCAGTACCAGGGTCGAGGTGGAGCGGATCGTCGGTTGGCCGAGGCAGCGCTTTACGAAGGGCGTGCAGGACAACGCGACCGCGGCCAGAACTCAAACCGCAAGCGCGGATTCGAGCTCAACATGGGCAACGCCACGCTGCTGGGTCGCAGGAACAAGGCGGGCGGTGCAGGCACCCCACGCCTCGACAACTTTGGCAATCCCATCGTGGACGGTGCCCATGCAGCTGGAATCGTCCCCGGCAGCCCGATGCGTGTCGACTGAGCGCCGAACAGCCCTGCAATCTTGTATCTCTTCATTCGTCCGCACTTGATGTTTTGTACGCTTTTTCAATCACGATTTTGTCCCTTTTTGCAACCATTCGCTGCTTGAAGTCATATTCTGTGCGAGCTCCAGATCACGATACTCTCCATATTGAGACTGCGAACGCCTTCGCTGCTTGAAGTCGTCTTCTATGCGCTCTTCCAACCACGATACTATCCTTTTGCAAACTATCGTTTCCACTGCTTGAAGTCGTGTTTTGTTCACTTTCCCAATCACGACTCTCTTCTCCTTCAAGGTAGACGATTGTATACATCGCTTGATGTCCTGTTCTGTACGATCTTCAGATCACGATCTCTTTTCCCGCGCTTACGGAATGTGCGCTCTGCTGGATGTCGTGTTCTGTACCGCTTTGCTAATTCACGAGTTTGTCTCCTTTTGCAACTAACGAACGCATCCACTGCTTGAACTCGTAGTTTTGATTGATCAGTCTGAAGAGCTACAGCCTCTACATCCGCAATGTACGCATTCGACGACCGTTCCTGGCCGAAGCTGTGGTTTTGGTACACGACAGATGCACGTCGATCCTTGGTAGTTCATGTCCTATGTGCGAGGAGGTGGGGGTCCGAGAAAGGCGAGACTGTGTCAATGCAACAGAAGAAGCGAAAGGTTAGGGAAGGTGGCAGTGACTTACTCTTGACTGAATACACCTTACGCAACACAGCTTCTCGTATCCTGTACGTTTCCATTTTGCTATCAAACTATCCACTCGCCATCGAAACCGCCGTCGAATGTCAGCGAACTTCTCTTATCCACTGGACTACGAAGGGCAGGAGACAACTCACTTTGCATCCGCGTACTGATACTTCAACAACCAATCGTACAGCTCTCTGGAAATAGCTTCTCGTTTGTAGTAGAGGTCGTAGATGTAGCGCGATCTGAGGTGGTTGATCTGGATGATGGGCCAGAGGGTTTCGACTTTGCGTGTTCCCTGGGTGTCGGACGTTTCGGCGTTGCGCATCTTGCGGTCGTAGTCGGAGAGGATGGACTCGATTTCGTCGAACCCCTCTGGTGGGGGCGTTGAGCGGGATGTTCGTAGACGTGGCATTGTGACGGTTGCGGCTGTGATGGCGATGGGTAGGGTGAACAGGTGAAGAGGTCGACGGGATGTTGCTGGTTTGGAAAGTGTCAGGTTTTGCGGTTCGGAATTCGGAGTGGAAAACAAGGCTCTGAAATTGACGCGCTGTTGCTTTACGCCATGTGCTGAGTTACGCGAGCAAGAAGTGTGGAGGCATATGTCACTCGAAAGCGCATACAGAACTCAGCTTTCCATTACGGATCAAACACCATCGACTACCATGCTCACCTCGAAACCATGCCGAAACTGATCCGAAAGGGTCAGCGCATACTTCACAAGCGCACTCAGGCTAGAGAGAATGGTGCCGCTCAGCTGCGGTCCACTCGGCGAGCTACAGGATCGAATCGGACTGCGCTCGAAGAGGTAGGATCCGAAGGATCGGTCGAGGACGATGTCCATGACGAGGACGAAGCAGACGGAGAAAGTTCGCTCTTTTTAGGCCGCACATCGGCAACGCCTGCTCCGAGAGTGGCGAGTGGCTTTACGAATGCAATCCCAATCGATCCCACCGAACTGCCGTCAGAGACACGGAGAAAGGCAGCGAGTCGCAACATTGCCAATGCGGTCGAGCAAGCACGTCTACGCAGTCTCAACCACAGAGATCTGCCGAACAGCAGGGCAGCAAAGACAAACGGAAGTCATACAGGAAGCCGAGGTCATGACGCTGAACAGGTCAAGTCAGAAGACGATCAAGAGGCTGGCCAAGACGATCCGCTCCTTACCTCCCCCACACTGGCGCGACGTTCCCTCGCTTCTGCGCCACCTGTGAAGAAAGAACCAGAGATCATCGAGATCAAGTCGGAGGATGAGGGTGACGATGATGACTTCCAAATCGTTTCACCGCCCCCACGCCCGAGAGCGGCGGAGACCGGGCCATCACATTCAACAATTGCACAAGCTGGCGCGACTCCCGCTTCGCCTGCGCCACGAGCCCCCACAGCAATGCTTCCACCAGCTTCACCGCCGAGAGCAGCCACCGAGATGCCAGCCATGCCCGTCACTCCTCCACCGCCTGCAAAGCGAAACCCTCGAGGGCGCAATGCCCGCTCCATGACTGCCAGCGTCGCTGCCTCTTCCTCGACATCGACCCGCGAAGCTTTGGTCGGCAGGCAGCCTTCCGTGGCATTGACCGAAGCGGAGTCTCGCTCCGCTTCCGAAGCCCCTATCCTCGAAAAGCCTGTTCTCGAGCGCACAGATCCCTGGCCAGAACACTTCCTGCAGCTCGAAAAGACGTTTCGCGCTATCAACACCGTCTACTCGTTCTGCTCCGCACGCAAGCACATGGCAATCACGTACGACACCATCAAGACAAGCGTCGAAGGCTTGACCAAACGACCGCTTCAGATCTTTGACATTGCCCAGATCAAGAGCCTGTGCGGTGAGCTCATCCACTTTGCGTACGTCGAGCACGATATGCTTCAGGTACATATGGATAGCAGAGCCAATGCAGAGGACCCCTCGAGCAACACGGTCAAGCGACGTCAGAAGTCGAGCGCCCAGTACAGGGACGAGCTCTACCAAAAGGCAGCAGAGGCGATTGCTTCGGGCGATCCTTACGTGCCAGATGATCCGAACGCTGCGGCCATCGCAGCCATCGCAGCATCAGCATCGGCGTCCACAGCGCCAATGCCAGTCGACTCTGCCGGCTTTGCTACCACGGGAGGCGGATTTCAAGACGTCGCTGACACTGACCTTCTTGGCGGCTCTCGCGGCCCATTGCTAGCTCCCACCGAGCTCGAAGTGCAACAGCTACAAGCCAAGGGAAAGCAACGCGCCAGGGACGAGTACGTGCTGCTTTTTGAGTTCAACGATGGCACCTTGCAAGGTCCCAAGGCAACGGCTCGAGGTCGTCCCGGTATGCGTCGAGGACCGAACAGGAAGCCAGCAAACCCAAACGCCAAACCGAAATCAAATCCAAAACTCTACTCGTTGCCGTCGACAGCATCCATGATGAAGCTCATCAACAAGCGCAACTTCAAATTCGAGCAGGCGGTGCTGGAACTGCTCGCCGCCTGCAAGGCCAAAGACGAAGACCCGGTGCAGTTGCTCATCGATGCGGCTCACGACCACGTGCCTCTCAACCCCGAGACTGCGACCAGGACGGAAGGGGACACTCCGCAAAAGAAGCGCATCCGTCTCGAGTTCCTCATGAAGAATCCGGAACATCGTCCCAGCGTCGCTTCCGTGATCGAGGAGATGAAGATTGCTCCGTGGTGGAAGGATCAGATCGTGCCAGGTGGTCACAAGGTGTTCGACGAACGTCCAGCCAAGACAGGAGAGCTCAACTACTTGCTCAGTCAAGCCGTCGTCAATGCGCTCTACGCCACACACGGTATCGAACAGTTTTACGCGCATCAAGCTGAAGCGCTCAATGCGCTTCACGAGCAGAAGAACGTCATTGTTTCCACCTCGACGTCCTCGGGTAAGTCGCTCATCTACCAGCTTCCCGTACTCGGTGCCATCGAGCAGGATGGTGAAGCCACGGCCATGTTCATTTTCCCGACAAAGGCGTTGGCGCAAGATCAGCGACGATCGCTCCAGGACCTCATTTCCAACTGCGAAGGAGTCGAGGGCGCCATCGTCGCAACGTACGATGGCGACACAGACAAGGATCTGCGCAAAGACATTCGAGAACGCGCCAACGTCATCTTTACCAACCCGGACATGCTGCACCAGTCGATCCTTCCGAGCGAGGATCTGTGGCGACGCTTCCTCCGCAATCTTCGCTACGTCGTCGTCGACGAACTGCACATCTACAATGGTTTGTTCGGAGCCCACGTCAGCTTCATCATGCGTCGATTGCGCCGCATCTGCAGCGCACTGGGCAATCGCACCGTGCAGTTCGTCAGCTGCAGTGCTACGGTCGCCAATCCGAAGGAGCACATGCAGACGCTCTTTGGCGTTGAAGACGTCCACGTCGTCACGGAAGACGGCTCGCCAGCGGGGAGGAAGGAGTGGTTGATCTGGAATCCGCCGTACATTGACGAGTCGGATCCCGCGCAGGGCAGAGTCAGCTCATATGCCGAAGTCAGCAAGGTCTTCCGTCATCTCATTCAACGCGGTGTCCGAACCATCATCTTCACCAAAGTTCGGAGGACCTGCGAGATCGTCATGCGCCAAGTGCGCAACGATCTCTTGCTCGAAGATCGTCCGGATGTAGCCAACAAGGTCATGTCGTACCGGTCCGGCTATTCCCCGCAGGACAGGAGGAAGATCGAACAAGACATGTTCAAAGGACAGCTGCTCGGAATCGTGGCCACCTCGGCGCTCGAGTTGGGTATCGACATCGGTAGCTTGGATGCCGTCATCATGCTAGGCTTCCCGTACTCCATCTCGAGTCTGCGTCAGCAGGCGGGCAGAGCAGGTCGACGTCAGAAGGATTCGCTGTCGGTGCTGATTGGAGATCCGTGGCCGATGGATCAGCACTACATGCATTTTCCGGACGAGATCTTCTTGCAGCCGGACGCGGCGCTGTCGGTGGATCTGGGCAACGACTTCATCCTCGAGTCTCACTTGCAGTGTGCTGCTGAAGAGATGCCCATCACGCTCGAAGACGACGAGCAGTACTTTGGTGCGCACCTCGCCACGCTGTGCGAGACACGACTCGAGTCGGACGGGAGCGGCTTCTTCTACTGTCGCGAAGAGCTGCGACCCAATCCGGCTCGCGATGTCGCCATCCGAGGAGCACGCCAGGACAGCTACTGCTACATCGACGACACGCCCGGTCGCGCCGGTGGAGCCAAGGTGATGGAGGAAGTCGAGATCGAACGCGCCATCTTCGAAGCCTTCGAAGGAGCCGTGTTCATGCACCAGGGTTTGTCCTACATCTGCCGCGAGATCAACCACGAGACACGCATCGCACGCATGGTGCAAGCCGACGTCAACTACCACACGCGACCTCGCGACCACACCAACACCGACGCCATGGAGACGTACCGCATCCGACGCCTACGTGAGTCTCCTTACCTGGCGTACTACGGCAAAGTGACCATCGCCAGCTACGTCTGGGGCTACTTCAAAGTGGATCGACGCGCCAACATCCTCGATGCTGTCGAGGTGGACTGTCCACCGTTCATCCGACACACGCGCGGGCTGTGGATCGACGTGCCCACCTGGCTGGTCGACGCCATGACGGACAAGCGGATCAACGCGGCGGCTGCGATCCACGCTGCGGAGCACGCGCTGCTATCGCTCACGCCCATGTTCGTCGTTTCCGTGGCGGGGGATGTGAGGACCGAGTGCAAGATCGCCGAGAAGGAGTACGCTGCCAAGCCGAGTTCGAGGAAACGTCCTGCGAGGTTGATCTTCTACGACATGCCGGGGCAGAACGGAGGGGTGTGCGCCAAGGCGTTCGAGCATCTGGATGGACTGATACGGATTGCGATCAGTGTGATCGAAGCGTGCCCGTGTACGGAGGGATGTCCGTCGTGCGTGACGAGTCAGACTTGTGCACATGCGAATCTGGTGACGAGTAAAGTGGGTGCGTTGGGCGTGTTGAGGGGGATTGTAGGGAGGGAGCCGTTCGATCCGGATCTGGAGGTGCAGAACGAACCGGGCATCGCACCGTCGCAGCTGGGCGAGAGGGAGTCGGTGCAGGGTACGATCGCAGAGGCGGTGCCGGTGAGAGTGGCGAAGGAGCTGGGTGGAGCGGTGCAGGTGGAGGACGTGGAAGAGGTGTTGCCGCCGAGCCTGCAGGCGTTGGGACGGAGGGCGATGGAAGGGGCGGTGTTGAGGGGCGAGGTGTTCGAAGGTCCTACTGGATCGAACGGGACGGGACCTGGTGGTGGCTTCTTGCCGGGGAAAAGCATGCTCTTTCAAGAATGATGCTTGCGCTGTGACACACACTTCGTCCAATACCTGTCAGCACTTTCAATACGAGAAGTCTCTTCCATTGCACGACTGAAACTAAGAAGAGAGGGTGAGATGGGGAATGTCACCCGACGAATGTGACCTCTTGCTCCTGTGAGCAAGGCGAGCAAGTGGTGTCTGTGCGGGAATCCCTCCAGAAAGACCGCGCCGCTTCCGAACCCTGCCATGAAGGCGGGAAAGGAAGGGGTGAGCAGTCTCGCAGATAGAGGGTACGGCATGATTCTACCCGCTACTAAAAATTGATGGCAACCACATTGGTTCGGCTGTCAACAGAGTGTTAAGCGGGAGGGGTGGGGAAGGGGGAAGAGACTCATGCGCGCAGGTCGGGGAGAGCAACAGTCAGAGGTGGTGCGATCCTTGGAATAGCAGACGTGTGTCACAGACCGGTGCTGCATCTGTCGAGGATGGCGAGAAGGGTTTCGCAGCAAAGTGGGAATGATGATGGTGGTCGAGGAAGAGAAGGAAGGAGAGGAAGACAGCGTTGATCGACTTCACTTCTTCTTTCAATTCTGACACTTTTTTCAGGGTGCGTTCCTTCTCGGCGACTTTACTTGTGTCTGTCGGCCGGCTGCCCGAGTCACTTTGGACCCTGACTGGCTTCCCCACATTCACCTCTTGACTGACTCACCTCTTCAAGCTGCTTTCCTCTCTTTCCTTCCTGTCTTTCCTCCAACGCTCCGTCTCGTCGACCCGTCAACATGCCTCGACAAGCCAAGAAACCTCGCACCACGTACCATCAGTCCGACAACGCCGACGTCTACCGAAAGAATGCGTCGTTCGTCTTCTCCTCCGAATACACCGCGCCCGTCCTGCGCCTTCTCGATCCACAGCCTGGCGAAAGAATCGTCGACCTCGGCTGCGGCACGGGCGAACTTACCATAGAGATCGGTCGCATTCTCGGTTCCACCGGTTGTATCGTCGGTCAAGACGTCAGCAGCGACATGATTATCACGGCCGAACTACAATACATCAAAGAGGCGGGTATGCTCGAATCGAACCTCGCTGCGGCCAACTTTAAAGCGCAAGACGGTCACGACGGTGTATGCTTACCATTCAATAAGCTACCTGTGGATAAGGTGTTTAGCAATGCGGCGCTGCACTGGATGAAGCGTTCGCCGCAGTTGGTGCTTTCGCATGTCTTTGGAGCGCTGAAGCCAGGTGGGCGTTTCGCAGCAGAGCTCGGAGGGCACATGAACTGCGTCGGTGTACGATCGGCGCTCCACCGTGCAATCAGAGCGCGAGGACTGGATCCGGATAGCTTGGATCCGTGGTTCTTTCCCACCGCAGAGCAGTACTCCACCATGCTGCGAAAGGAAGGCTTCGTAGTGGAATCCTGCGAACTTGTTCCGAGACTCACACCGCTACCCAAAAAGACGGGTCTCAAGGGATGGCTCAGCACGTTTGCAGGTCCGTTCCTGAACGCGCTACCGACGATGGCGGAAGAGATCGTGGATGAAGTGGAAGAGGCGCTCAAGGTGGACATGTACGATGAGGGGAGTGGGGTGTGGACGGTTATGTATGTTAGACTGCGCGTGCTGGCTTTCAAACCAGAGTGATGCATATCCTAGCGGGGCTTTGTAACAACGGTAGACATGGTCTTCAGTGTGATGTCGTTGTGGATGTGCAAGACGAGTGAGGCCTGACGATGTCGAGGATCGTCGAGTCTTTCAAATTGTTGAACGGCAACTTGCTCGGAGACTTTTTTGCGGGAGGAATTAGTCGGAAATGCGGGCCAGGAACGGCAATTCTTCTGGAGCGGCGTTTTCACGCTTTCTCACTTTGGCTTTCTCTCTTCATCATAGATCATCCTTCTCTTGCTCGCCCATAGACATCTGCCACACCATCTTCACAGCATCACAATGACTGTCAACGGCAGCGCTCATGGGAACGGCCACGTGGCCTCTTCCTCTCGCAGCCCGCTCCAGCTCGAGCCATCCTCCACCGAGGCAGCTCGGGTTTTGCCACAGGTGCTGGAGCTCGTACAAGGATTCATCGCATCGGGAGAGGAACCGGAATCGTACGTCGCTCCGTGGGGCAGCATCCCGAACTTTCGCAAAGCAATCTCGCTTTCGCTTCCCGACACCGTCCCGCAAAACAACGACGATGCGTTGCTCGAGGCGGTCAAGCTGGTGTTCGACAACTCGGTCAACCCGTGGACCGGTCGCTTCCTGGACAAGCTGTACGCTGCACCAACGCCCGTGGGCATCGCAGCTGACCTCGTACTCAGCGCCGTCAATGCAAATGCGCACGTCATGTCGGCATCACCGGTGCTCAGCCTGGCCGAAGAGAGGTGCGTCGAAGGGCTTTGCGAGGTGTTTGGGTTTACAGAAAAGAAGGCGGACGGGTTGACCATGCCTGGTGGATCGTCGGCGAATACGTTGGCTGTACAGACGGCGTTGGCGAATATCTTTCCGAGGTTTAGGGCGCAGGGGCTGTTGGGAGTGATGCAGCAGTTGATCGAGGAGAAGAGGGCGCCGAGGCCGTTGCTGTTTACCTCGTCGCAGTGCCACTATTCGTTGGATAAAGCGGCCATCTCGGCTGGGCTAGGGTTGGACTCGGTCATCAAGGTCGACTGCGACGCAACCGGCAGAATGGATCCAAATGCACTCGATGCAGCACTCACAGCTGCCAAAGAGTCGGGGGCAGGAACACCCTTCCTCATCAACGCCACTTCCGGTACTACGGTGCTCGGATCGTTCGACCCGCTGCCCGAACTCGCCGCCATCGCACGCAGACACCACTGCTGGTTGCACATCGACGCCTCCTGGGGTGGACCCATTGTGTTTTCGCACATCGCCACCTACTCGGATCTCATGAAGGGCAGCAGTATGGCAGATTCCATCACGATCAACCCGCACAAACTGCTCAACGTCCCGCTCCAGTGCTCCTTCCTCCTGGTACGAGACGCCGACACCTTGTCCGCCAACAGCCTAGACGCCGGATACCTCTTCCACTCCTCGGACCGCCGCGAGAACGCCGCCATGAAGACCATGGGCTGCGGTCGTCGCGGCGACGCGCTCAAGTTCTGGCTCTACTGGGTACGCTACGGCAAGCACGGCTTCGGTCATCACGTCGACGCCGGTCTCCACCTGGCGAGCGAACTGGTCGACTACATCCGTTCCAAACCAGACCAGATCGAACTGGGTCCCTTGGCAGACCCGCTCTTCTTGCAGATCTGCTTCCGACCCCTCCAGCCCGCCAACGGTGTCAGCGACGTCAGTCAGAACGGCAACGTCGTCGCCAAGCAGCTCAGTGGCGCGGAGGTGAAACGCAGATCAGCAGCTACGCAGTTTGTGTATCAGGAACTCAAGACCAGGAGGATGTTTGCGGTGGATTTCGCTCCTTTGCCCAACGGAATCGGTGATTACATCAGGCTGGTGGTGCATCCGAGGACAAGGATGGAGGACCTGAAGATGCTGGTAGACCAGGTGGCGGAGATCGGTCAGTTGTATTGGCAGCAGCAGCAGCAGGCGTGATTGTGTCGGGACCTAAAATTGTTTTGTATGACGCTGAAGGGAGGGAATGCATTCATCAGTGATAGGGACGAGCTCGGGTTGTGGTCCGAGACTGTAGAAGTGTGAGAGGGTGGTTGCGGACCTTCCGACAAGATGGTGGACGTGTGCGTGAGAAAAATGATGTTAGGTTACCCGGACTGCCCTCCACCCTTGAAAATTGTGACAGAGAGAGCACACGCGCTGACGGCGGATCGAAGCGACTCTGGAATTCTGCACGTTCGCAAGCAATCCTCGTTCTCCCTCGCTTTGACCATCCATCATCGCAGCACACGCCGTCCATCTCTGCTACATCGTCTGATCTTCCCTCGAGGCCGGATCCTTCCCATCACTTGTAGCCACACGGATCGAACACGGCCTTGTCGGGACATCTTTTACTCTCATATCACACGCACCTCGGCAGCATCTTACCACCATGTACCGCAGCACACGATCGACCAAGCAGTCGTCCAAACTCAAGATCCTCCCCGAAGAGCCCGAGGACAGCGCTGCCGGCGCTGCCGGTGGAACTAGCGGAGGCAACACCCCTAATACCGCTTCCTCTCCAGTCATCGGGAGCAGCGTCGACGGAGGTCCATCCACCACTGCATCAGGAGGCTATCGACGCAATCCGGCCTACTCTGAGCCACCTGGACCTACCACCACCGCCGCCGCTGTTGCTGCGACAAACTCAGTCGACGACGACGACAGCTCCTCCGACGATGCAGGTGAAGGCGAGGATGAGGAGGCGGTCGAGGTGTACAAGCAGCTGGATCAGATTCCGGAAGGATCGATGAGGAGGGATGCCAGGAGGTTGACAAAGAGATCGCGCGCAAAGCTGCCGAGGGTGACGGCGTATTCGACGGCGACATCGTACAGGATGAGGGAGTTGACAAAGTGGTTGAACGCGAGGAGGTCGAGTCACCAGACCAATGTGTTGACTTTCGACGAGTGTGTCTACACTACATATACCTACAAGCACGTCGACGAGGCGAGAGGGCTGCTACCCTCGAACGCGAATGGGAACAGCAATGGCAAGCACAGGTCACATCGGGACTCTACACCTGCCACGAAAACAGCTGATCTCCTTGGCATCCCTGAACTGAATTCGAACTCACAATCAAACCCACAAGAGGACGGCAATGGGCAGAACTCTACTACCACCGACTCGGCGGCCAAACGCAAACGCTCCCGATTCTCGGTCGACGACATTGTCCCCGAACTCTTCATCATGGACTATGGTACTATCGTCATCTGGGGCATGACGCTACCCGAGGAGAAGCGCTTCCTGCGCGAACTGCGTCGTTTCGAAGTGGAACGTCTCGCCTCGGAAGACGTCGAGTCCGAAGACCTGCACTGGTACCTCGCCGACTACTCGCGCATCTACAACGACGTCATCACCCTCCGTCGCGGGTCCTCGTACATGACCAAGCTCTCTCTCTCGCACGCCCTCGCCCAGTCCACCAAGATCTCCTTCTTTGAGGGGATTATCGACAACACGATCGAATCCACCAAAGACATCCCGCAGTCGATCGCCGAATCCGGCAAGATCGGCATGCCGCCCGCCGAGATCATGAAGCAGATCGGTCACCTCTTCATCCTGCGCATGAACATCCATCTGGTCGGCAGCATCGTCGACTCCCCCGAGATCTTCTGGAGGCAGCCCGATCTTGAACCGCTCTACAGCGCTGCCAGGAGCTACCTCGAGATTCCGCAGCGCATCGATTTGCTGAATACGAGGGTCGAGGTGCTGCAGGACATGCTGCAGCTGTTGAAGGATCAGGTGACCAGCAGTCACAGCGAGTATTTGGAGATCGTCGTGATCCTGTTGATCATGTTGGAGATCGTGCTGGGTGTGGCGACGATGCTGGTGGATTTGTACTTTGGGTAGTAGACAACATCGCATGGTTCAATTTGGGGTGTTTTGATCACAGACACACTGTGTGAAGAGGAAGGAGATTGGGATCGATTTCATTGTAGACGTACGCCTCTCAATCCGAACCTCCAGAAGGCGATTCCCGCCAGAATACCGCCTACATGACCCGCGCTATCCGTTCTACCCTTCGGCGTCTTCGCAGCGTGCCAGAGGTCCCAAGCGAAGATCCCACTGACGCACGCCCACGCCGGCGCCGGGATCACGAAGAAGATCAAAAACGTCGCCGTCGGATGAACACACGCGAACGTAGACATGATCGCATACACCGATCCACTCGCTCCATGGCTGAACCCACTTCCCCCTACACCGCCTCTCTTTTGTTCGGGTGGTACGAGACTTTTCCCGATCATGGATACGATGCTGCTGACGACGCCTGCACCGAAGTACAGCAGCACAAAGGTCGTAGGACCCGTCAGAGCGAGCACGGGTGGAGCCATGAATGCGAGGGAGACCATGTTGACGAGGAAGTGGTTGAGCTGTTCGTGCGAAACGCACGAGGTGAGCATCGTCCACCACCGCCCTTCGCGAACGTTGGTGAGTCCGGAGAGGAAGTTCTTCGAGAGGAAGATGTAAGGGCGTGGATCGGAGAACTTGCGCAGCGATTCCGAGGCGTACATCCAGCTGGCGAAGACGAGGAAGTTGAGGAGCAGGATGGTGTACAGGACAAAGTTGCGCGGGAGGCGGGAGAGGTGCCGGTCGGAGAGCGCGATGAGGGCGGCAATGGTGGACGTGGAAGGGGGGCGCGAGGACGGTGGCGGTGGTGAGGAGGGTGGGGGTTTGGGTCGGTCGAAGAGGGGGGAGGGTCGACGGCGTTCCCGGTTGGTGATTCGTCCTGGTGTATCTTGCGATCGTAGTCGGGGGAAGTTGGAGTAGAGCACGTTGAAGATGCTCGGTGCAGTGGAGGGTGAGGTTGGCGACGGAGTGATGGAGGAGGTGCTGAAGCTGCGTAGGAACGACACTGGCAGCTCGATCTGGCTCTGCTTTACAGTGCTACTGTGATGCGATGCAGAAGGTGTTCGTGGTAATGTTGAAGTTTGTCGGCAGCCGAAGCGAGCGCTCGTCCACGGTGCGCTGCCGTTGACGCTGCGAAATGATGTATGACTTGACCCTGGCGGCGAGCGGCACGCATCCAAAGTCAGCCCCGATCTGGATGAAGACGACATGATTCTGGCCGCGACTGCCGTTCTGACGAGTCTTGTTCGAACTCTGTTGTGCAAAAGGTGGTCCACCGGCGCCCAGGTTGACGTGAGGGGCCGTAATGAGTTTTTCATGACTCTCTCTCGTAACGCTGTCCTGGGCCGTCTACACCAAATCCGACGCCTCAGTGCGTTGAGGTCGTGATGATGGTGTCGGGAGAAGCGACGGCTGGATCGATTGCTGATATAGGGGAAGGAAAGGGAGCGAGCACTTCGGCAAGCAAGAGAGCCCTTTGATTGCTTTGCAATCACACACGCCGAAGCGTGGGAAAGTGGGCCAAAGTGTGGAGGAGAAAGAGTCGCGTGTGTGCCGCCTTGAACCCGATTCTGCACCCGATGCGCGAGGCGGTCGGAAGGGTGTTGGTGTTAATTGCAGACGCGCGCGCTTCGCAACACTTTCAGAGAAGCGACTTTGAGAAGGCAGAAAAAAGTGTTGCTTCTCCTTCTACTCATCCTCGCTCTTCTCCCCACATTCTGCATCAAAGACCGCAGACATGGCAGAAGCATCAACATCATCAGCGACAGCAGAAGCGGGCTCTGCTTCCGGTGTGCCAGAAGCCTCTGCATCGACGTCCACCTTCATCGAATCTTCTTCGGCGTATCACGCTGGGCGATCAGGACGTGGTTCGGATGACGATGACGATGACGACGATGACGAGAAGCTCTTTGCCGAGCTTGACGAGGAACTCGATATGATGCAAGACGAATCCAACTTCGGTCACGGAGGAGGCGATACGGTCGCCAGCTTTGACATGGCTGAGTTCAGAGAGCGCAGGATGGAGGAGCTTCGGCAAGAGTAAGTCGCTCTTGACTCGAGTAGTCATCATTCTCATTCACTGACACCTTGCCTCTCATTACGATCACAGAATCGCAGCACACAAAGCAGCCAGCGACTTCGACGGTTCCCCTCTTTCCTCGCTCCAGCACACCTCCACCGCCTCCATGAAGGGCCTCCTCACCGAGATCACCAACGAAAAGGACCTCATCGGCTTCTCCTCCCACGAGCGTCAGGTCGCCATCCACTTTTTCCACCCCAAATTCCCACGCTGCGCCCTGCTCGATCGCCACCTGCTCGTCCTCGCCCGTCTCCACCCTTCCACGCTGTTCCTCAAAGCAAACGTGCTCAACTGTCCCTTCCTCACAGCAAAACTCAAAGTCTCCGTCCTGCCCTGCCTGATCACCTTCAAGGACGGCATCAGCAAGGACAAGATCGTCGGCTTCGAAGAGCTCGGCAACTCGGACAAGTTTTCCACCGGCGCGTTGGAGTGGAGGCTCGGGCAGAGCGGGATCATCGATCCGAGGGAGAATAGGAAACCGATTCTGGGTTTCAGTGAGAGTAACGGCGGTGGTGATACGGTGGGTAAAGGGGTGGTCGGGGCGAGAAAGGATGATGAGGATGACTTTTGGGATGACGAGTAGAGAGGAGCGAGAGGCAGCGGAGGCAGCCGACTACAGACTTCCAGTCAAAATTGCAGAATCAGGTCAAGGCGGTGTGCGGGATCTTTTGCAGTTTCACCATCACTTGTCAATCGCTATCGTCGCTACGACATCGTTGCTTGCTTCGATGGCAAGAAATGGCTCGAAGTAATCTTCATCGACTACTTCGGAACGCAGAAAAAGCAATCTTTATTGCAGAGCAGTGTCAAGCAGACATGCTTCAGCTTGACATTACAGCATTGTGTACGAACAGACACTTTTACATGGTCTTGACCTCGCTGTCGGGCTCGACGTATTCGCTGCAAACATCCAAATCATTGACGTCAGTATCGTCGCTTCCAGCCATCACTCGTGTAAAGGGACAGTCAAAACTCACATGTGCTCGTGCTTTCCGCCGGCGCTTGCAGTCGTCAGCTCCTGGGCAAAGCTGTCCGGGATCGTAGCGGCGAAGCCCTTCATGATGCTCGAATCAAAGGTCTGCTTGATCGTTCCACCGGCTTGCTGCACCTTGGACTTTTGTTCCTCGATGGCGGATTGAGGCGTTCCATCTTTGAAGATACTGCAGGTAACGCAATTTGAGAGGGCGGGAGCTGATCAGAACAGGAAGCAACCGTGAGATGGCATAGGATGCGATAGACTTACACCATGTAGGGTTTGTGCTCCGCCATTTTGGTAAAAAGGAGGAGGCTGGCGGTGAGTCTGGCAAGGAAGCTGGGAAGAATCTTGGCGATTGGTTCAAAAGAACCGTGGCAGTGATAGATATGGGTAAAGTGTGCTTTGTGAGTGTTTCGCGAGTTCGTGATCGTGGATGGAGAGACAGGGATGGTTCGGGGCTGAGTTCCACGGATAAGGTGGATTCACTCTCAACGCTGCGCTTCTCTCCACTCTCGAGCTGCGTCACTCGGAAATGGACCCTGACAGCGCTCGGACCAGGACGCGCTGAAGCTCAATTTTTCCAGAGAATTTCATTCAAACCTTTTCGAAGTCTCGCTCGCTGTCATACCTACCAACCGAATCATCGTCTCACAGCCACTCACCTCCGAAGCAAATCAGCACAGCCGCTAGAGGGCACTCGACATGGACCAAGATGACGGCACTTCCACGATATCCGCCCTCATAGCCCGCATAGAAGCCTACACCTCCGACCCGAGCTCCTTCACCATACCCGCATCATGGACACGCCACGAGCAATGGCTCCATGATGAAGACCAACGCATTGATGCTGCAACTCAACTCGCAGAAGAGCTGATGGCATTGCAGAGCATCTACACCGATGATGCGGTTCATCTCTTACGAACCATGCCTCTCGACGGCCAGCCTTCTACGTCAAGCGACGAGCAGCCGGGCAAAGAAGACACCGCCGACCCAAACTCCTGGCTACCAGGCTGCAAGCTCACGCTATCCATATCCACCGACGTCGAGACCACAGATGAGGACCCAATACCAATACGACTTGCAGCTACTCTGCCGCCGTTCTACCCGCACAGTGCAAGACCGCCGCAGCTGCAATTGCTGTCCAAGTACGTGGGCGGGTTCAGTGTAGACGCCAAGCTGTTCGGCGAGATATTGAGGGCGTTCTATCATCAGGTGGATCATGCTGATGGAGAAGCAGCTCATGCGGAAGAGACGAGTGCTACTGCAGCGTGGGTTGGAGGGAGCATGGACAAGGGGGTTCAATGGTCCTCTGGAGAAGTGGTGTTGTTCGAAGGGATAGAATGGGTCAAGGAGAAGGTGACGGATTGGTGGAACGGGAAGGAAGCGGAACGTGTCAAAGCCGCTCCTTCTCTCCCTACAAACGACGACTCAACACAACCTGCAAATACCAGCATCACCACCTTCTCCGACGCAACACCAGTCACCCAGCGTCCAAGCCCTTTTGCAGGAACACTCCATCAAACCCAGCCCATCATCGAACGAAAATCCGAATTCATCGGCTACGCCGCCCGTCTCACCTCACCCGACCAAGTCGCATCCGTCCTCTCACGCATTCTCTCCGACAAACGAGTTGCACGAGCCACGCACCCGATTATCAACGCCTGGGTGTGCAGAGCTGCTGACGGCGTGGTGCACCGCGATTGCGACGACGACGGCGAGACCGCGGCGGGTGGAAGGCTGGCGCACCTGCTGAGCATTTTGGAGTTGGAGAATGTGATCGTCGTGGTGACGAGGTGGTACGGTGGTGTGCATTTGGGTCCGGATCGGTTCAAGTTGATCAATAGGGCGGCGAGGGAGGCGTTGGATTTGGGTGGGTTTGTTGGAAAGAATGCGGGTGAGGATGCGGGCAAGGGCAAAGGTATGGGCAAGAGGAACGTATGAAAAGAATACGAGCGATACATTGCATTTGCGAGACTGATTAAGAAGACAGGACGAACAGATAGGAGACAGGAACGAGTACAAATACAGTCTAAGACGAGAGGTTCCAGTAAAGGTTTGCTTTCTTTCAGTGGGGCAAGATACGCGAGCCAGCGATCCCACCTTGCAGCACGGTGATGCGGACGTTCTCGCTAGCCTTTGTCAACGTATCCTGTATCAAGAGCTCCGGAGTGGTAGCTCGACTGGTGCTGATGCTCGAAGCCTGCGAAGAGTCGGGGGAAGATCTGTTGCTGCTGGATGCGGATCCTGTCGGATCTAGCGTGTGGCGCATGCATTCTTCCACCACGTGCTTGTTGATCCGCGCGCCCCAGATGGAGCCGACAAAGCCGTCGGCGATGTTGACTTTGACGGGTGGTCGAGCGAGGGCTAGATCCGAAACTGTCTTCGGATCCAACCCGGTGACCGAACGGAGATTCAGCTCGAGACCGGCCCGCCCGGCACGTTGGTTCGAAATGTGGATCAGCGATTGAGCGAGATCGGCACCTCCGCTTTCGGGAAGCATCACGTTCCACAACTCGAGCGTCTGCAGCTGTCCACATCCCATCAGCCCTTTTGCTAGGGAAGGAATCACCTGATCTACGATGACGATGCTCAAGCCCATGATCGCATTCGCATCGCACCTCGGTGGCACCCATCTAAACTTTTCCACCCTCTCCAACCCTTTCACCGCATCCTCGAACGCTTTCGCTTCCTTCCATCGGAACTCGTCCGACGTGAGAATCTCGGAATGGCGGATACTGAAGAACTCGAGCGAGACATTCCTCACCCGAGGACAGAGAGATAGAGCCTGCGATGCGAGCAACAGTCGATCCCGCGATCTCGCCATTCCCTTGGCACTGGTTGCAAAGGTGCCATCCCCACCACCAGGTACACCGGGGATGTTGATCGTGATGCTGTCGACCGTGTATTCAGGAGAGCAGATGTGAGCTCCTGAGGATGGCGCTACAAAGAGGCATAGCTGGTTGACGGAGTAGATGGATATGGATGCGTAGAGTTTGGGTAGCAAGAGGTTGCGAAACAGTGTACACGTGGTGAGGACCGAGAGGATGTTGTTACTGGAGGTGGACGAGAGGTCGTCTATGTACGACTGTGCGATAAGATGTAGGATCTCGGAAGGCATCGAGGTGAGCTGGAGATGCTCTGACGTGGGTGAGGATGACATGGTTGCTGGGAGTCGGGGTGGCGCTCTGGAAGTAGCTGTCTAGGAATGTAACCTGAAAGAGAGGCGGCCGGGGCGAGAGATTTCTCGCAGCATTGATGATGGTGGCTGCCCGAACGAGCGTGGGGATGACTTTGTAAGGTATCGATGATGGTGGATGTGCCCCAGGACGCATGACCTTGGCATGCTGAGCGACACCTTATCGACTCCAACAAAACCACAGATGTTGCATTTGACAGCTGCAGCGTTGCTCCAGACCCGCATGCATGACGAACCCTGTGTGAAATAATTCTTATCTGCCGCCCCGCATTTCTCCGCAAGGCAGCATGTTACATCGTCTATTCACAATGGAAAATGCGACGAAAAAATGAAATGTTGCGTGCGGAGCTTGGCACCGCTGCGCAGCGACACGGCACAGCTTTGAACTTTTTTCGGTTTCCCTAGCCGAGAGTTTACTTTTTCAGAGTTGGATCGCTGAGACTGAAAGACCAACCAACACAGGGGCTGGCGGCGATTTTTCGGCTTGACGTGCAGGTGTTGGTTGGGTCTTCTCTGCACAGCCAGCAAAGCGTTAGGCGGTGCACAGCATCAAGCAAGTTTGTGCACATGATGCAGCAAGGCTCACTCCACGCAACTCCGCTACCCTGTGCGGCAGCTCAACTCTATTCCCAAGCGCCGCTGTTGCTTGTTCGGGAAGGAGCTCCATCTCGACAGGTTCGTCCCCACCACCATCCTCGACGTCATCACCATTCGTATCACGCAGCCTGCCTTGCTTCTGTCTTGAAGCACGAGCAAGCCGCAACACATCTTACACAACCATGCCGTCTCTCCTGGAGCGGGCCGCTTCCAACGGCACCTCACGCATCGACCCCACACATGACCAACGCAACACCATCATTGTCGCCTGCTGCTACGCCGTCGCCATCGTCATCCTCTGGAACGTACCAATCCTCAACTACCTCCTCTATCCCTTCAAACTGCTCACCGTCGGCTTCCACGAATTCTCGCACGCAGCCGTTGGGCTGTGCACGGGAGCGAAGATCGAATCCATCACACTCGAACCCAACGAAGGTGGTGCTACACGGATGCGCGGTGGAATCCCGTGGCTCACCCTCCCCGCCGGCTACCTTGGATCGTCTGTTATCGGAGCAGCTCTCATCGCATGTGGGTTCGACGAACGTGCCTCCAAAGTCGCCAGTATCGTCGTCGGCGTGTTCTTCTTGTTCACCTTGTGGTGGGCGAGGAGGGACTGGTTGACCTGGGTGCTGATCCTCGTCATGTGCGGTCTTTTCGTGCTCTTCTGGTTGGTGGCGGGCAGCATCGCGTTGAGGTACTTTGTACTCTTCATCGGTGTCATGAACTGCCTCTACTCGGTGTGGGACATCTGCGACGACCTCATCTTCCGAAAGGTCAACGAGTCGGACGCAAGTGCGTTCAGCAAAGTCGTAGGTGGTGCACCGCAGTTCTGGGGAGTCGTGTGGCTGTTGATCTCGATAGCCTTCTTCGGCGCAGGGATCGTGGTGGGCATCCTGGCTTTCAAGACGCCCGTGGCACAACAGCAGGCGGACAACTTTTTGGACGTCAACCTCAAACGTTCCGTCCTGCTCTCCGAGTTTGGCTTGTAGGAGGTAGAACAACTCAGAACAAGGACAATATGTGCTCGACATCTGAATGTAATGCAATGAATCTGTACAATGGATCGTGTGCATCTATGGTTGCTGGCGTGTCGTCTATTGTTGGGGGTATATGTGGTGTCGCGGAGAGTGAATTGCTGCCTACTTGACGAGCTCATCAACGTTGACGTTGGACTTGCCCGCCGATGCGTCACCGCTGTTGTTGACCGGCTGGACCGCTTCCTCCAGCTCCTTGAGATGGTCCACGTTGGACCACTGCAATACGACTCCGATCGCTTTGCCGTAGCCGATATCGGTCTCCACTGTCTTGCCATCCGGCGCTTTGATGGTATCTTCTTGGAGTTGTCTCTTGCCCTCTGGATCGCGGTTGAACTCTTGTTCTGTCTTGTTGACCAAAACTTCCAGTTCGGCTGTCGCCTGGGTTGACGATGTATTGCTGGCCTTGGCGTGGGTCAGCAGCTTCTTCTGCAGTTGGTGGTCGAGGATAAATTGGGCTCCCTGGACGCCGAGATGGATGGGTCGAATAGACCATCGCGCTTTGCGGGAAGGGTGCCCAGGCTGTACTGTCGATTCCGATGTTCTGATGACTGGAACGAGGAGCTCGGTGATCGAGCAATTCCAGAATCGTGCTGGGGTGACGTCGGTGGGTACGATAGCGTATCTCCCTGGCACGAGCACCTGATTCATCAACGCGCTGATGGCCGCGCCGTGTGAAACCAACACCACCGTCTCTGTTCTCTCTGACACCTCGTCCAGCTCCGCTGTCACAGTCCGGGTAACGAGGTCGTTCCAGAAGCTGGCTAGCCTCTCGCTGAACGGCTCCATACGCTCGATTCCTTCGGTATCTTCCGGCTTTTTAGAGCCGCCATTGTACACTTTGCCCTCCAACACTCCGAACGCACGCTCTTTGAGTCGATCGTCGAGCTCCAACTCCAATGGCTCCTGATGCCGTGTCGATTGACGCTGGTACTTGTGAATAGCTTTCGCCGTGTCAGCGGCTCTCCTGAGCGGTGACGCGATGATACGATCGATATGGGTGGTACTGAGGAATTGACCTGTGACATCGGCCTGCTGTCGGCCGCGAGCGTTGAGATCAGTGTCGAGCTGTCCTTGGATGATTCGCTCTACATTCTCGCGCGTTTCGCCGTGTCGAACGATGAGCACTCGCAGCTTGGTCGGCGGTGGTGATTTGGTAGAGGTCATGGTGGACGGCCGACTGTACATCGGCTAAGTCTGTGCTGCAGATCGAGTGGCGAAGAGTGAGGGCAAGAAGCATCGAAGCAGTGAAGCGGTGGAGCAGTTCGGTTCTTCCGAAGTCCGTGCCCTTCAGAGTCACAAATCTTGAGGACCTCGTCTGAACTGCGAATCGGCCTGTTCGTGTCACCCGATCGATTCCTGACAGGGGAACCCTCAAGCGTGAAATTCCACACGCTGCTGTGCACAAACCGCGTGTTTACTCGGCTCTGCATCGTGAAGAGTTTGCGGCATCTGCTTGCCGAAGTGTCTTCCGGCATGCTCGCGAATCACAACTTCGGACTCACCGTAAGGCGAAGAGCTCCGTCCCTTCAAAGCACCAAGCAACGTGCCCCAAACGCCACGCACACTGCCACCGGCGCCTAAATTGTTGCTCCCTTAGACATTGAGTCAGTCCTCCTTTGCTTGTCGAAGAATGCTAGGTTCAGAATTCGGGGGCTTCTTACTTCGACTGAGCAGGTCCAACCGATCCGGTGGCTTAGCCGCTGACGCCAACGGACGGTTCAGATGATCTGCGCCTGCAAGCGCGTTCGGTAGTTATCGCCGAGGCTCGAGGCTGGGCGTCCGAGAATGCGAACTGCCACCGTTCCGTCACACGAGAGAGAGTTCGAAGGAGAGAAAACAGAATTTCCATTAAAATAGAATTTGTGCGTCCCCGACGTGCATTTGCAGATCTTTCGCTTTCGTACTCCTTTTTGCCGAGACCTTTGCCGAAATCATGCTATTCGAGACATACGGCAGCTCGAGCTATCCCGCCACAAGCACATGTTCAACATGCTGCTGTTCGCTCGGACTCTTCCGAGCACCGTTTGTCGCCGCAATGTGGCAAGCATATATATGTATATCAGACCTGCGGTGTTGCCGTAGCTTCCTCCCTCTTGAATGATCTGCTAAGTTCTTGAAACCCCCTCCTTCGAGCTTCCCCTGCTCTCACACACGAACATGCTTGCTTCAGCATCCAGAACCGTAGCTAGCGCGGCTTTGCTCGCTTCCGCCCTGGCCTCCACCGCAGCAGCCGCCACTTGGACCCAGAGCGCCGTCGTCAAAGGAAATGACTTCTTCAACGATTTCGACTGGTTTACGGACAAGGACCCCACCAACGGTCTCGTCAACTATCAGTCTCAGTCCAATGCACGAGCTCAGAACCTCTCCTTTGTCGATGCAGACGATCACTTTGTCATGGCTGTCTCTACTGTTCCTACCGCTTTGGAAGGTAGGAACAGCGTGAGGATCACCTCCAAGCAGAGCTACTCGGACGGCGTCTACGTCCTTAACGTCACCCACGTCCCAATTGGCTGTGCTACCTGGCCTGCCTTCTGGACCGTCACCGAGAACATCAATTCGTGGCCCAACGGAGGAGAGATCGACATCATGGAGAACGCAAACGACGAGTATCCAGCCAACCTCGTTTCGGTCCACACCAACACCTCGTGCACCATTCCCACCACTATCTCGGGTCAATCGGGTACGGTGGCATACAGCAACTGCTCCGCATTCGCTCCTTCCAATCCAGGATGTCGTGTCGAGACCAACGGCACCTCCACCCCCACCTGGGGTCGTGCACTTAACCGCGCTGGAGGAGGCATCATCGCCATGGAACGCTCCTTCGGCACCACCGGCAAAGGCGTTCGTGTCTGGTACTTCCCCAACAACAACCCTTCCGGCATCCCTTCCGACCTCTCCGCTTCCAGTACATCGCTCAACACAGACGCATGGCCAACGCCAAACGCGTACCTTCCTATCTCGTCTTGTCATGCCGACTTTGAACCCCACAACATCATCTTCGACATCACCCTGTGCGGTGACTGGGCCGGCAACACGTATGCTCAGACTAGCTGCAGTGCTGGCCAGTATCCCGCTTGCAGCGATGCAGTGGCGTACGGCGGAAAGAGCTTCAACCAGTCGTATTGGGAAGTCGAGTCGCTTCGTCTCTACACAAACGGCGGTGGTTCGGCAAATGCTGCTGTCTCACCACAGGCTGCTACGAGCAGTCAGCAGACCACAGCGTCGTCCGCAGACTCGATGCAAAAGCGCTCTTGGCTCGTTGCTGGCGCCGCTGCACTGGTCGGATCAGTTGCGTTTGTCGCTGCGTTGTAAGACGGACCGACATGCATGATAATTTACGATCGGAACCTGCTCATATAGATCTCGTCGCGATGGAACCGCTGCGATCGCATGTACAATACACCGTCACTTCTTCAACCTGAAATCGTCTCTACATCAGTGCGCCATCTCTGCAGCCTCCACGAAACCTTCGGGCCAATGTTTCTGAAGATAATAGGCCGCATCCCACGCGGGACCCTTCCAACTTGCACACAGCCTCTGCAAATGTCTCAACGTTTCCCCCTCGTAGCTCCGATCCAACTTCGCAAAACCATACAGCACCACTGTACTCCTGTACTTGTCCTTCAAAATCGGTGACCAGAGCGACACAATCTGTCGGTCATCCTCCAGCTTTCCCGTCACCTCTTGCAGCAACCCCATCCGCTTGGTCGCTTCTTCATGCTGCGCCAACATGAGACTTAGTCCGTGCTCGGTTCTCGGAGGCAATACGATCAACTGTTTGCGATCCGAGAAAATTGTCAACAGAAGATCCCAACTGAGCCTCGGAGAGTTGACGGGTAGGAACGTCAGATGGTTCAGAAAGTACTCCTCGTTGAGGTAGGCCGTGTTGCGGATGCTGTTGAGGTAGACAAACATTCGATTTCGTTCCGTCTTCCAGGGCAGATCCTTGAGCTTGACAACTAAGCCCGTATGAAGACGTCGCATGAAATGCGTCGATGTTGTTAAACGCTGGGCCTCCGTGAGGGGCTCGGAGGAAGAAGGCAAGGTCCGTACTAACATCGATGAGTGATGATCGTTGAGATCGACCATGTCTTTTGCGACGAAGATACGCGGCTTGTAAGGCGATTGTGTATCGACCCCGTCAAATTTGAGCCGAGGATTTCCAAGCGCCTTGCGCATATCCTCCTCCCATTCCAGTCTGGCTTCTCTGGTGAACCTCAGATCAGCGAGCATCTTTTTCAGGATGTCCGATCCCATATCATCCGGAGAGGAGTGATCGGGAAGCGTAGCAGGCTGAGTGACGATTGCCGATCCACCAGGCTTGGATGAATCGAGGATCGAATCAGGCTGCCTGACCGTTGGCGATCGGCGGCGCTCGAATGAATCGAAGATCCGAACAGGCTGTATGCTGGCTGTTGACCCCTCAGTCGCGGATGAGTCGAGGATCGAAGCAGGCCGCATCCACGTGTAGCTTGGCAAATTTCTCGCACCTTCAACGCTCTGAGTTGGTGCTCGAGTAAGCGAATCGTCATGTGGTGTAAATCGAAGCGGTGCTTTTGCGGTCGCAACTTTCTGACCACTGTAAGAAGGGCTGTTGGGCGGTGTAGTGGGATCAACAGCTTCGACCTGGCTCCTCAGTGGCTGTATCGGTCTTGCTTCTTCCCTATCCTGAAACACGGTCCCATGCCAGACCCAATTTGATTGTTGGCCCGCAGAGCTTCCAGGTCCTTGATATGAAAGACCGCTCGGAGTGAAGGACATATCGTCCAGCGCGTTGGGACTCCAAGCTTGCATCGGTTGGAAATGCTGCCAGTCAAATCCATGGTTAACCACGTTGGGACTTTCCTCGTGATCAAGCAAACCGTTGTTCGCGTCTCGTCCAACGGGGCTTGACGTTGCGGTTAGACACAGATTGACCCACGAGGACCATCGGATCGCGTCAAAAGGAGTCATGGTGCCCTTGTTGCAGCAACGACAGACGGCTCCAAGACAGGCTCTTTTAAGCAGGGCATCCAAACACTCTCAGGACGAGTTGATCAGTGAATCTCCTGTTCATCAGGAAGCACTGTAATTTGTCAACACCGTTGACGATTCCACTCTCTGCAGCCTCATGTTACATCAAGTTCGTTGAAATGAGTTCATCATTGTCTGTCGACCCGGTCGTCGGAGGCAAGTTGGCCGGTAGGCGACAACAGCGGAAATGAAAGTGTTCCGTATTGATGTGAGGGCACCACAGACGACTTACTCCTTCACAATTGACAAAGCGCAACGCCCCGCTACTACCGGGCGCAGTCCGACTGTAGCCTGACGAGCACCATCGTTGGTGGCTCTCCAGTACTGTGAAGTTCTGATTCGAGGATCGAGCGCCGTGATACAGTAAACTTCAAGCTGTTCAACGTCAAGTCAGTGGACAATGGTCGGCGTGGAGGCAAAATGAATCATGTTCGACGACAACATAGATGGCCCACATTTCACTCTACACAAGATGGCCGGCTCCGCGCAAGTCGGCAATATCGCGGGTGGCGGTGTAAGCGATCTTGTTCGTCTCGGCGGTCTTCTGTAGGGCTTCCAGCCTCCCAAGAACCTGCGTTACGCGATCTTGCTTGATCTGTCCCACGCCATATAGTATGAAAGTATACCTCTCCCCATCGAACAGCGCCGGAGACCACACCGAGACTGACTGTTCCAAATCAGTGGTTCCCGTCATCCTCGCTACGAATGCGCCGACTCCATTCTGAGGTCGATCATGACGATCAAGTATCAGCGCCATATCGTGTCCGTCGCTCGGCGGGAGAACGTATTGAACTTGTCTTCCCAAATGAAGCTTGTTCAACCCGGTCCAATGCAACTCGTTCTCGTTGATGGGGAGCCATCTAACAAGATTATTAAAATAATGCTGGTTGATGTAAGCACGTTTGGCATCGCTGTTCAGATAGACGTAGAGTCGCTTCCATTGGCTTCCAGTGACCAGCTGCGACAACCGCTGCACTTTCAGCTGCTTAGAGAGGGAGAGGAAGTGTCCCCACGTTAAAAGCCCATAGGAATCCATCTGCCAAGATCGAGGTACGGACGCGGCCGACGGCATCGCTTGAGTTGGGTCAGTGTACTTGGCGATAAACACCCTGTCGGTGATTCCCGCAGGCTGCTGTATGGGCAAGATCTTTACGTCTTCGCTTCCGAGAACCTCTCGCATACGGTGCTGCCATTTGTCTGCATTCGTTGCGCTGCCAGAGAAGGCAGTCCGCTTATTGGTGTTAAGTATCACGCGATTCAGCTCTGCCCGCGCCCGCGCCATTCGAGCCGCTGGTGTTTTTTGAATTTTATGAAGCTGTCTCTCTTCAGCTAAGACAGACGGGTCTGACGACAGCGGCTCAGCCGGCATCGGATCAGCCCCTTGATTAGACGAAGACGTACCGACATGGCCTGACCGTTCCTCGTGCTGACCTTCTTTCAACAATGCGTGCGATTTGAAAGACTCGCCGGCTTGACCGCGGTTTGGGACAAGTGGTCCCATGAGAGGAAGTGGTGCTGGCTGCTGAGAACGACCAGAATGGAGCTGGGCGTCGACGCCGCGATCGAGGCTCGTCGGAACGAGGCTGGTTGCGAAATTGTCGTGAATCGTCATTTCATTCTGTGGACCAAGGGCCTCGTGATCCGGCGCCGTCGAAGCACCGGCTTCGTGTGGTATGTCCTTCCAGCCCGAGTCTCGCAATCCGAAGATGCCGGTCTGAGGTACGGAAGGGCTGTCAAACCACTCTCGAGTCCAGGGGTCAGGGCTGAAAGGTCGCTTGGTCCCAGACGAAGAACTTCCATCACTGCTCCATGGGATGACGTTGCTAGAGAAACTACTTTCTGCGAGTCCGCTGGTTGGCGAGCGCCCTACTTCCCAGTCCCTATCAGAACCAGTTGGTCTACAGAGCACGCGTGATGCCAATGTGTTGATGCATGCCGCAAGGAGGAAAGGTCGCAGAAGCATCCTTTGGAAGTTGACGTTGACGGTGCCTTTGAGAAAGATAAGCTTCCAGTCCGGTTTGACCTCACCCTTATATGCTTTGCCCAAGAGGAATGTCCGCAACGTACCCAGATGAGACCGAGCGTCGACACCGAATAAGGCGTTGAACCAAGATCGGATTGCGCGAGTGTGCAGCCGAAAGTTGCTTGACAACGGGGTTCAGCTATGAACATGCTCATCGCAACGTCGTCTCATGGCGAAAGAAAGCGAGCATCGTTTGACACTGTCAGAGTAAGGTTGCGGAAGTGCGAAGCATGGTGCGGTACTTTGATGCCAACTTTCATCCTCATTCTCGACCACCCTGCCGGAACTAGCAAAGGCATGTGCCGGCTGACCTAAGGCATTTGGCCGCTCTTTCCCTCGCTTGGATCTGTGGCTGTATCTGATAAAACGCCAGCACGTCGCAACATTTGTTGCGGGCATGGATCAGAAGTACAGTCATTCGTTTCTTTCGTGGGGAGGACTGTCCTCTCTTGATATTTGTGAATGTCGTATCAACTCCAATGCCAGCGCTTTGGGCCTACCTTGATGGCACATGCCCATAGTGGCATCAAAGTCGCTGTTCTCGTAGGATTCCTTACTTCCTTGACTCAACGCAATCCTGTCATTCGCGATCATGATATTGACGCGACTCTTCCACAGCTTCATGTAGACCCACTCAAATTCATCAGAGTCCGGTCCCGCTTGGTCGCTCTCGGTCAAGTAATGTGTACTGACCGAAAGCAACCACGGTGGCTTCCCCAAGAATGAGTGGGACTTGGTTCACAAGTGGGACACAGTATCACTTGAGGTGCTCCCTCCTATGCAGATACCCTAAAGTTCCGAGTCAACGGCACTTGTCGAGATGTGCTCTTCTGACACCATCCATGAATCACACCGACAGCCAGATGGTGTCTCTTATTCGCTCCTTGATCTGCACGGCGGCCTTCAGCTTAGGTCTTGCCTTCGCAGCTCCAATGGAACATGGGGATGGCAACCGGGACTGGAGCCACTACTTCCAAGGAGGCCTTTCAGATGCAATGTTTGACTGGCCAGCAGAAAGCAGCACAAGCGATATGGGAGATTTCTGGACGAGTGATGCCCCTGCTTCTAGCTTTGTGTCCCCGCACCAAGAGTCTTTCGACCGGGCACCTGCCTTGCCCTTGCCAATGGACCAAAGCAAAGCAGATCCTTATCATTCACGGGGGCATACTCCGGCTGATGTGGGGCCAATCGAAACAACAGCGGATAATCCGTCTCCGCAGGAACAGGCTACGACAACGATGGCCCCTGAGAGCGATGACTCAAGATCCATGGAGATAAAGCGTCCTTTGCCGATGCCAGAAACCGAGGGCTCGCGGTTCAAGAAACGGGAGCGAGACGAGCTTCGCGCTTTCAAAACGAGAACTGAAACGCTGCGCTCCAAAGTGGATTCGCCCATGCCCGCAGTCTTCTCGGAGCTCAAACGTTTTCGCCCTCTAATCCAGGACGGCATAGGCGGCAAGATAGTGTTCAAAGAGCACGAGGACGTCCATGCACACATCAATTCCTTCTTCGCCAACAAAGTTAATTGGGTAGGCCTCGACAAGATCCCGATCATGCTACCCTCTAATTGGAGAGCACGAAGTCCTATCAAGCACACAAGCTTTCGACTCCCTCCAGCTATCACTGCGGCCATACGAGGGGAACGCCTCGAAGTCTATGTGACTGAGCACAACTTGGTAAGAACTTCGAAATTTCAGAATCTGAAGAACAGTCCTCTTCAAGACAAGGTTCATCTTATGTTTTGGGGGCTGCGGAAGGATTTGAAAGATGTAGATGCCGTCACCTTTCTCGGTTCCGGCTATATCAACAAGGAGGACAACGGGGCTGTGACCGAGAGCCTCCGTCGCGCGCTTGAGGCGGCAAAAATGCGTATCTAGGGGTCGTGCTTAGCCGAATTCGCAACGGCCTCACGAAATTGTTTCGCTCTTCGCCGTGACAGGTATCAGATTGTAAGTCTTAACTCATCGACGATACCAAGGCCCTTGTTACCACCGCCACCAAAGGGCATCTGTGTGACAGATCATTACGTTTACGAGTGGCATCAAGCTGGTCATGATGCCGCCACATGAAGCTGAGACTGTGGTTCTGATTCGTCGAGATGTCGACTCTTGAGGCCGCACCCGGTTCACCTGGCTATCTCAAATGTCTGCGTCTGAGTTACGTTTATAAAGCTCAACGCTCTGTCAATCTATATGTGTCGGTATCAAAAAAGGGACTTCGACCAAGTTGGGCGCTTGCAATCGCCACTAGCGCCATGAGGATCTCTTTGTTGACGATCGCTACCTTCGCGCTGCTCCTAGGCTACCGGTTCGGTCTGGTGTCTTCCGTAGGTCCTGGCTTTGTAGAAAATGGCCTGACTCGTTTTGTGGAGCAACTACCTCTGGAGCATCTACCTGCCGGGGAAGATACAAGCACAGACCTCCATGCATTCGATCCAAGGAGTTACTTCGCAGTGCCTGGCTCCTCGTCTATCAACACGGTGATTCCAGTCCACCAGCAAGCTTTGAACACAGGTGAGCTTGACCTTAGGCTCACTCAATACCGTTTCAGTTCAAGCAGCAACCTTCCCGTGCATGGCTTCCCTTTGCCTTTGGAGAATCCTCGGAGCCACTGGCAAACGTCCTACACACGTGTGCATCATGATGGTAGGCTCGCATCTTCTAATCACGAGCCGATCCCCAACGTCCTGCTTACACCGAATGCTCCGCGGCATATCAGCAATCTGGCCTCGTTCCAAAGTCAAACGTGGTCCCCGACGTCTTTTCTAAAGATAGATTCGGCATTTCCGGACCCGCTGCTCCAACAGAATGCACAGGAAGGGCACCAAGGACTCGCCATCAGTCAAGGTACCGATACACATGCCACCTCGGGCGCGATTCCCTCAGCGAAACGGTGGCGGAGAAATGGAGCCGCTTGGAGTGAAGAACAAAAGGCCCGCTGGGTCCGGCAGAGGATGTCTTACAGTAAGCAGGAGCCTCAGTATCTGCGCTCGCTTCCCTACGTCTTTCCCGATCAGCCTTGGTTGAAACGTGCTAAAATGCAAGTGTGGGAGAGGCCTTTCGTGCAGCAATACGTTGCGTCGCAAGCTTTCGACGATCAGCTCACATGGGTAAGTTTGAAAGATCTTCCTCGAATCCGCAGGATCTTGCGTAAGAGGAGCCCTGCTGTCAGGCCCAGCCGCATGCTTCCCTCTGTCAGCATATCGCCGGCCGAACCAGTAAAGGAGATGGTGGAAGGAGTCCCACACAACGTGTACCTCACAGACCACGGCTATAGAGGGAGATATAGGGATGGAAAGGTCGCGGGAACCCAACTCGAGTCCAGACCATACTACGGTTTTTGGGCTCTGCCAAAACATCCCGCCGAAGACAACTTTATGTACTTCCTCGGCATGGGCTATCTGGAGGTAGACCCGAAGCCTTATCCGGTACAGGCGATCCCATATGATGCTTCAAGAAGCCTAAGGGAGGGCACCTCTTTTTGGTAGATACTCTCAAGTGTGCAGTTTCTTGGCATTCGTCGGTTCTGCAATGCAAAGTTGTCGACGAAGGAGTTCCAACGCTCACCTCGGAGCCTCTACATTTGACAGAAGCTACTCGGCACTTTGGTGTGGATGACAGGCCGATTGGCTCGTAGACGTGCCTGCAACTCGGCAAGTGAGCAATCTATCCGCCCCTTCATGACGTCCAACACAGCTTGCGGCCTGTTACGAGAGCGCACTTGGCACGAATGAAGTTCCTGGGCGTTGCGAGACGTGGGATGGGCGAAGCCGATGAGCTGAGGCTGGGCGGAATTTGATGATGTTGTCAGAAATACCAGGCGATATGAGATCACAGCCACGACAACGTGTTTCGCCAATAGACAGGTTGACGAGGCTGCGCAAGGCGTGGGAATGAGTGAGATGAACAGATGAGACGCTGCTCGCTGCCTGCTCAGGGACGGCGCACTGCACAGTCGTCCTGTTTGGGTCAGGCCTTGCGTGAGACTGACGCTTCTTCCTGTCTTCCCACGTCGTTGAAGCTGCACCCTTCCGACATGCTCCTTCAATCAGAATGCCCCCTTCAAACGCTAGCGGCCATTGTACTCGCTGTCAGAATCGGCTTTGTTCATGGTCTACCTGCAGGAACTGAACCGACACAAAGCGCCGAGCAGCTCAGCGCCTCGCCATCATCGTGGCATCCGAGCGCTGTCTCTCCGCCCGGATTGCAGAGACAGAATCAGATTTCGCCGGCTTGGCGGGCACTTCAAGGCGCTCGTGATCCGTCCTCCCTAGCTGTGGATGATTCTCGTTCTATGCAGCCTGAATCCGACTATCACCAGGCACATTCTGTTAGCGGAGACCGCCATGCCGAGAACAGTGCCTTTGCTTTTGCCGACTCGCTACTGGTCGACCCGTATGAATCAGAAGCAGAAACGTCTTTTACTGGTACTAAACCTCCTTCGAACGAGGCCAGTATGCAGCACGTACAGCCTTACACGACTCATCAAGACAGCCATGCCGTTGGTCCGGAAGCCTTTGTAGCTCAAGGACAGGCCGTAGCTCAATCTTCCTCAGGCTCGTCTAGCGGATCAGATGCTCATAGTCTGATCGCGGCTTCGATGAGAAGGCTGAATCCAAACGGCGGCACCATGGTTGTGCCGCGCGACACTTCCAATCGATATTGGACGGTGAGAAAGCTGAAGGAATTTGGAGACAGTCCGGTTCGCAAAAGGTTCCGAGAGCCCGACATTCTCAAGATGCTCGAATACAGCCTTCCGACGATTCAGGTCGATGCAGCGAGACGATTCAGGTATCGTGAGTCCGGAGACGAAGCGCGCAACGAGATCAACTCTCGCGTCTTTAACAATAGGCTGGTATGGGCCGATATGATCGATATGAGTGCTCAGGCTAAGAGGAGTCACAGAAAGATGGCATTCGGTCCTAGCCGGGTGCTGCCATTTGTGAAGTTACCTACACCATCAGAAAGTCGTATGGAGCAAAAACATCTGAGAGAGGTCAGAATGACTGTTCATGGTGCTGGTGTAGACAGCAAGACATGGCCTCGAGATCATCCATTTGTGGGACAAACTTACATGGAGTTCTTCTCGATGCCTGATCTGCGATCACCGGAGGATCAGTCAACCATCATTCAACGGCACGGAGTGGGATACTTGGATACCGCTTATCACGGCGAAGTTGATGGATTCTTGCTTTCGGCTCTCAAGAAAGTGTGAACCAAGGCAGCCTGCGCCTCCTCTAGGCTGTTTCCTGTGTAGTGTTCCGATCGTTGCGAAAGAATGCATTTTACGTCATCAAGACAGCTTGATTGAGAATCGCTTCTTCGGCGTCAGCTCTTTGACGCCCGTCCAGAAACTGGCTAGACGGTCTCAACTGCATTTCTTTGGTTGGCGAACACCATGTTGTGGGATCAATTACAGTCCAGGCTGACTACATTTCGGACCTTTTGGTTGCACTTTGCTCTCAGAACTACCAATTTCACCGCTGTGCTTTTTGCGTAGTGCTGGGTGGGTAAGTAGAAAAGTAACAGTGAAGTCAGCTTGTAGTACCACTCTGATCCCCACTGAATATCAACTCTTTTCATAACTAGGATGTCGTTGTGCCGGTCACTTGATTAATGCCGAGAAGGGTCGTCTGCGCGATACCAATAGGAATGCAGACAGATACGACCCACTATTCCCACCGACAAGCATGATACTGAACAATTGTCCTCCTCCGAACAGGCGGAATGCACGTCTTGACGAAGCAAATGAAGTTGGTGTTGTCAGGTCTGAAGAGCCAAGCTTTGCTCCACGAACCTTAAAAGCTTCAACGTCCCGGGAGGTTTCGCTTTACAAACATCATCCAACTACGTCTTTGTGAGCGTTTATCTAGATCTTCTCTCTTCAAGTATGCTTTATCGGTCGAATCTCGTTATTTTGATCGTCGCTGCCATCATTGTAGCTGTATCGTGCCTCCCGATCGGTGACTCACCAGCTCGGACAAATACCCCTTCTTCGGTCGTCGATTATCACAGTCCAGGCTCTTTTGGAACCCCTGCATCACCAGCAAGCAGCGATTTCGATCTTGATCAGGATTTACTGGACTCTATCCTGTCCAGCCTCGATTCGGACGGGATTTTCCACCACAACACTCTTCCAAGTGATGTCGGGGAACGCGGGCCTACATTGTCACAGTGGCAAGAGAAAGCTGGAATGGAACCTCCGGCCAAGAGGAGACAGCTCTTGCAACGCATCGCCAAGACTGTTGGTTGGCTGAACGTTCATAGCCCAGCGGATGCAGCGACGCTCAGGAACGTCATCGGAAGTCCTCGGCGGGTCAGTCCATTGTGGCGACCCTCAGATGAGCTGTCAGGTCAACACGATTCCGCTCACTCTTCTTCGGTTTCCCGATTCGGTCGAAATGTTCAGATGAACGCACATGCGGATCGCCCCAACGCGATCATTGAGCTTTCGTCGGACAGCTCCCAAAACCAGGGTGCAGAACCATCCACGTCAGCCGGCAGAGGTCTCACCGATCCTGCCTCGCTGCCTTACAAGTCGCAAATGAGTCGTCACGGCCTAGCCACACTCGAACCAGACGAACTTCACTCTTTGCAATGGACCGAGCCTCGCTTGCATCGTCTTGGAAACGAAAAATTCCGGTATAATTGGGAAAAGGATGGAGCGACAAAACGAAAGATCAACGATCAGATCTTCGCAGGCAAACTCAAGTGGGTTGACCGGGACAACGTCAAAGAGAATGTTATGTGGTCAATGAACAAGAAAGTTCTCCTAAGCAGTCGCGTTCTGCCCCTCACCAACTTTGCACCGATTAAGCTGGACAACGGTGGCGGCACCTATAACAACGTTCGAATGATGAAGCACGGTGGAATGTATCCGCATTCGACTTGGCCAGAAGGCCATCCACTTGGGAGCGGTCGCACGTTCTACATGTTCAGATCTGTTCCCGAGGATAGGATCGGGGACAGCCAGGTTGAGATCCTGAACTATGGAATAGGATATCTTGACCATGCCAATTTCCCCGCAGTGAACGAGCAACTCAAGAAGGTGAAGCAATTGATTGCCGGCAGAGCACCAACAGCATCTCAGATACATATCTAGTCGCTCATCACAGCCTTGCGAGCCTGCTCAAGTGCACCTGTCGCTCGTTCTGGTGAATGAAGAACGACCCGGTGCAGCTTCCCATGATACGTCTCGGTGTCCAAACCTTTCCCAATTTTCATCATGTAGAGTTCGCAATGGCATCTCGATTTTCTTCGCTGTCTCAGACGCATGTTCGTCGCCATGCACTTCTTGTGCGGCCTGTTCAAAGGTATATGCGATTCATGATCTACAGCATCACACCCGCACTTCGACTCGATCTTGGTTCGATGTTTGCATACCGTAGCACAAGAAGCTCTCTGTCGAGATTGGGGGTGCTATCATCGAAGAAAAGAGACTTTTACTTCTGAACGTCGCATCACATCGGGGGCTCGTCAATCATCGAATGCCTACAGATGAATTTCTCCTGCTTCCTTAGCCAGGACAGAAGAGAAATGACTATCCACCTCAGAGTTGTCTTCGGGATCAAGATAACCAGCACCGTAATATACAATCGGATTATCCTTTGCCCTCAGTAACTCCGGCACGCCGTACACCATGTAGTAAGGTCTGTCCTGCAGTACCGTGCCTTTCAGATATTTGCTAGAGGTGGAGCTATTATGCAAGGTCATGTGAATCCTCAACTTGGTACCGTCGGCAGCAGTGGTGGTCACAAGAGGGAGACGACGGCTGGGCCTTTCGATCGGCCACTTCTTGTAGAAGAGATCGGCGCGCAAGTAGTTGAGAACAGGATCGTCGACTACGTGCAATTTTCCAGCGAAAAGTCGCGAACTTAGATCGCTAACAAGGCCACTTTTGGCGTCCATAACAAGATTCCCCAGTTGACCACCATCGAAGCGAGTTCCCGGCTGATAGGAGATGCGATTTAGGAACTCGGGTTCGGGCCACCTACGGAGGGTCTTCCGTTTCGGAGTTGGACCGCTCGTGAAGTAGCCTGTTGTGTCTTTGACGGATGCTCGAATTGGGAGCGAGTTCATCCTAGATCTGCGCGGACGCTGTCGCTGATCCTGGCTTGAGCGTGATGCTATGATGCCCACATTGCTTGGTTGCTGAGAGTCGCCGGACGGTTCAATTCTGTCTTCTGTCTCAGAGAGAATTCGATGGAGAAAGTCCAGGTCCGCTTGACTAATCTCTTGAGGCGAATGGACGAGGTTGTGAGGCGTGGACGGCGAAGAAGTGGCTGGTCCCCTCCAAGATTGTGCCTGTCCAGACGAAGACGGAGACCCTTGCCATTGAAAGGAGCTTTGTGTCGAACCAAGATCGTGGTGGATGCTCGCGGGTGCTTCATTGTTATGGCTCGCACCATGCGCGTCAGTGATTTCGGAAAAGTGGATTGAGCCGCTGCTATATTGATGAGATGCCAGGGGCTGGGCAGGGCTTGGCGGATACGACCAATCCTGAAGGTGACGTTGCCAGTCAGAATCTTCATCTTCAGAGTTCGCCGGCATCGCCTCGACTGCTGAGAGCATACGCAGCAGGATGCAGAAAAGCAAAGAGACAGTAGACGTCAACATGGTGACACTGAGGACCTTGAGCCAGCTGGTAGGTGATGGGAGAGGTAGAAATGGCGCAAACCACGAATGATTCAAATGGGTCTACTTTCGTAGCTCTGAAGAAATCATGAACGCACGGAACCGAGCCACGAATGAAGCACGACACTAAGATGTTTGAAATGATGCGCATGTCGCGGCGGAATGCAAGGAGCCCACCGCCCGTCTGAGCTATTACAACCACATCGGCAGCTTGTCATGCAAGTCCTAATCCCAAGTCACGAGCCTCTTCGCGACTGCTCATCCGATCTGCTTTGTGGCCGCAGTGCAAAAATTAAAGCGCGCGGATCCTGGGGTCTACTCTAAACGTGGACGGGATGATGGCACAGTCTCACGAATCGGACAAAAGACAGTTGGAAGCAGTTCATTGGGCGTACTCGCTCAGTAAGCCAAAGATGTATCAGCAGCATCCTCGAGTAGTGATCGCAAATGACTGTCAATCGTCTCGTAGTCAGCAGGATCAATGTGAGCTGTACCATAGCTGATCAGGTGCCTTCTCCCATCAGGGGTTGTCGTGGCGGACCACAAAAGATAAAACGGACGGTTGTGTAGCACACTGCCCTCAGGGGCTCCGCTCAAGATCGGCGCATTACTGTGTGCCGTCATACGGATCGGAAGCCGCAATCCATCTGGAGCGGTCGAATGGACGGAAGGGAGTATTCGATGATATCGTGTGAAAGGCGAGGCTTCGCGGAAGTTACGTGGCTGAACGTGATCCATGTCAGCATCAGGGGCCCACGTGAGCTTTCCAGCAAATACTTTCATGTCTAGCTCGTCGCGCAGACGAGGATCGTCGTTACGGGTCTGATCGATCTTTCCGGACCCTTGAGACAAAGGAGGGACATATGGAAGCAAATTGAAGGACTGAGGCTCCCACCATTGCCTGGTGCCCTTTCTGCTGAGGTCTTGCGCACTCGTTCCTGCGCTCGTGCTCCCCGTGGACTCTCCGAGGGCAGCATGGCTGTGTCCGCTTTGTCTATCAGCGTTGAGATCGTTGAGCAGAGAGTCCAGGATCTGCAAAGCCTCTTGGTCTAGGGGAGTGTCGGCGGACTGGGAACGTTCAAGACGAAGGGGCGAATGTTGAATTGACGAGTAGCGTGAATAGGGATATGAAGAATGCGTCTCCGATGATGGAAGATTTGTTCCGAGTTGGGGAGCGCTGCTGGAGCTGCCGGCCCAAACAGACGAAGGAACGTCGCTCTCGTGGCTGGCAAACGGATACCGATTGTCCATGGGAGCGGCCACCGCCGAGCTGCACACGAGCGTGAAGAAGGCTAGCAAACATGCTAACAGCAAGCACATCATCTTGACCCGAGAAGCATTTCAAACTGAGAAGAACTGAATGACGACGAGAGGGCACGGACGGTTTCGGTCCTGATTCTCCATATATACTTTTTCGTGCGAAGTACATACAAAGCAAGAGCTAAATCCAGACCGCCGTGGCAGCTTCTCTGAGTTTGCCGTTGGCCGTTTTGCCAAGGTCGAGTGTGGCAACTTCATTGATCGAGACTGTTTGTGGGTGAGATGGGTCCTCCACATCAAGCCGCAGCATACGCACCTGACCCACCTCGCTGTCGGTCAGCACAGCATACTGATGTTTCGCGTTGTTCCCACCGAGCAGTGTGGGAGCAGGCTCGATTGCGTTGGCCCACCCACCAGATGTGGGGGTTTGCCACAAGCACAATGCATCGCCGAGGTCATGATCAGCGTCGCGGCGCTGCGACACAACCAACCCGTTCTTGTCGAGCAGGAAAACGGCAACCCATCCCTTCGTTCCTGTGGCCAAACCTCGAGTGGATGCGAACATGTAGCGCGGATAGGTACCATCGGCATTCGGCACCGGACAAGACAGGCGAACCTCATCCGCCCAGTAGAGACTCGCGTCGTCGCTCTGTGGAATGATTTTGACCCCTTGTCTCCACTCCAATCGTGTTCCTTTCGCATCTTTGATGAGCTCAAAGACGTCGACCATCGAGCTGTGCTCTTGCAAGCTATAGATGTAGCGTCCGTCCGGATGCGAGATGGTGTGGCGTGGTCCGTCGTTACTGCGTGGCGCTACGCTCTTCTCGCCGAGACTCAGAGCGCCGTTGGATGGATCGACATCCATGGTCCAGACGCAGTTTCGACCAATGTCGGGGACGTAGCAGACACTTCCATCCGGGGAGAGGTCGATACCATGCGAGCCATGGCGCAGTCCACCAAAGTCCATGGCGTTCTTGCCGTTGGAAGCATCAAGCTTGCCGGTTGAGGTGGTTCCGTCCCCTTTGTCAGAACTTGTCTGCAGCTCTTTCTTTCTCAGCTCCCTCGTCTCGGCGAGCGTTTTGCCCGGCAAGGAGCAATCGCCCGTGACAAAGTCGATCTCTTGGATACGACCGGCCGATCCGACGCCCGTGACGCCATCCGAAGGTGAGTGGGATGCAACGATCGAGTCGTGCTTACTTCCCTCCAAGTCGAATGCACCTGTTTCGGAATCGATCCCGATCACTTCGCCTGTCGGTCCTCCGCATGTGTATAGAACGGGATGCGTGGCCTTTTCGGGGAAGCCGACGTAGACGTAGCCCGACCTTGCAGCCGTCTCTGCGGTGTTGAGCAACTCGAACTGCGCACTGCTCGCAGCAGCGTCGCGCTCAATTGTGTAGGAAGCGACGCTAGGAGGTTGAGTCCAGCATGTTGCATACAAGTGCGTTGGCGATGCTGCAGCATCATCGCCCTTGGCAGCTTTGGGGATACTAGCGGTGGATAGCCACGAATGATTGCCCTTGGCTTCCGAAACGTTGAGCAGTTCTAGAGTCTCCTTGTCAGCATCGAAGCGAACGGTGAAAAGCTCGTTCGTATTGAAGGTGCCGACTGCCAGCAGCGACATGTTGCCAGATTCAGAAGTGATATGGAGGGAAGGTAGCAGAGGGCAGCATCAACAGCACTTGCTACACTGTACGCGTTCACTTTATATTTAAGCTTTCTCGGCTACCCAAAAGTACGGAACATAGCCGGCCAGAGGGTCCGCGGCAGCCTTCCGGTTGGAGCATGGAGTATATTTGATCTCCAGGTGTTAGAGTGGCGTCGAGCTTCCTTTTTCCCGCAGCTTGATCGTCCTTCGACGCTCAGGCCCTCGTTACTTCGTGATTCCGACATCATAGATGCCAACATGTCCGCAACGACGCCCAGGATAGTAAGTGACGAGGTTCATTGCGTTGTCTGCGCTTCGTCGTGCCGCTGACAGACCCTCTTGCTCTTTCGTCGAGCAGCAAGCTCTCGCCATCGTCTCACCCAAGAGCGGACCCATCTACGTGCGCCAATTCGGCAAAACACCTGCAGAGTCGACGGCGGCGGACCTGCGATTTCACTACTTCGCACATGCGTCTCTAGACGTCATGGATGAGCGCAGCGGGACCGCTTCCTCCTCTCGCACCAGCCCCGAACAGTATCTTGGCCTGCTCTATACCCTCGAGGATCTGGCCGTCTACGGCTTTCAAACCTGCACACGATTGCGCTTTCTCATCATGCTCACCCTGACCGACCACGTGGTGAGAGATCTCGATGTTCTCACCTTGTTCAAAGCGATATACACTTCGTATCTCAAATACTCGGCGAATCCGTTCCATGCCCTACCACCGACATCGTTTGCGCCGGCAGACAGGCTCGAGGAGGAAGATGCGCATGCGAAAGCGGCGAGAGCGCAGGACGAGCTACGGCAAAGGCAGCGGCTTGACGTTGCTATTAACTGCCGACAGATCAAGAGCGCAGCATTCGACACTCGTATCGATCGCATCGTCTTTGGCTCTGCCGCGAAAGCGCCGGCGCCGGCAAGCAAGGAAGATGCCAACCCAGCATCGCTTGTAGCCGGTCGATGAACATATACCCTTACACAACCCGGCGGCGCGACAAAGGTCTTGTAGCGATAGGCCAGCAATCGGCTCTACTGCAATCGTGACATGATGTAGCGCATATGATCGGCACTCCCTCGGCCTCTTTTCGCCTGGTGTTTTGAACCGAGCTCGTTTCATTCTTCTGATGCCCCCCCCC